TATCCGGGCACCCAAAGCAAAACCTTAACTAAAATGTGTTGGTACCCTTTTTTGCCCAAAATAAATACAAAAAGCCTTTGTATTTGGAAATCTCCTTAAATATAACGAAAAAGCATGTTCGATGTCCGTAGCTGTTATAAAAAAATTGTCGTAGCTCTTTATTGGTACCCGGGTTTGGAAAAATGAAAATGATTGACAGAAGGATTACAATATATTGTTGAAACTTTTCCGTGAAACGCGACATAATATTATCGATCGGGTCATGTAATATTTGGATCGAGACTTAGTATCGCTTTTGTCTCTCGAAAAAGGTTTCTCACGATGAACACGCTGAGAAGAGGAGCTTCCTCGACGAAACGGACCGGTCCTCTTCATGGCCGGCGCTCTTTCGGCCACTCCTTTCCACGACGATGCTGATGAGGAGTCGTCCGTCCTTCTTTTTCCCTTTCGCATAACTCCGCGAGTTCATAACCCGTCCGCTCTCTAGGTACAAACAGGTGTCTCGTGGCCGGCTACTCGTCGGACCCTCGTGATTCTCTCGAGATCCCCGCTTCTGATCCTTTTCTTTTTATATAATTCTCACCGCTACCTTAATACTCTTAATATCTTTGCCGCATCCTTCCTGGCGAATACGCGACGAAAGGGAAAAGCGGTGTCTAGTGATCAGGGAAATCTGGAAATCCGAGCATTGTCAAGGAATTTTATAAATCTGGAATTGTCAGGGAGAAGTCAGGAAATTTTACTATTTATCTGGATTTTATTCTATACATTATTGTCTCAATAATTTGAGATTTTTTATTAAATAAATATATAAATTTTTTTTTGACTCCCAGCACGCTAATTTTCTGTGTTGTTAAAAATAGATTCGTTAATTTATATTTTCATCGTCGTGTTATTTTATTTCAACGTGTTTGATAGAGACCTAAAATTTAATTGATTTATCATATAAATATATGCAAATTATATATTTGGAAAAAATAATACTAAAAAATCGGGGAAAAAATCAATTTCTGGTCTTGGAAAATTTGAAAAAGTCAGGGAATTTTCTTCATTGAGTCTGCTGGACACCCTGAAAAAAATCTCGAGCAAATGCCGGAAATGCCAATATATCTTTGACGGTGTTTCGAAATCAGCGCGAAACAGAGACGCGATTTGTTCTCGCTCTCACGCTAATTACTGTTACGCGAACTCTGTGGCGCTAATTAGAAAAGCGCGTTTGCTAATGCATATGGCTTGATACAGAGTTCGCATATGCATGTATGTACCTAGGCAAGACGACGTTGTTGCGCAACGCTTTCGCGGATTACATGGATATACATACTTGAGGAAGCTCGTTAGTTTCATCACTGCGTAACAGAGACTGGCATATATCTTGGAAGACAGGGCCGCCATCAACAATAATAAATCAGAGATGTTTATTATTACATTCAATTTTCATTAAAATAATAATTTTATTATTTTAATATTACTTTATTATTATTTTTTATTTTATTTTTATAATAATAATAATTTTTGTCATTATATCTGATGATTTATGATTATATTTCAAGCTTTTTTATAATTGAAAAATAATACAAAGTTGTTTCATGGCCAATTATATAGCAAGAAACAATGTCTAATTTTATTGTGAAATGTCAAATTGATTAAGTAATATATAATTTAAAAATTGTGCTTTCTTAAAACCTCTAGAAAATAATATCTAATATTATATGTTATTTGTTTAAATATATAATGTTTTCATCAGTTAAGACTATTATTATTATTATTATTATTATTACTTGATTTTTTATTTCGATTTTACGGTTGAAAAATTTTAATTTCCTGGTTTTTAACTGGATCTTTACGTAAGATATCTTTTATGTTAACGCAGCGGCCCTGGCGTTATATACCTATTACATATATATACGCGTACATAGTTCGCCGCTCTTCTAATTGCGTGTACATACAAACGGTGCTCGTTCGAATCAAGTCCAGCCAGAGCTTTCTATCCTCGGGCGGGTGACTCGCTCATCAGGATATCTCGAGTCTATAATCGCGAACCTTTATCTTCGAAACGCTTCTCTTTTCGCACTCGCCTATGACGATACCGCATCAACTATCTACGGATAAAAATATATTTTATCAATCAATTTGCATCTTGTAAATATTTCTGGATGAAGCTAATTTTGGGGGAGCTCAAGGTTATATAAAATTATTTGTGTAATGAATTAAATTGCGAAATAATCGTGAAATAAAATAGTTCGAGCGTGGCACGTCAAATTCGACGATCTATCGAAGAGAAGAGAAAAGAAAAATAGAAGATGATTAAAAAAAAGAGAGAGGGCAGGGGATGACTCGCTGAAGCTGGTCCGGGGAATCATTAATATACCGCATAAAAAATATTTCATACGATCAATTTGTATCTTGTACATATTTCTGGATGAAGCTCATTTTTGGGGGAGCCCAAAGTTATATATAATTAAGAATTTAACAAGGCTCTGTAATATAAATATAAATATAAATTGAGTGTCAAACAGGCAATAAGAGCCAAATCGCGGATGACAGTGCGTCATCCCAACGAAACTAAATTTTTTCGTTAGAATTTTTAAAAACCTATGCACAAGGCACTAAATTTTACTTGGTCACGGCTAAGATTTAAAATTGGATTATATATAATTACTTGTGGAATGAATTAAATTGCGCCGCGAAATTAAATAGTTCGATCGTGGATCGTCAAACTCGACGATCTCTCGCTATCGAAGAGAAGAGAAAAGAAAAATAGAAGATGATTAAAAAAAAAAAAAGAGGGGGCATGGGGATGACTCGCCCAGGCTGGCCCGGGGAATAATTAATATACCACGGACGCATAACGAACGACTCTGCGATGCAGTCTGTTTGTTTTCGGATGGCTATTCCCCAGCCTCAGGCCTTGCCGCTCGTATCTCTCTTTAGTCGGGGCCCCTCGACCTCCCGCTGCTTTCTCTCCCTCTCATTTTTTTTATTTTAAACGCGCACGCATACACATACGAGATTGTCTTCCGAATGCCTCTTCTTTACAGTCTCCTTGCCGGAGCTACTGTTTCTTATTTCGACTCAGTCTTCATATTAGCATTTTCAATAAGTCTTTTTAATATAATACGAAAATTGCACAACATAAAATATATCCGAGAATTAAAAGAATTTTTTAATTTAAAATGTAAGGTCGATATCCTGTATATAAAAATATAATATTTTGTGTTATATAGGAATATAACAAAAAATAAAAATATATAATGGTATAATAAATATTTTATAATTTTTTAAAATTTAAAATATAAGATCGATATTCTGTGTATAAAAATATAATAATACAATATTTTTTATAATATAGTAATATAAAACAAAGTCTGAAAATATATAATGATACAATAAATATTGTAATAAAATTCTCGCGGTTCGAATGTCGAAACGAAGGAAGTTTCATCATCGAGACAGGCACATATTAACTCTCGGAGGACGATTCCGAGAAGCTTAAGCTACACACTTGCTACTTCTACGTGTAATTTTCCAATTCGCGAATACGTAATACCGCCGTCGCGATGGTATCGTCTCAAGTGGCCCCTATTCTTTGTCTCTCGCGCGTTTATTTGGCGCGCAGTCGTCGCTCCAGAGAGGAAAGAGAAAAGATATGCGCGGAAGGCAGCGCCGCATACCTCTCTCCATATATCCTCTCCACTTTAATCTTTCTTTTGTGACTCGGCTGTTTTAGCGTTTTTTATTCCCCGATGAGCTGGTGGACCTCGACAGGCCGCGAACGGGGAAGAGAGAGAGAGAGAGAGAGGGATGGAAGAAGGCAGCAAGACATCGCTGCGGGCTTATTAGCAAGAAACCGGTGGGGAATGACGAGGGCACGCAAGGGGGAATCGGCAAGATGGTTCTGGACCCAAGGGGGTTGCGGAGGCAAACGAAGCCGAGCATGCTCGCGGATAAAGATGGCCTCGCAATATCATAATAAACGTATCTCTCGTCTCTCTTTGTCCTCCTTCTTCGGCCTTTCTTGTCGTTTCGTCTCGTATATACGGTTCTCATTAACGCACAGTCAGGGGGATGCGACCACCCTCCTTGCGTGTACTCGTGCTTGGAATTTTTCTGATGCGGGCCGCTCGCGGACTCGTTCGAAATCTCGATAAAGACAATCTCCTCTCCGAACGATTTATGCGCGCTTCAAGAGCTTTGAGAAATCGAGCTGTCAAGGTCCTCTCTCTCTCTCTCTCGGCTCGAATCGCTGACGAAAAAGTGAGCGAGTCGCTTGTATCGTTCATTAAAAGGAACAAATTATCCTGGCCATGAAATTCTTGTGCTTGACAAAATTAAGATGCGTCTAATATATATTTGAAAAATATTCAGAGTTTCATTTCTAATTGTCAAGTATTTTTTTATAATATACACTTGCAAAGTTATTCGAACTGGAAAACTTTATTAGTATTCTTCGTAATTTTCAGTTACTCCAACCAATATCATTTCGTTAGTGGATCCTGAAATGGGGGGATTTCTATAAAATAAAATATTTTCGAAAATATTGGATTAAAATCCCAGCAAACACAGTATATAAATGTTATATACTTAAGCATGTTACATGTAACGTATATGTTAGTTGTAATTTCCCACTCATAGATGTAACATTTTTAATATTACATATATTACATTGTAGTTATATTGTCATTATATCTCAAGATAGCATTGACTTATCAATACATCAATGTGCTATTTGGTATATAATTACAATATAACTACAATGTGATATATGTTTTATTAAAATATTACATCTGTGAGTGGGAAATTACAACTAACATGGATGTTACATGTAACGTACACGTTATATTACCTGTTATATTCCGTTTTATTACCTCTTATATTCCGTTTTATTATAGCAATGTAACAATTATATATCGGTGTTTGCTGGGATGATTTTTTTTAACTTGGAAGGAACCCGAAGACCACCCCTCAGAATCCTCCAATGAGTATCAATTCTTTTTTTCCAGATTCTTCCAAAGGGAAAGGATTGACATGCTTCTGCAATCAACCAAAATGCGTTCCCGACTCATACTTATGTGGAGGTGGCAGAGGATGCTTCACGGAGTTGCCGTCAAAAGTAAAGAAACCGCTCTCAAAAGCGGAACGCAGCGGTTGCCTGGACGGAAGTTTGAAAAATCGCCAGTGTCCCGAGGGATTCCTCTGCTGCTTTAATGATCTCTGCAATCACGCGGACGGTGATGCGTGGAAGATCACAGTCAAAGAGAAACAACAAGAGCAAGGTTCGATCGCTCTCTTTCTCTCTACGCTTTTAATACGTTCTTTCTCAACATTATTCCTGTCATGTTTTGAGCATTGCATGATATCTTAATTTGTCAAATATTTAGATATCATCATGTGTGTGCGATTCGAATCTTGCTTCATATTTTATTTTTATTTTTTTCCTTCTGTCAATGAACAGATATCTGAAACAACTTAAAATACAAAAAGCCTTTGTATTCAGAAACCTCTTAAAATATAGCGAGAAAGAATGTTCGATGCAGCTAAATAAATAATTAATATAGTTTAGTGTGTCAAAAATATAGTTGGTATCCATACATTGAAAAGGTGAAAATGATTGATATTGACAAATGGATTAAATACATTTGTAATAAATCAAAGTACCTTTTTAAGTCTCTGGAGAATGAAACATCTGATTGTTTATGATATCAATTGCAGAAAAGACGTTGATCAGCGATCAACGAGTGTACTTGGATCCGATACTTTCGAATAGTCCGGATGTAGGAAATCAAACGACGGTGCATTGGTTCACGAATGCGACGATCATCGTGGCTGTTTTCGGACTCGTTCTCTTGCTGATGATCGCCAGTCTAGCTGTCAGGTGGCTCCAGCCGATGCCGCCGCAAAATACCAATAAATTCGTGCCGCATAGAACATCCGACAACGGGCCGCCCTTACTTGGATCACCGAAAGTGCCTCTGGTTTAAGAAATTCCGCGCGCGATCCAACGACAAATGTTTCGTCGACGATGGTGTTCGAAGTAATAGTATACAATTTAAGTAGAGCTGAGCTTTAGTATATGACTCACGGAAACAATCGGGAGTTGTGCCATATATTGTGTGTATTAGAGTCTTGATCACAGTAGACGTACTATGGATGAAATTATTTTATACAATATAAGTATAGTGATCTTATTCCAATATTTAACTTTCTTTCAACTCCGTCGATTTTTTACGGTGTGTGTATGTGTGTTTAATTTACATGTACAGCATGCAGGTTTTTACAAGAGATTTTACAGAGATACGCCGGGGTCATATACTAAAAAGAGTCCAGCCAATAAGGCTACCTAGAAAGCTAGCGGGCCGTCGGAGGCTCCACTTGGCTGTGAATTTTACGAAGAAAGCAACTAACTGTAAATTATAATATCGTAACAATTAGGACGTATTTTACTTATTGCATTTCCTCGAAACGTCGCCGCGGCGACGTGAGATCGAAGAGTGAGAACCGAGAGAGGAGTCGAGACTTTTTTTTCTAAGAGACCCTCTAAACATGACGTTTACGACAACACAGTGCGTACAGTTCCTGTGTCGTTGTAGGATTGTAAATATAGATATATATGTACCTATACATGTATTTTTTATCATATTGAATTCGACGATGTTGCTCGTGATTGTACCCATTAGTCGATTAAATGAAAATCGGTTATAACCGAAAGAAACCTTTAATATTCGACTAACAATAAGTAATAAATTATTTTTTCGATTATTCGTTAGTTTTATTAAGATTTTGTAATAATATAATAATTATATATATATATATAATGTCTACATAGAAAAGAAAGAAATGTCAAATTATACTTAAATTAACGCGTTCATTATTTCATACATATAACAATCTCTAAATTCTAAAAGAAAAATCTGGAAAAACGAAATAAATATATAAACTCGAAATAAATGCTATGCTATGAAAACCAAACGCGGATGTTTGTGTGTTGGAAAGCGAAATAGCGAAAATTAAAAATATATTAATTGACCGGAATAACCGATTTCAAATGGTAAATTTATTTTTAAACGGTTAATCCAATTAACTGATTTTCACGAGCCCTAGTTGTAACCATCGTGAATTCTCTCGTTCCCTAAAAACATTATATATAATTTTTATTTACAAACACTTTTATTTACTCTTCGAATAAAGTAAAGAAAGACTATTTCACAAATCGTATCTCGTAACGGGAAATAAATGTTTGTAATTGACATAATTTTGTTGTGCCGTTGCGACTCTTCAGCCACAGCCATTTTTGTTTGCAAGAGCATACTTTAGGAACTTAATTATATTTTTAAGCGTATTCCGTATAAACACTATATTGTGATATATAGTACGATATAATAATGACTAAATAAATACATGTAGAGATCTGCCTAGACTTTGTTTTACATTGTGTTACTTGTGAGAAGTGAACAAAAAAAATCAAAGTAAAGTGTATTTTTTAAGCGTCTTCTCAATGTGTTATGTTTTGTCTCTATTTATTTGTTCCTTTTCATTGATAACATATACATACCACATCGGTATTCGGTATATAAGGAAGGATACGTCATTACTCTATAAAATAAGTTCTATTCCATTTGATCAACTCAGAACATGATGTCGTGCGATTTTAATTTTCATAAAAGACGCGTATAATATAAACATTTTTTGGCATCACAGTTTAAAAACCGTTCATTATTTTTCTTGTACATATCTATTCAATTTCACAAAATTCTCATTCATTATATCTCTTATATTTTGTATTGCGGGTCACTGTTTTTTTTTGTTGTCCCAAGAAAGTGCATTATTTTACAAAAATACTGTTCAAGATATTATACTGTATCGCTTTATATTCTTGTATTTTCTGATTCTCGGCAGAAAATAAATGTTTCCCTTCCTTAAAAAAAAAAAAAATTAAAAAAATAAAAGCGATTCTCTCATATTCTCAAGTCAATTGAATTTCGAGCGTGAAATTACGCGTCTTGTCTATATATGTACATGCACATGTAACATAGAAATATCAGATTTAGTTTAATTGTTTTATCAGTCATAACCCACGTAATGGGTTTTTCCGGAGTAATATTACATTAATAATGTAATGATTTTTAGGAAAGTATCTCTCCGAATGATTTAACGTAGGCCTCATGAAGTTTGTTAATAAAATCCGGATCACTCTTTAGCAGATAGTTGAAAGCTTGTAAAAGCTGATTCCTCGTCAACGGTTCCAATGGTCTGCTCAAAGGCTCGGGTGGACTGGGAGCGGCAAACATGACGGGAGGTATTAACGCCGGCGCCGATCCTCTTCCCGACAACGTAGGTGCTGCCGAGATAATGTCGTCCGATGACTAGATTAAATAAGAAAGCAAGAATTAAAATATGCATATATTTAAGACTGTCTCCTAGTCAACTATGTTGGAGTTATGACGTCAGAGGCGAGAAAACACATGCTAAAAATTGCCTTTTCAAAATTAAGATATTTTGGTGAAAAAGCATTTCAGATAGTTTTAGCACACTCTTAAAATATTTCGAAAACTATCTTTTTCCCATTATAATCAATCAACAGCTGTAAAATGACAGATAACGAATTATTGAATTTTTCTTACTGTACTTCCGGCGTGAGCAAATAATGACGCAAGCGTATTGTTGCTGGTATTGGAAATGCTTGAAACTTGATGATTTCTTAAAATAGACGATGTGTTGGTTGGAGATTGTATCCTGAGGAATCCAGTCGTTCCGTTCGAATCACTGACGCTCTGAGTCACAGGTAGCGGCAGATCCTGCGAGATCGGCGCTGACGTGGACACTACCGAGTCCTGTTGGCCAGTCGGTTTGTTTCGCCTTTTAGATCTGTTCACCGAAGGAATCGACATCGACTGCGACTGATTAACGGTGGGCTGCGGTGTTATGGATCTCTGCTTCTCAATATGTTTTTCAATGTGTTCCAAAGTGTGCGCCGCCGGATGAGACATTAAACGTGCGAGAAGAGGTTTAGTCGACTCGACTGGACTCTCTCCCGCAGTAGGTTGGTTGCCTGGTTTGAAATGCCCAGTGTTCACCTGATCGATAAGACACAAAGCATGAATAAAGAATAGAATCTAGGTTACGCTCTAAAGTACAAATGATGCTACTGACCTTAGCTTTAGCAAAAAAGTCCATTACACTTTGTGAAGTGACATCAGGTCCTAAGGGAGCGGATAACGAGCTAGAAATATTGTCAGTTGTGGGTATAACCAGTGGAGACTTCGATCCAATCGCGTTCCCACTATCGCCACCTTCCCCTCCACCTCCCCCGCTGACTCTGCTCGTGTTGAAATCTTCTTGTGCCTTGCTGAGCATACTGAATATATCCACATTGTTTACATTCGGTCCTGAAACCAGTTTCTTAATTTTATTCTGCGGCTTGCTGTTGATCTTGCGACTCTCCTCGCACTCTTTCAAAAGTTGATTCAATTTGTTTGCGATGCGAACACACTCTTCCTTTTCATAGAACCAAATGCCATAGATGTTACATCTGGAATTTCTATACAGCAGAAATGGTTCTTGTAGTTGCAAATCTAAACCCGGGGCGACTGGTTCCACTAGATTGTTCGTGTTCAATCTGCAACAGATTTTATTTTCTTCTTTCTTACATACTATTAATACTATTGACATAAAAAAAAAAGATATAAGCAGATGCACGAGAGAATATCGCACGGAGTTTGCGAGTAAAAGAAGCGACTTACGAATCTTTCGAAATGTAAGCCGCAAATGTAACAAACAACACGCTATACTCTGAATCTTTAAAATCAGAATGAAGAGATGTAGGCTACCTGTTCATTATGAGAATACTGTTGTACGGCTCGCCGTTTCTGGAATAGAGAAATAGGGCTCCCTCGATGTCGGTCTTTTCCCACTCGTTCTCGTCCCCGTTGAAGGTATACAGAGCGACGTGAGTCGCGGTCTCAAGGATATCCTTGACGTAAGGATCGACTCGTTTTAACGCGGCCACGTTCATCCTCAGCTCCGTCCGATCCGTCATGATAATAATGATGATGATTTAATTAAATATTCTTGAGATCTCGACGCGAGATTGCTCGAGAAATCCAGCGATTTAGATTCAAGCGGATGGTTTTCACCACCTTTCGAAGTCGATCGCACCAGTCACAAAGGGAGTCGTATTTTCAAATAACGCAAGCAGCTGCTTCTGCAATGAACGCCATACTAGATTCTCAGGTTGATACGAAAGTGACGCTAAGAAATTCGCCGAGTCTTCAAAAGATGGCACGACGGCGCCATTTTTATTTGTTTTTTTTTTAATTCTACAATTGTAAGATTATTTTTATAATTTTATTATAAATATATACATATATTTTAAATATATATATATAATTTTAATTTAACAATAAGAATAATATTCTTAGTCTAGCTTTAATAAAAGTAATATAATACATATATGTAGAGCTCAACGATAATAATAGATTTAGTTTCTATATAATAAAATATATGTAGTAATATATAATAGTATATAAGTGCAACTCTAACAGTATAAATAACAAAACTAAAAGATGTATGTAAAATATAAAAGGAATAAAATGGCAAAATGGCCGACATCAGACCGACACGCATGTGCCAAAAATTTTTTTTTTTTTTACATACGTATAATGAAGATAACTGCAATTTGAGGTTTGTTCTTTACAATAGAATTTTTATTGTGTATATACACTAATTCACTTCTTTCTCTTTCTTTTCAACACTTGAATATACATCTGTTTTATTTTCAGTGCACAAACCTTTTAGTATAAAGTTCAGTTATGAGGAACAAGTTTTTGATTGGAGCAGCCAAGTTTTAAATTTAAAAGAAGCAAGAATGAATCTAGAGGGCGCTTTCTTGATTATAACGATCGATTATAATCGATCGCTCTCTCGCGCAGTCACTGTAGACGCATGCGGTATTGTTTATCGGAGACAAGATAGGAGAAAATGTGATTTGCATTTTAGTGATGTAGGACTTTGTGGAGTAATGCCGTTTTAATTATAAGTATATAATATAATAAAAAGTCACGCGGTCAAAGATCATCTGATAAAAATGACTGATCAAGATACAAATAATAATGCTCCTCCGTTGCGGGAAAATTTAGTAAGTTATTAAAAAAAAAAAAAAAAATCATGAAGTTATATAAAAGTAAGAAAAAAAATTATCGCGCAACAGAGAATTACTTCGTTGGATTTAATTGTCATAAATTATACATGCGTGTATAGTGAAGATTAGCTGCTAATTCATTCGTTGCTTTGTTTTAATTTAAATGCGTATTATTCAAGGTGAAAACTGCAGTACAGTTTCTACAAAATCCCAAAGTGTCGTCGAGTTCGTCGAAACAGAAGCAAGAATTTCTTAAGAGGAAAGGCCTGACAGACGAGGAGATTAAGACAGCTTTTAAGCTAGCATCTATTGACAATACCACTGATCGCAATGTTTTCCAGAATCAAAATTTATATACCACTGTACAAATGCCACAAGGACCTGTTTATCCTTATCATCAAACGAGCGTTTACCAATCGACACTTTTCCAAAAAATTAAAGATATCTTTAATACAACTGCCTTAGTTGGAGCGACAATATATTTTGTCTATTGGCTTTATAAGGTACTTTATACAGTGCAAACAAGTTATAATAGAGGTCTGTTCTTTTCAGCTGAACAGGCTGCCCTAGTTCAAAGTTAATCTTTTTTACCCCACTTTGAAAGGAACAACGTGAACTTTGAACTAGCATAGCCAGTTTGACTGAAAAGAACAGGAACAAGGTGAACTTTGAACTAGCACAGTCAGTTTAGCTGAAAAGAACAGACCTCGCATCTTATTTAAAATATTGTGAAAAATTACCAACAATTTGGGTTTTCTCTGATCATTCCTGAATTTTGATTATACAAAATAAGAATAAAATAATAATTCTCATTTGTCTTACATCAGTCAAACATAATAAAGTTTCTAATTTTGCAGAAGTTCATAGGACCCTTTTTATTTGGTCGAAAAAAGAAGAGCAGTGTAGAAGACAAGATAACAGAATTAGACAAGACCGTTCAGGATTCAATGAGAGAAGTAAAAGACTCTATTTTAAAGATGGAGGGTGATGTGCAAAAACTAGCTCAGCATCAAGCAATGGATCCTACTATTCCACAATTGGTGCATGAATTAAAGCAGGATTTGTCTAGTCTAAAAGCTTTACTCCTATCAAGGTATATCCAACTTTTTCTTTTATATATACATAGTTTCTTGTATTAATATACAGAGTGTTTTATTTTAAATAGGGAAATAATTTAATCTCAGTTTTTCTGTATTTAATTTTTGTTATTTATTTCAATTAAAAATTTTTATATTTTTTAATTTATTTTCTGGCAAAGTTTATAAAACATTTCTCAACATCAATGATTTTAAAAATATTCACATACATCATTTAAAATAGGACACTCTATATATTATAGATAATAATGCATAGATCAGTAATAGCAATTTATTGCTATACAATGAGATTATTTCATTTAGACATTATTTGCCATTTTGTTTTCGTATATGTAGTATTTGCTTATATTAAGATCATTCTTTTTACAAGAGATCAATCGTTGTCACAACCTCACACTTTGCACACTCATACATGTACAATTTTATTCAAAATTGCTTAAAAACTTGATACTTGCGCGTTTGGATGCCCTGATAATTTTTTAAACAAGAGTTTTACAAAATACAATTTCAAAATATAAATTTGTGCTTTTCCTCATCTTACTCCTACTTTTGACCATTTGCGTTTTTGAATCAATCTTTGATTGATTCAATCTTTTATTGTAAACAGTTTTCTGATTATATCTGTATATATACCTTTTCATATTATGTGTGTACACGAGAAAAATTCACTGTAGTCTCAAATTTTTACATGCTCTGACTGTCTATATCTATTATCTATTTCTAATTTGCAATTGTTTAAATTAGGAAACAATTCCCTAGTGCCCCGGCTTCTATTCCACCATGGCAGTTGGATGCGACAAATGTAAGCCAAGGAAAAGCAACTGAACGAGAGGATGATGCTGGAAGTGGAAGTAGTACTAATAATTCAGATAGTTCTTTAGAAATGATCCGAGAAGACCCACCCAAAGAGTAAATTTAGAAATTTCGTATATAATGATATTCTTCAATGTATGATATATTCTGCATAATATGTTGAAATGGATTATGGTTTTCCAATATTATACGATATTTTTAATTTGTTATTTTTAAAATCTATTTTCATAGGTTTCAAAAATCAAAGATGTTATTTTTATATAAATAGAATTGTACAGTCTTAAAAAGAGACTGTTCAGGATTAAAGAAAATTCTCTCTTTGTGAAATCTTTTTTTTTTAATATTTTGTATACTCGTACTACAAATTATATTTTTAGTGAAATTCATGGTTCCTAAATTTTAAATTTTAACATCAATTATGTTAAAGAATAACTTTGATTCATTAAAAAAATATAAAAGTTTTATATATTAGTTATTATCTTTGTACAATAAAATAATGAATAAATTAGTCAAAATATAATAAATATATTGAATAAATGACGTATTTCCTTACTTGTAAATTTAAAATATGTTCTTTGTATAATATCTGAAGAAATGTTTATAGTTTCTAGAAAATTTGCTTCGATACTTTATATCATCACTGTACAGATATAAGAAAGATAAAGAGAAAATAACAGGTAAAAATTATTTAATGATTTTTGAGACGTTTTCAGATGAATAGAGAATTTTTTCCATTTTATAACTGTGGGATTTATGGTAATTAATGTATATATTATACAAATATTTTACATAATATGTAAGAAACTTTTTGTAGATTTGTAAGAGCCAAGTCGTCTTATGTGAAGACAACTCATACCTAGTAAAGATGTGACATTTTGCCAGGAAATAAGATAATAAAATTAACTGCTTAATATATTTTATGTAAATATCAATATTTTAATCTCGAATTAAATCGAAGACAGTCATAATACAAAGTATCGTATTAAAGAATCTTATAAATTTTGTAATTCAAGGTGAAATTTTGTGTGTCATATTACAATACAAACTAAAAAAATTAATGTATTTTTACATTATAGTACTTGTCTGTATCTGTGTCACAGACTTATAGATACGCGCGTGTCTATGCATGTATATTTCCGGATACAATTTTATGGAATAAATAGATTTTAACATTACTTCCATTCACAGAATACTATATGCATCACCCATCAGTTCATATCTTAAGAGAATAATTGTTATGTACAACAGAAAGTGTACAACGAGAGTTCTCTATAATATACAATAAGATAAATACTTAAATTAAAAAAATCGTTACTGAGAAATGATTGATGTTATTAAATTTTACACGCATGGTTTTTTTCTGAAAGATTGTACGAATAAATTGATTTTATACATTTATATATAAATGCATATATATGCATGTATATATTTACATATATGTAAATATTTTTTTAAATGAAATCTATATTTTATAACTTATTATATCGATCATTCATACAAAAATCGCGCTCCATTAAATACATTCCGAGTAATATGTACAAGATGTAAAATGTTCGATATTATATGATTAAATGAGCGAACGAAGTACACAGGCGTGTATGTGTGTTATGTCGTGGGTTCATTATCTTTCTATTATCTCACTTACAAAGAGAACTAATAACATCCGATTCATCGACCTTTTTCTCTTTGCGACCATACGCCAACTAAGTTATGCAATTTAATATATGAATGAAAAGAAGAATATTTCTTTTTAAATATAATATTTGACCGTAAGGTTTCGATATATTTATCGAATATTTGTAGCAACTGAACACTAAGTTTTTATATTGTAAAATCTTTTATCTTTGTTACAAGAAAATACAATATTATAGCATTATATATATATATATATAATAATAATATAATATAATTATATATAGCATATTATTAACTTATATAACGACTTTATTTATAGTTAAACATTTTATTATAAAATAATACAAATTTAAATATAACATATATACAATGAACAAAAATGTTATAAATTGCAGTATTTTGTTTTGTACAAGATTTGCAATATTTGATTATTTATAAAAAATGTTTTCTTATACAAATGATTGAATATTTGTACTAAAATTCTAGCAAGAAGATTGTATAGAATGATTTGCTTACACTTTGCAATTTTACTATTATTAGAGTTATTAAGTAAGCTGTACGGTGCTTAGCAATGACAGTAAAAAAAACTCTAACATTTACATATACTTTTACGGTCAAATTTCTTTAGAATTTTTAGAGTTTCTTTTCATGTATACCATAGTAGTTGCAACTACTATGTCATATAAAAAAGATCAAAATCAATTGAATCGTAAATGTCATAAACTCTCCTTGTTAGAGCGCTTATCAATGCAATCAATCAACATTATAGATCATAATAGTAATATTTCATTTTACGGAAGTTTTGATGAGAACAGATGTCATTCTCTCTTTTACCTGGTTTTATATTAATACTTCTTATTATAGATAACCAGGACAACTGCCTCACTGATACAGTGAGTTACAGCAGCATCCGTTTGACTTAGTGTACATCTCTCTCTCTCCCTCTCTCTCTCTCTCTCTTCTATACATCCTAGGTAAATAATATACAATAACAAAAGTACTTCTCATTTCGATATTCATTCCCTTTTCCTTCCATAATGTGTGTCTACCAGAATATATAAATAAAAACTTTTAAGTAATCTTACCTAAAACGAAAAACCTTGCAGGCTAGTAGTCCTATCTTATTTTCGTATCTTTCGGTCTTTGGCAAAGGCTTGTGTATAATAGAGGAAATAAAAAAAAATTCAATTCACGATTTTTTGCATACATAGGGACTATACAACATAAAGAATTATCCTAGGATGTTTTGTGCTGACATAATTATTGGCTGAATACACCACTTTCCTTCGATATTTACTCGTCATTGTTTATCGAGTATAGAAAAAAACAAGGATTGAAGAAGGGGATTCTTTTTCTCTCTCTCTTTCTTTCTCTCTCTTTCTCTCATTGATTCTCTCATTATACGGGCAGCGATCTAATGTTGCTATTATCAATAACAATAATAATCCTAGGCTAGACACACTAACTGAAACTGTTAGCAGTTTCATTTCTAGAATATCTAGTGTATCGCTTAATCTCAGTTATGCTACCAAGTATGATGTAAATGTAAATTCCTTGAAAGAACGGATCGTACATCTTGCGTGAAACGAAGAGCGTCCAAGACCGGAAGTAAGCTTAATAAAGCGGTATCTCCCGCATCGCTGAACCATGATTTTATAGGTATCGCATTATCTATGACAAAGAAAACGAATTAAGCGATATGTGCAAAATCCTGTTTGAAATTTAATTATGCACATTGCTTTTATATAAATCGAGATTGATTACAAAATGCAATTAAATAAATGTTTCTCAATAATTTTTCGATATATAACGTATATCATATTTTTCAATGTAAAAAATTGTAAAAAAAGTTTTATGCTCAATTTGCAAACAGAATAAAAAGAATACGCTTACGTATTTCTGATTCTTCTGTTACAAGTTTTTGATACATTATATTTCACATACAGCAGAAACGATTAAAATCATATATATATATATATATATATATATATATATATATATATATATACTTACGTGGATAGGCTCTGTAAGCCCCTGGGCTGTTATCAAGAATAAAGACTGAGGAGAGATCTGAGCAGATTGCCGACAGATCTTTGGTATAGGAACCCATTTCAGGTGTACAATGTTGTCTATAATATCTGCGCCTTAAGATACCTCTGTTGTTATCTAGTTTATCTGCGACTGCTGCCCCATAAATTTCCATGGATGCAGTGAAGACTACAAGCTCGTACCTATAAGCATAATATCAATATGCAATCATTAGTGGAGAATAATTGATGCAATCTTATCTGATAAAGTATAAGTACAAAGTCTAAGTGTGTGAGATTTTAATATTTATTCGTCAATAAAATACTTGAGAGATTGTTCTTTGTTATACAATTATAATACTTACCATTGACTAACAATGTCCAAGAAAAAGTCTACGTGTGGTCTTTTATGAACGAAAAATCTAACAGGATGTCTGTCTATTGTAACCTTAAGAACAAAATCAGGAGGGGTGCCAGGCCTGACAGTCGGCCTTGCCACTCCATCGTGATGAGAATGAATTAATGTTTCGTCTAAATCCAATACTAATACTTTTCTTTTAACTATACCTGAAACATTCTCGTATTATACACACAAATATTAAGAATATTGATCGCAATATATAAGTATAAAAATTCACACATTATTGTGATACTTACTAAGTCTGTGCCTAGATAAAGGTGAAAGTGGGAAGATTTCATATTTGACTGGTTGCATTTGCGAGATCTAAAACAAGACAAAATACACATGCAATTTATATATCACAGATTTGTAATATGTAAAAATATAAATATAGCAATTGCAAGAATACCAGTAGCCATAAATTGCTTCTGTACAATAAAAAATTGAAAAAAAATATATCAATATTTGTTACAAAATAACAAGATACTTTTATAATTCAGAAAACAATAACTAATAAATATATTACAGTATAATTCAATAAATGATTGTAGGTGCATGTGATTGGAAGAAAAAAGTGAATAGATGTATTATTTACATCGCATAATAATTGAAACATAGATTACATAGATAAATGGTAGTGTATTAAGTAATTATTTATACTTTTAACTTATAAACAAGTATGAGTGATGACTTATGAAACAATCAGTATATTTAAATGATTAATTAGTAAAATATATATTGTGCATTATTAAAAAATTTTGTTATAATAAAAAAAAGCATCCCATACAAGGGAAGACTACAATTCTAAATCTTTTAAATATGAAAATATATTTTTGCATACACACGCACACACACACACACACACACACATATATACTCTTGTAAAATTCAACAAGGTAAAATTCTTGAATTTCTTGACAAGTTTTGATAAAAGTTGAGCTAATTATTCCGAAAACGGATGATCCCTAGAGTCATCGATAACAATAACATCAATGAAATATATAGATATATAGAGATATAAAGAGAGAAAAGAGAAGCGAGCGGAGGTGCTCCTCTCTAAAGCCTGACTCCGGAAGAAGGCGCGAAGCACCTACTTACGGCTCTAACCTGCTTCTTGAGTAGAAAGCAGACGCAGGTCCACACGCGGGAGGCCATTAAGAGGAAAGCTCTCATCCCCATCTGCAATTGCTTCAGCATCTCTACTGGTCTTCTCACCGGGCCGAAGTCCGGCAACGCTTTATCTCTCCAGTCTCTCGGGGTCTCCGCTGTGTGTGTCTTCCTTTTTCCTTCCCTCCCCCCCACCTCCTCCTCCAGCACCTCGAGGATGTGTCTCGCCACTTCACTCTGTCACCGCGAATCGCGGATCGCGACGACGCCGCGCACCAGGAGGCTCGCCTCCGACTCGTCGTCGTCGTCGTAGAGCCCCGCGAGGACCCAGGGAGAGCTGCTTATTCTGCTGCGGGGCCGCTGCTCCTGCCGCTTTCGTCGTAAACAACACGCGCGACACTCTCGGCCTCGGCGTCTCGAGGCGGAAGAGCCGACGACGCGTCCACCTACGGTCTCGGCGTACGACGACTCGCGCGACGTGGGTCAACGTCAACGTACACCCTTACCGCGGTTCCTTCATGTTTTCCGAGCAGGACCGGAGACTTCCTACGCGCACCACGCAGCGGCCGCCATCTTCCGCGCATCGACCCAATTTTTCCGCACTATTCTCGCCTCGCTCGCACAGCATCGCGCTTATCGCATTTTTCGAAACTCAGAATCGTCATCGACGTTGTGCTCTCTCCCGAGAGAACTTCAAACTGTACTTGCAATTATATAAGCTGCATTTAATTCGATATCATACATGTATCTCTCCCTCATATATATATTGTGTATATATATATATATATATATATATATATATATATATATATAATTAATATTGATTTCATGATATTTAAATAACGCTTTTCAATATACATATATACACATAAATAGAAGAGCATATTATATATATATTTTATATAGAGAGATTATATATGTATTATATATTATATATAGAGGAAAAAATTACGATAAAAGTCAAAAGTATATATTTTTCATTTTTTTATGAGACCAGATTTAGTTAAAATTAAAGATTCGAGGGTACTTTTATAAAATTTAACTCGAATTGTAACATCGCAATTAAATTTGAAGAAATTATTATTAGAAATACTAGTTTCTTGTGCAACATAATGACATTTTTGTTACATACGCAAAATATTTGCTGGAAATAGATTTATTAATTACATTTTTTAAATTAATACATTTGCTTGCTAAATATGTACGATCAATTATGCATACATAATCATAATTATCAAATAATAATCAACAAAATGTACAAATTTTTCATTAATAAAGTACAACTCTATACAATTCTTTAAATTCTTTAAATTCGATCAATTATTTTGCTAATACATAGTCAAACGTTTTCTTACATACATTTTTCTTTTGTACTTTACAACGAAATATATACATAGAGGGAAATTACAAATTGCAAGTTACAAGAGGAAAAACAAATCGATATTATATCTCATTCCATATAGATACGCTTATAAATTATAGAGATTTGTATATATATTTATATATATATGTACAATAATTATGTATATATCATGGATTTATCGTAATATATCTGATCACGACTTTATAATTACATATATCAGTTTGCAGAGAATGATTGTGACAACATTTAATGATAAGTCTATGATATATACGTATCAACGTTGATAATAAAAGACATAGTGAACTAAACTATCTCTAAAAGTTACATAAAAAATCTATGTACTAGCTCAAATAATTAATCAACTTCAATCTTTAGAAATTAGACAAAATTACAGTACAAAATATATTACATAACAGCTTGACAAACACCGCGCAAAAGAACATTATTTATAGTAGTCTGAAAGGAGAAGATCCTGCATTTTTCCATTTTTATCTTTGATCATATTACACATGCTGGTTCTTTATAACATAATGTTATTGTCCATGTAGCTTTCCAGAAGCAGAGTGGCTATGAAAGAAATATCTCGAGAAATATATTGGCAGGCATGAGTGCGTCTTGCTGTGAAATATTAATTGAAATTTTTTTTATCCAATAAATCAATCAACAGATCAAAGTCTAAGTAATTAATAATAATTCGTAATTCAAATATTTTCAATACTGTTATAAAAATTTTTTTCGTCGTAAAATTATCAATTAGAGTTTGTTGTATTACGATAAACAGAGTTTTGCCTTGTCTCTTCAACAATAATATGATATTAAAAAATTACGCACTATCGTCTGTTCTACGGATATTTTTCAGCGTTTCGTTATTAATATATATATATATATATATATAATAATAATAATAAGGCGTTTTCGATGTTTAACTTCCCTTGCAATACAGCAACAGAAAGTGTTTCTTGAGTCTTTATACGTATGACGGATCAGCTATTACGACTAGCTCGAAGATCTTAAAGGCACCTGCTTTTCTGCCACTAAATTTTTATTAGCTATACATGCAATAGCATACGTAAAAGAAGCTAATAACAGAAAGTTGTAAAGAAATCATATTTTATTAATATATTATAATCATATTTCTATGTGAAATTATTTTATCCTCATTAAAAAATAATATAAGAGAAATATATATATATATATATATATATATATATATATATATATATATATATATGCTTATATGTATGTATGTATGTATATATAAAAAAATTTTGTATTATATTTTTATGTGTATACATTAAATATTTATATATACACATATACTTATATATATATGCATATATAATTATGTATAGAGATACGTATATGTATATATGTTGTACATATATATACACACATATATACATGCATACATAATTTGTTATATTTTTTTCTTTGAGATAAAAAATGATCGAGTTGCAGGTTTCCCATCAGATCTTACCAAGGTATTAAACTTATAACGTGTATTAATCACTACACTGTCTCTCTGGATTGTGTATGTAAGAGTACGCGCGTTATGTGTGTGTGTGTATATGCGTGTCTACGACGATTTCAAATTATAAACAAACGTTATAGCACTTATAGTCGACTAATCATGCTATTTCGTGAATTGTACAAGCATGAATAGCCCAAGACAATCGTATTTCACGCATAGAATATATCACCTAGTTTCATCTTTGTACATATTTGCTCAAATAAATACACATGAATAATTATCACATGAATGCGAGCTTTCTCTCGGGTCCTCGACTTTATAACTCTTTTTAAATATAAATTGGAAATCACGAATCTCATTATGTTATTATATTATTTACACGATACAGGACGATATTACTTGCACCTTGTACACAACAAAATATCTCGAACATTTACCTTCAACTTTCTAAAATTCAGCTAGAGTTTCAATGACATCTCAGAGCTGCCGGAAAATAAGAAATGTTCCATTCTCTTTGCTACAACTTTTCGCACAATTTGCGTTAAAACATGATATATTGTTGGATATAGCGCTATGAACGTTAAAAAGTATTTTGTGCAACTACTATTCTTCACATTATTTTTTTTTCAGCAAAGTATAGAATATTAAATAAACTCTAATATTTTTATCTACTCGCATATATTATATATATCATTTTGGTATCCATTGATCGGCGATATAGTTATTGTTTACTATAAAGACTGATTTTTCCAACATATGCGAGAGAAACGATTACTGTTCTATTTTCTTTTGTGAAAAAAAGTATAGAAGCAGTCTATGTAAAGTGATGGCTAGGCCTCTGTAGTGCAAAATCCTTTCCGTAACGATATCATGCTGATCGAGCGTCATGTTGTAACAACGCGTTATAGTACATTACCCTTATGCGCTCTCGTCGATGTAATTTTCATCTAGCTATCTATCTTGCACTCGAGGGACATCGTCGTCCTGATTCTATATTCCGTACTCAGTCTACGAACGATGCCATGTTAATGTCGTATTCTATATATGCATTCGTAATTTGAACTACCACGATATTTCGTGTCATGTCTAGTGTCTAGTTTCTACCGGCATGTCTTACAACGCTTTCGGCGGTGTTCTTACAATGAATTTTCGCCATTGTAAGTGGTTTATTTGTATTCGACGATACCATACATGTCACGTAACGTTGGATCGCGAATAAACAGTCTTCTAATACGCCGAGAACTCCGGCTTGTGGCAGCGTTTAACTCTTCGAATGTACATTGGTTTTCTGTGCCTTCTTCTTTCGCGCCGCCAGCATGTCATAAAAGGGATTGTGCGATATACTTTGCCTGGAAATGAACAGTTCAAAATATTATTTCTCATAATTTTACTATATTTTACTGCAAAAAGAGAGTACAAGCTCATGTAAAGAATTGCGATTCTTTCAACTTACCGCACACATTTGATCCATTCGTCCTTTTCTTCGTCGGTAGCTGCGGACATTCTGTACACAGTATGTTTTCCTACAAATAATAGATAATAAATATGCAAGTATTTAGTTGAAATATATATTTCTACACTAAATCTTCTCTTCCTCTCTCCCTTTGTATATAATATTAATTTTCTTTTGGTTGATAGAGAGATTAAATTTGGAAGAATCATACCTTCAACGACTTTTCCCTCGCTGTCAGTCTTGCACGCCTTTATAAACTCGGAACCAGCGGCATACAATTCGAAACAGTGCGGTTTATGCCGATCCTGAATTTCTCGAACCTGAATGTTCTCTAACGGAATGATGCCACGTGGTTCCTTGTCCGTCGTATATTCGAAATAGTATAAACAATTGTCATTCAATATGAACCATCGCCTCTTCCAACTCTTGTATCGTCCGCCTGTAACAAAATGAGCAATATATAAAATTAAGAACCCATGATTTGCGCAGATATGTTATTTACCTGCTGTCTCCGTCAGGGCAGCAGAAGGACAAAGTGATACAATATAAGAATAAGCATTCTTTCAACGATATATGAATGTGACAAAAGTCGAATGTAATTCTGAGATCTAAATGACACATGAACGAAATACTGCGAGTTCTCGTTGGCTGATAAGAATATGAAAATGTGAAAATGTTTTGAAAAATCGTATTACATGAAATGAAATCGAGAATTTATTGTTTGGATGTGGTAGTTTTGTAAAAATGATGTTACGCGCATATAAGCAGACGTTACCTTGCTTCCACAGCCAACCCTCTTTATCGGGATTGAAGAAGGTGTGCATCAAGTCGTTACCATCGTCTTCCGGTATTTTGAAAGGCTCGGTTTTTATACTCTCGTACAGACTCTGGAAATAGATATGAATAACTTGTGAGCACAGACGTGTGACTACTGAAAACCTTTGCGATTTCAAAAGACAAACAGGTAAAATACATCTGAATCTCCTTGAATAAGTGTATACCTACCACAAGCAACTCTCGCGGCAGGTCTCCCCCGTTATTAATTCCTCGGTTCATTGAAATAAACTGCTCCACGCTCGGCTTATCCTTAACGCTCGGATTATGTAACGAAGTATTCAACATGATGATGGCGAAGCTCAACACGTAGCAGGTGTCCGTGTTGGTGAAGATATTCGGGTTAAGCTGGCAGTACCTTTGGGCGAAACACTCCATCATGCGATCGATCTTCTGCGCCTCGCCGGGCAACCTGAACGACCAGAGGAACTGACGTAGGGCCTGCACCAATATGAGATCGGTGAAATCGTGTAACTCGACGAAGGCTCGTAGCACCCGCTCGTTGAAATCGTGCCGTTCACCAAGATAATCGCCAATCGCGGTTTTGTTGAGACCCTCGCCCTTGTAAAGAAACTGAGCGACGTCTTCCGGCGTCGGCGCCAACAGGTTGTGTTCTATCAGGTACTCGATGCCCTTTTTGGGATCCATATTGAATTTCTTGCGACCGATCGACGTTTGCTTGGCCTTGTTGGACGGTTTCGTCTCGTCGGCCGTAAGTCCGCCGCCCTCCATCGCCTCCATTTCTGCGACAACCTCGCCCAATTCATCTTTCAGTTGCTGAAAACAGATCGAGTTCGCAGGAAATTACAAAAATGATTTACAGATCTCTTCTATACGCTCTCTCTTTTTTCTAACAGAGATGTAATATTATAATTAATTTTATATGAATATTATATACATGTATATTATTAATATATTTTTATTTTATTATATCAAAATTAATATTATATGATTTTATATTAATCTTAAATATAATATTTTATATGGTATCTCTAATGTTAGAGATATTATAATATAAAATAAAAATTTAATGTAAAATAATATTATATCTAAGATTAATTTCTATAAATAATGTATTAATAAATAATATCTACTAATAGTATACTATTAATAAATATTATAGTATCGGATTTTTTCGTCGTATAAATCGGTGCAAGAAATTCAGCGATGTTCAGAAATTATTAATGAGGAATATTAGCGGGGGGCGTTAATGATTCGGAACGACGAGCTATGCGATTCTCGTAGATCGTGTGCACGGTACAACAGCGGCTTCCTGTTTCGCTCGAATACCGGTCGACACCGTCCGCCTATTTCCCACCATGCGTTTCAGTTCAACGTACATTCCGCGAATACCAGGATCGTATCTCTCTTTCGGTTTCGAATAGACGTTGTCGAGTAGACCTGGCGTTAAAGGATCAACGCATACGCGGATGATTTAATGTTATTATCGGATCAGTAATTATTATTGGCATACTATTGCATCGCGAATCCATCAATTTCGTTTTCATTCAGACACAGTAAGAAAATTTGTTTTCTTGTTAAAAACGGTGCCCGTTAAAATTTTTGTGCCAAGACTTCTGGCTCCTCGCCGACCATGTCACAATTGTGACGTCAGAAGCGAGACAACACGCGAAAAATTCTTAGATGCCATTTCGAATTAAAAAGATACTAGCACTTCAGATGACTTTAACACACTCTTAAAATACCTCGAAAACTATCCTGTTCCTTTCTTTATAATCAGTCAACAGCTGTAAAATGACCATAATATGAGGCTTAATCCGTTTGCTCTTTGCACATGACAAAGTCTGATATCACAATCATTTTGCGGTTGTTAATTGACTGTCAAAGGAAAAGTGTAGTTTTCGAGATATTTTAAAAGTGTGCTAAAGCCACTAAAATAATGTTTCATCAAAAAATCTTTTCATTCAAAAATGGCATCTAAGAATTTTCTGCGTGTGCTTTCTCGCCTCTGACATATCACGATCCAATATGGCCGCGGTGAGGATTCAGGAGCCTTAAATATTTAACATTCATGTGTTAATTTAACATATTGCTATGTTGTATTAATTGAATTTAAATGTTAAATTATTAACATTTTTAAATTTACACAAAAATGTTGATTTTTTATTTTATAATATAAATAGGGATAATAAAATCTAAAATTTTAACATATTTTTAGTTAATTATTACATTAAAACTGTTAATTTTACACAAAATTGATTTTAAATTATTTGAAGTTTCGCATGTATTTTGTATTAAGATATTAATACAGTATTTATGTCTCCATTTAACATATATCCATATTATGTTAAATTAACGTAAATTGTTCAACTGTGCATAATCAACTGTTTATCATCGTTTTATATTTGCGTTTTCCTTATTTTTTCGCGTGGAACAGAATCTTTGTTTTTCGATTCAAAGAGACTTCCACGACTAGATACTAAGGTTTGCCGTGACATCGTGTCGCAAAAAAAATCGATAAACATATGCAAACAACAACGCGTTGCGCCCATTCTCAGAATTATTGCTATCGCGACCTAGAAAATGACATTTCGCTATCGCGAAACATTTATCATCGCTTACAAAAAGCCTGATCGTTTCGGTGCTTAAATTTTCAGACAATCAGAATCAGACAAAAACAGGGAGATATTTGAAAGAAAGTCGGGAGAATTTGCGCGTAAGCTGCGCCTTCTCAATAAAAATATTTCAGAAAAGAGGAAGGGTCGGCGCACACGTGCACACGCATACACATGCACACCGGAAACGGCCGTACGTTGTTAACCGATGAGACTTGTTAATGGGTCGGCTGCGATAACAACAAGGATAATAACTTGGCCGCATGGTCGGCCCCGAGTATTGTCTGTTAGGTAGTAGCATTTCTTTTGTAGTTATCGGCGACGTACATCCGGTCTCACGACAGGAAGAAGGTCGCCGACGAAGCGCGAAAAAAAACCGGTACGCGCCCTGTGAACCTGACAAATTATAAACTCGCTCTGAATGCTGGGAAAAAAGAACTTTCCTTCGCTTCCGCGTCTGCGTTATCCGCAAAAATTCCTTCTCGTAATTCCTCAGCAGCTGTGAAACTTATGATACTCGCCTCGTTTATAAGTGACAATTAATATAATATACATGTATATATTTACGACAAAATTAGAACCTTTATATACTCGATGAAATAAGTATAAATGTACATACAATCGCGAGGTATGTTTAGCAATGCTAATGATCGCTTTGTCATTGAATCAAAATACGAGGAATCGTGCGAGTTCCTGCGAGGTCTTCAATTGTATTATCGTTGAAAGAAATATGGAGATTAATTCTTTGAAAATTGCGCTCGCAGGATTTTTATATTACTTTTATATAAATGCTTATATCATGAATATAAAATATTGATAACAATAATACGTTATATCAATATATGTTTATCAATATTTAATGTTTACATGTAGATTTAATGTTTTTCTAATTTAATTTATACTTTGCACACAATTGCCAAATTTGTGTTAAATTTAATAAATATCACATGTCCCAAATGATCCACAAAAATTTTTGTGTTAACATAATATGATTACGTTAACACGAATACTGTGTTAATATTTTAAAATGCAAACCTATATGTACAATTAGTGAAGTGCTTTTAACATAAAAGTAAACTTAAATTTTGTATGGAATTAACTTAGTTTTAATGTAAAAATTGACTAAAAATAATGTTAATTTTATATTTTATCATCCCTACTTATACAATATTATAAAATAAAATCAACATTTTTTTCTGTAAATTTTAACAGATAAATCTTGTAGATGCATATTGTATTATTTGTACACTTTTTTTTCAGCTGTTTTAATAATTTAACATTTGAGTTTAATCAACGCAACAGCAATATGTTAAATTAACACACGAATGTGTTAAATATTTGACACAAAAATTTTAACAGGGAAACACAAATTTTTCAACTGTGCATATATAATATTTTTGCAGAAATTAATATCCTCAAAGAGAGCGATCTCATTTGTATGAGATTTCATTGAATTAATTCGTCCAAATTCCTCACATATATTTCGGAAAAAAATACATCGTTTTCGAATACGTAAATACGTTTCCCTTTTACCGTCTCGCGACGGAACATGATTGCCTTATTCCGTTCTATTTCTGTCGTTCTCGTACGCGTCCTGTGTACAATCGATCGAAAGTTCAGCACTTAGCACTCAACTAGCTTCCTTCCTGCGAAAAGCGAGACGAGGCGAAGGGCATCCGCCTACACAGCTGAAGGAGACAGCTGAAGATTACTATGCGCGACAACCATAAGTATGTACTTTGCGCTCGTTACTTGAGATATCTCGGGTATGGGAGCATCTTCCTTTTATGTCCCTAGAGTATTTTTCATCTCGAGATATTCGACTAAGACGTGACAATTATGCTGACGAAATTACCTAGTTTTTCTTCTTTTTTTATATTAACCGATATACATATGTTTAATGTAATTTTATTTAATCGGTCAGGACCTGTTTTTGCATGGTAAAAAACTTCCATTTTGTTTTCATTTTTTATAAATGAGATAATACTGATATCTGATATCTCCATCTCTAGAGGATCTCCATTTTAAGATAAGAGGATCCTGTTGCGGCATATCTATTTTAGAACAGGTATCTTCTAAAAATAATCTGTGGGAAATTCTTGAGGAGAATAGACTTTTTCTAGTGTAGTATAATTAAGCGTAGGAAAACTTAATGGATTGTCATAAAAGAATTCAGGAATGTCTCTTTATAATTTCAATGTCGCGACGGAGGACAAAAGCAGGCATGTTCGGTTGGATCAAAAGCGAAAGTACCTGTTTGATTAGATGCTACGACATATTTTATTTAGTTGATACCGAGCCAGATGTATGTATACATATATGTATACGTGATGATCTTGCAACTAGTCATAAAAATCGTACGCGAATGAACTACGTTCCTGATTTCGCGCTTCATTAGGCTGTCACGAGAGCTAATTATGTTTCACGGATTGTGCATAATATGATTATCGTATATTCTCGCTCTTCCTTCGAGTGCCATCGTCGATAAAAATCTACAGAGTTTATAAAATTACATTACATAATTTACGAATTATGCGTTTCATCTAATTTCAACATTTTTGGATTATATATATTTTCCATTTAATCTAATTATTTTATACTTTTTTTTATTTCAAAACGCAAAATAGACCTAATGTGACAAGATGTAGGTAATATATAAAAATATATATAATCCGATTAAGATTGTTCGAAACCAAAACAATCGATCTAGTAAAATATAAACAATGTATTATTATAGATGAGACTATGATAAAATAAAATATATCGATAAAATAAATATATATACTGAAAATTGTGTCAGAATGCAAGACTAATATTTTGTTAATATACGAGACAGGTCATTTGCGTATTAATTTCGATGAAAGATGTATACATATGATGTATATATGATGGTTTTATACTGCCGACTGTGCAAAGATAATATAACCGTGTCATGGACGTTGTACGAAATACAAATATATCCTCGGATTTTCGATATTCAATATTTCTCGCAGATATCTTTACATATGTATAAAATACATTCTCTCTTTATCCACAATAAAAGCAATTTCCTATTTTATATTATATATACACGCAATCTCCAATTATTTTCATGTCTAACGTAAGTGTAAATTTTCCACAATTTTATATACACACATATGTGTGAGTATTACATATAAAAGATCCATTATAATTTCAACAGTTTAATCCTAGAATAATGGCGCTAAAAAATCATCACGTTATTACTATATACCGAAACATAATTTACGCATAATGTGCCTTTCGTCTGGTTCCAATTTTTCATATTTTTTTATATATTTTATATTTTTATATATATCTTTTTATTTGTTTATTATTAATTTTAATTCTATTTGATCAAAGCACACAAAATACAATAAAATCGTAAATTTTGCGTACGATAATCCAGCATTAAACAAAAACACGATATTCGTTTTTTTTTTCAAATATTAAATAGCCAATACAGAAGTAAAGCTCGGTCGTAAGAGCGAAACGTAGAATGAAAAAATTTTTGACCGCGCGTGTCCACAAACAAACAGGATCGCGGTCACGTGACCGGGGAGAAGGGGGATGTTAGGTAATTGGAGGGCGGCCAAGCGCGCCAAATTCTACACGGTTTTTTCCAAGCCGAAGAAAACCGTGCGTTTTGGCCGTTGTCCAGGAGTTACGAATCCGCGGAAGAAATGCGAGCGCGTACAAGTGCGATGAAAGTTTCCCCGTTACTTAAGTGTAACGAACAATGACTCGAGCTTTTAGGGTTTCGCGGCCTTTAAAGCAAAAGATCTCCATTTTCTAACCGTCGTGAAAGGATCTAAAATGCAACAAAGAGAGACCCATTTTATATAAGTACTCATATTTATATTAATATGTTAATTATTTATATTATTAATAATTATATATTATATACATAATATATTATTTATATATATTATATATAAATATTATTATATAAATATATAAATAATTATATATATAATTATAATAAAATAAAATTATATATATGATATTGTAATTTATATATTTTGTCCATAGCAAAATATATTGCTGAATAATTGAGACTATTCGAAGGAATTCTCGAGAAAAAATCGAGAGAGGATGCCGTGGAAACCGGTTGGTTTGCTGTAACGATAACGATATCTGTGACGCGACGCAGTTGAATGAATCAATAGGAAGTAAGCGGACACGCAAATTGTCGATTAGTCATTAGATCAACAATGCACATTGATTCACGGCGTGCTCGCGTTAATGCTCGTATATTAGGTGTGCAAATAGCGAGTATCCGGTTACTTAGGCGCGAGCGACGCGTTACGAGAGCGTGAACAGTTTCTCGTTAATTCGTCGTCTAGTCGAACGTTACGCGAGATAAATTCCGTCTCAATCTCTCTCTCTCTCATTGCGCATAAATGGTGCAAAAATATAGACCGCTACTTCGAGACTTCTACTTGTCGAAATGAGCAAAAAAGTTTGGATACACAGAGGAAAATTTGTGTTTTCTTGGTAGAAACGGTCCCAGTTAAAATTTTTGTGTTAAATATTTAACACATTCATGTGTTAATTTAACATATCACTGTTGTGTTAATTGAACGTAAATGTTAAATTATTTAAACAACTGAAAAAAAAGATGTAAAAATAACACAATGTGCATATCTATTTTTAATTTTACACAATAAATATGTTCTGTTTTATTAGTGACAAGATTTATCTACAAAATTTATAGAAAAAATGCTGATTTTTATTTCATAAGTGGAGATAAAATCTAAAATTAACATATTTTTAATTGATTTTTGCACTAAAACTATGTTAATTTTATATTTAACAATGTTAATTTTGTTACACAAAATTTATTTTAAATTATTTGAAGTTTTGCATTTATTTCGTATTAAAATATTAACACAAAAATTTCTGTGGACCGTTTAGAACATGTGATATCTGTTAAATTTAACACATTTTCAACCGTGTAAACATGTCTACACTGAAAAAAAATTGTTAACTTGACTAAACCGTTCCACTAAATAATATTTTGTTAATTGAACATATAAAATAAAATTTAAATCTAAAATCTAACAAAACATGTTGACTTAAATACTAATATATGTTCAATTAATAAAATAGTAATTTAGTTGAAAGATTTAGTCAAGTTAATTTTTTTAGTACAAAAATCGCGTAATTTTCACATTACAATAGTTCTATTTGAATTGAAACTTAAAATAATTACAAATGTATTATTTTATTTCCAACAATATAAAATAAAAAATAATTCTCATATATCTTAAAATAATTCATTCTTGAATAAAATGGGCAAATTATTTTTCAACAATTGCCTAGAAGCATCTGTCAAACGTTACAGAACAAAAGCGCTAATTAAACAATCATTTTTTGCTCATTTCGGAGCAAATAGAATATCCATAATTTTGTCATATCCTGTACAATAAGCTCGCATCTCATTAATAATATGTACATCCATCTGATTTTCGTTCCCGAGCGAGATCATATCATATATTAATATATAATTGAAAATGACAATACCGAATATGCAAAATTTACGATACGCTCTTGTCTTCGCTTCCGATTTGCATAACCCACTTAAGGCTGATTATACATCGCCGTAACTTTTTTTTTTCCCTCGCAATTCGAATACGCTCTCGGGGATATATGGGTCGAGAATGACCGATCAAATACTCTCTCTTTCTCTCTCTCTCTTATCTCGTTCCTCTTCCTCCGAGAAATTATATTTATCCCCCTTAGCGCGTAAATGGATACAACCCCGGGTGAAAGACATGTCAAAGTAAGTCTATTTAAATCTATCTCGTTAAGCCTGTGCGTGTATATATATATGCGCTCATCGATCCATTCGCGCTTATCGTGTCACTGTATTCGTGTCACCGAATTTCAACGGGTCCCGATCTGTCTCTCACTGACCCGGCTAATCTCTTTTATCGGCAGTAAATGGCGCGAATGTAGGCAAGGAAAGGAGAAGGAACATCTCGCGGAACATTAGATGCGATCCATTACTTCTTGATATATGATATATAAATGAATGAATTAATTGCCGGAGCAATTATTCGCGTTACACTCGCGAGATAAATCACGCTATCGTGTCAAGAGGCACTCTGCCATTTCCATGTCGCAAATACACACAAGATATATATTATATGTATATCTTATTCAACAAACAAAATCTCTCGTGTTAAAATTTTATTTTTAACACATAAAAAGTATATTCAATTTTGTTATATGAATAATAATTCTTTTTCTAGTTTATATCGTCTTTCTTCTTATCTCATCCAGAAAAAAAAATTAAGTTAAGTAATATATATTTAAAATAATTTATATTGTATGATATATACTACATGTGTATTATTTGTATTAATTGTTACATAATATCTTCTGCAACAATTAATATAATAATCAAATAATATAAACTATATTATAAATAAGAGTATATATATAATATAATTAATATAGTATATACACATATTATTACATATAAATTATTTTAAATAATTATTTAAACTTATTTTTTTCTGAACGGAATAAGAAAAAGAAAGACGATAGAAAATAGAAAGAAAAAATTATACATTTGTGACATATAAAAAAATTATATATGTAATAATTTATATAATAATTTCTCTTATCTATTTTTGTATAGCAAATCTAAGGTAAATATAATTTTTGTATTTAGAGAGTGTATCTGTAAAGTTTACACGAGTCTGTATATATATCGATAGCGAACGCATCGAAAATGTAGACGTCCCGGTTTCATCTATAAATAAGTCTCCCTGACTGGGTCTACTACAAACTACAATCTTCAATTCGTGACGTCACGCGCGACACGCGGAGTAATACTACTTTATTACCTTTAATGAGGAATCATTAACAACAGATATTCGATCGCAATCGTCGTCACAGATGAAGATTGAATCATCAAACAGTTTTGATTCGATCTCGTCATTACACGCGTATGTAATCTTGCACACACACACATATATATACGCGCCGACAGAAAACGATCAACATCTATTTTGCATTTGATTCTTGACCCTGAATCGAGTCACGAAGACGATGTCGCGGGCCGAGTTTGAAGTACCGCTGCGATTTTATATTCTTAAATATAATGAAATTTTAACTCTCTTTCGAAAGAGGTTTTTCCCATGTAAAGCAAACTTCTTTATACTATTCGAAAGATTACTTTGTAACGGTGACGTCATATTCTCGGCCGTAAAATCATAGATTCCTCTCGGAGAACCTCCGTGACTCTTTATGTAAACTTTCCTCTATTTTATCATCTCGCCTCTTTAAACATCTATTATTTTACGTCTATTATTTTTTTCAAATATCTTTTGTTTACAGTGTTTCCTGCTATCTTTATGTCTTGGATGAAAAAAGTATTATCTTTACTAAATTATCTAGAATAATTTTCAGATAATTTTGATTTACAATCATAGAACATAAAAATACTATATATTATATATCCCTTTTATAATTTACATTTTTTTATAACTGTGCTTACATAAGCAGTCTTAAAAATTATTATCTAGAAAATTATCTAGATAAAATTTATCTTATCTATGTAAGATAAATTGACATATTTTCATCCCATCTTGATCTAACTAATTTTAAAATCATCCGAGCACAACACTGATTGTTGAAAATATATATTATTTTCCACGCGCCACCTCCGAAATAACATTTTTCGACGCCGACATCTAGAAATAAATCTGGCGAAAATTGGCACGAGGTAGCCTTGGCGGTGAAGCTACCTTCGTACCTACTTGGTACATACATACATGTTAATATATACATACATACATACCTCCGTTGCCGCGGCAACGGGGGTCACGTTTCCGCGAGTTGAATTTGCGCTAGTTTAATTAGAAATAATTTGAATATAATTGGATAATCCCTCTCTCTCTCTCTCTCGACTAACCGTGGCGGACAAGACGCTGAGATCCCAGGCGCTCTTAGCCTGCTTCTGGTTCAGGTTCTTCTTGCCCTTCTTGCCGGGTCTCCGCAAGCTGGAGAACCAACCGGCGGCGATCGCGACCGCGCTTGCATCCCGTCGTCCTCCGCCGACGACGACATTGACACCACCACCACCACCTGCTGCTGCACGCGAATTAGCGCGCACCTCGTCGAGAGCGTCCACGGATCTGCCGGTGAAGATCATGTTCTGCTGCCGGCTTACGGGTTCGAAGCCTTCTAAGAACGGAGTCTCGGTGAGAAGAACTCCCTCACTTCGCGAATCGTCTCGCGCTCTTCCCGGACGACGAGCGACACCCGCTTCGCACGACACTGCCGTCTCGCTCGCGTTCGCAGCGTAACATCGCCTCGTACTTGCTCGCGACCTGAGGAAGAATAGACCAGACGAGGTGCAAGGGTCGTGTCGTGCGCGAGCACGCCGGTCGGAAGTGCAACGACCGACCTCGCGCCAAGACTCGACGACGGCGACGCTTTTAAGAATACTTTAATTATATATAAACCGCGCTTCTTTCCCGGTTTTCGCGCACACTCCTTTCCTCTTCTCTCGCCCCCCTCCCCCTCCGGAGGACGTGTAACTTCGTGGGAAAGTGAAATTCCTTGCGCTAAATTCCTGCGAGGTGAATAATCGAGCCACGTGAAAGGCCGAGAACAAGCGCACTGTGTTGATGTGTGTTCACGGAGAGATAAAGGCGACACTTCGTTTTCTTCCCGAGCGCGATAAACCACTGGCGACCGAAATCGAGCCGCGAGCCGCACGAAGCGCATCCGTCGCCGTCCCGCGATTCCCCGCGACTGCGGCTGCGGCGACTCACGACTCTCGATTCTCGCGGCGCGCGACAGCAGCGCCGCGCGGCGGCCGCGATTCGAACTGACGCGCAAATATTTGCAATCATCGTGAAACGTGTATTTCCAAGAAACATCCGTCGTATGTACATATAAATATGATACCGGATAGAGTTATGCGAAAAATCTCGATTAAATTCGAATGTGTAATAATGATACTTCACGTCAAATTTAAACCGATGACTCAGAATATCGATACTTAGGGCTCGTGAAAACCGGTTAAAAACAAATTTGCCGGTTAAAATCGATTAACAGATAATCGATTACTCGATTAATATCTTTTAATCGGTTATTCCGGCCGATTGATATATTTATTTTGTTTTTCAAGACTTTTCTTTTAGAATTTAAAGATTGTGGTGTGTATATGAAACAATAAACGCGTTAATTTGATATTTGAATTTTAACTTGACATTGTACATATTACACAATTATAATATTATTATAAAATCCTAATAAAATAACAAATAATAAAAAAAATCATTTATTCGATTAACAATTAATCACTTTCAGCGATTAACTGAAACCATATATTAATCGATTAACCAATTTTCGATTATTTTATTAATAATTAATAAAAATTATAATAAAACACTTTATAATTAATTAATAATTATTAATAAAAATTACATTAAAACAATTCATCAACTAATCGGTTATAATCACGAGCCCTAATCAATACCATCTTCCAGAACGATATATCGATGATTCTGTAAAATCTGGATCAATTTTTCGCTCGCAGAAAGATAAAAACAGCTTCGGAGAGGCGGAATTATTTTAAATTGCCCGAAAGATGATTAAAGGTCATCGAAAAAAAAAATGATGAAGCGTACATTATCGAATAAAAATAGAACAAACGTGGTTTTGATTTTTATAAATCACCGCCATCTTTTTCTGAGCGATATTCAATATAACTTGGAATTCGGGATTCTGCAATGCACCTGCTACACATGTTACAAGGTCAACCGCAAGAAGATCGACCTACCTGTTTCGCATACATACACAGTAGGAAAATTTGTGCTTTCTTGTTAAAAACAGTGCCCGTTAAAATTTTTGTGTGAAATATTTAACACATTCATGCGTTAATTTAACATATTGCTGTTGTGTTAATTGACCTAAAATGTTAAATTATAAAAACAACTGAAAAAAATGTAAAAATAACACAATGTGTTTTTAATTTTACACAATAAATATATTCTGCTTTATTAGTGACAAGATTTATCTGTAAAAATGTACAGGAAAAAATGTTAATTTTTTATTTTATATATAATATAAGTGGGGATGATAAAAAATTAACATATTTTTAGTTAATTATTACATTAAAACTGTAAATTTTCCATAAAATTTATTTTAAATTATTTGAAGTTTTGCATTTATTTTGTGTTAAAATATTAACACAATATTTGTGTCTCCATTTAACATATGCATATTATATTAAATTAACACAAAAATTTCTGTGGACCATTTGGCACATATGATATCTGTTAAATTTAACAGAAATTTTTCAACTGTGTATATATGTATATGCATATATTAATCGCGCGATCGTGACCATAAGCGAGAGCGTAATCCAGAATGGAATGATCGATAAACGATTTATGCCTTTCAATAATATTGCCTATTTTCTACAGTTAACCAGTCGATCCGGATAGATTGCTCTTAATATCTCGTTCCATTTTATCAAGTCTCAAGGTTTTTTCTCGAATTCACCGATTACTTATTAATCGATTAAGCGGATGACGAGAAAGTGAGTCATATTACGACGAGCTGCGCTAATTATTACAATGGAAATTAGTTAAACAGAAGCTTTTACATGCGCGTACTAATTATAACGATGATCTCTTTTTTAAAAATTACCGATGATCTCCTTTTCAGCCGCGTACGTAAATAACGCAAAAATCTAAATGTAGGACGACTATTTTTATGTCGGTTAATTACATTATGTGCGCTTACACACTTTAATAATCTCATTTATTCAATGTATGTAATGCATTATATAATTATATATATTATATATAATTTATATATAATATTATATATAAATTAATTTTATATATAGTATTATATATATTAATGTTATATATATAAGATAATATATGTAATTTATATACAATTTAATGCAAGTAATAACGAGTCTAAACTTTAGACTCTAAAGTCGCGAAACGATCATCCGATTAACGCGGATAAAGAGACGAACGAATGACGTTAGCTCATTGATTGTTATTATGAAATAGATGTGTCAGCTAATGGTCAGCTGTGTCTACACTTTTCCTAGAAATTATCTATATATACAATGTACAATTTATACGCGTCACACCGTTAATAATCTAAAGTTACCTTATCTTATCATATCAATGCGCTGTACAATATGGGATATTGAATGCATTTTAAGTAAACACCTCGTATATTGTGTGTGACGTCAAAACTTCCAATGTTCTTTATTATAACCAACAGAGTTTCTGCAAATGTTCTTTCGAGAAATTTATGTCCTTATCAACATATTTGTTTGCACGGGGGCGATTAGGTCCATTTCTACATCAAATGTGAAAGTGTTTGTGTGTGCTTGTCAGTTTGTCTGTGTATATCTACATGATGTAGACATATCTGGAAATTTCTCAAGGCAACATTATACGTAAATTACTGTTAATTTCCTTGTAGGATCAAAGATCCAACTATTAGCGAATATAATATTTGTGCGATCGATCAAGTTGGAGAAAGAAAAGGAGGCAACATTCAAGATCCACTGACATGATTCTCACATCCACATTAATCTGTGTTAATTCGTAGCTTTCGCTCGACGCGAGATTCAACCGAAACCGAAAAAAAAACAAGATTCCGAGAGCTCTTAGAGCCGCAAATCAGACTAATTAATCTACACAGAAGCAACGACGATAAATTAATTGTCAGAGCGTGTTGTTGGACAACAACACGGAGCTCTAATCTGGACTAACGCGTCGAGTTTTCATAACGATAAGAAATGTCATTCACATACAAGAGGCAGTTAATAAGAGGCTATATTAATTGTGTATCACCTGTTGACGACGTCTGCTTCGTAAACCAAGACAACTCGACGACCACGACCAGTATGTCCCGCAGAATCTGCCACGAAACGTGTAAGAATTTCGTATCATCGATAAGTACTGCGAGCGAAACTTACTCCAAAGATTCCCTTCGCGTCTCTACGATATTTATCTCGGCGTATCGCGAATTATATAGAATATTATCGGTCGCGATAAACGCTTTGGAGCCTTTGACGCTCTGTGTGACTCGTGATTCTGTTTAAATCTCCCGAATTTCATCTTATATACATGTAGGAGCAACGAGTGTGTATGTAAATAAAAAATATACGAGATTATATATTAGCGATATATATAATATTTATAATATTTTTTTCTTTTTTTTTAAATCTACACTCTCTCGCGACGTCTCCAACAACGCGTAACATTTCGTTGAATAGATATCAGCTCACAAACAGATGAGTAAGCAATACTATCATTGTCATTACGGAAACGGTCTTATCGTAAGAACATCCTGGATTTTTGTCGACTCTAAATATGTATATTTATATATCTGTATAAGTACTATGGACACAGATGTTCTTATGGGACCACATATGTTGCTGCATTTACTACTGCGTGTTAATTAATCGCTTACGAGGAATAGAGATAATTTTTTAGAAAATTTTTCTAAATAGTTTTATAAAATAATTTCTATGACTAAAGCAAAGAAATATTTATTTGCTATAGTAAAAAATATTATACTATTAAATAATTATATATTATATATGATATATAATATTATTAAATAATATAATTATATAATAATATTAATAATTAATACTAATCGATAATTATAGCGAGATAAGATCTTTTTTACATCTTCCAATGTACACTCCAATAAAACCGTTTACAATTTAATCAGGCGATTTAATTATTTTCTTTGTTTGCTAAATAACTCATATATAATTCCGAAAGACTCGGAAAAAAACAGTTTTCCTCCATATTTAAATATTCATAAATTTATTGTCGTCATTCCTTCCACGTGTAGAATATATCTGCTTAATTTATCAAAAAAAATCTATCGTTATGTAAAAAGGAAAAAAAAGAATAGATGATATCAACGAAAAAATATTTTTCTATCGCTAGTATAGATCTATCCGAAACACAATGCACCGGTAAAACAGATACATTTTGTATCGCTGCATCTACGAATGATAAACACGACATTTCGTTCCGTATGCCATTAATTGTGTATGCATTATTTTGTGTTGGGCGTACATAAATTCCTGAGGAATGATATCACTGGATATTTCGTTAGAAATTCGACGCTCGAAACTTATCGTTTTCTATTATATTCACGATTATTATTATCATCGGGTATGCTATCTTTGAAAAAAAATTAAAATTAAAAATTTAAAAAAATTTTTTAAACCAGAAAAGGACGCTGCGAGTGCATCCGCTCGTTAAATTGTACAAAGAAACACCGTTTATTATTTTCTTGCATTTTGCGCTTTACACTAGCTTTTTTCGAAAAAGAAATTTTAATATATTGTACGCTTTTTTCGCACACGTTAAATAACAAAATATTAATTAAATTATATTCTCTTCGACGAATTATATATTTTATGTCGTTTTAATTGGCTGATTATATTAATTATGAAAAATTAGTGGAGAGATAAAATATACTAAATATTTAATTAATACATAAAATTATCTGAGAAATTTTGACATATACATGCTTTGAATAACTATGGAATTTTGATAATAACAATCAGAAATATTCAAAGAAAATCAGAGAAATATCAAACATATTAATATTCAAAGTTATTTTGTATATATAATAGTTATTCTATTTATAGTCTTTAAGTCGATTTAGGTTTCTTAGAACTATTCTATTTATATTTCTTAGATTCTTTGAATAATTATACAATATAACAATCAGAGAAACATTCAAAGAAAATCAAAGTTACTCTATACTATAATAGCTATATTTTATTTATATTTCTTACTTTCCTTCCTCTCTTTCTTTCTCTCTGATTATTTTTATAAAATAAAATTTTATCCAAAATAGAGCGTACTCACTTGTATCTCAAGCAGTAACTCTGTTTTCTTCCGTCTGATGTCTATCAGGATCTTTTGTTGTTCGGGAGTCAATTCTGCAATGACAAAATAATGATCAAATTAGAGACGTATCGATTTCAACATTCAATAAAAATACCCGCCCGCATTTTTCTCCTACTTCTTTTTTCTAAAATTTTCCATCTCGAATAATTGTCAAAGGAACACGGTCGATTAACACACGGTGATGTCCCCGTTGTACGAGGCCCCGTTGGGAGCCTCGTTAGTAGCAATTTACAGAAAGATCTAAAAATAGGGCTATCAAATTAAGGCTGCATATAGGCCATAGAAAAACGCAATGTTCAACTGAACGTTTATAATCTGTATAGCAACTAATCGTATTGCGATTAAACTCGAATCAATCAGTTTAATTCTTATTTTGTCAAATAATATATATAATTATAAATAATAAATAATATTAAATATTAATGTTAAATAATAATATTAAATAATATTAAATAAAAATATTAAATAAGTATAAATAAAAAATAATATTAAATAATAATAAATAATAAATAAAAATATTAAAGTTAATCAATATATACTAATGCTCGAATTATGAGAATTTGAATGCGGAAGTTATCACTCTTTCGATGTCACACAGTTTATTGATCCTTCTGTCCCGAATGTTGCCCTATTATGTTAGATAATTTGGAGCGTGTCTAGCGCAAGAGTACCAAAACCAGAACGGGGCGGAATAATTAAAAGTCGGGGACGCGCGCACGCGCATGCACACGACACTCGCTGTAACGGTTTCCGATTTCCGCATTGAGGCTTACGCTCTATCAATTCCTGATTAGATCTCGAGCCAGGCGGAGGAAGCTCCGGATATCTAGGCAAATAGCTCCGCCACAAACACTTTAAACGCGTCGATTGCTTCATTCAAGTACATACGTATACATGACTTACTTTACACATCCTCAATTCCTCGTACAAGTACTACATAACTTGAATTCTCGCGTGTAGGAATTTTTTCGATATAACATATATATATATTTAAAACGAAACTCGGAGATGACAATCAAACTTTTAATGCCTTTATCGAAAAATAAATAAATAAATAAATTTGTATAGGAAATTGATCTCTCTCTCTTTCTCCCAAGAATGTGTATAGATTAATTTCGAAGCTGGACGTTACAGATATGAGGAATTTTCGTGAAGAAATCGAAGTCAGATAGGAGAGGAATAGATAGATAGTCGCGCATCTCCGATCGTGCAACGGCGTCGGCATCGATTTTCGACGCAGCGTTGGTGAAGATTTTCAAGCGAGGGCGAAGCGAGAGGAAGCGTTCTCGTCGCGTTCCCCGTTTTGTTTACTACGTGTATGCATGCGTGCGAGAGACAAGGACGGCGCGAGCGCGTGCGCCTCGGGAAAACGAGATCTCTCTCTCTCCCTCTCTCTCTCTCTTGGCTGTGGAACTTGGCGTAAGCGGAACTTGGCGTCCGAATTGAATCCCGCCCCCGAAATCGCACTCACCTGTCGTTCCGAACTGGTCGACCTGATGAGCACCGGGGTTCACTCCTACACCTCCTAGACCGCCCAGATCTTGCCACATCTCCGAGAATTAGCACTATTCCGGACTCACGCGCGCACAAAGTCGCCCACCTTCACTCGAGCAGCTCCATTTTTCGATGAGACTGACGCCGCCTGGCGACTGTCAGGCGCAGCCCGACACCGCGCGCCAGCGACATCTGTACTTGATTCTCCGAAGCACTTGTGTCACCGAGAGCAGCGCTCCGCATTACCGACCATCGAAGCTACACATTTTTCAAGGTTGAATTTCGAGAAATGGACGGACGTACTTTAAAGATATTCTATTATTAATTTTAAAAATTAAATAATATGAGCTGTCAAATACGTCGATATTTTAGATATCAATTATTTTAATTTCAACTTCTTTTGACTATATATAATAATAAATAAATTATTAAATTAATAATAATTATTATAAATTAAAATTATTATTAACTTAATAATTTATTTATTTTTATTATCGATAGTCAAAAGAAGTTCAAATTAAAATAATTTGTATCTAAAGTATCGACGCATTTGACAGCTCATATTATTAATTTTTTTTTAAATAATTGTTTCAATATATATATATATATATATATATATACATGTGTGTGTATGTGTAATTTTGGATATTATAATTAATTTCGATTAAATTCAGAAGAAATAGCACAATGTTATTCATAATTTGATAAGTAAATGAATATCTCGAATACAATTAAAAAAGATATTCAACCAAAAAATATAAAAAAATATAACAAATAACTAAATGGAATAACGAAATAGAAAGATTATTAGAGTTTTAGAGAAAGGAGAGAGTGAAGAGTCACCATTTTGATTTAAAAAAAAAAATTGTTTTAGAATCATTTCTTAAAATAAATCAGCATATAATGTAATTGAAGTGTGTATCAAACGCTTTTAATAAGTCATCTTCACACGTAAGAGAGGTTTCGGGACCAAAGGACGCAAGCATATATTATCTTCCTCCCCCGCTCTTTCCATCGCTGGTTGTTGTCAACGATAAACGACACAGACTTCTGACAAGACCTCTCGACGATGAAGGAGTAAAGTAACATAACTTGTCAGTGTCTGCTCTGGTCTCTCTCTTTCTTTTTTTTTGAAAGAGGTCGTAGGGTCAAATCGGAATATATAATCGACTGCATTCCGATACGCAAACGCGGTTTATATTCCGCCGACTTGTATCACCGGCAGTGAGGTCGAAAATTGCGAGCGCGCGACACGCTTCCGGTCTCTCGCATCGTTATTGTTCAATAATTGACGAGTATAAATAAATATATCGGTAACTTGACGAGGAATTAACCAAAGTCATGGTCGACGTCGGTGTCTCTTCGATAGTGAATCTCGGCTTCAGTTTTTCGCTGACGATATTTCTGGTCCCGCTTCTCCTTATCGCGTACTTAGGTAACAGTAGGTACTTTGTACCTTCAAACTCTTGGAAAAAATATAAAGATTATACGCACACTGGAGATAAGAGATCATGCGTGTTTAATGATATATATTTTCTCGCTTTATGTTACACTCGCGCGCTTTTGATCTTTCATCGATTCGCGATTAAAGATCGCGCATAATTGTAAATATCTAAATCATGTGAATCATAATCTTCTACGTATTTAAATCATCAGTTTACAAGATGCATTGCATAGAATAATAATGCGTATACATGTTCGATATTTTTTTAAGTGATGACGTGGACAAGGAGATCTTGGATACGCTTCATAAAGTGGAAGTATCCGAATTACGTCGTCGTGGAGGAGAACAGTATTCGGAGTATCTTGGATCAGGGACGGAATCACGTGAGTATAGAGAGTTGCGAGCAAAAACATTACCAATTATTCAAATCCAACATTGTCACAATATCATATATGCAGGGTATCTGACATAAAGTGTCACACCGAAAATATGCAATTAGATCTAGTTATTTGGAGACAATTTTTCCTCAGGAAAAATCTCGGGGGAGGCCATTATTTTTTGCATGTTCCCAATTTTTGCCATCGTGTATCTTTATAACAAAATCTTAAATTAAAATTTTATTAAAGTAAACGCCTCTACTTAAAATTAATTGGAGAATGTGATTTTGTTAATATTTTATTCCCACAAGGCTTATAGTTTGCGAAAAACCCTTTATTTTCAATCGCTTATAACTTGAAAATGATTAATGCCTCAATATTTTTGTCGAGGAAAAATTGCCTTTAAATAACAAGATCCACTTGTATATTTTTGATGTGACACCTTATGTCAGACATCCTGTATATATAGGGAATCTGCACGCTTCTCGTGGAAGGTCGTTTGATCGTGAAGGGCGTGAGGAATCACCTCGCTCATCTGGCGTCTACGAGAAAATACCTGAGATCGGCTCTCTTCACACGCTGGGGCGTCTACGTTTGGAAGGAGCTCGATTACTCCGTCGACAGCCACCTGGTGAACTCGCCCTGCTCGTTTCGCGGTCGTCCCATCACTGACAACAACATCCAGGTCGGCGTCCGTCGTTCTGTCAGAGACTCAGGTAGAAAACTGACGTCATTAAACGTCAAAATGACGTCATCGACGTCAAAACCTCATCAACAGTACAACATATCCGAAAAATGTTCGAAAGATATCCAGAAAATATCCAGAGGATATTCGAACATCCTTATAGAATGTTCTCTGAACGTCTTCGGGATATGTGTGCTGTCGGGGAATGACGTCAGTCAAAATGACGTCAATTTGTTACCTGGGAGACCGATCGCTGACCTCGAACTCCTTTCGATCTGACGTAGTAACTGTTCTGTCATAGGATTACATAAGCGACGTGACGTCAAAGTTTCTTCCGGGGAAATTACCGCCGTGGCAGGTGCACGTGGTAAATTGCTTCGTGCGTGGGGAAGAGCGTCAGGTATGTCTCGTGCGGGCGCATCATTTGCTTCTGCGACAGGAGCACCTGACTTTGGCGGATTTCTTGCCGCTCAAGTATTCGACGGATAACTGGACGTGCCAGGAAAGCGATTCGCCCTTCACGAATCTGTATGCCGAGCCCACTGCTCTACCGCGGCTTCGACAGATGCTCATCGAGAGCTTCAGCAACTACTGGAACGATTTTCTTTACAACAACGATCCCATCGAACGCCCGGAGATCCTGAAGAAGCGGATCGGAGTGTCTCAATGCGTCAAAATCGCGATGATAGTCCTAGTTTGTACTCTGAAAGAGCTTGCCAGGTATGAGTCCAAGATATTGCACATTTCTGATCCTATTTTTCATATATTCGTCTAGGAAAACGTTTAAACAAATAATATTATCTGAAACTTGAAGATTCTTGAGGATTTCTTATTTAAAATGTGTTTAAAAAGGATAACAATACCCTAATAGCACACCATATCCGAAAGACATTCTGAGGATATTCAGAGAAAATCCAGACGACATTTGAACATTCTTAGAATGTTTTCTGATGTCTTCAGGATATATGTGCTGTTAGGATAAAAACTGTTTAATAATATTATTTGATACTTGAGGATCTATTTGAAGTGAAGATTAAAGAAAGGATAACAATAAAAATTGTGTATCTTAATTTGAAAAACTAATTTTTGTCTGTAATTCTTGGTAGACAATGGCGAAAGGCTGAAGGACTGAAATTCCTGGAGCTTGTATCGATCGTCCAACGCGAGTCGAGCAAGAGGAGCTTCAATCCTCGCCTGATACTCGAATCCATCACCAAGTCTTTCAATCCGATCAACATCCTTCACTCCTGCATCGCTTTGTCCTGGTACATCATGGTCACGTTGTGCTTAAGGACGCCGTTTCTCCTCGTCCGAGAGCTGCAGGCTCTAAAATCGCGTCACAAACACTACTACGCGGATACCTTGACCTATATGCTCTTCTGCTACCTCCCACTGACATTCCAAGCGATTCGCGAAATTATGTCCATCAGCTGGATAGCCGTAACGGCACCCAAGATCATCGTCGAGGAGCTGTTTCTGAAGCATCCGCAGTCGAATCAGCTGCAGACCATCTCTCCGTGCGGAAGAAAGGTGGTGGCTTGGTCGGAGGAGGTCGACGTCGACCTGGTGCGGAAAATCGCCAACGTAACCGGGGCGACGGAGACGGAAGTTCTCTTAGTGGCCACCGTGGACGCTCTGAAGGAGTACTTCCGGCACTCGGACGTCAACGTTCCGGACGACGTGCTCGCGACCGTGAAGTTCGTGAGTCAGCGAGCCGTGTTCCTGAGAAACCACGAGGCCCGAGGTATCCTCTGTCTCGCCTTGCCCACCAGGACGCCGTTGTTTCACGACGATCTCGTCGAGATCTTACAGGTGAGACTCGGATTTAAGATTCACGCGTCAAACAACTCCCTCGAATCTCTCCAAACGCTCTCGTGTCGCGCTTCCCAAAGGTCATTCAACGAAACGTTCAGGAAGCCAGGTCTAGGCAGAGCGCGATTTACGCGATCACGGCGGCGGAAACGTCCTGCGGGTTCATCTCGTCCTGCGTACCTGCCATCGTCCTGAAGTTACTCCTCAATCAACTGTCGAGAAGGTACTCCCTGTGTTTGACGCACGTCGACGGTGATCTACCTGTGGAAGGCATAGATGGGGCGATCTACTGGCGACCGCCGCAAGGAAACTGCAGTATATACATATATATTTTATTAAGACTCCTTGGTCCTCGCCGCCATGTTGGATTGTGATGTCAGAAGCGAGAAAATACAGCTGCTGATTGATTATAAAGGAAAAATTAGTTTTCAGACAATTTTACAGTGTACCACAGAATTTTCCCTAACATTCCGAAGACGTTCAGAGAACATCCTGAGGATGTTCGAATGTCCTCCGGATATTCTCTGAATGTCTTTTGGATATGGTGTGCTATTAGGATTGTATTGTTGTTTCGTTGAAATATATTTTTTATCTGAAAATTCCATGTCAAAATTTTGAGCGTATATTTTCTAGCTTCTGACGTCATGATTCCGACACAGTCGACGAGGATTAATAAGGAGCGTTAATCACGCGATATCTATTAGTATTTTGTATTGCACATCAGGTTTGTATACATTTTTTAGACATGTCAATGACCTTACACAAGCGTGGAAACGGAGTGCGTCTCGGCGTAATGGGAGACGCGTTACTCGGCCCGCAGCATTTCGTCCTGGCGAGGACGTTTCCTCAGAGTGTACGGAATCTCGCCAACATTCTGGGGGTTCCGAGGGCGTCCAGTCGGAGCCCGAGCCCTAACGCACTCAATCCAATGACGTCTCCAGGATACTGAGATAATTTTGCCGATGGAAGGACAAAGGGGATTTGATTTTTCTTCTCATTTAGTGTTTTCTCTCACCTCTTACTCTGTTTCTTTTTTTCAGAGAAATAGTATCCGGGTCGCGAACCCCGATAATAATACCGGTAACATGTAATTTTTTAACACCGTCGATAATAAATATTTAATCTGTTCATATTTATCAGACAGATACATGTTAGTCACATTATATAGTCGTTACATGTTCGAGACAAACAAAATTTTGACGGCTTTTATAAATAACAATTTTTATAAATATAGTCTATTCACACTATTCATCTCTCTTCTAGTTCTTCTTCGGACAAGTACCTGAATATTATTGAAATGTTTTAATTAGATGTTTGTTTAGATGAAAGATGAAACATGCTTACATCTTCTTTGCATTATCGTGTAGCAGATATTTTTATGTCATATCACTATGTGTATATCACGCAACGATGTAAATCGAACAATTGAAATAAATTAAGTTAAATGATTCAACGATTTCTTTTTACGAAACTGCGCATTTTTTTCGTAAATCTTTGCACATTCTTTCTAAATATTATATATAGTAAACATTATATATGATCATTATTTGACTACTTATTTAATCTTTGGATCTTTGAAAAATAACAAAAATATTCACAAAAAACTTTTGTAAATATTTTGTGCGATGATATTGTAACGATATAATATATATCGTACGCACATATATATATATATATATATAAACCTATAATGAAAACATTGTTAAACTGAATAATCTGGGAAACAAATTTCATTATAAATTGTTAACACGTCGCTTCATTACATTATTAAAGCATGTATAAATGTATTTAAGCGTTTCAAGCGTTTACAAGTCTAATAAAAAATAAATTCATCTATATGCGAGTTTTACAAAAAAATGTAATAAAATATATCTTTTTGACTTCTTAATACCGTTGTCTTGTAATAAGACTAAGTACATTACAAACAATCTTTTATTCAATATATTCCGTTAAAATTAAGTATGCACTGCAACTTGTATATGTAAAGCGTAGTACTTTAAGTAGAAAAAGCTCTTTGTAGGCGTACGAAGTACATTGATGTGTTTTCTTTCAATCGATTTGTGTAAATGTTTCATTAGATGTATAAATATAGAATTATTCGCGTGACACGAATAATTTAAGTACAAGAAAATATCTTTTGGCTATAAATAGAAAATTGCAAAATATTCGATAAACGTCTTGTCGCATCCGCATGTAAAAATGAATAGTGAGATTCAACATTTTCTTGCGAGCTCTAAATATTCGCCCGTCTTTTTTTCCTCCAATCTACAATAACTTTGCGCAACATGTGTATATAATGTAAAACAATGAATATAATTCGTTCTATGCTAAACAGTCATTGCCATTCGTTCGTTCCATCTCGATCGGTCCGCTACCGAAAATTTTTCGATTCTTCGTGTACGGTATAATACCTACAAAGATCCCGGAGACGATAATCCAACCGCCGGCCATAAGGAAAGAAAGATCCCAGGATTCAGTGACGTCGAACAACCATCCAGCCAACGGGGGTCCGAGAAGATTTCCGATTCCTTGACATAACAAGCTGAGACCGTAAGCGGTAGTGAATCTTTCCAAAGGAATCAGCTCGACCAATATAACAGGAGTAAAGCTGAAATTGCTCGCGAAGAAGAGGCCGAAAGCTGCAGAGGTTATCATCAGAAACGCGTAATTATAGGTGAAGACGGACATCAATATCGTGGCCACTCCGCACGCAATCAGACACCAGGTGTACGTTTTAATGACATTCATCCAGGGTTGATCGCCAGCCCAGCCTAGAATGATCTATAAAAGCGAGCAACACCGAGTATGAGAGAATGGTATCTCGCATGACAATTCGCTGGCAATTTGCGAAAAATAGAGCGCGTTACTCTCTAATGATTTTAAGATTACCATTCCGATGGTATTGGTTATGCCGATAATGCTGAGGAGATTAGCGGCATCGGACTCGTCGTAACCGTTCCTAGTCAGATGCTCCGCGAGGTAGAAGTACGGTACGATGAACCACGTGAATAGCAATATCGTCGACAATGACATCAGCAGGAAATGCAATTCGAGAAACATCGAAAAGTCCAACATGCTCTTTAACAGATCCACCAGCTCGTCGTACCACTTCTGCGTAAGACAGGGACAACTGTACAAATTTTTGTGCGCTAGACAAAAGCAAAACCTACCTGCCTCTTCTAATATTATCGCGAACGCTTAATGAAATACCTGTTCGTTCTCTTTAGCCAATGTAATCATACTGTTTCTATAGATGTCGGGACAACTGCTCGCTCTCAGCCTGTACTTGTGCAGATTTAGGGCAGCGCCGCGATACATGACCGAATTTCTATGCACTCGGATATCCTTGAAGTAATGGGTATTGGTACTGAACTGTCGTCTGAGCCAAGGTATCGAGTCGGTCCTGATGACGTTCGCCTGCGATTCAACTTCAACGTAACGTTTAGACACGGATCTCCTTCTTTCCGTCGGAACTACCTGGAAAGTATTCGCTTCATGTTGCCACGAGGGGAATCGACGGAATCCATAACGAAAGTGACCGTTTGTTTATTACCGTAGTATGCGTGACTTCTTTCGCCAGTAATGGATTAGTCCCCTCTATTTCCTTCTTCGACATTTTTCTGGAGCAAAGTTTCGTGGGTGCGGGAGTGGATGCCAGACAAGTATCTTTGTTCCTTTGATCCACGATCGTTTTCGATTCCGTTGCTCGTTTCAGCCTTTGTAGAACGTAACATAAATGTTAAATGTCACGACCAGGTATTGTGTGTAGTCGATTCCATTGTATTCGACTAACTAAAGTATCGCGCGACAAATATATATATGTATATCGTATTTCGTTGGAAAAGAGGGATTCGACGAAGAAAATTAAATCGCTAAAACCTATATTATAACTAACTACACGTAACAAATGATTAACCTCATTGACATAGTGACTCCGCTTTTATTATGAATCTCCCCCGTCGAATCCTGCAGGTGTTTATCGGACAAACTTCTACACAATAGAAGACTAGGATAGTTTTCCAGGATAACGGTATACAGCCTAGAATTGCCTAGTAATGATTCCAATACTTCCAAAGGCACCTGAAATCTCATACATTCCAATATTCATTCCTTTACAAAATTCGACAATACCGGAGAAATCGTCCACAGAAAAAAGGAATCCTTGATTCAAGTATATTTTTATTCTTGAACGCTATTTGATTCATTTAAGCATAGACTGCTCTTTGTAATCACAAATCTTCATTTGTCTTAATAATAAATAAGTTTGGTAAAATCCTTATATCCGATGCTCACTTATCCTTGCGACTTAATTTTTAAATTGAAGTAAACTTCAGCTTCAACCCAGGATATTTTGCACTTTTGTTTTGAGGATGAATTATTCTTTATCCAAGATTATATTTGGCGCTATTATAAGGATAAAATATACTTGAATCAAGGTATATTGGCATTCTTTCAAGGATACCGTTTTTTCTGTGTCGCTTTACGCGACTCGCTTGATGGCTCACCTTTTCGCTTCGCTTTACAAAAGTCGGTAGATTAACCACGCTCGTCGTGTGCCTTTTCGCGCCGTCGGCCATTTCGATGCTCGTGCTTAGGTTCTGTAAGAAATACTCGGGCGCCCGGTCGCTTCTAAGCAATCGTCGGAGCTCCTCGACCCCCGGAAACTCATCGGACGGGCTTCCGTTCGACTTTACTGTACCGTCCGATCGTACATTCGATTTCTTCGTCGCGGCCTGATCCTGCTTCTGTTGCTCCAGTATCCACCATTCCGGATCTCTCATCACGGTCCCTGCGACGATCATGTTGAAGAAGGTGCCGGCCAGGAGTAAACATGCGCCCCGCCAGCCATACTCGTTGATGAAATACGTCGTCATCGGGGCGTAGACGAAGGTGCCGATTCCGGTGCCGCACGCGCCGAGACCTACAGCTAAGGTTCGCTTCTTATCGAACCAAAAGGCGATGCTCACAACCGCGGTGACGTAGCACAAACCCAGACCGAGACCCGCGATCACGCCAAAGGTCAAGTACATTACCTCGATGGTGTTACTAAAGATACTTAGGATGAAGCCGAATCCGGACACCAGGCCGCCGATGATGGTCATGTTCCTGCAGCCGTATCGGTCCACAAGAGCGGACATGATCGGCCCGGATAGAAGCGGCACAGCCATGAAAAGCGAGCCGATCCAAGCGGTCTTGGACTTGGACGCGCCAAATTCGTGAAGGAACTCAATGTAAAGGAGACCGAAGCTAAAGGAGACCCCGTCGGCTATCATGGAGATGACCAGGGAGGCCAGAACGACCACCCAGCCCCAACCGCCATCGGGTACTTTTGGTTTCTTACGGCTCTTCGTCATTTTCTCGATAGAACCTAAGGAATCTTCGCGTTCCGAGCTAATACTCTCGGAATCGAGCGAGTCCCTGACTTGATTGGTCGGTGTATCGGCATTCGAAGACTCACGATCGAGCGTTTCTTCAATCTTCCTCGGTGTAGCGCTCTGCTCCGTCAACTTGATCCCATTGTTCGATTTCTCCGTCGAGTCTAGACCGACTTCCCGTCTATTGTTCACGCTGTCCACCAGATCGACATTTTTGTGGACAACGGAATTTGTAAGGCAAATCGTGGGACTTCCATTTCGCCAGCCGACCAACGGGGCTTTGCGCGGCTGATGATGATTACTCTGATGATTTCTCTTCGCGCACAGATCTTCCTCCTTGCCGGCGACGTTCGCGGAACAATCGGCATAACTGTTCCCATGATTGTTGTTGTTCCTGTTGTAATCGTCGTCGCATTCTACTTGAAGCTCTAGCAGGTCAGCCTTGTTCCTGCTGGCCATTGTCTCTCTAAATGTAAGTGATTGCCGAGTGGATCCAACGACGCCGCCAGCCCTTCAACCCTTGGAACTCGCTCGGATGATAGCCACCTTGTCCTCCGGTTACCATAAGGATCCTGGGAACGATCCTTGACGATTCGCGGAACGTAAACCGCGCCGAATTCAGCATGCACGCACTTTCGAGTCGCTCGAGTCGCTCGTCCTACAAAAGGATTTTTCAATTAATATATCAATGATATCGATTATACGAGAAGAGAAGCTGGGAAAAAAATCCATGCGCGAAAAATAGAACCAGTGGCGTATTTTGTGATTCGATTGTGGGAACGAGGAGAGGCTAACAAATGACTAAATTTATACATATTTAGTTCAATACTGTCAAATGAATCATTTATTTGAAACAAATCAATATTTATTTGTTTTGAAAAGGATTTTCTTATATCAAATAAATATTATTAGTTTCAAATAAATGATTCATTTGGCAGTATTGAAATACATACTTATTCGAATTAGATAAATTTTTTCAATGTACTTACACAGTACTCTCTTAAAATAAATCAGTGAAAAAACCACCGATTGAATCAATAAAACAGTACATCACTGAAAATCAGGAAATAGTGACTGATTGTCAGTGATGTACTGTTTTATTGATTCAATCGGTGGTTTTTTCACTGATTTATTTTAAGAGAGTAGGAAAATTTGTGTTCTTTTGTTAAAAACGGTCCCCGTTAAAATATCTGTGTTAAACTATAGATATAAAAATAACACAATGTGCATCTATTTTCAATTTTGCACAATAACTATGTTCTGTTTTATTTTATTAGTGCCAAGATTTATCTGTTAAAATTTACAGAATAAATGTTAATTTTTTATTTTATAATACAATTGCGGCTAATAAAATCTAAAATTAACATGTTTTAATTAATGTTACACAAAATAACATAATTAAAAAATTAACACAAAATTTTTATGGACCGTTTGATATTTGTTAAATTTAACACAAATTTTTTAACCGTATATAGTTTAATTTGCTTAATGAAACGGTGCTCGATAAGTGTGAAAATGCTGACAACTTTTGTTAGTTAGATCTTGGAATTGAAGAATGAAGGAAAAGGACTGAAGCCCGACAATTTCCTCCATAAATACGTCACTGAATGAAGCGATAAGAATAATGTAACATACATATCATTTAGGTATGAATCACTGTCAAAAACACATAATTTATCACGCGATAGATATAGCAAATTAACGGATATACATCCGTTCATTATCATATCTCTATATCTCTCGATATCACTCGAGTAAGCGATGACAAAATCATACACGTTTTGGCACTCGATACTCATACATATATCGATAGATACAAAGTAGTGCATAAGTATGCGTCATATAAAAAAAAATTTAAGCACATAATTTGTATTATATTATCTCAAGACCAAGTATTAAAAAAGATATAAAGAAAGTGATTAATAAAGAGAAAATCAGTAATTACTCACCATCGAGATAATGTCAATAGCGTGCAGACGTGTATGCGTGTATAGGTGTAGGAATATACTAGCGACACTCGTCGGTGTGAGCAATTATAATATACAATTATTCAGAAATAAAAAAATAGGGGGTTAGATAAAATCAATCAATAAATGGGTTAATCAATCAAGAAATAAAGCAAAGCGTGCAACTGGCGCTTAATCGATCGACGAGAAAAGTCTCTCCACCTAAGCTGAAGGGCTGCAAAATAAATTATCGGTAACAAGATAAGAAATGTAATAGTGTCAGTGCGTAATACCTGAAATGAAAAAAAGATCTAATCTAGAGAAAGCGCGTGTCCATTCGTGCAATAATTATTCATTATAGCGTTACGTGCATTATAGCGCATGCAAATCATTCCCCATAATCTCTCCTCTAAAAAAATCATACTTGACTTGTATAAATTTAGTGCATACATATTTATATACTTTTATATATTTAATTAGAATAAGTTAATATATCCATTTTATAATAAATTATAATAAGTTATAATTTATAATTATAATAAATAAATAATTGTAATGAATTTATATATATGTATATATATATGTCCATCAACAAATATACAAGAGAAGTAGATTTTTTTATTATGTTATACGTTGTATATGTATATGTATTTATTTTCATCAGATATATCTCAACATATATCGTCTAATTGTAAGCAATTACATCAACGCTTCTTTCGCTTAAGTGTCGCTAATTTATATGTCCTAAGAATATACAGTTAAAATTTATATGTATCTGCGACGAAAGACACGTTTGTTTAATATCATAATAAACGATATCAATTTCGAAATAGTATAACAAATAATTAAATAATAATTAATTTTATTTAAGTAAGATATTTATCATTAAGATTAATATTTAGAAACACGAATCCGATTGCATTATGAAATTTTTATTCAGTAAATTAGCTATTTATAAATTAGTTATTAATAGTATACTATTAGTTATCAGTATTTTTATTTATTTTATTATCTCGTATACTGTTTGTATTCGAGAGAGAGAGAGAGAGAGAGAGAGAGAGGAAGAAAGAGATATTAAAAGTGTAACTGTAATATCCAAGTCCATTTTTGAAAATTATTGTAATTATCTTTAATTTTTAATTAACATGTATATATCTATATGTACCCACAATTTCATTTTTCTTAAATTTTTAATTACTTCAGGAAATATATTTATTACATTAGCAATAAGAGACAAAAAGTGTCTATACACAATTGCATGGCAGAATTATTATTCTTTATGAATTCATTGTATTATTATCGTCACTGATATGTAATCATTATTTTATTAAATATTGTAGAGAGAGAAAAAAAGTACTTCTCATATAAAATCTATCAGAACGCCCTTCAAAACTTTCAAAAGTAGGCGCACTTATTATTAGAAGTCTTTCGTCGGTCGATGGTCTAATAATACTTTGGCATTGCTTAACTGCCGACTTTCGACGTAAAGCTGCAAATTCTTTTGGCAATTCGCAATAATGCGTATTTATAAGATCTCATCTTACAAAATGTCAAACTTAAACGAGCCTTAAATTCAGAGAACTAAATTTCTGGGGTAGTACCAAGAGCTTTCTCGCAATTTCTTTGACAAATTTTTAATGGAAAAAAATTATCTCGGTAAAATAAGAAAACAACTTTTAGAATCAACGAGATCATATTTTATATACAATTGTCACGCGCGCATATAAAACTGTCATTTTAACGAGAAGCTTAAGGGACGTCATATTTTAATTGACGTAAGATTGGGGTCTTTGATCTGCATCTCGCGCGATGACATCATCATCCGAAAAATGTCATTAAAAGTTTTTACGAAGCTTTCGTCGCAGAAAAAATTAAACGTTTTTTTTACGCACGTAATTGTCAATATTTGCAACGATGATAAGAGCGACAGAAAATTGCGCAAATTATTTCTTTTTTTTTCTTTTGGCTTTCTCAATCAAAGTTTTTGAAATTACGTAAAGATTTACGATCGGAATGAATTTACAACACGCGCAAATGTATCTGAGAAAAGGATTATGTGTCTCACTACCGTTTATGGATTTTACGATTATACTTATCGCGTGTTGGTTCGTTGAAAAAAATTACGATTGTAAGACATCGTTAACGTGTCTAGCACACGCGAATATATTCTATGGCGTATAATCGATATAGTTTATAAATTAAATTAAATATTTCTTCGACATTTCTCCGATTGCTAAGATATCACAAATTATTCGTTTCTCATATATTTAAATAAATACAAAATAGAAACGAAAAGGTTCGAAAGTAGATAGTTAAGTGTCATATAAGAGTCGACGGAGGGGTATGATCACCATGGAAACCGACTGGTCGATTTCCGCGTGAATGTTCGTCTCTCTACCAAAATAAAGGGATAGCAAATTTCCATTAAAGTTTACTTCTCGTGTATATTGCGAAATTCACCTCTATGCAAAAATAAAAAAAAATCAGCGTGCGATATATATGGAGATTATATATTCACTGCTTTATATCCCTCGTAAAAAGACAACATAATTTATTTAATTACATTATGACATCGTTGCATATATTTAATTTTAAAAAATTAATAAATTAATGCATATATTCAATTTAAATTTAATTAAAAAATTCATAAATAAATGAATAATTTCTGCAGCTATTTTCGCAATGCAACATCGGAAAAACGATAATTTTATATCACACGTGTCCGAAAAAAATGAATATAAAATAGTATTTATTCTTTTCTTTTCAATGCCAAAAAATAAATTTGAATCTCTCGTATTTTCTGATGCAATCTCGCCAGAGATTACTTATCTTGAATATATATACACACACAAAAACCTTTCGTTTAAATACTGTATCAAACACTTTTGGATCGATATGGTGGAACCGTTATTCGCGATTACATCGAGTCACGTATGTTTAAACAGAATTATTTCACATATCAATTCGTAACAGTGCAAATTTTGCAGAATATCAAGATTGAAAATTAAAAAATTTTAATTTAAAGCATCCATCATCGCAATTGCTCTTTAATCGAGACGCAGCTGCCAGCTGGACTTTCATGCTTGTAGAAAGAAGAAAGGGAAAGTGAGAGGATAGCAAAAATATAATATATTCATATGAATTAATTATGTGAATTTTGTATGTATGCAAAAATTCTAGGACGTTTAATACGTGTCTTTTAAATACATCGTACAGAATGTGAACACTCGGCAGAAACGTGTATTACAGGAAACGATTATAGATAACAGGAAAAAAATGATGTAAAGTGGTCATACACGTCAAACCAGCAATACGTAAATTTTTCTTTTATTTAAAAAAAAAAGAATTGTTTCACCGTGTCGTATATTACTAATAAACACATTTTTATTACATGTTTCAAGTCGAGGATATACGCGATTCATCGAAATTAAGAAGAAAGATATAAAAAAACGACGAATTATTCAAAAAAAAAAAAAATAAAATTCAAGCTTAAAATTTTCAGCTGCTTATATTTTCTATCATACTTCTTACTCGGATAATTGATTGAGTCAATGTGGTCTTGAATGTTCAGCGCAGATCGCGTTAATTGTGCTTAAACGTATCGCGTGATAAATCGGCAAATAAACGAAAGAACTAATAAAATAAGCGCCACGCTCAATTATAGCGATCATTGAGTTTATTATCTATCTAAAGTTACGTCAACGTCAACGAATAAACATGTTACTTTATTTGATAAACTCCCGCAATTCTTATTCATTTATTCGGAATATGCAGAGCTTCCGGAAAAATCATATCTGTTCGTTTTCGCGATTATAAATGATAAAATATATAGTTGAGCGCACATTTGGGTGCGAGCGACAGATAAACGACAAGAAGCATCTAGAAGCGTGCGGATATTCTTTTCAAATTTTAGCGCGTCTAATATCGATATTTAAAACGCAGGGGCGTTTCTGCAGTCGAACCAGTGACGAAATAAGAGATTTGTAAATTTAAAAAAAATGTATATATGTAATAACCACATAGACGATATAACTCTGTTTAATATTAAAATGACATATTAGTAATGGCAAAATTGTCTGAATCACCTTGCCACTCTAATAGATACCGAAAGAGGAGAAACGATGAAAGAAAAGAAAATGGAAAAAAAAAAAAAAGAAAATTGACATGCGAAACACACGCGCTCTTCGTAAAGTCGCGTCGTGTGTTTACTCATCGAGCTTACCAACGAGCAGCTCGCGCAAATTGTCAGAGAATCCGGAGCTTTCGCGTAGCCTGGCACGATCCCCGTTGGAAAGAGCGTTTTGCGCCGTCTTATTGCAGCGACGACGACGATTTCGGCGTGCATTCGGCGTGCCCGGGGCACGTCGTGTATTTCTTTTCGCTCCCAAAAATATGACGCGTGCCGATCACGCGACCGCCTCGGTTGGGGACACCCAGTATACTGGTGAGAGACCGCGGTTCAGGAGCCTCAGAATCCACGTCATGGGAAAGGTTCTCCGGCGCCGCACCTGACGTCGAACGGAGCACGCGTGTGTTGTGTGCGCCGACCTCGCTCGTCTCGTCTCGCAGCTCGCTTTGTCTCGCCGCTCGCCGCGCCTCGTCTAGTCTCGCACTCGTCTCGCCCCCCACCCCCACCTACCCCCACCACGCGTCACCTTGCCTCACCTTGCCGCGCCCGCGTCATTGCGAGCCCGCTTCTGCTTGCTTACGCACGCGCTTCGGCGCGGCTCTCGTTTCTCCCGGCGATCTTTTTTCGCGATGTCAAAAATGTTGCGTCGCCGACCAACAATCGATTATAAGACGTTTTGTATAATATACGAAATAGTGTGACATTGGCTATGTATTTTCACATTATCGCTGAACCGATGTTTTTATTATAGTATAATGAATGTTGAACTGAATACTCAAACGATGTTTAACTTGCTAATGATAACGAAAAGTCAGACTCATGCTTAAATTAAATAGAAAAAAATAAAATATCAATGGAATATAATGGAAATATAATGGAATATTAAATAATGAAATCGTAATTCGATGTGTTTGGCGCCACAATGACATACGGTATTTTCCATCTCGCGTCCTTCGAACCGTCTAATCGATAATTATCGTGCGTCTAAATAAATATCGCGAAATATTCCGTATAATTCGCGATTAAAGCGAGATGGTTAAATTTTTCATTTCAAACCTCGCGAATTGGAGCATCTTTTTTTAATATATGTATATATATATATATATATATATATATATATAATTCACGTGTCGTTTGTATTATTTCTGACAAAGTTTGTCGACATTCGCGCGGCAATGAAAAGTATACTTTTGTACACGAATGAAAGAGAGAGCGAAAATATATATCTGAAAATAAATGGCCGATCGATAAAATTATCTCGACCGTGTCCCGTGTCAACACGACACTGGGGTGGGTGTGACGCCATCCGACGCCATCCGATGTTACCCGATGTCACCCGACGTCGATGACAGTTCACCGCCGGTAGTCGGTAATTCACGTGTAGCTGTCAATGAGTAAATTCGAACGAGAGTATCGCACTTTTAATTCATATTATTTCCCAAATAGTAAACTGACGTCATTAAACGTCAAAATGACATATGTTTGCAACCTAGATTTTTATCTAAATCAAGTATAAAATTCTCTCTTATTTATGTCAAAATAATTAATGAAAAAATTTTTAAAAATAATATATATCTCTCTCTATCTAAACACATTTTCTATAGTAAATTAATAAAATTTCTATTGTAGTGTTCTATATAATTTCTACTGTACATATATATGTGTCAAACAAAAAAACAAAAAATTTGTATGAAACGCGAAATTTGTTATTATGAAGTAAATATGTAAGTGTTGTCGAGAAACCACTACGATATTTATTTCGGATCATCTTCGGATATTTTCCAATACATGAGAGAGGATTTACGTGAAACTGAACCGATCGCATCGCATATCGTTCTAGGAATCGGCACTGGCTAAGAATTTATACGTATTACATGTATAAGACTAATCGTAGACTCGTTCCTTTTAATATTTAAGAGTCAACAAGAACGTTGAAATCCGTAAAATGGTTTGCGCCAATATATAAGATAATCTGATGTAATAGAGACACACTAGATCGATATCGTAACGATCTAATTAACGCGATTAAAATCGTCGGAAATATAATTGATAATCGATAAGTATTTTCTTCGGAAATTCGTAGAATGCCGGAATATTCTAATAAAAGAACTCGGCAATCTTACATAATATAAGTGGAATGCTGATTATATCGTCAGCTAAAAATCGTCGCTCTCGCGCTATAATTTCTTTCGTCTCTTTTTTTTCTTCTATCTTCTTTTTACTGGAAGGAATCGTTCTCCGGGTCGTACTCGATTTTTGACAATTCTATTCAAAGGTCCTCGTTCGTTCTTTTACAGATTATTTGCGTTTTCATTCTTCTCCTCTTAATAACTATATATAATCGCTTAATACTACCGTTTGAAAGTCGTCAGCCGGCGACCTGATATCGTAAATATATGAAATACACAATTTTTTTCCTTTTTTTTATATATTAAAATATTGCTTTATACGTTTCGTAGATGCCATATAAGGCTGCGTACGCGTGTGATGTATGATGTGCGAGCATAAATATGCTGCGAGAAAAATTATTACACTCACAATAATTTGGACACTTTTGGTACCGGACACAATTATATAAGACACCGATCGCGATCATATCTCTATATAATCGAAAAAATACGCTTCGATCGAAATTCAAAATTTCAATCTCGGGTGTTGCAATTGCAATTTTACTTTCGAGTACCAGATTTTATACAACGGCGCTAATAAAAAATATCCGAGACTCTCGTTTCACGACGATGTCACCTCTGCCGTTTTTCTAGTTCGATTTAATTTTCTTACAATATCTGAAAGCAATAAATATTTTTTTCGTATTTTATTTTAGTGTAAAGGCCTCGTATATTATAATGTTATACGTACGATGTAACCCTACAACTATATAAGAGAAATCTTTGGAATATAAAATTTTTTTGTGTGAAATCGACAGTACCTAAAATATTGTAGTGCGATTTTGACTAGTTTTAAAAAACTTCTATTTCGTTTGACGTTTAATTTCCATCGGAATGCACGGCACGATTTCAATTTTTCGTCAAGTAATGTACATTTCGCTTACAACTTTCCCACATACACAGAGAGCAATAAAAACTCCTCCTCACCAATAAATCCATTATGTTGTTCGCGTTAATTTTATACAACTATTCTCTCTTCGTTCGTCTTATTATATGTACAATCGAAAATTGCTACAATGACTGAGTGACTATTATTCGTTTCCTCTTTTTTTAGTAAAAAAAAAGAAAAAAAACGCTCATGTAATCTATATAAGTGCAAATATAGATTACATTTTATAATTTATAAAAACAAAAAAAAAGAACGAACACATGCACGCACACACGCACGCATGTACGTACGCATACACTATGGTAACGGAGGTAGTAGTCTATTTGTAGCTCGCAAAATTGATAAAGAGGCAAGTTTATGATCACAGAAAAGCTATACACGCATGCCTATTTTATAGACACATGTTATTTCAAAAAGAAATTCGTGCATCGCACTCTAAATGAGAAAATCTGCTATCAAAGCGCTTGATTCTTTCTTCAATCTTTCGGCATTATCTTTCGTATGTAATTTCTTTTTTTCGTCCTCGCTTATCATAAAATTAAAAAAAAAATATGCGTATTTCCAAAAGTTTAATTTAATCGAGGTTGTTGTCCCGCTTCCAGTCAAGAGTAAAAAAAATAATAGGAATCAACTTGAACAAAATTTTTCTTTCGCGTTAAACTCATGATTTATAAGAATAATGTATTATTTCGCGATTGCTTCACAAAACTTAAGCGCACGCATTGACATTTCCACTTGACTAACGAGTCAAATGAACAATGTACGAATTTACATGTGTGTAATGTTGTAAAATTAATTAAACAGTTAATTTAAGTGAATTAATAATTTAAATGCACGGGTGACTCGCAAGGCTCCTACGCGAGGGATGCACGTTATACGTTGATGATTACAAAGGTCGAGGGTATCTGGTGCAATTGATTAATTTACAATACCTTTCGCGTTATCCGAGGGCGGACGGGGTGAAATGGGGAAGGTGGAGGGAAGGATAACTTGTCAGTTGTTACAATCTAGCTTCAGAATACACAACGCACTTGACGAAGGATTTTAGCGACTACAAGCATGTTTTTTTCTGTACATGCAAACGAGAGAGGAGCGGACACCAGATGTGCCGACTTCGAACCTATGTATATGTGTATCGCATCAATATATTATATTGGTTGGGTAGTATCCTGAGATTCGAAATTATATATATATACTTGGTTGTTGCAGCAACGCCAAGAATGTAGATATACATATATATATATATATATATATATATATATATACATATATCTGTTTCGACGAAAATTATTTATCGACAGGATAAACGCGATAAATAGCTTAACGAAAAACTGTTCTCTCCTTCATCCACAGGCCCTTCGATTTTTATATATTATCGCGAGCAGGCGCGCATTCCCCTAATTTGTACAATGTATTTACTCTATATTCTCGCGTAATATCCACTCTACTACGCTCTATTGAAAATATTAAAACTATACTCACTCTCGAAAAAATTTCCTTTACGCAATGTCTAAGAGAGATTAGAAGTGACCTGGCGACCTTCGCGAAAGTTTAGCGAAGCATCAGCATCCGCCGATATATAGTCATGCAGAATCGGAATCTGCTGATAATTACGATTTGCCACGTGTGTGATTCATCAGTTTACATAATACTCTTCGAGTCGCTCGCATTAGTTGTCGCATTGGTTGTCGATGACCTTGCAGTCATTTCGACACGAAACTTAATAACTATGTAATACACCACAGCCGGCTCGAGCGACTCATATATGCAGTATGTTACGGACTCTGACACTGCAACGGAATTAAGGAGTACCTGTGACAATTTTCAGCAAGAGTTTGCACGCATTTTACAATTCCATTCGCGACTTTGGCCGCGCAAATAACAACCGTAGACAGTGGTTGCTCTCTGGCTTATGTGTTCTTTCGATAAGTATCGGCATATTTACACATTATCTATCTCATTAAAATCCTTGTCGACAGTCCTTTCCTTGGATTCTTTTCCTCGGCATTTTCTATACAAACTGATCAAAGGCATCACTAATAACAACAGGCCGCTCAACGCGATGAACAACCCCGCCAGATAGAAAGAAAGGTCGTATGAGCCTGTAATATCGTACAGATATCCTGAAAAGAAATCGTTCAGTTTTAATATTCGCTCGTTGGTGTTTCTACATGGCAAAAAGCGAAATTTGCGAGAAAGATAAAACATTTACCAGCTAACGGAGGACCTATAAGATTGGCTACTCCTTGGACCAGTAACAGAAGACCGTAAGCGTTCGTGAACCTTTCCAAAGTGATCAGCTCGACAAGGATGATGCTGGTGAGACTGTAATTCGCTGCGATGAATAATCCAAAGGCACCAGAGATTGCACATAAGGTATAGTAATCGCTGATAACTACTGGTATCAGAGCGGTAACGGCGCCGCAGAGAGCCATACACACCGCGTAGACGATGGACGCGTTCACCCACGCTCTATCACCGGCCCAACCAAGAAAAATCTGTAATCAAAAGTTACACTTTTACTATACTGCACAAGCGATCGTTGGGTCGAAGATTTCACAATTTCCCAAACAGCACCATGTCCAAAATTGGTGCATAAGACATCATGAAGAAGACATCTTTAAGAAATCTTATGATATGATCTTCAAGAAATCTTATGATTCGAATGTCCTCTGAATATCCTATGAATATCTTTCGGATATGTTGTGCTATTAGGAATGTCTTGTGCAATTTTGGACATGGTGCTGTCTGGGTGTTATTTATCCATTTTCGCGACTTACCTCGCCGCCCATGTTAGCGATCCCGATCACCGAGATCAGAATAGACGCGTCCGTCTCGCTGAATCCAACCTCGATCGCGTTGTCCGTCAGATAGACATAAGGCACGTCGTACCAGGTGTGCAAGAGAAAATTGCTGACAGCGAACAGCAGAAACCTCATATCGGCGAAGTACGAAAAGTCGAGCATGTCGACGATCAAGTCCCAGAATTCCCAGAGTCCGGCGTACCAGACGAGCTTCGTCTTGGCAATGGTGGTCATCGAGTTTCTATAAATGTCCGGGCAGCTCGAAGCCCTCAGACGGTACCGATTGATGTTCAACATGGCGCCTCTGTAAGTCAGACTATGCCTATGCATCCTGATGTCATTTAGATACGCGGTGGGCAATCTTCTAGGTTGTTCCGTCAGCGTACTGGAACGTCTCAACGTCGGAGTCTCCGAATCGATTTTCTTCAGCCACCATAAGTACGCCGGTTCCACCGATTGTCGTGGTTGTTCGCGAAGTGTTCGTTCATCGCGCGTATCCTTGTCCTTTTCGCTGTCGGTTTTTAACTCGGCTAGTGGGCTTGGCGTATGTATAAATCGGGCCGAGGGTGTACTCAGTTGATCGTGCAATGCTCCTGAATCGCTGAAACTCTTCGACGATATCAAAAGGCTCGGGTAGTTTTGCAGAAGGACATTGTATACGGCCTTGTTCGCGCTAAGTAGTTCCAACACCTCCAGCGGTACCTTCTCCCTGTTTTTAACGAAAGTGGGCAGACTCACCAAGCTAGAGAAGAGCTTCTCGCCGCCCTCCTCTTCGCCGTCCTGAAGCCGAAGATTCTCAATGATCATCGCGTTGGCGGAAGCAAAACCTCTTTTAGATTCGCCGTGCGGCGTCTGCGTGGTCGTGTTCGCGGAACTGGTAGCTGAAAAGGAATCTGCGTTGGAACTCTGCACCTTGGATCTCTTTTTTTCCCGATTCTTCTTCCTCTCTTCAGTTTTCGCTTTTGCTCTAGTGGTAGTCCACTCGAGATCCCGCATAAGACATCCGCATACAGCGAGATTCGAAAACAATCCTGCCAGGATCAACGTGGTTCCCCTCCAGCCATACTCCGCCAAGAGATACTGCGTGACGGGGGCGAAGATAAAAGTTCCAATTCCGCTGCCGCATACCGACAAACCAGTGGCGAAGGATCTCTTCTTGTCAAAGTAGTACGCTACGATTACTACCGCCGCGACGAAGCACAAGGACAAACCAAAACCCGCTACGATGCCGAAGGTAAAGATGAGCAACGCCATAGACTTCGCATAGGAACTTACAACGAAACCAGCCGTCGCGAGTATACTACCCGCTACGGTTACCTTTCTACAACCGTATCGATCGGTCAAAAAACTCGCTACCGGCCCCGACAATAGCGGCATCGCCATGAAGAGACTGCCGATCCAGGCTGCCCGGGACTTTCCTCCGCCGAAATAATTGAGAAATTCGACGTATATTACGCCGAAGGAGAAGGTGATGCCGTCCGCGATCAGGTTCACCATGAAGGAAGCCGCAACAACGACCCAGCCCCAGCCTCCGTCAGGTGGTCTGGCTTCGCAAAACTGCGCCAAGCTCGAGTTATCTTCGAAGGTGCTCGTGGTTGACGTGGAGATCGACGGACTCTGCTGCGGTCTTTCTTCCGATGTGTTACGTGTGTTCTGTTGCTTCTTGGACTCTTTGTTGAACTGCACGTGATGCTGCTGTTTATCGTCCTTAGGAAACTTCCCGTTCGCAAGTTTCTCGATACTGTTCTCGGTCGACAAGCGACCCTTGGACGACAAGTGATTCCTGGTAGGCGAACCAAAAATCGTATTTCTCTCATTGTAAACGCTTTTCAGTTTCTGTGGACTCAAACTCAATACGTCCTCTTTGTAAAGACTGTTGGGTCTTTTCGGTGAGTTTTGCGAATTTTGCAAGGCTTCCTTCAACTCCTGACGAGCCTCCCGACGTATCTTCGTGCCCGAGTCCCCTATTCGTTCATGATTGTCTTCCACGAATCTCTCTTCTTCATCTTGCTTTAGCGAGCCTTCCAGGAATTCCGAATTATTCCGAAAGCTATTGACGTGTTCCAATTCCTGTGTCACACTCGAGTCCGCGATCGTCTCCTCGTGATCGCAATCGTTTCGCTCATTCGTCACGCGTGAATCTTGCTTGATAATTTGCTCATTTTTTTCCGCGTACGACTGCTTTAAGATAATATCGTCCTTATTTGCTCGTTCGTCGGGTCGACTTAGCTTATTTCGATCGTTGAACTTGGTCCACTCGGCCATATTGAAGAGACGACGAATGTGGATGGTATATGCACTTTCGGAATTCACCCTCGAAAGTATCCAGACTTCCGGGCGATCTAATCTTCCTCTTCGCGACACCAATCCCAATAGACAAACGTGCACGCAAACACACACACGCAAACAATCGCATACGAGAACAGAACGGAGGCAAAAAAAAGGAACTATATCTGTATTTGCAAACAAACGACGCTCCTCCGGGTAGCGGCTCTTGTTCTCAAACGGAATGATCGATTTAATAAAGATCTAGTTTCGTCCTTGACTTAAACAACGGTAAACAAGGCCACTCATAGAGCTGCCTGGTGAACTGACGGCGCAACGGCAACAAGGATGCTGACGACAAGCAGGATTGATAGTCGGCACCCGATCGACCATGCAGCGGTCCACCACCATTGCAATCGCGGCTCCGGATTCTCCAAGTCCAAGTGCTACTTTGATTACTTGGGACCACCTCCTCCTCCGCGAAACGATCGTCAACCCAGGCACCCATGCGGCGAAACGTACTGTTCTCGCGTTGTATTCTGCAACAAAGGACCAGTCATTATAGCGATAAACGCCAGCTAGAAAGATACATATATATGTAGTATAATCAGTGTCGTGCTTTGATGATTTTAAAATTATAGCTATAGATAAAGATGCGATGAAAATATGTAAATTTATTTTAAATAAGATGAAGATGAATTTATTTTAAATATATCTAGACAAAATTATATAGCGATTCATCTAGATAATAATTTTTAAGACTGCTTATGTAAACTCATAGTTATAAAAAAAATGTAAATTATAAAAGAGATATAAAAAAATATTTATTCTACATAATTTCTATATATTTATTCTACATAATTATTCTACATTATTTAGTAAAGATAATACTTTTTTAATACATATTTTTATAATCTATATAAAGATAAGATGACGCCAAAGTTTCATCTATAGATGATCATCTATATAATTTTATTTAGATAATGTTAAATAAAGAAGCGATTTAGATGATATCGTTTATTACAACTTTCTGTCATCCACAAAGAAGTGATGTGTTGTATGCGTAAAAATCTCGAGATCCTTTTTATCTAAAGACGTGACTTATCAGCTTTTATTGCATGGTGCGCATAATTTACCCTTTTTTCCCCCGCTTAAATCGAAACTCTCTCTCTCTCGTAAACGAGATATATCGTTACTCAAACGCGCGGTAATAATACGATCAAAGTGACGCACGCAGCCGCGGAAAAAAAAAATACCCTCTGCTTGGCCGCTATATTTACTCGCTAAAGCAACATTCTCGAGCATTATTAGACGTCCCAAGTTCGATGTTTGGCAAAGACACTCGACTCGGCGTGATTCGCTTCTGGCATTTCGTAACCGGCCGAAGTAGCTCTCGAGTTAGAGTCAGCGATTATAAATGAAGCTCATTGTGTATGAGTTGCTATCAATTTAAGGATTTAACGGTGGCCACGATGATCGCGCGTGTATCGTGCGATCCACCACCTTTCCTCCGTCCACCTTCTGTCTTACTTTTCTGTGCCGTCTGCCTCACGAATCTCAAAATTATCCAAAATTTTGGGACTAAACGAAAATTTCATAATTGCATCGCACTTGATACAATTGCTCCAGAATTTAACGAAATTAATTCAATACTTGAGACAACGTTCGACGTCGCCAAATGTTCGGTTACTCATCGTAAAAACCGCGCGTTATTTCGAGAAATTCTATTTAAAACGTTGAAGTTTGCTTGAAAAAAGACCAGCTGTCAATTAATATATATATATATATATATATATATATATATATATATTTGATTAAAGCAAACGTCTCGATTTCTACACATTTCGTTAAATCAATCTCGGTAGATTTGCATATGATGTGTTGCAAAACGATCCGATTGACTGTTAAGGTTTCAACGTTTACCTCGCCGGAGAATTGTAAACACTTGTCAGCTTTTGCGAGTTATACTCTCTTCTCGGTGTTTGTCAAAACTAAACGTAGATTTAACGTTGGCCTAGATCTTGCCGGGTTACTTAACTCGGAGGAAGACGGCTATTTAACTTTTTACGTGCAACTTCATCACACGAACGTGAGCGCTCGTGTGTGTGTCGTAAATACGCGAAACTTAGAGGATTCGGCAGAAGAGGGAACGAAAGAGCGAAAGATTAAGCGGTGATAAGCACAAGCAACTCTGATCTCATTTTGACGACGATCGTCGAGAATGTGATCAAACGCGAAATTAATCGTTAACTTTAATCTACGTGGAAATTGCTTATCGACAGAATAAATTTAGAAAATAAACTCCCTTTCCTCCACGCGCGCACACAGATACACACATACATATGTGTGTCCCTAAAGAAAATAATATTTACAACGCAAGGAGTTTGGTATAATTATAGCATCCACGTGTATAACACGTTTATTGAATGTGAAGCAAAATACCATAATTTCAAGTATGATATTGATAAGTGACTGCACATTTTTTTATTTTGAAGAATTGTAGAAATCTGAAATCTAATTTTTGAGAAGAGAGGGACGTTTCTATCTTCTAGAGGGATGAGGAGACCAGGCGCCTTTGGCCGAGAAAATTTTGCGCAACCCTGGCTTCCTGCCCGATGACAAATCGGGGCATGTTCGCGATCTAAATTCAACCCAGCTAGGCGTTTATACAATACTTTTTCCGCATTATAATGTTGGCGCATTGTGTTGTGATTCCCCCGATTTCATCGGTAATATATTATAACCGTATAATGCGCATTTGTTCACCTTCCAACTCTACAATATATGTATAGCTTTAACAAATCGAAAAACAAATTATGATAATTAATTCCTCGAATTGCGCATACGCGTCGTACAAACTTGAATGTCAGACAGTTGTGGAAATTAATAAATTTCTATTTGCGAGAGAAAAGTGCCTGATTTATTCACTAAGTTGCTTTCAAAGAGAATCTAATCCTCTTTGAAGGATTAGATCCTCTTTGAAAGCAACTTAGTAAATAAATCAGGCACTTTTCTCTCGCAAGTAGAAATTTATTAATTTCCACAACTGTCTGACATTCAAGTTTGTACGACGCGTATGCGCAATTCGAGGGATTAATTATCCTAATTTGTTTTTCTGGATCTAATCCTCTTTGATTACTATAATATAATAAGTACAGTACTATGTTATAATATATAGTATATATAACTAATGACTATATTATAACTGTAATATAATATAATTATTAATAATAGTATTGTGTAATAGTTAATGTACTATATAATATATTAATAATGGTAATATACCACTAATAGTAGTAATTATAATATAATATAATATTTATTGCTTTATTATAATTACTATTACTACTATTATTATTATTATTATTATTATAGTATTACTATTCTTAATATATTATATAATATATTAATATATATAGTAATACTATTATTAATATAGTTATAATAGAGTTATTAGTTATATATACTGATTGTATATTTGACATTTATATTTTTATAATTATTACTATTCCATAATATTGATATAATATAGCAACTATAATATAGTAATTCAAATAATTATATAGTTGACGTTCCTACTTTTATAGTTATTAATAATAATTAATATATCCTCTATATACATGTATATAGTTAGCACAAGGTAATCAATTGTAAATTATGATAACGACAACTTTTTCTCTTAACGTAGAGATTTATCAGTCACGTTACACGACGTTGAAGAGCGTCATGTTCCATCACATGACGTACTGCCTCATTGGTTTATCGGTCAACGTCAACGAAGTAACGTTTGACCGGGAAACTGGATCTTCACTAATCGTTATCAGCATCGAAGGAGAACAAACTTGGAATCATGTGCCATGATAATGAAGGCTCATCCAGGCAAATCGATCGCGTTTTCTCGAGTCTTAAGCGTCGGTTATGCGATGTTTCATAGCCGTACGAGAATTACAGATCTTCCTATAAGTCGGTCTTTTATTTTCTCCGATAATAGCGAAACGTCATGCGCGCTTGGGATTAATATTACTATCATTTCAAGATGTCAAAAAGTATACCGCGAACGCAACCGCGACGAAACCTGTTCGACAAGGTGATCCAGAAATAAAAAAGAAAAAAGGACGTGCACCAAGAAAGGACATGCGCACCAAGGAAGGTATGCGGAAAGAAATTACGTATGTAAAGCGAGCTGTCAATCTGTACTTATATATATATTGTACCGCGAAACTTATTTACGTGTCCTTCACAAATTTTTTTTAATTAGTACGAAAATCTCGAATGTGTGTCTCGGAAATTCAACGTTACCCTATAGTTTGCGTATATTAATATATCTCTCTCTCCATTCTGTGAAATCTCTATACATTTATAAATAATTCTTCGTACTATATTATCTCGGACTCTGTTATCATTTATCGTTAATTGAAGACGATGTATAAGTCGACTTCATGGTTCTCTTCAACTATGTTCTCGAACCGTTTATATCCATATATTTAATCACAAATTTCCAATTTTGCATCGACAAGATTGCAAAATAATGGTGGTTTATTAATCACCTTGTGAATTTAAGAGATCGTTTATAGAGAGAGAGAAAGAGAGAGAGAGAGAGAAGTGAAGGCGAAATATTTTCAACTTGAAATACTTGAGGAAAAATTTACAAATCGTCGAACGATTAAAGTTCACGATAACTCTTGACATTATTGAAATTCTATGCATTTCCTTATTTTCTTTTTATTCAAATTAAAATCTATCGCGCATAACTAAACATAAACGCGCGATCTCCGACAACTTCAGCGCATAAATATGCCGGTGAAGACGTTAAAAACCGCGAACGGGAGACTCTCTCTCGACATTTAATTAAAAGGAAAAAAATCCTTTTCCGCGGTTTTCGCACTTGAGACAATGGTAAGATGGAGTTAACGAACCATGATGGATGGTGAAGAAGAACCATGCGGGATCGGTCAGCTGTTATCGAAGACGTTTCACACAAAGCGGCGACGACGCGAATGTCGATTTCCGAACGCGTGTACATGAATTGCACTATAATATCAAAGATAATAAAGAAAGAGAGAAAGAGAGAGCGCTACCGCTTGGCCTTTGCACGAGGTCGAACACCCGCGTTCGCGAAGCGGCGTTTCCAGATCCCGCCAAATCTCATCGTCACGCCTCGTCACCGATAACGACGACACTGTCCCTCTCTCTTCGTCGGTTGGAAAGTAAAAAAAAACATGGACGACCTGATGCGATACCGAACGTATCCGAACACTTATTGGATCTTTTATTTCTATCTTCCCTAAAAATCGCGTTGCGATCGCCGATCCTCGTGGAGGATGATCGGTAGATGACGATCGATTTGTCCCATCGTCGATCTCGAAAGAGCGCGTCTCTTTCTCTCTTTTTCTCTCGTTCCGGGACGATGAGATTTGCCGCGCGCGCGAGATCGGCGAGTCGCGCGCACAGGAAGATGACCGGGCTAATACTGATAGCTGCGGTACTCGCTCTCGCTGTTGATACATATGACCATTGGCTTCGAACGCGTTTCGTCGTGACGTCGCTATGTGTTCGTGTACGGATCTTAAACCCACCGCCGCCGAGAACCGCGCGTTGTCAAAGATTCAAAATGCTGCCTCGCGATTATCAAGAGGAAACGCGCGCTTCTTCGCCAATACTTTTAATTAAACGTCCTCTCATCGCGCGGATTTTGCCAATTTTCCTCTATATTTACTAATTTTCTTGAGATGATTCTATATAATATTCCTAGAATTTATATACATTTAATTTCATATATGTATATGTATATGAGATTAATATTATTAGATTTGTAGATTTAATATGTACATATAATATATTTAATATAAAATTTAAAAAATATCTATATTTTTCTTTGACTATTAAATATGTGTACAGAATAATAGAGAGAATAAATAGATTTACGTAAATAATTTCTGCCCTACTAATGTATAAATAATTTATGTATATATAAAAAATAATAATTCACGTATATTAATATAAATTTTATTTGAAATATATTTAGTTATAAATTTAACATATATAAGACAGGCAATATTTAGTTAATTTTGCAAATCAGAAATAGATAAATATTTCAAATATTAAAAAAAAAGAAGTTAATTTTAAATCAGAAAAAATTTTGCAAATTTTTAAATACTTTAATTTATATACCGTAGGACCATATAGTTACAATTTCTAGCGTTGAATAGAAAGAGAATGTCTCACATTTCTACATGATATACTACTAATATATATATATATATATATATATATATATATATATATATAAATATACAAGATAATTGTATTATAAAAAATTGTCACTTGCGTAATTGTCATACATATATATGAATATAAAAGTACTCGATTTGTACATCGAGCAAAAAACATACATATAGGTACATAAAAGATGCAATCTTTATAGCGCTTTTCAGTCTAGCACGTGGCGAATAACTATAACTTTTATGTGTATATATATGTATAGAAGCTTATCACCCGAGTCATATCCGAGAATTGTACAGATAAGAAACGGGAGTTTTGTTTTCTCGCGCTCTCTGCTTATTTCATACAATAATCGCGCATAGTAAATAATTATATGCAAATTTCTACTATTTAGCATAATGAAATTAAAAACTTTATTTCTTGTCTGTACAAAGTTGAAACGCTGTAACCACAAGCTATTGTAAAACTTTCGTCATCGTATTACGTAAGGTAGATCGCAAAGATTTCTTATTACCGAATGATAATAGCATTTAGGTTGCGAAATCAATTATCTATCATCATTTTCTGTCATAATTCTAAAATATGGTAGATAAATTTTTTACACGATAACAAAATGGCTAATCGCACATAATAGAAAGAATTTTTCGCAGCGCAAAATCTAATCTTCGATATAAAAGAAGTGTGTTATATATTATAAAAGTAAATAATAGTGAGGAAAATAAACTTATTGTTAATAAAAATTGATATATCTTATCCTTCAATATTTTTGAAATTATTTAATTAATTAATCCGGACTATTAAGTTAATCAAAGAGAAAGAAGGCAGTTTGAGTCTTGTCAATTATATCGAATATCTTACTTGACGATGGAAAAAGATTTTCATCATTAAACATTTCGTTTGTATCGAATTGTCGGATACAATAAAATCGAACAAAGAGACAAAGAACGATTTCAATAAATTACCATTTATCGTATCGGGAAAATACCGACGTAATCAAATAAAAGGCGAATTAAATATAATATCGACTTATGTAAATCGTATACAATTGTAAATATTTCACGACAGTATAATTCCGGAAAGAGCTTTCAATGAATTTCCTAGTAGAACATTCGGCGTCGCCAAAGGAAATAAACAGAACAATTATCACGCATATATTTATAAGAGGAGCATACCTTCCTTCAAAGGAAACCCCCGACTGCAATTTAAGCTATCTAATTAATCTCTGTTCAACGCCAGCAAGATCGGATTTGCACGTCTCGTAATTTTCCATAGATATAAATCAACCGCGAAAATTTTCCGTCATTAAACGATGATTTTATAATATACGCGTTTGTGTGACAAGATGACAGATGAAGCGGAGAAGAGCACAATACTTAAACAAGTATATTTACTCCTCCGTCACGCATCATATATATCATTTCAATTGCGAATTGATAAATCACGAGTAAATGTGCGAATCGACAAAACGAGCGGGAAAGATGCGTCAATCAATTACGTGTTAAACACAGTACCTACATTGTAATAAAGAAATCTACAGACGTATATACGATGACATTACTCATCTTCCGTATCATATCATCGTTTTTGCTTCATTGTGTCCTTATATATCTGGGTTGGATCCTCGCCGCGGCCATGTTAAATTGTGACGTCAGAGAAAGCACACGCTGAAAATTCTTAGTTGCTATTTTAAAATAAAAAATATTTCAGATGGTTTTAGAATATTTTTTAAATACCTCGAAAATTATACTTTTCCTTCAATAATCAATCAACAATCGTAAAATGATCGTGATATCAGACTTTGTCATGCGGAATGATTGAGCATGTGCAAAGAGCAGACGGACAGGGCCTCATATATTACAGACATTTTAAAACTATGTTGATTGATTATAAAGGGTTATCGAGGTATTTTAAGAATGTGCTAAAGCCATCTGAAGTGCTCTGTTTCATCGATATATCTTTTTATTTCAAAACGACATCTAAGAATTTTTAGTGTGTTTTCTCGCTTCTGACGTCACAACATGGTCGGTGAGAATCCAGGAGCCTTAAAACGCGTGTTAGATTGATGCAGCATCCATGAATTTTTCTGCAATTCAATGTTATCGAAATTAACGTTTAATTTATCGCAAATAAACCTAAAATAAAATATTCAAGTATTCAAGGAAATATGGAGATTGCATGTTTTTGTTCAAACTCTGATACAAGTATCGTTAAAAATAATACTAATAAGAAAAAATATGAAAATCGATCATAAATTTCCTAAATCTATTATATATTCTCTAGCAATTAAATGTCACGCGCGCTTTATCGAACCTGATATAAATTCAGTCCAATTAATTTAATCATCGCAGGCTCATAGTTTATATATTTATTGCTATTTCATTTGTGCTAATTTAATTTCTATTAAAACATTCTTAAAATTCAAAAGCTTTATTCATGTGACTTTCTTTGGCGAATTGAACAATTTAAATATCGATAATAATAATAAGTATTTTTTTTATAATATTACGTTTTATTTTATTCTATATATTTCTAGTAAATTTTTATATGTAGTAAATGTTTATTTTTTATTCTTGTTTTCACGTCTCTTTTATTTATCCTTGTTTCCATAGTTTTCAATAGACATGTCGATTTTGGAGTTCGATTTTTCAAACCTCAACTTTTCAAAAACACCATTTGTTAAAGACAAAAATATTTGAAACAATATCAAAACTGTGACAAACTCAATCTGCTCCGATAGAGAGCGATCTCTAGTAAATATTTGTGGATATAAATTTTTATTATAAACTTTCAATTCGCATAATTAGAGTCAAAATAAAACAAAAGATTTTTTATAACATCTTTTATTTATTTTTGAAAAAAAGACCCGCCAGAAATTGAAACATATGATGTACATTGACACTTATTGCGAATTATATAGTCTTAAATCTTATAGGGACATATCTCCGATTGAAAGGAATGTACTGTGTTTGCATTTACGATAACAATCTTATAAACACACACGTACATACACATATGAGAAAGAGATATGGGATCGATAGAATTGAGCATCACACTCGCATGAAAAAAATAATCTTTCAGCTTGAAAAAAATGTCTTTTAATATATCTTCTCGTATTAAATGTACGTAAAAAAAAAACACATGTGAATTGTATCAAAATTAAAATTTTATGTGACTTTAATAGGCCTAACTTTTATCTAACGAGATTCATATTTGCCAGATTCGTTAATATTATCGCAGTGTAAATATAGAATTTCAATACGAAAAAATACATAATCTTGTTTAAATATAACTTGTCTGTGTATCTCGTTCATATCAAATCAGATTGATATGTGTAAAAAAATTATCCGAACGATTAATTAATTAATCTCTAGTCTATTGAAAATTTAGAGTTAACAATAGAAAATAATAAATATAAATGCTGTTATAATCACATATATCAATAATCATATATAATTTTATAATTTTCGAGTAGAATATCAGTTTTCCTTATAAAATCAATCTTCCTTATAAAATCAATTTTCCTTATAAAATCAATTAAATTAATTCTTGTTTGTATAAAGATAAGACAAAAGCATGGATATTAAAATGGTCGCTCATTTAAAAAAATAACGCGATAATTAACTTGATAACTTATTTAGAAAAAAACTCCAAATTAAATTATATATTTGTCACGATATAATAGAGATAACAAACTACAAAGTGCAGTTCTATCGCGATTTGATATTCGTCATTGCGGCAATTTTGCACAGTGCTTTTAAACGTATTTATAAAAGAAAAAAATCTATATTGATATATACACTTGTACCCGACGTATGTAAGCAGGAAACTCTTAAATTATTTATACAAAAACTACATATTGCAGCCGTACTTGTCGTTCTTTTACGTAAACGTCAGTGTTTTGAAGCGAAGAAAGAAAATCGAGCCTCGTGTTTACACTCTCGCACATCTGCAACCGCGTGAAAACAAAAAATCAAAAGTCAAAAAAAAGAAGCACACGCGCGCATTTTATTAGCGCGAAAAAGAGCGCGCAAAAACAACGGGGAATAAAATCGCGCGATTTGCACGCGCGACGAGAACAATGCGCGTAAATAAAGCGTTTTTTAATATCGCGGGCGATCAGCTGGTTGCGTTTCCATACGCAACGGCTGTTATTGATCCGCGCGCGGCGCAGGAAGGTTCCGTCAAGCTCATATACATTCTCGTAGCGTGCGACACCTCGCGCTACTCGATATCCGCGTATACATTCATTATTCCCTCGGAATAAAATGTTGTCGTTTGACGCAGGCAAAACTATTTGACATTTTACTCACCGATGCTCGTTCTCCGTCCTCGGTGGGCCAATGCTAAAAAACTGCGACGAGCTGCATGGTACGCGCGCAAAAGATGATATCCGCTGCTGGCAGTCGCCGAGGAAGCTCGAGAACACGTATAAGATGAGAAAGAGCGAGAGAGAGAAAGATAGATAGATAGATAGATATATATATAGAGAGAGAGAGAAATCACGACCCGGAAGCGATGGGTAAAAATTCGGTGAATCCCTGAGGATGACGGCGATCTGGACGAGCGAGCGAATAATAAGAAGCGATGGAGGAGCGCGGATGACGCGCACCAGGAAACTAATATCTCTCTCTTCGGCGCACTCCGGTGTTGCTCCCAACGGCAGCCAGCGGCACGAGCCAAGGGTGAATTTTGACTGCGATTGACTGCGCGCGCGCGCGCGCAACGTCACCCCCTCGCCGCCCTCTGGCTCGATTTTATTCTCGTCTACTCTCGCCCTCTCTCTTTCTTTCGAATCCTATGCCGATTTGCGCGCGAACTCCTCGCGCGTTCTCTCTCCAAGCGAAGAAGCATCTTTCTCGATTTTATTATCCCAGGTAGAACATAAAATTCATATAATGATGTCAACATGATTTTATTCATTACTTAAAAGTTATCTGGATAAAACTGATTTATAAAGACAATAAAAGAATTTATAGATTTAAAGATATCCTCCCTAATATAAGATAAAATCGCTTTATATAATTTTCAAAAAATTTATGCTGCTTGAATATTGCTGGAATATATGTGAACAATGGAATAAATAAATAGTTGTAATATATAAAATTTTTTTTTTTTAATGAATTTTAAGTGTCATCATGATGTCATTAATGAAATTTTAGGTTCTATCTAGGATTCTCTCAATGAGAATGTTGTCAAAGAGGTATCCAGGTATTTCCACGTTAAAGTGCGGAGAATATTTTTTTTCTTTTTTTAATGTCGACACTCTGAATGTTGTCGCTTATTTGGATCCACTCTCTGGAATTCTGCCAACGTGACAAGATTAAACGCGACTTGATTCATTCAGCGCAGACCGCGTAATCATGAAGTAAATAAGATTATATTGCGAAAATGTGTAAACAAAAACTACGTAGACTTGACAATCGATTAGTCAAATTCGTAGGATGAAATTTTGTGACTGAAATAATTGCAGAATAATAAGAAAGCTAAAATTATATTATTATATGTTTATTTTTGTCATTTCAAGAAAAATTTAAAAATAATTTTGAATACTTTCTTGTCGAATCATCGTCAATTCGTCGTCGAATCGACGTCGATTCGTCGTTGAATCAACGTTGATTTGATCAATCATTTGATCAATCATTTCTAGGACGATATGCATAATGTCATCCATTGAATATGTAAAAGTAAACACCATAAGAATCATCTTTCGTACAAACACCGTTTAATATATTTCGACTACAAGTCGCATTAATTCGTGTTTTCACAATTTAACCTTCAAGATTTTGATTTCGAAATAAGCATAATATATATAGTGCGTCGTGATTATTTGTAATTTAATTGTTAATAAAATGTAAAAGTCATATAAATTGCTTATTGTTGTGATAAATTTCTACTTTGTTTTTAAATTATACTTTTTATTTGAATTTTTAATGATAAAAAATAAGTTCGTGATCGCAATAAAATGTAGAATATTGATTTTTCCCTTTCACAGATATGAAATCAAGCTCATTAAATATTCTTTGCTGACTTTTCGTGACATCGTAAAATTGTTTATAAGTATATAACGTTAATAAAAAATAAAATAATATACTCACGAGAACCATTTTCATATATTCATGTATGGATAAACAAAATGCCATGTTGCACTACTACTTTACACATTTTACACTATTTAATATATTTTACATAAACTCTCTCAGAGCATTGAGTACGTTTTGATAAGACACCGCTACTGTAGCGCTACAAAAAACTACATCGCTACAATAGCGAAAAAACTGTAGCGCGCTATGATAGCGGTGTCTTACCAAAACGCACTCATTCAATTAAATTTTAATTAACTCAATCGTTGATTTTAATTAACAATATATAATTATCATATATGATATATAATAAAGATTTTAAAATTTTGCTGATTAATTTATAAAGTGAATCAACGCGATTAAGTTAATCGAAACTATTGGCTGTCAAATAATTTGAAAATTGAAAAAACGGTGTATTCTTTTGTCAAAAAGTAGAAGTGAATCTAGATGGCGCATTATTCATGCTGAGAATTTACCGCATCGATAAACCACGTCATATGACGTCACGTGACGTCACGACTCCGAAGGAGAAACACTGACGTGTGACGTGCACTGATGTGGATACATGTGTAAAGTGTAAGATACAATTGTTAGGCACATAATTTGGTGTTATTTCGTTTAAAAAAAAAAGAAACCTATAATTTACAATGTCTGACGAATCTGAATACGACGTGGAACCAGAGGAGTTTGATATCTACAAGAAAAAGTATCAATTACTGTTAGAAAGATGCGATATTTTGCAGCAGGTTAAGTCTCTCTCCTCTCTCAAACAATATCACTGTGGCATATGCTCCACAAGATGATCATTATCAACTATTTTTTCAAGCTATATATTTTTTAAACTCTAGGAGAATGAGAGATTGGTCTATAGGATCCAGATGGTAAGGAAGCTTCTTCGACGTGTGAGGAAAGAGAAAAAGTTAGTCTCGTAGACTTATACTCTGATCTGAAATTTATGTAAATTCTTGTCACTCATATTTCTGTGATATTAATCGTAGATTCTTGATCAATCGATTGAATCAGCATGGAGATCGCTGGCGCGAAGCACCAATGGGTGTGTTAGAAGAGAACAGTGTATTCGAAACAACTCCAAAATCAGAGAAAGGAGGAAAGGGTGCCTCTAATAATGCCAAAGAGGAGAAACCTAGGAAAGGAACAAAGAGAAAGGGTGCAAAAGCTGATCCAAATGCGCCAAAGAGACCTGCCAATCCCTTCTTCCAGTTTTGTCAAGAGCAGAGACCTCGTGTAATGGAACGCTTAGCAGGGGAACCAGAACCTAGCAAGCAAGAACTTACTAGACAACTTGCGACCACTTGGAAATCTCTTAGCTCCGAAGACAAAAAAGTAAGAGCGAATATTACCTGTTACATAAATGTTAAACATAATTTTTATAACTATTCTAGATATTAAATACATCTGAAATATATTCTTTCAGGTATATTATGACATGTATGAAAGATCCAAGGAGAAATATGTCGCCGAAATGCAAATATATAACAAAAAGACTGAAGATGCACCATGTCAAATGTTAAATATATCATAATAAATATATAAGCAACACTGTATTTATTATAATAATTATATCATATATATATATATACATATATGTGTATATGTATATAATCGTAGGTTATATTAATACAATAAGACAAATGTGTTAATATAGACTTATTTTACTACAAATGTATATCTATTGTTTTTGATTTTTAAATGCTGTCAATATACATCTGTGTATATATTTAATGAATATTGTTACAAAATCAAAAGGTTTTTATAAAATCATAAAACAACTTGAAATAATTTTGGAAATAGAAGCTAAATAAACCAGCAATAATAAATTTAAAATATTTATTTTAATATAATATGCCATAGTATATTTGCACATGATAAAATTCATCTAGATACCTTTTGCATTTTTTAAGTTTATACATTTCCCACCTTAAAAATATGTTAATATTAAATGCATATACTAGATGAATAGAAAAAATATTTTAGTATTATTAAATCTTATGCTTTAAAATTATCTTTTTCACGTCTTAAGAAAGCCATTGTCTGAATAGGATCGTTTTGTTGTGCATGTTTCATGACAGACAGTTCATGTACTCTCATAAATGGATTTGTTAGTTTTTCATTTTTAATAGTGCTAGGCACAGTTGGAAGATTATTGGTACGTTTAGTGTGCGACCAATTCAATTTTTCTTGAATCGCTTTATTCTCGGGTTCCACATGCAAACCATATTTCAGATTGTTTTCTGTGTATTCATGTCCACAGTACACTTCCTATGATATATAAGAATTATTTGTCTTCCAAATAATAAATTACAATTCGAGTTAAATAACTTACCGTTTCTTCGGGTAAAGAGCCCAAAATTTCAATAAGTGCCTTGTACATTTGATTAGCAGTACCCTCAAAAAATCTCCCGCAGCCCCCAGCAAAGAGGGTGTCTCCTGCAAATTAAACTTTTCTTTATTAAATTTCTTATTTGAATATATATCTCATCCTTATTATATATCTAATTTTACCTGTAAATACAGTTGGTGGATGTTCTTCTCCTGTAACATAATAACAGATGTGTCCACGTGTATGGCAAGGTGTTGCCAGACACTTGACTGATAAATTGCCAATATTGAATGTATCATTGTGCGTAACTTTGTGATTAATGGCTTCTATTCTGTCATCTCCACCATATACGGAAAGATCAGTAAAGCTCTTCAATAACTTTGCATTACCGCCAGCATGATCCCAATGATGATGGGTAGTTAAAACTTTTGTTAATTTGACATTATTTTTCTGAACAGCTGTAGCTACAGTTTCTGGATCAACAGGATCCACAACAGCAGCTTCTTGTGTCGCTTCATCGATAATCTAAAAAAATATATATACAAATTTATAATGACATTATTTATATTATTAAATATATATTAGACAAATATAGAGATTTAACATAAAATAAAGTGTTAAAAAAAAGAACTAAAAGTTTTTACATTATTAAGATCCAGAAAAATGTATAAATATTATTATAAATAGCACAATATAGATACCAAGTACATATAATTATCTTGAAGCGCTGGTAATATTTGAATCTTCATGCTGGAATGCTCTATCGTTGTGCTAAGACTGTGCGATCCGTTAAATCCGTTGGAAGAAATGCTCTTTGCTGAAAAAATAGACATAATTTACATATGTATATACAATTGAATAAAATGTAATGTACATGTTATTTGTCAATTATAAAAATACAGAAAAGTATGAATTAATTAAGATTCGAAAAAATGAAAAACATAATGACAGATACAACTTTATTGTGATGTGCTAATGTGATAACGCGAGAGTTTTAGAGCTTTATACGGAATGCGAATAATAAAACAGATACCCCTAAAATATATAGACGTGAGTTTGCTTTCAAGCCATGTTGGACACGCGCGAAGTGCAGCTTGAAGGAACATAGTGGTGAAAGTTTGAAACCGCTTGATATCTCATTTATTTTGTGCGCACAAAGTGTCGTCGCTTCTCTCTACTTGCCTGATAATTAATCAAAGAGAGGCGTCAAAAGGGAGCAAAATAATTGTACCAATTATGGTAGACTGAAGTTACGGGCAAACTCCAAACTGATAATGGAGATAACTATAGTAATATATATATATATATATATATTTATATATACTTAATCTTGACTGAATCTAAAAGTATGCACCAATCAAATTCACGAATTTTGCACAATTGCAAAGCAATTTTCCTAAACGCAGCCTGCAGCCATTCATGTATACGGACCATTCAATACCTAGCATCATCTGACATCGATCAGCTGATCAGGCTGATCTAATGCTTCAGCAGCACCGGCATAAACAAGTTTTATCTTGAATGTGATGCATTTGATAATTACGAAACGTTTGTGATTTATATACAATCGTGAGATATACATTAATCTTTAAATAAAAAGAAATCCAAATAATTCATTAAAATGTCTAAGAACACGAAGGATGTGGTTACGATAGACGACGACAATGAGAGAGAGTATCAAGGTTAATTGAATATTAAATTAATATAAAACTTATAAAATTTCTCTATTTTTTATATTTGTATCTTACTAGACTAAACATATATGAAAAAAATTATTGATTAATCTAAAAATATTTATCTATCGGCGGAATTAGTCTAACTAGTGCAGAGATGCAAAGTATTTTGTTTTTATTTTCATTTCTCGCCTCGCCATTAAGAAACTAACTGTTATAAATTTAGACATTATTTTGCAGGCATTTATGATCCCCTTTCTTTAATTCTTTACCTAGATAAAATTATATTATATTTTTATGGACTTGTACCTTATTTTTATTGTTTTTCTTCCAAATTTCAGTCACCGAGGACGACGAAATCGCTGCCATCAATTTCGAGCTGCAACAAATAGAGAGCGAACTGCAGAAACTTCAGGATCGTAAGAAAATATTGACTCAACGTAAGGAGAAATTACGCGACGACGCTCTTTTGAAGAAAAGTTTTTCCCTGTCCAAGAAAAATTGGGACAATGAGAACTTTGATTGGTCCACAAGTCTCAGGAAAGCTTTAAAAGACGTTTTCAAGATTGAAAAGTTGCGGGAGCTACAACTACAAACTATGAATGCGATTATGTCCAAAGAAGATGTTATATTAATCATGCCTACAGGTGGTGGCAAAAGCTTGTGTTATCAATTGCCAGCCGTAATCAGCAAAGGTATAACTATAGTAGTTTCACCATTAGTGTCCTTGATGGAGGATCAGTTACACGGATTGAATAAATTCAACGTAAAGGCTACCATGCTGTGTGCAAAGGCAAGCAAGGAGAGTGTCAAGACGACCATGAACGCGCTTGTGGATAAAAACTCGAACCTAAAACTGATCTACGTGACTCCGGAGTACATGGCAAAGTCCAATCGTTTCATGAACAAGCTGCAGAAGGCGTATGAACTGGGACGTCTGGATCGTTTCGCCATAGACGAGGTACATTGTTGTAGTCAATGGGGTCACGATTTCCGACCGGATTACAAGTTCCTAGGCGTATTGAAATCCATGTTCCCGGGCATACCGATTCTAGGTCTCACTGCCACGGCCCCGGCCAAGATCATCGTAGATGTACAGAAGATGTTGGACATTAGCGGTTGCCTGGTCTTACGCGCTTCGTTCAACAGGCCCAACTTGTATTACGAGGTTCGTCGTAAACCAGCGGAAAAGGAGACGTGTCTCGCGATGATAGAGAATCTTTTGAAGACTCGATTCAGCGGCAAGTCGGGGATAATTTACACGACTACGATTAAGGACGCCGAACAGCTGACCACGGATTTAAGGGAAAGAGATATTAAAGTCGGATGTTATCACGCGATGCTCGAGGCTGAGTACAGATCGGAAGTATACTCCAAGTGGATATCGGGCAAGTATCAAGCGGTGATTGCGACTATCGCTTTTGGCCTGGGTATCGACAAGCCGGACGTGCGATTCGTGATACATCATTGCGTCTCCAAGTCGATGGAGAACTTTTATCAGGAAAGCGGTAGAGCGGGCAGAGACGGCAGGAAGTCGGTGTCCATCGTGCTCTACAGATTGGCGGATGTGTTCAAGTTGAGTACAATGGTATTCCAGGATAAAGTCGGACTGCAGAATCTGTACAAAGTGTTGATGTACTGTCTGGATCGAACGTCCTGCAGACGGAGCTTAATAGCGACTCATTTCGAGGAGACCTGGAATGCGAGCGATTGCGTCGAAATGTGCGATCATTGTAGGAAGCCGAGTGTCGGAAAGCAAGTTGACGTAGCGCAATATTGCAAACAGTTGTATCAAATTATGACGAAGGCTGTGCAAAACGAAACACGATTGACCGCGATCAAGCTCGTGGACGCCTGGTATAGCAAAGGTGCCACGTCCTTGCGAGTGTCTAGCGTACCTGTGCCAAAGTTTACGAGAGAAACCGCGGAAGCTATCGTAGGACATTTGCTAGTGAACGGTTACTTGCAGGAGGACTTTCATTTCTCAGCGTATTCTACGATATCGTATCTTAAACGCGGCCCTAAATCGGGACTAGCTCTCAACAACGATCATAAGATACTCTTCGATTACGAACTACACTAACGCTAGGGAAAAAGATGTTAAAGTAATTCAGAAGAACAGTTGATCATACACAGGTGTTCGCAATATTTTATATACCTTTCTATCTGTTTTTTTTTTTAAATATATATTCTTGGAAGTCCACGATGCATTGTCACTTCATTATTAGTCATGAATTATATTTTAATTAATTAATAAAATATTAATAAATTGTGTATTTAATTGTTTACATCTGTCGCGATAAAATTTAATTTAAATCGTTGATCGGGAAGAATTTACGTCATTTTCGCGCGTAAAACCGGCAGTACCGTATCTCAACATTCTGAGATTAAAGAAGAGAAACTGAGGAAGATCGATCGAAAGTAACAGAACGCGAAACACGACAAATGTATAACGTTACTTAAGAAGCGCGAGAGACGGCAAATAATCGATAAAAACGGCCTACGAAGTAGCGAACAGGCATAGCGAAATGTCAGCGGGTCGGGTAGTAGGAGCGAGTGCGGCAGTAGAGGTAGAGCGAGACTTCCGCGATCGCGGATGGAAATATTGATCTAGGATAAGAAGAGCGTCTCTTTCTCTCTCTGTGTATACACACACTGGAAGGCGCGTCGCGTCGCGTCGTCGTGCGTTATCGCAAGTCACGTTTGTAATTAGAATACTCGTTGCGTAACCGATCGTGCCAAGTCGCGAGCTGTCAAAGTACGACGCGCCAAGCCGCGAGCTGTCAAGTACGACCAAGCCGTGAGCTGTCAAAGTACGTCGCGCCAAGTCACGAGCTGTCAAAGTATATCGCGCCGAACCGCGAGCTGTCAAAGTACAATCAAGCTGTGAATTGTCAAAATACGATCAAGCCGCGAGGTGTCAAACGTCGCGCCAAATCGCGAGCTGTCAAAGTGCTTCGCGCGTATGCGCGAGATTTTCGCAGAATTTTGTACGCGAGTCGACGTGCACGTCACACTTGCGCGGCGGAGGGGAGAAGGCGCCCCCGCGCATCGTCGGATCGAGCGATTACGTAGGCGATTTAGATACATTTCGATTAGAATTTATAATTATCATTCTCGCTCCGTCGCGAAGATCATCACGGAAGAGCTCGCTTTCAGCAACATGCGACCGACTGACACGCTAGAAACGTCAAGAGTCCTCCGAGGCGTCGTTGTTATTCACCCTCCTCGGTGAAGGACGGAGGGAGGAGTCTCCCCCAAAAAGTGGGGCTCTGCTACGAGACTACGCGGCCCGTTATCGAGAACTATCCTGGACGTTTGCGGCACCGGATGTGGCACGGATATAAGCGACGTTATCGAACAGCTTTTTGTATATGTAACGAGGCTAATTGACGGCGATAACAACCGTCGTGCGTTATAAAGTGTTCGTGACATCTGCGGGAGAGTCTCTCTTCGACGTGGGAGTTGCGCGTCGACGCGCGGAAGCATCCCCGAAACCCAATTCTCGCCCCGAATTATGCTTGCTCTTCATCGTTTTGTATTCTCCGCCGATCGGCTCGATTTGCGACCCCATCGGTGCGGATACCAAGACTTCGTAGACGAGGATAGCCCGGAGTCGAGTTTGGGGAAGCGAAGTATTTTCGCGAACGTCGTAAACAGACGGATTTCCGTGCCAACGAACGCTTAGATTTCCTAGCTGAAAAGTTTGAAGAATGATCTAGAGTATCATCGAAGGCGTATGATGTGTCATATTAATCGGAAGAAACCAACGAGAGAGTGATCACATGACAGAAAGATGCCTCTGCCAAATATTCTGCGGAAAGCGAGCAGCTACATCCTCGGCGACTGCGGCCAGGACAATCGGCGGGTCATTTACCAGGACGGCGAGGCGTTGTTCTGTAAGAATAACGTCTGCGTGCACCCACCGACGTTGTTGAGGCAGCACGCCGACGTGGTGCACCATCCCGGGTACATGACCGTCACGTGCAAACTGAACAAGAACTCGAATTTGCCGACTCTACACCTCAGCTGGATACCCAACAGCACGCTGCGGAAGCATCCGACCGCTCTGGAGAACCTGAGCGCCAGAAACGTCATCGCCGGAGCCGCCGCGGCCGCCAACGATCAGACCAATCCGCGTTCCCCACAAATCTCCGTAAGAGGAAAGTCACGTGGCGCGGACGGGCTGGAGAACGAGAACGAGAACGACGCTGAGAACGGGAACGGGAAGCTGGACGTTTGCCTGGAGGCGAAGGAACCCGTCAACTGCGGCGACTGCGAGCGCGTCTGCTCCGGTTCCGGCCACGAGTTTTCACGCCGCCAAGATCCGGACGACGAGAAGAATGTCGGCGAGAGAATCGAGAATCCGCGACCGGATTCCGCGGAGTCGAAAAAATGTGAGAAGAACGGGGACTCGAAGGAGAGGAATCTTAACGAGAGCGACGCCAGGAGCGTCGACGAGGAGCCGCGTCTCTCTTACCGCGACGATGTCAGCATTAAGAGTCGCAGCTTGTCGTTGACTTCGACGTGCAGCTTGTCGATCTCGGTATCTACTGATGGTGAGTAAAAATATATAAATAAATAAATAAAGATATATTTAGATCTAACTTTGAGCTAATTCTCAATTAATGAATGACGTTATTTGTCCAGCCGAGGAGATGCCGACGTGGATGAGGTCCCCGGAGCTCTTAGCTCTTCAGCACAATCTTGCCTTTCCCGAGAGCGCGACCGCGTCACCTGTGACGTTGCGCAGGGCGCATCGATGCAGAAGATTCTCGGTGGACCTCGGTGAGATGCGATCCTTACGGCTGTTCTTCGCCGACCCTGCTTGCACCTGCGGCCAGTTGGTGGTGGCCAGCAGAGAGAGCCAATATAAGATCTTGCACTTTCATCACGGCGGCTTGGATCGGTTGGCCGCGACTCTGCATCAGTGGCATCAGTTGCTTTATCCACGCCAGAGTGCGGACACGGAGGAGACTCTGCCGTACAGGTCAGACATAGGATTAGATAAATTGTTCGTTTATCGATCTGTTACGTAATAATCACAAAGAACATTTTACACAGGCACTTTATGGTATGCAGACCGGAGGTAAGTAGGGACGAATTGCATCCCGAAGAGGGCCAAGTGCCAATGATCACCTCGCTAGCTTGGAAAGACCTGTTGAACGAACGTGGCCAAGTGGAGGACGATCTCGCTCTTCGTAAAGGGATATTTTTCGGTGGTTTGGAACCGGCGTTACGAAAGATTGTCTGGCCGTTTCTGCTACACTGTTATTCCTATCAGAGCACGTACGAGGATAGAGAGCAAATCGACGCTATTAGACGCCAAGAATACGAGGAGATACAGAGACGCAGATTGGGCATGAATCCGGAGCAGGCTGAGCGTTTCTGGCGACACGTGGTGTGTATAGTTGAGAAGGATGTTGTTCGCACCGATAGAGGTAATCCCTATTACGCCGGCGAGGGTAATCCTAACATCGAAGTAATGAAGTGAGTTAATTTCGAGTCATTGATTGTCATCATCACGTTGCCTTTAACTAAATCACATATTTTCTTCTGCCTTGTAGGAATATTTTACTCAACTACGCGGTATACAACTGCCGCTTGGGCTACACCCAAGGAATGTCTGATCTCTTAGCTCCGTTACTAGCCGAACTTAACTCCGAAATCGAGGCCTTCTGGTGTTTCGCGGGCCTGATGCAGAGATCGGTAGCTGTGTGCACTCCGACCGACACAGACATGGACAGAAATCTATGCTACCTTCGGGAATTAGTGAGAATAATGGTGCCGGACTTTTACGCGCATCTTGAAAAACACGCGGACGCTTTAGAGCTTCTCTTCTGTCATCGTTGGATACTCCTGTAAGTACAACTATTGTGTTCCACGTGAATGAAAACACTTTCAATTTTATACAGTTTTTAACGTATATGTATTATTTTTTCTCCTCCTTATTACAGGTGCTTGAAAAGAGAATTTCCAACTGAGATAGCCCTGGTCATGTGGGAGGCCTGCTGGGTCAATTATTTAACGGATCATTTCCACTTGTTTCTCTGCCTCGCTATAATGTGCGTCTACGCGGACGACGTAATCGCTCAGGATCTGCGAACGGACGAAATGTTGTTGCATTTCAGTTCACTGGCCATGTACATGGACGGGAATATTATACTTAGAAAGGCACGAGGCCTACTTTATCATTTTCGTCAGCTCGTCCGGTTGCCTTGCACGTTAGCCGGTCTCTGCCGACAATGCGGTCCGGGGATGTGGGACAGCACGCACGACCCGGTGATAGAGTGCATAGGTCACGAAGACACGAATTGTCCCTATTTAAATAATTACGAGTAAGTTTATAAGTTTTTATAGGAGAAGAGACGAGGGAAGAAGAGAGGAGTATCAGTATTATTTAACGTATAGACATGAACTCATTTCGTCGAGTTGTTAAATTCTAAGTCCTTGTTCTCTCTATACATCTTGCTCTTTCTGGATACAGGGTGTCCCATAGGAAATTGCTGAAACTAATCAGCTCTCATTTTTTAATACATGCAGTTATTGAGAAACCAAAATTGTATTGAAAAGAGGAAAGTCTACAGTTTTTAATGGATATAAATAAAATGTTTGTATACTAGCTTATTTTATTGAAAAAAAGTAATGAAGAAAGTGCTAAGTGGTACACAAACATTTTATTTATATCCATTAAAAACTGCAGACTTTCCTCTATCCAACACAACTTTTGTTTTCTCAATAACTGCATGCATTAAAAAATGAGAGCTGATTAGTCTTGAGAAATTTAAGCAATTTCCTATGGGACATCCTGTACATACTACCGGACGATTCGATTCGTAGCATAAGTTTTCTACAAACCACTAATATTTACGAGATATCGTACCAAACCTAGCTATATTACACTCTCTAGATTTTTACATGCAAATTACAAGCTCAATTGTCACGCGCGCGACGATTACGCGCGTCTTTGTTCTTGTACATATAAAGCTGTTTAAGCACTCTTCAATGAACAAAAAGAAAAAAGAATATACATATTACACCGTTGTATTGTACATCAGTCCGAATTTAATGCCGAAGCACAAAAGACATATCTTGAAGTTTCAATTCTCCGAATGAAATTCACGCACCGTCGATTGAAATAGCTTAAGAAATTTGAACAAAGTTTGTACGCGAGTACACAGAGATTCGCGACATGTCTTAGATAAATCTACAGTATTCGTAGTGTTAAAGACTGATGAGTGAGAAGGGATAATTAGTACAAGCGTCCGTGTGCCACCAGCTGGGATAGGAAGATATGTCCGTCGTGTAATCCTGTTCCATAGGCATCAACCTAGTAGCGAGTTCGTCCGCGGAAAAACCAAAGAGAGAAATCAAATCGTATATCAGTGCGAAAAAAGTGGCTATTTATTATTTATAAAAATATATATATATATACCCGAATTTTGTGCGCGGGTGTATCTTAAGTATAAATTAACAGTGTCTATTCACTCCGAAGTGTTCACTTACGTTCATATATATATACATATATATATGACAGTCTCATATATTGCTACTTTTCGCATATGTAGAATTTGTAGAACAGCGTTGAACTTTTACTTTAAGCTTGAAACGCTGCGACGTGCCGAAATCTCGTTTCTATTATTGATATAGTTAGATATTAATTTTTTGCTAATCATACCAGTGTTGCACGAATGTTTATTCTTGTTTTAAGGGAATTCGTTTAAGAAGAAAAGAAAAAAGATTGTCGGACTAAGCTAAATTTTCTCACCGAATAATTGTAATTTTAATTACTTATTTATTTTTTCTTTTATTATTACGATCCGTTTCGAATGTATGTAAAGACACAAAAAGCTGGTTATTCAAAATCTTACAAATACTGTGCCTATATGCAAAAAAAGGCGATTGTAAACACATTCCACGCTAATTCATGTAATCAGGGACATCAAATTTTATCGAAAATAGCTTTTATCGCTTTTATCGTGCTATCTTCTATCGTTGGAATCTTGAAGAGAAATCTATCTGTGTTAAGATCTGCCTCATGCAGAGATCTCGATTCGAAATAAATATAAGAAGGCAGAATTATGTGTGTACATATACCGGTTTGAATAAATCGGCAAGAAGCTTGTATAATCAACTGTTTATTATTATTATCCATTGCTCAATCGCTTTTGGAAAAATATATATATATATATATTATATACTCGCAACAATTTTTCATTGCACGCTACACTGGCACAGGTACACAGATGTGACGGACATGCTGCGAATAGATTTTTTGGCAGTTTTATACATATCTTATACAAAAATACGATCTCAAAAAGAACATAACATTATACATTCGCTATTGTTACTATTATATTACCTCTCGTTAATATTACTTCACTATAACTATGCAAAATGGAGAAATTATTTCACTGTATAAAAAAAATACAAGTACAATAACACATTGTTAGAATCTCTTTAGGATAACAAAATCACCGCACTTCTCAGTTCTGGGACAACTCTACAAAAGTAAAGTATATACATATAAAGAGAACGCGCGAGCACTCTTTTTCCACAGACATTATATCCCTATGTTAAACTTATCCGATAGTTCACAGTTGTACATGCCGACTTGTGCTAAAGTATTGTCGGTTCACCACATGCATGTGGTGAACATACTGCCACAAATAACGCGATCAAGTCTGATACAGATCTAAAATTTCATCAAACATCCATACATCAGCCATCACTATTAATCTCTTTGTCCTCTCACTTTAGTCGCCATCAGTTCAATTTGTATTGAATGTTTATAGAATATCAATTAAAACTGTCGACTGACTCTGCGCAACATATTTCTGTATATGGACATGTGTGAAATGTATCATTCAGAATATGTAACACTTTCGTCGACATCTATCTGAATTTTTTTTGTAATCGAGTTTACACAAGCTCCTTCTTTTGATTCAATAATATAAATGTAACATTATTTTATTATTGACTAAGCCAAGAGGATGGCAAATGTATTTGTATTAAATTGACAGATACTAAAATCATACACGCGATCGCCCATACTACGACGAAAATCAGCCAACACTTGCCCGAAAAAGGACTTGCGAAATTATTAACCACGCCAAGACCGATGACCTTATTAGTCCTTTGCCTGGCACAATAAACCAGGAACGTAGGTATTAAATATTGAATCCCTGCTCCAGCATACGATCCTGTGATACCAACTAGTATGGACAAATCTTTGGTACTCATCGCGATCAAATACGGCGGTATTACTGCTAAAATAGGGAAGACGAGTTTTCGAAGACATAAATTGTAAGTCGTATCCTCATTTAAAAAGAGCGACTGCAAATTATTTCGAAGGGTAATCGCTATAATAGGAAAACTGGTACTCAAAGTAAATACCGGGAAAAGCGCCAAGAAATATTCTATAAGGAGCATTAAAAAATTGTTACTTTTGGAACAATCACCAGAACCACGTGGTCCAAAGTCCAAAGTATAAAGATCATCCAAATGCTGAAAGGCAAAAATACCTGTCAAGGCTAATAATAAATAAAAAACGGCGATTAACGTGTAGTCGAAAGCTAGAAATCGATTCAGCTTAGACTTGTTTTCTATCGGTGAAACCAGTGCCGGTAACGAATGATGACACATGAATGAATAAACGCAGGCGCCGAAAAGACTAGGAACTCCTAAAATAATAAAATATATTTTTATAATTTTGTTGCTCACGCATTAATCACATCAATGAAATTAATAAAAGATATCAATGATCTCTTACCAGCTAAATTCGCAATAGGTGGATCGCCCCGAGGACCATGTACGATAAGATTTTTCAAAGCATAAACAATCATTATGGTAAATGCAAGCCAGCGCATTATCGAAGTAAGTAGCTGAAGATATTTGGTCTTCTGAACATTAAAAAACACAAACGGTCCCAATGAGAGTACAAACGTTGTCTGAAAATAAAAATAATTATTATCACACAGCTTTATAATTTTAACAAATCATTAAATCTATTGAAATTAATCAAAGCAATGACATACCAGAAATATTCTATATGCATCCGTTCGATTGATCACAAAACCCTCCCAACAAAGTTCAGTATCTGGTATCGTGTCGTTGCATGTAAGGTTTGCTGGCAGATAAGTACAGGCAACATCCGCCAACGACTTTGCAACAGCTGCTCCATAAATGCTTAAATCTCCATATAAATATATAGCGAAACATAAATAGAACAGGATAGTGCCAAATCTGTTGAAAAAGATGGATGCCATCTGACCCATCTCTATCTTATCACGAATCACGTAATATCTATAGGACCTATCCATATGCTCTGGACTAGTTGAAGAGGCTGCTACCAGTGGAGTATCCTCCGAATCCGAATTGGAAGGACCGAATTCACCTATTGTCTGTAAAGCCTGAAAAAACATCCCTATGTAAATATTTGTTACAAATTAAATAATATATATTTATAGCACATGTAAGATCATACAGTGTGTGTGCTAATGTATAGCTTTGATCGTTATCTTCACTTTCTATCTTTCTAAAGTCTCTGCAGAATGCTTACGCGTTTTCGATGCTGAATATTCCTCCATGTGACTATAGCATTAGCCGATGCCATCGTTTCTATGACGAAGGTAACTGTAATGAAGCTGCACCAAGAGAGAACTCAATGAGAATAAAGTTTGGAAGAGCTATCTTCTTAGAAGAAAATGACAAGTTCTTTCCTACATACCTGATGAACGCTAACACTAAAATGACGCTGCATCCTAGGGCCCATCCTGCTCGACTGAAAACCCCGGGTAAGGTCAGGGCGCCTGTTCCAACAATGAGATTGAAGATGTACGTGAGTCCGACCTGTAAACCCATACATCTCTTCAAGTTCTTTGTTTACTTGGATTCATAGGTTATAATTCGCGCTGCCACTACACAGTGACAGTTAAATTGACGTTTCCTTACCCACGTAGAGTATTGATCGCCGACCTTCTGGTCGGACATCTCGAGTCGAGTTAGCGCCAACCTTGAAGAGGAGAATATCTGAGCGAGAGACCCTACGTCTCGTCTCGATGTCACATACGCATCTGTCAGTCACCAAGATTGAGCCAGGACTACCGTTTTCGTGCTTGGGACACGTTGTTGATGATGTTGTTGACGTTGACGCGAATTGATTCGCGCGATCGGATCAATTCGACACGTCCGAGAGAGAATGTAACGATAAACTTTCACTCACGTATCTTCTCAATCTCAACTTAGATCTGTCATCGCTGACTCTTCGCCGCGAGACAGATACCAGATGACCAAGTCTGGTATCGCATGGAAAAATACAAAACGGACACATCGTTGACATTCAATGACGTGTCGCTAAACTGACGGATTGTTGCTACGTTGATTTTTCCATATGGTCTATTTCCAGGATCGATAATCGCCGATAATTGATTTTTTCATCAACGCGATTTGAATTCTTTTCATTTTTAGGAGATTTCCTTGCTGTGCTGCCATCTAAATCTAAGGATTAAAGGGAACATCGATCCTTTCTTTTTTTATAATTTTTTTATTGTTCTTAAAATTTTATTAGTCAATTACAAAAAAATTATTTTATTTAATGCTTTGAATTCTTTTTTGCTAAAAAAAATCATCCAGTTTTTTCAGTTAAAAAATTTTAATTCTTAAATCAAGTACTACAAATTTTTAATTTTTAACTCGATCCTTGATTGTATTTCACTTTTTATCGCTCTTAAAATTTTATCATAGAAAATTATAAAAAAAACTTATACTATTTTTTCAGTGAAAAAAATTTTTAATGCTTAAATCAAGTGTTACAAATTTTTAATTTTTAACTTCGCTTTATATAATCAAACAAATCTGAACAATTATATAATCACTAATTCTAATATCGAATTATAAAGACTATATTAAATGTAAAAAATAATAATTCGTAAACACCGATGTATACATTAAATGAAAACGTAAATAAAATAGGGATATACAAAGAGAGGATGCGGACTTTAATTGCGATTTTAAGGAACGCAACACAGATCACAATTAATGATATTTTTCAGACTTTTATTTTATAATCCCATAAGTCTAAAGTAGTCTTTACGTGAATGGTCTTGCGCAATACAATGGGAATAAATTATAATACTTTGGCTACGCTTACGGGGTCGAAACCGTGATGATGTCTTCCTTTATTTTTTCTTTACCGTTTATTTTTGAGCGAACATTCGTAGGACATTTCCGGATCTGCGGTTTACCCCATCGTGTAAAAAAAAAAAAGAAAGAAAGAAAGAAGACAAAAAGGCCATCTTTTTTCCCCTCAACGATAGGCAAATAATAATAATTAAAAAAAAAATAAACAGATAAGAAGTCGGAGGCTTATCTTTCTCTGCGCGTGGAATGACGTACAACGTGTGTTTGTGTTTATTAGCTTCGACGCAAGCGGCCTCTTAAAAATACCGCACATTGATCGGAATGCATTTGACCGACGTTGTTGATTGCCATGTGTCTCTTTTTGCGGGAAGAGCAAATCGCGACGCTTTTTTTTCCCCGCAAAAAGAAACCTCTCTGGAATTCTTCTTCTTCTTTTATTCTTCTTCTTTTTCCTTTTCATCATCTTCACGTTTCTTCTTGCTCGAATCATCCTCGAAGAAAGATGGCAATCGAAGCGTAAAAAAACGGAGCGACGAGTCTAACGAAAGGGAAGCGTTCTCTAACTCGCGTTGAGAGAAGGATGTCTCGCGAGGAATGTTTTTTTTAGCTAAGTGCTACTTCTGTAGTACACGCAAGTTATTCAAATATATATATAATACAAAGGGCTCGATATAAGATAAAGGTAGAAAAAGGTATTTGGGACTCGGGGCACATGTTTAAGATCGTTATCATTGAATGATGAAGGACGATGAGAAAAAAAAATGTTTCGTTTTTAAACGAATTTTTGTTTTTTTTTGTTTTTTAATTGCCGCCGAGACCGAGGAACAATCGCGGGGTAGAAGAGGAGGAGGACACGAAATATTGAAAGCTCCTCTCTCCTTTCTCGTATAATCGTTTAATCGTTAAACGCGAATCTTAAACACGTACGTCCGAATTGAAAGAAGCTACCTTCGCCCCGGAGAAACCAAAGGGCAATTGCCGTTGCGGAAGTTGATGTTACGTCCGCCTGCGAAACGAGACAGAAGCCCCTCTCTCTTTTCTCTCTCTCTCTCTTTTCCTCTCTCTCTTTCTCTCAAAATCTCAGGGATTTGGGGAATGATAATAATGCGAGAACGCACGCGCTTAGAAGCACTTCCTGTGGACGATGGAGGGTCCGGATTCGTCGTACTCCTGCTTCGAGATCCACATCTGTTGGAAGGTGGAGAGCGATGCGAGAATCGATCCGCCGATCCATACGGAGTATTTCCTCTCAGGCGGGGCGATGATCTTGATCTTCATGGTAGACGGGGCTAAGGCAGTGATCTCCTTCTGCATCCTATCGGCGATGCCAGGGTACATGGTGGTACCACCAGACAGAACGGTGTTGGCGTACAAATCCTTACGGATGTCGACGTCGCACTTCATGATCGAGTTGTACGTGGTCTCGTGAATGCCGCAGGCTTCCATACCTAGGAACGAGGGCTGGAAGAGCGCCTCGGGACAACGGAATCGCTCGTTACCGATGGTGATGACCTGACCGTCGGGAAGTTCGTAGCTTTTCTCCAAGCTGGAAGAGGAGGCGGCCGTGGCCATCTCCTGTTCAAAGTCCAGGGCGACATAGCAGAGCTTCTCCTTGATATCACGGACAATTTCTCGTTCAGCGGTGGTCGTGAAAGAGTATCCTCTCTCCGTGAGGATCTTCATGAGATAATCGGTCAAGTCGCGACCGGCCAAGTCCAAACGGAGGATGGCGTGCGGCAGGGCGTATCCCTCGTAGATCGGTACGGTGTGAGAGACGCCGTCACCGGAGTCCAGAACGATACCGGTGGTACGACCGGAAGCGTACAATGATAGCACGGCCTGGATAGCGACGTACATGGCCGGGGTGTTGAACGTCTCGAACATGATCTGCGTCATCTTCTCGCGATTGGCCTTAGGATTCAAGGGAGCCTCGGTGAGAAGGACCGGGTGCTCTTCTGGGGCTACTCGCAACTCATTGTAGAACGTGTGATGCCAGATCTTCTCCATGTCATCCCAGTTGGTCACGATACCGTGCTCAATCGGGTATTTCAACGTCAGGATACCTCTCTTCGATTGAGCCTCATCGCCGACATAGGAATCCTTCTGTCCCATGCCGACCATGACACCCTGATGACGCGGCCTGCCAACGATCGACGGGAAGACGGCGCGAGGAGCGTCGTCTCCGGCGAAACCGGCCTTGCACATACCGGATCCATTGTCAACTACGAGCGCAGCAACTTCCTCGTCACACATGTTTGCTTTCTTGATTTAGCTGCAAAAGACAAATCGAAATTAGCTAAATTGCGGATTTACCATCTAATCTTTCACGAGATATACGATATACGAGATGATAAAAAATAATAACAAAAATAATAAAAAAAAAGATACAAAATACGCTACTTTAGACATTCCTTCCTTATTCTAAATCCTTAATTCTAGTGCACACGTCATCGAATTTTTACACGTGAATAGGAGCGGAAAAATTCCATTGCGACATAATTATAAGATTCTAGGTATCATTTGCTAAGGATATAAGAAAAAAATCGATTTCGTCAGAACGTATCTGTTGTAAATGTCTCCCATTATAGGAAGCCGGTAACCGGTGTCCGCTTTCAAACACATTCAAGATGGCGACGAAAGGACGTGTAACTTAGGTATGCGAGAATTAACCGATCGCAATCGCGAAAAATCAGGATAATACGAAAAATAAACGCGTTTGTCGAGAATGTCGATGAAAAAAAAAAGATCCCCGGACTTGATGAGGCGGATGCGATATCGTCGCTAATTATCGGGGAACCGCACCCTGCCCTGCCCCGCCCCGCCCTTTCACAAGCCGATGACGACGGCAAACTTCTCTCTCCCCCTCTCTCTCTTTCTCGTTCTTTCTCGCGCGTGACGTCTTCGAAATTCCGCGGCGGAACCCTGCGAATTTTTAAGACCATCTTCCTCGCGGAATCTGAACGGTATATCGAGAGATACACGTTCCCGAATCTCCTCCGCGACGTAACCGTTACATCCATTACATTTCTCCACTTAGAAGCACTCCTGATATACGTAAACCACCCAACACACCCTTTTTTCCTTGTCACTTTATCGTTTCACCACGATCCTACTTCGTACATCCGGACATAATCGACGGCACTTTTTTCTTTATTCTCTTTTTTTTTTCACCAACAACGCGAACCCAGAAATCGATTAGGAATGTATATCACTTAGCTGGACTTACGTTTTTTCTTTCGAGTGTAAAAAAGGGAAGTTATATGTACAAGTTCCTAGGAGCAGCGAGAGACACTGCCGCGACAATCCGCCGATCTCTAGCACCGAACACAGAGTGTAGCCAACAATCGGCCCGCAGTGTATTATATGAACAGATGCGTTGTTCGTCCGATCCCCCACCAGGTGGCCGCTCGGCCAATAAGGGTGGGACACCCTCGACCAATCCCGGCTTTCTTTACCATATATGGAAGTACTCTGACACGGAGGGGTCTTCCGCCGATCCCTCCTCTCCGCCCACCCCTCGTCGAGCCCTGGCGCAACGCGGCGACGAGCCGGTCCCACGACACCCGGCGCGAATGCATTCGCTAAATTGACCGTCGAACTCTCTGCGATCGAATTGATTTTGCAAGTTTCGCGAGAATCGATACCTATCTATGGCGCTCGCTTGGACAATTCCAAGGGAAATTGTCTGGGAATTTTTAGAAATTTTTGATTTATTTTAGACGCCTTATCTACTAAGGATGTGGCTATCCCAATGAGTAATCTAGACGATAAAAGAAACCACACTGAAGTTGGCTTTCAACCGTACTTTCTTTTCGTACAATTGGAAACCAACTTCAGCATGGTTTTTGATCGTCATACTGAGATAAGCCGCATTCTTAGGTGTAGATAGGGCGAGATAGATTTTTTTTTAACGCGAATCGACGAAGGAATCCCGTATAATTAGTCGCCTGCTCAGCCACGATTAATTACGGCGCTGACGGCGGCGCGTGTTCGCTTTGTAGTCCTAGGTTAGTAACGCACGGGCTACGACGTCTCTATTAATAAACCGTTCGTACAACCACCTGTCTCCGGTTTTACGTCCGCAACCACTTGACGGCAACCTGTCGTTTATTTATGCCACGAAATCCGAAGGAGGAGAGCAAAAAAAGAAAAAAAAGCGAAACGACCGAGTCATCCGTTATTATCGCACTCGGATGAGCAACGCCCTGCCATGGCGACCGGGAGAAAAAAAATTTCGCTCGATTTCGTCCGGAAAATTTGGAGTAAAGCGCGTGACAGCCGGCCGGTACACGCGGTCGGTGACTGACACTTACTCACCTTGTCTCTCTCTTTCTTTTTCTCTCTCTCTCTCTCTCTCTCTCGACGCGCAGTCAAACGTGATCGAAATCCTCGATCGGAGCACGGGCAGAAGAAATCCTCTCGACGGAGTAAACGGGACACACCGTGTGTTGTAGCACTGCGAACGACGCCGTGTGAGCGAGATCGTGGCCGTAGGACTACCGTGAGCCGGTATATCGCGTCACGCGACGTCACGTCGGGTGGACTCGTCCACGGGAGGGGAGGTTGGCAGACGGTGGGATTCCAGACGAGTCGAGCATTCCGGAAAATTCCATTTTCTCCCGGAAGAGGGGGTGGGGCTGGAGACTCCCCAAGAATTTTTTTTATCTTTTTCCCGTCAATTTCATGATTCGATGATGATTCATATATTCGTATGACGTACGCGATCGATCCTTCGATCTTGCGGAGGGACACCCCTCCTTACTGGAGAATGGACTCGTCCACCCGGCTTCTCCCACCGCCGCGGATTCACAGCTCTTGCCATATATGGGCATAAAACGAAAGCGACGCGCCGATTGGTCCGCCGACCGGCTAGCGGCTAGATTCTCCAAATGCCGCTTCAAATCGTACGATAGAGAGAGCATAATGTCTCTTGGAAGTATACACTAGCGTAAAGGTTCGTCCCGTCTTTGCTACCTGCGTGATTTCGCGACATCGTATATATGTTATATCGATGATGACGGTAGACTTTCAAGATTCCGCGACGATATTTTCATTCCCCAAAGTATAGGTTATACGCGCAGATCGATTCGGCCTGGAAAATGGAAGATTTTGTATCGAGAATTAAATTATTTATCTTATCTCCCTTTTTCAAAGACCTTTCTTATCATCCTTCTCGACTAGTTTTCTGAAATATTCCGGGAAAAAACACATTATATATGTATCGCGCATAAATGTTATTATTATTCTTATTGGCGCCTTTGCGCGCGCCGAACCGAAAAGCTAAATTCTCTAGTCGCGATAAAATTGCAAGCTCGACGTGCATTTTTCTTTACAAGAGAATCTCTTGACGAAGGAAAAAAAATTAAAACCTGAATTCGCGAACATCGAGAGGGGCGTCGTTGCGAGTCATTACGAGAAGATAAACGCCATATCTTTTATCTCTCTCTCTCTCTCTTTCTTTTTTTTCCTCCTAGGCGCGACGGAGTCAGTAAAAATAGATTCAAGGACAGGGATGCAAGGGTGCGTTGCACTCTTTCTCCAGCCACGTCATGGTCGGGGCCCTTCGCGTGTGCTGGTAATACTGGTTAATACGGATAAAACTGAACCGGTGCAAGCGCGCTGCGGACTTGGAAGAGAGCGAGAGAGAGAGGAAAAGCCCCCTTCAAAAATCGATACGCTCCTTCTCGAAGCTGGTCTCGCGTGCTTGCGTAGCCGGAGCACGTGACCGGCTACGAAAGAAGACGGATGTGTGGATCTGTCGAAATATCCCTAATGGCACCAACATATCCCGAAACGTTTGGAGAACATCCTGGGGATGTTCCAAATTGTATCCCGGACAGCACCAAATCCAAAATCGGCGCATAAGATATCTTTAAAATATATTTAAGATGTCTTTCGGATATCATATCATAAGATTTCTTAATGATATCTTATGCGCCAATTTTGGGCTTGGTGCTGTCTGGGATGCTATTACCCAGCAAACACCGATATATAACTGTTACATTGCTATAATAAAACGGAATGTAACAGGTAATATAACGTGTACGTTACACGTAACATCCATGTTAATTGTAATTTCCCACTCATAGATGTAACATTTTTAATCTAACATATATTACATTGTAGTTATATTGTAATTATATACCAAATAGCACATTGATGTATTGATAAGTCAGTGTTATCTTGGGATTAATGACAATATAACTACAATGTAATATATGTTATATTAAAAAATGTTACATCTATGAGTGGAAAATTACAACTAACATACGTTACATGTAACATGCTTGAATACTTACATGTATATAACATTTATATACCGTGTTTGCTGGATATTAGGGATATATTTTCGCTCGGACTCCATATCACGTATCTATTCTAGAAAACATGTTGTCCTCCTGATAACATTCCACTTAATCATTCTCCAAATTCTCTGTTCGAGGCGCGATGATTCATTCATAATAAACGCGTGCTCCGAGATCATTATACAGACCCTCCTCCCCCCGATCCTCCCTTTACCTCCCTCCTTCTGGATTATATTCGTGTCGTAAAACGTAGCGGTTTTCCTTACGTCGATCGATGTAATTATCATATTATAGTACTGATTCACTCGAATTTGGCTGTAATCGATGACGTAGCACGATTAAATCGACAGACAGTCTCGAGCTGATATCTCGTCTCGATCTTTATATATAGGGTGTTTCTAAACCTATGTCAGAGATTTTAAGGGCGTATTCTAGGGGTCAAAATAAGAAAAAAAGGTTTCTATAAACTATGGGTCCAAAAATGAAAATTAGCACTTGTCATATCTTTCAAAATCATATTAAGAAAATGAAGCATTCACTATTAATTATTATATACGCTATGCAAAATTTCAATGATCTGTGCTAAAGTCTCCGACAGCTATAATATATTTTTCGAACTCTGAGGAAAAGTATTTTTGGACTCATATTTACAGGAACTTTTTTTCTTATTTCGAGCCTCAGAATACGCCCTTAAAATTTCTGATATAGGTTGTAAAGACACCTTTTATATGTATCTCTTCGAATAAAATAATTAAACCCTGTTATGCGTTCGCGTTCCCCAGAGACCCAATGACCCGAGAGACGCCTCGACCTTGTCCACCAAATAAGGCCCCGGCATCAAGGTTGTTCTCTCGCATAAGGCCTCGAAGTCGCGTAATATTACATATACGAGTTCGAGTCATCAACGAGTTCCTCTTGCGCACGTTTCTTCGTGAGTTTATCATCAGCGATTCAAACGACTCACGAACTTGAAGCGCGACACGTCATTTTTGATGAATAAACGTGAGATATGACATTCGTGCGAACCGAACGAATTCCAAGAAAATGTAAGTACTTCAAATCATATATTTTCGTCTTTTCTCCTTCTTTTCCGAGGTTACGTTTCATCTACGTTTAGGATTTTCAATGGGGATTATAGAAATGCATTTCTAGAATGCGACTACCTGCAGGTAGTCCTTCTTCGGACCCAAAACGAACATCGCATTTTAGCGGAACCGGTTTTCATATATATATATAGTACGTTTTACATATGTATATATAAAAGTATTATATATACATATACAATTTTTTATGGATTATATATATATATATATATAATCCTTTATATATATATAATCCTTTTTCTCTATATATAAAATCCTTTATATACATATATAAAAATATATACACACAAAGGATAAAATATATATGACAAAAAAATATATATATGTATATAAAGAAAAAAGCGCGCATATATAAAAAGGTACATAGTATAACGATGAAGGATATAAATATAATGAAAGAGAAAAATTTCGTTATTAAAGTACATTTTAGTCATATATAGAAACGTCGTTGATTATACATGCATAATGCAACATAAGCATGTTAATGCGATTCCTGGACGATGCCGTGTCTATCCGACACCGTCGTAACAGTACCGTCGTACACTCTGTTGACGCCATCGTTCGGTATACGTGGAACCTCAACACTCGATTGTTATATTTAGTGCTGATTGCTTATTTCGTGTAAAATAAAGATAAATCCGATATAAGAGTATCTCGGCGATACGTAAATAATTATCGCGTTGCTTCCGATCGCTTTATCATTTTACGATACGCCAGCAACATTCATTTACTCCTAATATGGACAAGCAAATGCCGAGAAAGACCCTTCAAACGTGTTGTGATAATTAATTGATTAATTATTTAACGAAAAGCAATGTTAAATATTCGTGTCCCCGAGAGAGAGAGAAGAGAAGCGTGTCGGGATGACAGCGATCAATCAATCGGACATTGGGCGGCCTTTGCCGACATCATGACACATCCACGTGGATTAGTCATATTGTCAGGCCTCCGGGCTTCGCGTCATGCGACTGGAATGAAGAGTTTACGCCGAAACGGTCGTCTTTCTCCCAAGAAAATCCGTAATATGTATATATATATATATATATATATATGTATAAAAACGTGCCACTAAATACGGACTATTTAAGAATCGCAGAAGCGGGTCGTTGGCTAAACGTCTCTCTTTTCTTAACGAGCCTAACGAGCTGTATCGGCAATGTGCATGAGAATATTACGTTAGAACAGAGTATAATTTAATTCCAACTAACTATAAAAGAGAGAGAGAGAGAGAGAGAGAGAGAGAGAGAGAAACACTACGGTATTATTCTGTCTACCCGGAAGATTCTTTTGGATGTATGACCATATTTGGCTCGGTTTCACCGATCTCTAAATCGTTATCTCGAGTCTGATATCGCGTTGCGAGAATGATTATAATACGATAACGCGCGAAGTCAACAAGGGAGAGGAGAGTTTGGATGATGTTAGAGTCTTAATAAGCTATGCCCTCACTGGAGTAACAACGAGCAACTTTTCGTTGCTTATTTGTTGCTAAATGTTTCAAAATAGTTTGACATATATGTCAACTTGCGACAAAAGTTTGTCCATACTGAAGCAACATAATTACAAAAACATTTGAGTTTTATTCCTTCGAATAGAAACATGCAGCAACTTTTGTTGCTAGCAACAAAAACAGTAAAAAACTTTATAGCCGCCTCCTCGCTGCAGCAACAGCAAGCAACTTTTTTAAATTTCTCTTTTTAAGTTTTTTAAAAAAGTTGCTACTTGTTGCTGTTGAAAGTTTCTTACTGTTTCTACTGCTAGCAACGAAAGTTGCTGCTTATTGCGTGTTTCCATTCGAAGGATCAAATATAATGTTCCTATAATTAAGTTGCTTCAGTATAGACAAAATGTTATTGCAAGTTGACATGTGTCAAATTATTTTGAAACATTTAGCAACAAAAAGTTGTTGCTCCAGTGAGGACGCAGCTTTAGGATTCGGCCTTCAGCATCTAGCCATCAAGATAGACAAACTGCAACGCGTTCGTATACATCATCGCGTTCTTGGCTCTCTTTTCAGAGGCCGCACTCTTGTGTTGTGAGAGTCAAGGATTCGAAACGCGGTCACGGTTCGATGAGCTGGATGTACATGGCCAAAAATGGCTATTTTGCTCGCTATTTGTATTTCATTACTATTCGTGTGTCATTATCGCGCGCATGTATTTTTTTTCTCGCGGCTTACGATTATCGAATCTCGAATGTCTCGCACGGAAAACGACGTAAATTTCTTTAAGAAGTAAATTTTTCGAAGATCCGAAGATTATAGAGTGCGATGTGTCCTCGATGCATACGATGATGAAGTAGGCCGGATACATCTGGGAATTGACGGCGCATAGAAAGGCGGATTTTTTTTTTTTGCCTCCCTGGAAACGCAATTTAGTGTTTAGCATATAGACGCTAACTGATCGAGTACTCTGGTACCCTATTACTCTTACTTTCGAGACAGCTCTTATTTAGGAAAAAAAAAAATACGAAGCTATACGCACAACTTTCTTGACTTTTACTATTTAGAAATTCGAAATGTCATTTCGAAAATGTTTTCGCTGTCTGCAGAAAAGTCTATTCCGAAATCTTTTGTTGCTAAAAATGACTAGAAATATTCGAAGATTGTTTTATACCGAGAATTTATACGACTTATTTTTTCAATTGTTTATCATTGTTTGCCGAGCTGTCAGTCGTAACGAATAACTTGATAAGTAATCAGCTGATTGCTGCAGTACAGTGTTTTAATGAAAGTCGATAAGTAAGAATTGTGAAATGAATGGCTAGATATCAAGTATATACATAGGTATATTGTACAACTATACATTACATGTTATACAGCTCGTGCGAAAAGAGGATTTGCCATCTTGAAGTCGATGTCGAATAGCCGATAAACGAGAAGGAAAAAAAGAACGATGATAGAACGAGCAGGAACGTAACAAAAGCTCCATCTCTCTCTTTCTGTCCCTTTGTAAAAATAATTTTCAATAAATATGTATAATTGAAAAATTTAAATAATGCAACTCTCGTGGAATTAAAGAATCGCTGTATTATACTATTTATTGTACAAACTACTTTTATGTATAGTATTAATACAGTTCCCAAGCTCGAGATTGTGGTAGAAGAATCGTCTGAAAATTTGCATCGCTTTCTCCTCATATGCGGTTAATTAATGTATACGTACAATTAAAATCTCGCGTATATTTACAAGTGCGTTGAACTTTTGGAAACGTGCGAATTGGAAACGAGATTCCGGCAATATTGGACGTACATATATATATGTACATATAACGTGTCATCGAAATTAAAGGGAGAGAATTTTAATCTCGAGTTCTCAATTCTCGACATTTTCGACATTTTCGTTGGCCAGTCTCATATCGAAATATCATTATTTTTAATATAATTTATTTTAATACGATTTATTTTAAGCTTGTAGGAGTCGCTTATTCGAGTTTCTTTTCGCTTCGGATTTTTTAAAAGAATTTATACAGAGTCGCTGAATCGCTGAAAGTATCACTTATTTCGAACGTATATATATAAATTCAGCGTATGATAATGATATCTCGGATGATTTCTCGGCGAATGGATACTCTCTCGGAGGCACGAAAAAGTGGATTGGTTCGGTTTAGATAGCGGTCGAAGGAGGCCATCTCGGAGGGAAGGAGGAAGATCGACCCAGAAGAAAACCTGCTTCCAGTCGTGTGACACCTGTCTCCCCCGTTACTTATACAGGCATCCCAGTAAGAATGCAAAACGATGATGTAAGGCGGCACGATAAGTAAGTAAGTTTCAGTGTCGGTCAACGTAATTGCTGGATTTTTTTTTCGTTATTGTCCTTTGGAAAAGAAAATCGCGTACACTTGTCAATCTACAAGATAACTATGTATATCATAATTATTGAAATTTGCGGTTGTACACGATGTAGGATACGAGTGTCGCAGCTTGTCTCAGCTTTATGGTGTTTGGTGGTCGTGGAGAAATCGATGAGAGACGTCTGCAGCGGGTACCACGCCCAAAGCGAGGGAGGGTGAAGGTGCACCGGAACGAACCCCATGCAGAGATGCTCGTGAAACGTTTCATATATTGCCGTTACCCATCGAAAATGACATACAATATGTGTATATCTGTCTAACCTCGACCTACAACATTTACGAATGACTCGACCTAGTCCAATCAACTATCTAAGGGGCTCTTTTTTTTCTCCGCAATAGGAAGAGACTCTGAATCAGTCATCGTCTTGGAATAAAATTTAAGTCTATCTATAACCTGACGTGAAACCATTTTTTTTCAAACAAGTCTATTGAAAAATTTTATTTTAATTGAATTGTTAAAAAAATTGTATTAAGCTCTTTTTTTCTCCGCAATAGGAAGAGACTCCGAATCAATTACCATCTTGGAATAAAATTTAAGTCTATCTATAGCCTGAAACAATTTTTTCAAACGAGTCTATTGAAAAATTTTATTTCAATTGAATTGTTTGAAAAAATTGTATTAAGCTCTTTTTCTCTGGAATAGGAAGAGACTTTGAATCAATCACCGTCTTGAAATAAAATTTAAGTTTATCTACAGCCTGAAACAATTTTTTCAAACGAGTCTATTGAAAAATTTTATTTCAATTGAATTGTTTAGAAAAAATTGCATTAAGTTATATCTTCACTGGAGCAACAACGAGCAACATTTTGAAGAAACATATGGAACATGAACAAAAAATTGCTAGTTGTTGCTCCAGTAAGGACATAGCTTTGTAATATTAGACTTATCGCAATTTCTCCTCGACTGACACAGACTAATGCTTATTTACTTAGTAACACACAGTTAGTTCCACTCGCCTTCTTTCCCTCTTTCTTTCCTCGCTTTGGATTAACATAACGTTAAACAATGGGCGAAACGAGAGAGTTATTTCGTTTCCCGCATTGCAAATCGTCAAGGAGAAATTGGCCGCGCTTACAAAGTCAGTGACTTGGTGGCTTGGTTTAATTGACCCGAGGCGACGGCGAGGTGTTTTCACGGCTTCAGAAATCAAGGCCACCGCACGTCTCTCACGAAGTGAGGTTGAAGCCAGGTAGTGCGTCGCGTGAACGCGAGCATTTCTACATCTTTTCTGCGAGCCGATGCGAGCCGTTCTGGGAATAAGTCGGGAACAAGGGGCCTTTCGGAGTCGAACATAAATCGATTCCCGCGATAACATTAAGTTTGCTCAATAAGAATAACGGAACGAATTCTCATTGTGGGATTTTCTTTGCGTTTAAACGGTGGACGAAATCGCGAAAAATAATAATAATAATAATAATAATAATAATGATTAGAGACAAAGAGATCTCAAGAAAGGCGACATCTCCGAGTGACTTCAAGTCCAGGATATAACGCAGAGAATTTCCCCTTCCTGTGGCAGGATGCCATACCGAGGCAATATCCTCCGGATGTTGGTATCCTTCGTGATAAAGTCTAACTCTATAACTGAATGGGAATTTTTTTTCCTCTATTCTTTTGTCTGTATATTATACACATGTGCTTGCTTACCTACTAGGCAACAATTAGCTTCATCAAGACATTTACGCGATGCAATTGGAGCGATTAGTTTGCTTAACGAGAGGGTCCGCGTGTGCTCGCATTCTCAGCGCAACATGCATAACGACATCAAATATATAGGCTTCGTATTTTACACCTACGAGGGATGTGCGAATTCTTTTTTTACGAGGAAACGCAAATTTATCAAATCCTTTATATTTTATGTATTCGTTATTTTATACAGACTCTTAATTCATTTATTACTTTCTTCTTTATATTATTTATGTTTTACTATTAAAAATCTCTATCATATTTTATATTATCCTAAAAATCCTCCCCCTCCTATTTTATTCCAAAAATTTCTCCTATTAAAATTTTTTATTAAACGCTTTCCTATTAAAGAAATTCCTTGATTCTTAATTATTAAGAGGTTTCAAAATTTCCTATTAAAATTATATTAAAAAGTATTCTATTCTTCCCGACTAAAATTATGAAAAGTTTTAAGTCAAATTACATGCTTATAATTTGATTTAAAATTTGCGTGTATCTGCGATACTTTTTTAATAGTCTTTTCCTTCGGAGTCGCGTGCACGAAGGAATTTAATTGCACGCTATATATATCTATATGTATGTATATAGCCAAATACAGAGCACGTTTCAATATCTCTCCATATGCGAATATGTGTGTCAGGGTTTCCGTGCGAATTGCTTTTTTGGACGAAATTAATTGTTACGCTATATATAGAAACGCTATAGGAAATGATGATTAATTGCAAGGTAAATAATGAGTGTTTATCCAAAGTGCTACATCGCCGCGTCGTGTCAAAATCATTTATTTCGAAAGATGCTGAATGTATTTTAGAATAAAGATATATTAATTCTGCAATTTATACATTCAAATAGCGAATCAATTTATTTTTTATTTCAAGTTCTCACGTAATTAAATGTATAAAATCGCGACTAATATTTTATAATGAAAATAAAAAGATATAAAATGTTGTTCACAAACATTATTGATGAGTTATAAAGTAGTTATAAAGAGTTTTAAAGAGAAGAGATGAACGAGGAGAGGAGCGATATCATTGAAGCGAATACTTGTTCGATTACGTGACGTAACGAATTATCGAGATAACGGGAATCCGATACTCGGCCTTCGATCAACCGCATAACTTTATCTCGTATATACTTCGTACCTTTTACACGTCTTTAGTCTTTTTCTTAAATGATGCATACCACAGGCTAATATAAATTTAATGATGGTGGATCACATAAAAGTATATATTAATTTTTAGCTTGAAACATTTAGAACTGTTAAGTACTTTTTAATTTCAATAGAAAATCAATTATAAATATTAAAAAACCTTTCAATAAAAAATTATGAAATCTTTTACTTAATAAAAATCAAGGAACTTTTAATAGGAAAGGAAACTCTTAATATATAAAAAAAAATTCAAATAAACTAGAAAATTTTGGAATATATAGAATATAGAATGAAAAGAAGGGGCTTAGAATAAAATAAGATAAGATAGAAATGTTTAATAGAAAAGCATAAATAATATAGAGACGTATATAAATTATATATTAGTACTTTAATTTCGCTTATTATAATCGTTTTCGATTTCAATATTTCACTGTCATTTTAAAATTTTTATATAACCTATCTGTATATAGATGCAATATAATTTGTGACATATATAAATATTATTTGAGAAGAAAATATATTGAGAGAGAAAAATTTATAATTTATATTTAAAAATAATATATATATTTTTTTATGCGTACACTCACAAAACGATTATTTGATCAGCAGTGTCCAAAAATAAATGTTTTCTTTTTATTCTCTTTATGGCTGGTTGAGCTTCAGCGAAAAATAATATGTGAGAATATAACTCTGGTTTCAAAATAGGTATAGATGGCGGTACTAAACAGAGCGTTAGTAGGTTTATTCTACACAGATATATAAAATATACATAGACGGAGAACATAAGTTATCGATTAGGGCAAAGGAGAGTTTAAAAGATATTCGTCTGATAAACGCAATTATTGCATTATAATAAATTAATTTTATAATTGAGAGCAATCAAATTTATGCATTGCTCCGAAATACGTCATAGACATAAAATACATTTATTAATTCTGCGATATGCGAATAAAATTTGCAATAAGGGAAGTATAATATATATTGTTAAAAATTGAAAAATTACATTAAATATGTTATTCTATAGATTTCCAATATTCACGAATTTTAGAAAGCAACCTTAAACTCTGTTCTACTTTGAAAATATAGTGACAGATTTGTGACTAGGGACAATTAAAATACATCAAAGATGCCGCAATTTTCAGCGTCACTGTGTATATTTATTATTTATTTCTTTATTTATTATTTATTTGTATATTTTTATGCCATAGTTTATAGATAAAGCTTTTTACGCGAAAGTTACCTCCAATCCGCGCGAAGAATTAAATGTGCGCGTCAGCCAATCGACCTCTCGCATCAACGAACGAGCTGTAAATCGATTGGCTATCGAGGTTAAACGCGTCGACTTGTCCTGTGCAAGAGTCTTTAACGTACACAACTTGGTACTATTTTTCTTACCGCAAATCTTGGCTTTACTTCGAGAAAGATTCCGTCTATTGAGTTTCGTACATTTATGGTTGCGTACACAACGTGCATAAAAACAATTATCCATATTTGTACGTGCATTGTTGACTACGACTAGTTTGATAGTTTCGGAGTTTCGAAGAGGTTAGTTTTCTGATGACGTTTCGCTCGGGATGCAATAGTCGACAGTCACTTTTGGTCAAAGCAGTTTGTATCTCGTGGTGTTGATCGGAACGTAAGCAAATCTTTTCTACGATTTTGTTGACAACTGCTATGCATCGATCAGGAAAATATCTTTGTTGAAGCCTCCTCTGTAGGGGGAATCAGATCAGCGACGTAATCATGATACGGATAAACAGGTTTGTCTTCTTTGTTTACACGTATTTGAGATGATGTAAATTTGACAATTATGTGTGCAAATCATATGAAGTGCATACAGTCTCTCACAGTCAGTAAGCGTTATAGCAAGTTTATTGTCATTCTTTTTTTTTCTTTTGAAACCTTTAAAAAAAGATATCGCAACATAGATTTGTTTTTTTATTTACACGTGTCTGAGATGATATAAGTTTTGTAATTATGTGTGCGAATCATATATGAAGTATATGCAATCTCTCACAGAGAGTCGGTAAGCACTGCAGTACATTGTCATTTTTTTCTTTCTCTTTTAAACCTTTAGAAAGAGATACCGCAACATAGAGGAGGAATCCAGCGAATTCATGCCGTTGAGCAAACGAATCAATAATCTTCATATCAATAGTTTGTCTGGTCTACGAGAGAATGTAATAGACAACAGAGTGGAAAGTATGGAAACGGATTGGGAAAGTGGAAATCTGATATCGTCACCCAGCTGTTCTCAAGGATCATCATCCAGGGATAGTTGTGGTTCTAGCCCAAGTAATTTTACCAACGATTACAGACCGGATTTAGATGCGACGGAAAATCCTTTCTATTACGAAAGCAACAAGTTGCTCTTTTCCTTATATATGGAGCGTATGCAGCGGAGATTGGATCTATATTGATAAAAGTTTGCGTTATTCTCGCTTTACTCCTGCCTACGCAATATCTTCTTGACATTTGACGTCCGAATCTTGTTACTTTATTTGCCATATTTTTCTATACAATATATACCTTAACAGTTTTCAATCTTTGTCGTTACATCGGTTATCTAGATAATAGCAAGATACGTTATTATTTATATTGGCAAATAAAATAACAAAATTTTTATATAAAAATCGGCATTAATAGACATACATATACATAATTCAATAATGTACAATCACACTGAAATATTTATATTTTGTAATTACCACACAAAATCGTTCAATCGGCATTGTATGAATTGTTTCGACCAAATCGAAAATCTGATTCATATTTATTTATTTATCCAAATTGTTATTACGCATACTGTTTTACTGCATGCTATATTTCCATTAAGATATCTTGGCACTTGCAACAGAATTTCTATGCGGAATTTTCTAAAATTGTATAAAAATGTTAGGAAATAACAGAGGTACAAATAAACAAAAATCAGTACATTCAATTGGAAACATTGCTATATTTGTCATAGACGTTGCGTACAGAAAAATAAATTGTTTTCTTTTTCAATTGTTTATTCAACCAAGAGGATGTTGACTGTGTTTTATCGATAAATGTTATTTTCATTTAACTGTATATTAGAATCCTTTATTAGAATTTAAGTATTTATAATAACAAATCTGGACCATTATATATGTATATTTAAAAGAACAAGAAAGCTAAATAATTTAGTTTTTATAAGTCTTTTGCATTAGTATAATTAGTTAATATTTTTTATATACATATTTATATACTTTTTATATACATTTATACATTTTATATACATTTATGTACATTTTATATACTTTTTATACACAGTTTTTTATAGAATTATATATTTGTTTCATATACATACATATATAACTCAGATTTGTTATTACGAATACTTAAATTCTAGTAAAGGGTTTTTTATTCTGTGTGGCCCATAAAAAGTTGAATGAAAATATAATATTTGTCGCAAAAAATACAGTGTTTCGAAAATATATTTCATAAAAGCGCGCGCATTTTCTCGAGGCGGGGGTGGCAGCGCAATCGATATCTCGATTTAACTTCCTCTTGCTCGAGTGCTCCGCTAGGTGCGTGTGAGTCGGAAGTCGGAAATTGTCCCGCGAGCGTGCGTGAGCACAACAGAAAGAGCGAGAGAGAGAGAGAGACAGTGAAATTGGTAGGGAGTGAACTCGAGTGGTGAACTTGACAGGTGTTTTCGATTTCGGGCGGTGCGAGAAACAATTCCAATTTTCGGCGCGCGCGAAATTTCCGCGGCTCAGGGCACATCTCTCGACTCCTCGACGTCGACATCATACAAGGTACGCGCACGCGCAGCAGAATTCTCGCGGCAGAATCCGCGCTTTCCCTCTTTCTCTCGCCACTCTGCACGTAACACCGCGCCGCCATAGTTAATATTTCAACCGATATATAGAGAATATTAATAGCGCGCGTTTTCCGAGCGTCGTTTCGACCGAGAGAGAGAGAGAGATAGAGAGACAGAGACAGAGAGAGAAGGATGCATGATTGGTGACGTTGAGTGTAGATTCGCGCCGTGTAGTGGTGTTCGAGCGGTTATGTACCGTTAACTCAAATTCGTTCCCGTTGGCCGGCTCGGAGACGAGAAAGAGAGAAAGAGATAGAGATCCATCCACGCTCGCCTACCTACCGACCGAGGACCGAGCCATATTCGATCGTGCACGGTGGTCGGCTGTCGTGGAAACCCGGAAACGAAGTGTGCGCGTCTCTCTTCAGTCGTCTCGCGCGCGCGCAAGAGAGAGAAGGACGGATAGAGAAAGAGAGAAGAGTGAGCGTACTCTGCGCGCGCGCGCGCGTGTGCGAGGGAGAAGGACGGATAGAGAAAGAGAGAGAAGGAAAGAAAGAGTGTGTAGTCGTTCGCGCGCGCGCGAGAGGGAGAAGGACGGATAGAGAAAGAGAGAGAGAAGAAGAGTGCGTGCGAGCGAGTGCGAATTTATCGTGGAGTCACTACTCTCGGACTCTCTCGTCTCTCGCTTCCGTTAGAGACGCGCGCGCGTGTCCCGCGCTCTCTCTCTCTCTCTCTCTCACATACGGATATTCGCCCTCGTACGTGTACATGTATGACGTGTGCAGCTTGCGCCCGATAGCCGTCGATGATACACCGCGGTCAGCATACATCGTGCTAACGTAGAAATGAGAAAGTCGTTGCCGCTGCCGTGCTGAGAGAGGAATCGCTCGACACGACACGACACGACGACGCAGGCGAGCCAACACGGACGGACGAATCCCGTACTAAGAGCGTGGTTACACCGAAGGCGGCGACAGTAACGGCGGTACGTTGGAGCCGAGCGCGCACTGGGGAGCTGCTCTCCGAGGTTCAGCCTTCCCGAGGTCCGTTTTCGTCCTCCACCCTGTACTTACGAGTAAGTAGAACACGAGGAGAATTCTCGGAGTTTCGATTGTTCCCTATTCGGAAAAATGCACATGTATCTACCTACGTGTTTTTCGATATATGTGCATTTTTGCGACTAACGACCATATGCGTGTGTGTCTCTTCCTCTCTCTTTTTTTTCTTTCTTTCTGTGTGTCTTTATTATATATCCTGGGACTCGATCCGTGCACTGAAAACCTCGTGTAGAACCCAGACGTTCCGGACGGCCTGGGTCGAGACGGCAGCCGAGGACCGAGTAGTCGGTTGCCATGTCGCGTTTCACTTCCAAAACGACGTAACGACGTAGCCGTAGAGCATGCGACGAGAAACCGCGAAACGATGGCCACAGAGAGCACCCACCCCAAGACACTAAAATCGTCGCGGGCCCCTCGTCGTGGCTCACGGCTTGGCTCGAGCTGGCTTTGGTGGGGTGGTTGGAGGTGCGGACAGTGGTTGAGAGGCTGGTGGGGTTGGAAATTGCGTGGTGGTGGGTGTTCGTCGAGGTCTCGGAGGCCCCTCCGTGGCATCTCTCGCTGCCTCTAACCCATCGAGGTGGGGGTGTAAACAACAGCCCTGCCCGTGTACCTCCGGCGTTTCGTTTCGTGGCCTCTTCCTCTGCCCTGCTCTTCGTCAGCTGATGCGTGCCGTCTTTTCCATCCGCGTGCTGCTCCTTCCGCTCCAAGTCGCATCATCTTTTTTCCTACTTCCGTCCTTGGTCCCCCCGGGTATATACGTCGCGGAATAGGAAGGAAAAGCGTCCGCCGAGGGGGTACGAGACGGTACCGAAAGTAGGGAGAGAGGAAACCCAGGGACGATATATTCAACGCCGAGTAGATTCTAGAAGGGGTTTCGCCTGCACGAGAGCGGGAGAGAGAGAGAGGCGAAGAGAGGGAAATGGAGGAAAAAAGGAAGAAAAAGAGGAGCCGCGTGCCATTTTCATCACGCGGATCATTTTTCCATCATGGCGGACGGAGAAGCGTTTTACTTGCTCGATCGACGCCGCTAGCTCGAATCGAGCAAGTAGTCTATATATATATACACTTGTATAGACTCGCCTTTTCATTTTTCTCATCGAAATTATCGTTCTTTCTCTCTCGATTAGCAGGACAATCGCTCTTGTACATCTCTCCGGAGCGTCTCCGGAGGATGACGAAATTTTTTTTTCCACATTCTATATCACAAAGGCGTGGAACGAGAAGGAAACGCGAAGCAGAGTCGGTTGCACAACAGTGGCCGATCCGTTTAGCGTGCGGCGTCCCGCGCGCAGTGATACTATAGCGTGGCTGGCTCGTGACGGAGGATGGATTTCACGAGAAAAATTGAGAAACGTGCTTTTCGCTTCCGAAGATAGACGTATATACGCGTTGGAGCGTCAGGAGAGAAGGAGAGAGAGAGAGAACCAGAAGCAGAACCATAGAGAATAGGAGGGAGTGAGAGCGCAGAGCGAAGCGAGAAGAGGATAGAGAGACACACCACGGCCTCGGTTAACCTTAGGAGAGAATCGGTGCGCCATTACGACATGCGCGTCTTGCGAGAGCGTCCAGCGGCGGCACGGGCGACAGGCGGAGCTGACCGATCAGTCGCGTACGCCATTCCGCGTACGGCGAAAAACACGTCGCGTGGTGCCGAGGACGACGACGACTACAACGACGACGAAAAGTGAAGAGTAGCGCGTGACCACCTCTCTCCTTCTCTCTCTTTCTCTCTCCCCTCGTTCGGGACGGAGGAACGACGGTGGAAGTCACCCTTTGGGAAGTGGCATCCCCCCACATACACGTACCATATACATACGTACGGGTATATGTGTCTATATATATATATACACACATATATATATATATGTGTGTGTGTATATATATATCTATCTGTCTAACCTCTGTATTCTTTCCCTCCGGGGCGTCATCCGCGTTATCATTGTCATCATTGTCCCAATTCGTCTGGCGGTGTGTCTCACGCGGCGGCACGACGAACGGGTGCCTTCGCCCCCGAACGGAGCGTTTTCGCGTTCCCCTTCCCCGGGGAAACAGAGCCGGTGTGCCGGGAGCCGAGGTTCGACTCCCTTCTTTCTTGACGTTTCCCCCTACCCTCTACCAAGCCTTCGCCTTCTTTCTCGTACCGTTCTCGCGGTACATCGCCACGTCGAGGTGAAGCGCGCGAGAGAAAGAGGAACGGAGGTCTCGAGCTCTATTTCGCGGTAGGTTCCCACCTATGGACCTCCCCCCCTATCCTCATCGCGCTCCTACCCCTTACAGCACCCGTAGGGGCACACCATCACCAGCCTGATGGAGTGGGGTGGGATCCTGGGCCACTTTGACGACTATCCTCCCTGCTCCCGGATCCCTTTTAGGTAGGGGGAGGGGGTGAAGTGGGGGAGCCCTCACCCCACCCTCGGATGCGGAACGATATCATCGAGGCAAGCTCCGAGTCAAGAGCACGCTACTCGCCTCGTCGGCGAGTCGGCTAAAACCAACGTGGGATTTCCATCTCGCCGTGGATAACCACGTGGAGAGGATGTCGGGTCGAATTAGGTTAGGTCGTTGCAAGGATGGAGCAAGCGCTTCCCCGAACACCTATTTCGCGCCTGTGTCGATTTTCATCTTGTGTGTTTTGCGTGAGACTTTTAATTTAATTGTGGCCTAGTTGCGCGTTTCAATATCACCCCTGTTCACAGATTACGTTTCTGCTACATCTTTCATATTTTTGTGTATTCTGAGGAATATACGGTAGAATTTTAAAATGTGCAATACAGCAGGCAAATGTTTATCTACGTGTACATTATCGATTTGTAATTGTCATTCGAACGTCTTGAGTAAACAGATGAAACACCACTTGTTTCTTAATCATGTAAAATCGATTTTTTGTTATATACCTGCTAAAAATAACATTTATATTTATAATTGCATTTGCGTCAGCAATTTTATTCTTATATTTTATGTGCATATATATTGAAGATTTTAAATAGATTAATTTCAAACATCTATTTAATTGTAATCAAGAGGAGAGCATATTAAAATTATAATTTGATGCATTCTCTTATTTATGACGTACCATTTTATAGCAACTTTATTGGAGAATATGTTAAGTACTAAAAATGTAAATACCAATACTTTGTTATTAAAAATGGATTCTCTTGTTACAGGTGTAATTCTGAAAAATGAATTTCACACCCTTCCCTGGATTCACCGGCTCGCTGCCGACCGGCACTGTTCATCAATTCGCTACGGCTAAATTCGCGCAGAATCTCACCACCGGTGGACAAGTGGTTGGAGTTTTGTCCGGAGGTGAAGGTGGTGTTCATTACCTAAGGCCAGTCGATCCGAATGGCTTCGCCGTCGCTCAGGGCGGTAACAGTCAGCAACAGCAGATCATTACCTTGCCCATCACCGTACCGGGAAAAGACGGCACGCAGCAACAGCAAACTGTCCAGATACAAGTGGTAAATCCTAGCGTATCTCAAAGCGGAAACAGCGGCGATCAACCGAAATATCATTTGGCGCCGATATCGCTGAGTCAATTCCCGCAGGGGGCAGCTACCGTTCTCACTGTTGCCTACAGTCAGCAAGGCGCGGATGGAGTACAAATACAAGTGCAACCGCAAAACACTGTCGCGACCACTCAAACGTAAGTAGTATACGTTACATGTATACTCTCACATTTTATATTACATTAAATTTAAAAAGTTAGAGAGAGGTAATTTCGCCATTTAATTAATTCATCGATTGTCTAATTCTAGATCCGATCAAACGACACAAAGCACGTCCACTGCTGTGACCACTACATCTCAGCAGACCATCCAGCAGACGGTACAGCTTCCGGGAGCACCCGAGGGTCTGACTGTAGTCGCCCAGATTCCTCAAGATTTGATTCTGCGAGAAAGCATAGAGGAGTCCAAGGAGGACGTGAAAGAGGGCACGACACCTGTGGCTCTTATTAAGCGGGGCAGCGTCAAGAATCAAGGTAATCAGAGCGGAGAAGAATTTATTACTTCTATACCCGCTAGTTGGCAAAGTCTCGCCACTCCAGGATCTACGGTCGCGGATTATCTATCCAGACTACCCACTAGTACTCTGCCTCTTAGTTTGCAACATTTTCTCAAATTTTCGGCTGAGACTATAAAGAGAGAATCTACTATCGAGTCCAGTCCGCTTGGGGCGGACGGTCTCGATGCTTCCGGAAGCACAGCTTCCGGAGAACAAGCGGTGCAGATTACCGTCGCCGGAGGAGAAACAGCGATCATTCCCGATGTCGTCGAAGAACAGGAGCCGGGGGCGAAACCGAAGCGAAAAAAGAAATACAAAAAGAAACCTCCGAAACCGAAGAAACCAAAACCAGGACAAGTGAGCATAGTCACTGCTCTCGATGGTACGACCCTATTTTGCTGCCCTCAATGTAATATGGCGTATCCAGAGAAGGAAAGTTTGGAGCAACATCTGATTGGTCACAAAATCGAGAGGAGGTTTATATGCGATATTTGCGGCGCTGGTCTTAAACGAAAGGAACATTTGGAGCGACATAAATTGGGCCATAATCCCGACAGACCGTTCATCTGTTCCGTTTGCATGAAGGGTTTTAAGCGAAAAGAACATTTAAATCTCCATTTTGTTATACATTCTGGTCAGAAGACCGAGGTTTGCACCGAATGCGGTAAAGCCTTCTATCGGAAGGATCATCTTAGAAAGCACGCGAGATCTCATCTCGCTAAGCGTGCCAAGGAGGATCCATTGAACACGAGCGACGCGGCACAAAATCAACAACAAGCGGATCAACAGCAGCAGCAAGTAGAATTGCAACAACAGTCTGCGGTGCCCGAGTTGCAGCAAATTCAGATACAAGTAGGACAAGGGTCTCAAGCGCAGATTCACCAGATTTCCGTTAGCGAGCAGTCTACGGTAGTTTTACCTACAGCCGCCGAGACTGGAGCTATGACTATGCTTCATCATCAGCAGCAACAACAGCAGCAACAACAACAACAACAACAACAGACGCAGCAGCAACAGCATTAGCAACAGCCTACCGCCCCGAATCAACTTGGGCGGTACTTTCGTTTCAATCATCAGCACGCTAGAGGTCGTGCCCGACATAGCGTACTCGCTGATTAAATTCTATAATTTGATAGGCGAGTTGATGTTATCGAAAGGAAGTTTCGTTGATCTTCATCGTTGCCTAGTTGATTATTTCGCAGTCTCCGTTTTTGAAATGCCTTCGTTTCCTCAAAAAATGTGAACATATTGATGATCCCTGTTTATTGACACAAGGTCGATTGGGACTTCGAGTTTGCGCGCGCGCCATCGGCTTATATACCTTTAAATAGAGGCACAAAAAGAGCTCGCATTCGTGTTTATAATAATATCCTGTAATGATTATCCTGTAAAGCGCACCGAGCTGAATCTACGAACAAAGTTCGTGTATGTTTGCGAATTTCTTCTCTTTTACGTACACGTTATAGCGTACGTGGAAAGAAGCGACAGTATCCGCTCTCGCCCCTCGGACAAGATGTTTTTTGTCGCTCATCCAGTTCCATGACGCTGAAGTTAGAGATAAATATGAAAAGTTTATATAAATATATAAATATATAAATAAATATAAATATGAAAAAATATATATTTTTGAAAGCGCGAACTGGATTCGCCGAAGATGAGAAGGCAATCGAGTTTTGGGCTGAAAATAATTTGCTTCTAATAACGACGATAAAATAAAAACAAACATACGTAACGAAAGAATTAACTAACATGGAACAGAGTTTGTAAATACAGCGCAATCTTTCATTCCCGATGAAAGGGAAAAAATCGTGTCGTATAAGTAATTAACGCGCGAGGCGAATCTTTTATTTATTTCTCTTGTACAACACACACAATCGTGACATTACAATGAAACTTGATTCTGAGTCAAGTCCAATTTATATTTTGTAGCAATATATTGACAGAAGCATGCTTACATTTTTTTCTATTATAATTTAGATCATTGCAAATATATATATATATATATTATATACATATATATACACACGATATATTTGTTTACTTTCAAGGAAGACAAAAAACGTTTGGCAATCGAATCCGCGCTTGAGATCGGAATATTAAAATCGTGAAATAATCAGAAGGATTGGAAAGAAGAAACTATCGCTTATTTGAAAATCTTTGTTTCGGTACAAGAGAGGCAGAATTCGCAGTGTATCGAGTTTGAAAATCTTTTTCGATAAAAAAATTCACGCATTTATCGCGCACGTTGCTGTAAAAAAAAAAAAGATCAATATTTCTGCAATTTGATTATACCGCGATCCAATAAGATTCGTATTTTCACTCGGTTGATTTAATATTTGGATATTAAATTTAATATGAATGTCGAATAAAATAAATTTCGCGCAAATGAATCTTGTGACGAAGAGATTCATCTTGGTCGGTCATATGATGACATGTAAAAAAGGGAAAAAAACTTCAATATATCTTCAGATTGTAAACCAAATTGATCGACGATCATTCACATGAAAAAGCTTTATTCGATGAAAGGTGTATGTATACCACAAAAAAAACTTCTTATTGTAAGTATCGCAATTAAAGGCAATGGGTATAATTGTACAAGAAATATATTATTATTTTATTATCACATAATATAGATATTGATCATTATCGTAGTTAGGATAAATAGTACATAAGCAATTTTCATTGTTACTTACATAAATATTGGAGGAGCTACAAGCTAAAATAAAACATACATTTAATACAAAAATTACATTCGTGTTACACATTTCTCTCGCAAAAATACCGGGTGTTTCTAAACTTGTATCAGAGATTTTAAGAGCGTATTCTAGGGATCGAAGAAAACACGGGTCCAAAAATGCTTTTTCTCCAAATTACAGCCTCCTAAAATTGGGAACATAAAATTCACAATGACATGATTTTATTCATCACAAAAGTTATCGTGCATAAATTTAAAGCTCTCTATTATAAGATCGCTTTATATAATTTTCAAAAAACTTGTTGCTTGAATATTGTCAGAATATGTATAAACAATAGAGCAAACAAATAATTGTATTATAAAAAAAATGTTTTCTAAAATAGAATTTTACATTATCTCATGAGAGTTTTATGTTCTAGGTAGGAAATCTCATTTTATTTTTCACAGATCGTTTAATTAGTAGTCAATTTAATCATTTTTTATATGATTTTGAATTAGATAATATGATTTGAATGAGGTAGGGATATACATTTTTAATCAACATATTTTAATTATATATTAATTTAATAATTTAAATTACATATTGATTAAAAAATAAATGAATTAGATAAAATATGATAAATCCTGAATGAGGTAGGAAATATATTTATTTTTTAATCAACATCAATTTAATTATATATTAAATTTAATAAAAAATTACATATTGATTAAAAAAAAGAAATTAGATAAAATATGATAAATCGGTGAATGAGGTAGGAAATATATTTATTTTTTAATCAACATATAATTTAATTATATATTAAATTTAATAATTTTTTAAATTACATATTGATTAAAAAATAAATGAATTAGATAAAATATGATAAATCGGTGAATGAGGTAGGAAATATATTTATTTTTTAATCAACATATAATTTAATTATATATTAAATTTAATAAATGTTTAAATTACATATTGATTAAAAAATAAATAATTAGATAAAATATGATAAATCGGTGAATGAGGTAGGAAATATATTTATTTTTTAATCAACATACAATTTTAATTATATATTAAATTTAATAAATGTTTAAATTACATATTGATTAAAAAATAAATAAATTAGATAAAATATGATAAATCGGTGAATGAGGTAGGAAATATATTTATTTTTTAATCAACATACAATTTTAATTATATATTAAATTTAATAATTTTTAAATTACATATTGATTAAAAAATAAATGAATTAGATAAAATATGATAAATCGGTGAATGAGGTAGGAAATATATTTATTTTTTAATCAACATACAATTTTAATTATATATTAAATTTAATAAATGTTTAAATTACATATTGATGAAAAAATAAATGAATTAAAAATAAATGATAAATTGGTGAAGAGTTTGAAGTTAAAATTCCGTAAGCCGGATTCGGGCAGTTTCGGGCGAGGAGGTGGACGCGGTTCGGCGCGCCGCGACGGGAATCGGGAGACCCGGGAGAGAGAAAAAATAGTTAAGAGGCTGGCACAGTAGAGGGCGGATGGGTGGGATGGGGACACCGGCTTGAGGGACAGGTGTCAACGATACGCAACACCGCGCGCACTCGCACACCCCCGGGGCGGAAGTATCCTTCCTCTTTCCGGTTGGGAACGACCGGCTGGGAAAGGAACCTGCGGAGGATCCAGGCGGGCGCGGTTCACCCGGACACACGGTAAGCATCATATCGGGATACCCCGGTGTCCCTGAGCGAGGCCACCCGGGAGGACGGGGACGGCCATTTTCTCTCTCTCCCGAGTTTCGGTGCGCCACGTATCGACTAAGTATCCGATGGAACCCGGGGGGTGGGGGGAGGGTGGGATGGGAGGGGGAGAAAGGGTGGCGTTCGCCACCCCCCTTCATCTCCCCTCCGCGCGCGCATCTCGCGACTATCTCCGTCTCGGTGTGGCTTTTTTTTGCCACCCGTATCCTTCTTTTTCTCCCCCCCCACCCCTCCGTGCTCCCTCCCCACCCCCCGGGTTCGCGGCACGTTCTCGAGTAAAGGGGGTGAGCTGTCTAGCCGCGGCGCGTCCTTGGCCGCGGGCGATCGGCGTTCGTACTCTAGGGCTGGCGGAGAGAGTTTTAGTTTCGAGCAAGCCGGTGTTGAGTGTCCTGTCGTACCACGGTTTGGATCCTTCGTTGTGACGTAGAGAGAGAGAGAGAGAGAGAGAAAGAGAGAGAGCGAGCTGTCGCGTGTGCTTCTGTCTCCCTCTCTTTCTCCGACTTCTCTGTCCCTTTCCGCTGTCTGTCTGTCTGTCTGTCTGCTGTCGCGTGCGAGAAAAATCTGCGCCACTCTCGCACCATCGCGCGTCTGCCACGGGGATCCCCCTCCGAGGAAAGGATCCGGTACGGCGAGGAAACATGGGGAGAGGGACATCGTTGTGAGTAAATACTCCGGGCGTCGCGATATGATGCCGAGAACAATAGAGGAGAGAGAGAGAAGCGACTCCATTCGTCACCCTCTTCTCTTTCTTCTTCTGCTAATTGTGTATTTTCTGCTATCGTGTATATATATATATTTAAAAAAAAATGGTCCTGAGAGACGCTCGACTTCTGTTTAGGTATATGAATTCTACAGACGATCTGCAATGAATTTCCCGCCGTTCGGAGGTCACTTCCCCAGCACTATACCGAGTATCCATCAGTTCGCGACCGATAGCTCCAGCGGTGCGGGCGCGCGTTACGCCAATCATTTTCCCAACCAGCCTCCGATCGGAGTGCCGGTTATGGGAAAGTACCGTCCCGAGAACAACGGCGTACAATCCGCACAGTCGCAAGTGATGATGAACAATAAAACCAGCTATCCCAACAGTAATGTTCACCATTATCCGAATGTGCCGTACTCGCAAGCCCAGTCGGTTCAACAACGGCCGACCAATTCGCCTGGAATGCAAGAGAAACGCTCGTATCATCAGGTAAAGCGACTTGGTACAGATTCCCTTTTCGACAGATATATTTTGAACTGTGTAGAGAAAGGCATCTCTTAATTGTATATCTTAATTATGTACATGTCATCTTTTTCTTAATTTGCTTTCTTATTACCAATACGTAACTATTGACTATTACAACAGTGCATTTTAGAAATTTAACTAAACACTTATTTTTTTAATTTCTTTTTTATCAATAAAAGCTCTGCGCATTTAAGATTGTCAAAAATAAAAGATGTAAATATATATCTAGGTGGTTTATTACTTAAAAAAACCACCTATGTACTATGTACGTACCTTTTGTAAATTTGTATACTATTACGTACCAAGACACAACTATTGACTATAACGACAGTGCATTTTACAGTGCAATATCTAGCTGGTTTATTATTAAAAAGCAAAAACCACCTACTGTTTACACTTTTCTCTGTTGCAGCAGTCCACGGAAACAATAAATCAGCAAGATGTTTGCAATCTCCTGCAAGACAAGGATAAGAGTAAGGAGAAAAAAGAGGAACAGCGCAACGGAGAGACTGCCACAAATGGTACTCAGCAGGATTACACGATGCATCAACATCATCAACAGCATGCTCATACTCAAACACCTGCTTCTATGCCAGCTACGTGGCAGTCGCTCGCGACTCCTGGATCCACCGTAGCCGATTATCTCAGTCATTTGCCGGCTAGTACTCTGCCGTTGAGTTTACATCATTTCCTCAAATATTCCGCTGAAAGTATCAAGAAGGAGTCGGAGATGGCGCAAACTACTTCGGTGGCTGTCGCAACCACAACGACACCCAATATCATGATGTCGCCGAATAATAAAAAGAAGAAAAAGAAGAAGACGCCGAAGGAAAAGAAGCCACGTCCAAAGCCTGGCGAAATTCGTCTGACGACAGCGTTGGACGGCTCGACGTTGTACTGTTGTCCGGAATGCCATATGGCGTATCCGGAGCGAGAATTGTTGGAGCAGCATCTTTTAGGTCACACCTTGGAGAGAAGATTCGTCTGTGACATATGCGGCGCCGGCTTGAAACGAAAGGATCATCTCACGCGTCATAAACAAAGTCATAATCCCGAGCGACCTTACGTTTGCACTGTCTGCTTGAAGGCTTTTAAGAGAAAGGAACAACTGACATTACATTTTGTAATACATTCTGGGGAGAAACGGCACGTCTGTACCGAATGTGGCAAAGGATTTTATCGAAAGGATCATTTACGGAAACATACCAGAAGCCACATCGCCAGAAGAGTGAAAGCTGAACTAAGTCAAAACGCTAGTAAGAAATATGTCATATGCGTATTTAAGTGTCTAAATAAAGTTAATGATTTTTCTTGTCAATTTTACATCTACAATTTTTTCTGTACTTTAGGTACGCAACAGAATCAACAACAAAATAACGTTTCGAATATGCAAACGACCACCGTTTCGGCATCGTCTGTTCTTCCGGGCGGGCATCCCGGTTCTCTCCTGTCCTGAGCCCCGCCACCAGGGAACTTTCAGGTTCCCCATCCAAACAATATTCTTCACACGCATACTTCGCATCATTCGCTGCATCATCATCATCTAACGGCGGTTAATGTGGCGCATCAATCGAGCATCACGCCACTCGCTACATCCGGTCATTATCAGTCGCATGAGCTTAGCTTTTTGGGACACGTTAAAGATTTCTGAGACGAGGAGAGGACCTCGACAAAGAGGTAACACCAAGACGCTAACCGATCGTCACTGTCTCGTCGTCGACGTGAGTAGTTCTGACTGACCTATGATTTGGATTTAGTGAGTTTTTTACAAACATAAATTTGTATTATTATGTGCTTCAAAGCTTCCATGTCTCATGTTTCTTGTTGCCGCAACAGAGATATGTGATCATTCTCCGCTTTCCATTTTTACGTCTTTTAGTAGGCAAATTATATTTGCCCTGTCATTTTGCGATGATGTATAATTTGTTTAGTGATTTAGTATCACCTCACTACAGAATTACACATCGATCAATGAGCATGAATAACTCAAGTATACACGGTGTACAATTATTAATTTAGTTTCAAAGAAACTTGACTCCATTGATTATAATTGCACACCCATGTATACGTAATATAGCAGCAATTTGCTAAAAAGTATTTTTTTTAGAACGAAGAAATGTTTTTCTTTTTGAAATATAAATATAAGGAGACATAGAAGCTGTACACTCAATTATAGCACAAACAAAAGTACACATGTGGAAGAAAAATATTAATCTTCCGCAGAAACTCTAGAGTAGAGAAATTTGACTACAAGTCAAAAATTCTTGCCATACATCGTGTACGACGAGGAAAAAGAAGAATATTTTTATGAAAAGTCAGTGTTAACGTAGATATTAAGCTGATTGCGATGAAAAAAGAGAGGGAGTGGGAAAGAGAGAGAGAAATATAATAACATCTCTTTTTCTTTCTTTGTTTTTTTCCTTTCTCGCATCATCGCGTTTAAGATACACGTTTTAATCCTATTATTTCCGCGATGGTCGTGAATATGTTTCTTATCATTTCTTGTTAAATGACATTACGCAAGTGCAAATAGTGTAAAGGGAATAGGAATTATTACACACGCGCATAGTGATATTCCTAATACATATGAATGTGGACGGCAAATCGACCCACCGATTAGAAAACTGTGTCTTTCGTTTATTGAAGACAAATATTTATCCGAATCTTTATTCAGTGTGCATATATATATCGCGAAAAGTTATCTAAAAAGTATCTTTTAGTGTGTGCATATTTATATCGATACGTATAATTTATATTAAATTATTAGAAAAATTATTTTGGCTATGCCCTGTGAAAAAAAGTGGCAAGACCAATAGCAATATTTCGTGGCTGACAAAGAAAAAATCATACGTTTCGTTTCATTAAAATTTTTTGTTTCTTTTATGTATTATGTTGACAATTTGTTTTATATTTTACAATATATAGTGTTCCAAATTTTTACTTTTTATATATTATATACATATGCACAAATTTATGTATACGCGTACAAAATATGTGAGCGAGTCCAGGTTTGCCCAGGTTGGTTTGGGACAAACACGTGTCGTTACTTTCCTTTACGACTTATCGCGCTTTACGACTTATATCGAACACTTGTCACGAAAAGCTTAATTAGGTTTTATAATTTTTTTTAGATTAATTTTTTTTTACATTGTTTTTATACATTTTCGTTGGACCTCTTATATTCGTTACATTCGTTGAGTACTGATTTTATATATATATATATATATATACGTATATATAAGATTTATTTTTTAAGTATGGCATATATATATATATATATATATATATATATATATATAATTATAATATATATATATATATATATGCATTATAATTTTTTTGGACTATATAAACTATATAGTTTTTAATGTTTATATTTTTATCTATAATCGCGACGCGCGCAAATCTTCACAGACTGTGATTGTTTCCGATGATATCTGCTGTAATGGTCAGACTGCGTTTAAGTTTTATACTTTGGTTTTATCTTTTTTTTAGTATTAATGTTCGTGCCATCGTTTTTTTTTAAACTCATCCTTCTCAATTTCTTTCTTGCCATATTAACAGGTATTTGTTTTATAGTCATATAGATACTGTCGTAGATATACATACATGCAAATAGATATTTTTTTATTATCTCATTGTTGTGTCATTATCATCATTTCTCATTATCAGCATTATTATTATCATTATTGTTATTATTATAATTATTATTTATCTTTATATATTCGTAAGAATTATCGTGAAATAACATCGTCTATATATGATATAAACATGCATACTGCAACGTAAAATGTTAGAAATATGATGAGATCTCGTTATAGAAGGTTCCAAATATAATTTTCAATAACCATTATTCATTAGAATTCTATATGTTAAAACGTAAGTTCCATTTTGTCACTTATATGCATAATCTCAAGCAGAGTTGTGATCTCATAATTTAATCACGGTATTCGTTTTATGACTATACAGCAGTAATGTATCATTATGTCAAAAATGATAAATTTTTTAATATTTTTTAATTTTATCTTGTTAAACTTTTGTGTTTAGGTGTTTTTTGCCATTGTTATAGATTATACTTTACATTCCTGATTAAATACTATGGCTACGCTTATATATTCTCTTGAACAGATACTCATTACGATATGAAATAATTTTTTGTTTTCCATGTCTAGATGCACTCTTTCTTATTTATTTTTTCGCATCATATCTCTAGCATAAAACGTTTTGAGTAACACAGAAAATTCAGGTTTTGTCAGACCTCAAGTATAATGATGTACTAAAATGATTACATACATGGATTATTATATACATGTATACTATAAAAAGCCATATGTAAGAGATCAATTTATATTAAAATATTTCATATATTGTCACGTATACTTGTAACTATAAAGGCAGAGAATATGTCTTAGATTATACGTTAGTGTGTAAGTTTGTATACAAAATATATTATAACGTAAGGTAGATGCAGAGAAAGAAAGGCAAAGAATTGCATACAAGATGTATCAAGAATATCGCGCAGTTTCTTCTTAAGCAGATACAACCTTAAGAGATAGAATAGAGAATTTTTTTAACGCAAAGATATTTTTATGATAATTTTCGAGATACAAGTAACTGGAAGAAAGACAGGCTTAAAAATTATTATTCAGTATACTGAATACTTTATTTCTCAAGGTTGTTAAAAAGTTGACAAAGGAGTGTGAAATCAATTTTTGCAAATTTTTAAACTGATCTGTAATTATGAGAAAGCGCGAGATTTTTCATGCACCTTATACACAGGAGAGAAAGAGAATATATACGCAAACGTCGATATAAGTCTTGAGGAAAGTAATCTGTTTTTTTACAGTGGTAGATGGAACCTATGCAAATAATGATAAAAGATAATGAGGAATAGCTTTATGAGATTTATAAGAGAGAGAAAGAGAGAGAGGAGGAAAAAGAGTGTGTATGTGAAAAAGAGCAGATATTTCCAAAGTTCGACATATGTCTTCGACTGTTCAAACAAATGAGTGGCTCAAGAAGGTCTATTTTGAAGGCTAGCTAAAAAGAAGAACCTATTTCCATCCTCGACGAGGCGAACAGTTGATTCTCGATCGCTCAGAGAGAACCGACCGTTTCGTCGAGCTATGTAGACGTAGTAATGTTCCTGTAGAAAAAGGAAAACGATAATAGTTGATGCGTTTCTAAAGAAGAGAAATACTTTTCCGGTGCCTTTGTATTGCGCTGGATTTTCCGCACCTACATAGTTTTCCATCGTAAAGTTTAAGATCAAAAAAAAAAAGCGGCGCGTTGTGCCTCTCTGTTTTCGAAACTACATGTATGTATTACACTTGTCCGCCTTCACGTCGTTCGAGCAGCCGAATTTCATTGATTTCTGGTTTTTTTCACGATTCTACATCCGGAATTATTTCGGTGAATAATTCCAGGTAGCAAGTGTACATCACTTTGACGTCGAATGACGTCATTTTGACGTTTAATGATGTCAGTTTGCTACTTGGGATATCTCGCGATATTGATTTCATAAAATATACTTTTCTTAGGATGTGTTTTGTTTAATTTTTTTGAGATGGAATCAAGAGAGACTCGACTCGGGGAGGACAAAAAATATACAAATTAAATTTAACAATATTTGCTACGTCAAACAATTTGAATAACATTTCATGGGAAAATGCTTCTTGTATATTATTTGTTTTTTATTTTAGAAAAAATAGTATTTATTGAATTTATTGTAGACGGTCGCAGAAAATGATTGGGGAATAATTAAAAGAATATCGTTATTTCTGAAATGTATCAAGGCGCGCTCGTTCGGTTTCGATCAAATTGGAGAAATCGGTTAAACTTGATTCTCCTTCATCTCGATTAATTAGAAGCGATCAATTAAAAGTATATGGATTTTATAGAAGATATACTAATAATAATAATAAGGATATAACTAATAATAATTCATAGTAATAACAATAATCATAATAATAATATTAATAACAGCAACAATAATAATAATAATATTAGTAATGCTAATAATAATAATAATAATAATGATAACAATAATGATAATAGTAAGATTAGAAGCAACACGGAGAAAACAAGATCCGATTCTCTTACGACGCGCTTAATATAGTTTTATGCGAAACCCAGAAAATTGTAAGCAACTTTTCCGAGTCGGCAACGACTTCCATTCGACGACGAACAATATATGTAGATTTTTCTTTTACGTTTTTATAATTATACGATATAATTTTATATTTTTTATGTAGAGAGTATAAGTAAGCTTTATTTCTTCTTAACAATCTTTTGTAATTGTTGCTCGAAACGAGAATAGTTCTATATTTATTTTTTTGAAAATATTATATACACTGAAAAAAATTATTTAATTATTCAAATAAATATATATTTCAATACTCCTTTATAAATCATTTATTTGAAACTAATAATATTGATTTGCCGTGTATTTGATATAAGAAATCCTTTTTCACAACAGATAAATACTTCTTATTTGTTTCAAACAAATGTGTGCAAAAGGAACTATTAAAAAATATATTTATTTGAATTCAGATTTTTTGTTTCAGTGTATATACTGCAAAAATATATTCTTCGTTGCTTATCAATTTATTCGTTTCGAGCATCGAATATACCGTTGAACGGTAGAAATTACTATAAAGGCGACTTTGTAAAAAAAATTTGTGATCGGACATCAAAGGACTGCTCCGACTACAAAAGGGTAGGACGGAAAAATTAAAAAAAAAAAAAAAAAATCCGACACCTCGAATGTAACTCGAATGTGAGTCTCTCAGGAGCAGTAAAATGGCAATGAAAACCATATTTTTCTATATGTACGCAGTGTCCCGGGACTTTCCATTATCTGTATTAAAATTTGTAGAGCAAAAACGAAAGAGAGAGAGAGAAAAAAAGAAGTGAATTTGATCGATTCGCAAGATGCAAGAATGTACCTCCAGTACGAGTGTAATTATCAATTGGTTCATGCAAAAACGCAAAAGTGAGATAAACATACGTCATTCTCTTGCTCTTCCTTGACTTTTATATCACAATTGTTTGTCTCTTATGTATCTTCCCTTATCCGCGATGTTACAATCGCGGAATACAGAGTACAAGCATCGTGCAAACGGAAGATTTTTTGCATGAACTAAATAGAGAGAGTACGTCGATTTATTGTGCGAAGAATCTCTCATGGGAGACTTGTTTTTTTTCTTCCCTTAATGAGAGGGGCTTGTCTCTAATCCGGCGCCTTGTCGCGTACGAGTGTAATGCGTAATATATGTGTAATTAACAGAGTTCTCTCGACAAATATGCGTTAAACAGGCGATTGGCGACGGAAAGACATACAAATTCCTCGACATAGTACAAACGCTCAGATTCTTTTCTCTCAGATAGATTAGACACGCAGGATGCGTTTATATAATGTGTGAACACGAGTGAAATAACCGGCTGACCTCGAACTCTTTCTCGTCCAATGAAGACTTATTTTGTAATTTTTTTCTTTTTAATGATGTGAAATTTGTTTTTATTTATTGCGCGCATTAAATCGATAATTTTATAATTGGACGTTTAAACTAGGCGAGTCCTCTATACAAGTGCAATAATATCTATAGACATTGAGTGTCTGCGTTTAGTTTGTATTTTTGAAAAGAAAATTTAAATGTAATTTTATATCTAAATTTTCTCGTCTTCAAACACATCAATTTTCTGTATAGAAGTGTTTAGACGTTAAATTTCTTTTTAATGCGGATTGACTTCGAGGACTTTCGGTGATAAATTATTTATCTACATAGCACGTTGACGGCTAAATTTTGCCTAATTGAAGCAACTTTTTCGTTTAAATGTGTGTGCGATCTATGGTTATATTCTCTACCTTTTCAGCTGAATTTTGTACCGAAGTCTTCCAAGGTACAAAAAAATACCGGTTTATTCGTCGTGCGTGAATCAAAACTGATGAATGAGCGCAGTGAGAGGACATATAGAAAGAGAAGAAACAAAAGGACGAGATAAATGTGTGTTAAAAAAAGGGGAGAAGTATATGTATAACTAAGCGATCCCTCTGATAATGTCAACGTTTTATTTTTATATAGAACGCTTAAAATGTCTGTCGATTTTAAGAACGCGAGACGAGAAAATTGAGAATGAACGAAAGGTTGAAGAGCGAGTGTGAATAAACAATATAATAATAATTATATAATAACAAAAAAAAGAGAAAAATATTTAGAGAGACGTAGATATGTACTAGATTGCTGATAAACTTAGGCGAGAGAATGGAAGTTTACAATTTGCGCGCGTTTCTAAGATACTTCGGATAAAGGAAAAAAAATGCTTCATGTATAATATATCCTATATGTTATACCACATTCTATGTATACACATACACATATATACATAGATATGCATCCACGAAAAATGCGTGACGTATATCTTTTCTTACAATTCTTTATACTTATATAGATATACGTATATAAATTGTAAGAAAAGTCATATATCGGGAGCTTTTTTATTTGTTCGGGGTTTATCACCCCCGGAAAAGTATCTATACTCTCTCTCTATCCCTATCCCACGCGTTACTATTTTCTTTTTTTCTGTATACTTGCGAGAAAATGAGATTGTCAATCAACTTTAGTACTTATGCGTTTTTGCATTTCCAATGACTGTATTATATATATAAACGAGGTAGATATTTTTATATATATAATAATCATTTATTAATTTATAATTAAGACTCGGCTGCAGTTGATAACATACAATACTCTGTCCTTTCCACTTTTATTTTTTAATTTTAGGGACTTATAGATCGTATACTCTTATATTCCGCGCATCGTTTGTGTGAGTGTACAAGAGCGCAATTTAACAGTATATAATAAGAGAATGCCAATAAAATACCATGAATTTTCATACAAATACAACTAATATATATATATAAAGAGCCCGACTCACGAAGCGCGAAATGCATGTTATATATGTTGGAAATGGAAGAATCGACATTACATTTTGTACCTTTTCAAGGGGAGGACAAGATTTAACGTCCGAATATATATTTTCTCCAAATCTGCCTGCAATGAAGAGCAGAAGTAGCTATACATTAACAAGATTTAAACTTTAAAATACGCAAAATTTTTCTCAACTAATCCACAAATCATTCTTTCAAATAAATTATATCTACAAATATGCATTAGATAAATTCACATGGATGTCTTTATATTTTACTATTCTGATTCATTTTTGATAATGGCAAATTCTGTTTATGCAAATTAACATTTCGTGTAGTTCGATGGAAACGTTCAATAATCCACAAAAAATGTAAAAATTGCAGATTTTTATTTCTACAATATTAGCGTTTTACAATATTACGCTGTAATTTTAGTCTCCCAATTTGATGTGCGGAGATTACCCTTGTTTTTCTAATTCAAACGCAAAAGACAAAGAAGCTAACAAATTTGAGAATTATCTTATTGCGTTGTATTGCCAAGTATGTTGGTAATTATTCTCTCCGTTTTACTATTGTCATCAATATTATATAAACAACTAACGCACTTCATGCCATAATCCATTTCTATTGTCCTCTAACGCCTACTAAATTTATATATTTTTTAATGCAACAAAGATTACTATCGCTCTGAATAATAAACAATGAATAGCAAATCTTAAAAAATAATCAAGTTTAAATCTAATTTAAAACGATCAGTCTAGAAATAAAATAAACTGTGTTCTGACTGCTCGTATTAAACGCACGATTTATAAAAAAACATTTGTTGGAATTACAATCTTAGAAGAGACCAACCTTTTTCCTTTTTTTTTAAAGAATAAATAATACTATATAAAAAAGATCATTGATAATAACGATTATTTTGAATTTTAACGCAAACTTATTCAAGTTCAAAAAATCTCAACAGGTACATTCTTAATATAGACAACCTCCTACACATATAGTGTATTATAAAGGATATTACAAAATTGTAACATTATCGTAATCTCGCCTACTTATTGACAAAGTATATAGTAATAAGATATACTCCCTTAGGAACATGGATTCTTATATTATATTTTAACAATTATTTTATTCTTATATTATTAACGATTATTCCGCAAAGTTAAGTATATTCGATAAAGCTCATTAAATTCGTATTAAATCTTACAGAATTAAATCATCGAAATAGTGAAACGACCTTGGCTTATAGACGGAGATAAGAATATATGTTACACAATCGTTATAGATGTAAATAACTAAGTCCGTAAAATTGAAAACGGGGGAGGTCCCGTCTGTCTCATCATCATTGCAAAACCACTCAGTCCTTCATCGCCCGGTTGCTGATCATTCTGATTATTTTGCGAAATATTTAAATGCTTGCCTCGACCGCTATTGTGACTTTGCAAATGTTTCTTCAAATGATCCTTCCTATAGAAAGCTTTGCCGCACTCGGTACAAATTTGATTCTTGCTACCTGAATGAGTGATCATGTGACGCGCCAAGTGCTCGTTACGTTTAAACGCTTTACAACACATGCTACATTGATAAGGCCTATCCTTATTATGACCTTGCTTGTGACGATCCAAGTGCTCCTTCCGTTTCAAGCTTGCCCCACAAATATCACAAATATGTGGCCTCTGTTTATGGTCTTCCAGATGTTCGTGGAGCGCCTCCCGATCATCGAATCTATACGCGCACTCGGGACAATGATAAATCAACATACCTGGCAAACAAAAATATTATACATTACTCAAGATTGTCAATAATATAATCAAATAAAGGTTTTTTCTTGCAACAAATATATTTTATATATAATTGTGTGATACATAAACATATATCACACAATTATAACAAAAAATATGCACAAAATTGTATTTGATACAAAATATGAAGAAATTTACCATTAATATGCTGCGGTTCAATCTCAAATTCAATTTTTGGCCTCACTGCTTGACAGCTATGCGTAGAATTATTACTGCTGTCCTCGTATTTAGGTACATATGGCAAACCTAATGTACTGGAGCAACGTGCCAGGTATTCGGAAGTGAGTCTAAAATCAATCTGCAGAGGATCTGTCATAGTCGCAGCATCAACTTTCTGCACTGTCTGTGTGCCTGATGACTGCTGTGAGATTGGTGGACAGTGCTCCTTGGTGCTACACAAGTTGTTCTCATTTCTGTTCTCGTCAGTCTGTTGAAAGTGCTGCGGTGGATGGCCAGAGTAAGCATACCCAGTCATGTTAGGTCGAGTAGGATGCTGATGAGCATGAGTGTTTGGGGAATATTTCACGTTACGCGAGTCATAAGCCATGATATTACTCAACAGCTGTTGAAGAGAGAGATAGGCCCTGATATATATCTGTTACAAAATTTTAACTCTAATCACAATGACATGTACTATGTCTGTGATATCCGTAGTGTCTATAATATCCGCACGATCGCCTGAGAAAAGAAGAGAGAGGAGTTAAAAGGGTCAAACTCATCATGTACCATTTTGGGGGGAAAAAAATATCGCCTTACCATACAAGGAATATCATTGTAGAGAAAAAAGTGATCACTGCATCCTGCTGCGTCGTTTCTATCACGCTCATCTCGTCGCTCCTAGGACAAAGCAAATTTATCGCTCTCGGAGAATGTGGTCCCTCCGATTGGACGATGTTTCTTATCTCCGATTACGCTTCATGCCGGATGATCTTCTTGATTATGTGCGCTGATGATACGTCTGCGAAAAAGAAGCGGTATATTTAACAGAAACAGGGGATTGAAGGAGCAAATTACATTGATGATGATCCGTTATGAATAAGAGAACGAGATTATCTTCGAATATGTCAACTACGAGATTCCTCTACCCTCTCACCTTCATACTAATCCCGCGATACGTATGGACCAGACGTTGCGAGCCTATCCGTTTGTATCGGTATGCCGGCCATCTTTACGCATCAGCTGCGCTGCACTGTGCTGCAGCTGCGCGAGGTAACCGAAGCGCGCGAACGAGGCTTGAGCTATCGTGGAAATGTAAGAAGATTAAAATATATATTATGGGTATATATAATCAGTGTTTGCTGTTATCTAAATGTAATTATATAGATGATCATCTAGATGAAACTTTGGCGTCATCTTATCTTTATGTAGATAATAAAAATATGTATTATCAATATCTGTGTGCATATATCTTTGATGAAAAAAAGTATTATCTTATTATTACATAAAATGAATGAATAATATATAATGAATATAACGAATAATATAATGTTATACTAAAATTATCTAGAATAATTTTCAGATAATTTATTTGGTTTAGAATCAATAGCACTTAAAAATACTTAATAAATATAACAGAACTTATAAGCAGTAAAGCGATAAAAATTTATAAATAAAAATATGAATATATACATATATATTTTTATATCTTTTTTTATAATTTACACTTTTTTATAATTGTGTTTACATATAAGCAGTCTTAAAAATTATTATCTAGAAAATTATCCAGATGAATCGCCATATAATTTGATCTTTTATCTATATATATTTAAAACATTCATCTTTATCTTCTCTAAGATGAATTTACATATATTTCTATCTCATATCTTTATCTAGCTAATTTTAATCATCTAAGCACAACATTGCTTATATAAATATATATATGTAATACATATTAAGACCAAAAATTGAATTTGAGATCGAACTGCAGCATATTAATGCGGTGAGTTTAATTATTATTTTGTATATAATAATTATATATGTAATGAAAATATATTTGCGTTATATAAACCTTATTTTTATTTGATTATTGATAATCTTGTATATTTTAGTAAACAAATTGTTTTTCTTTTTATTTAATATTTTATTATACACAGAGAGAATTTTCTCTTAGAATTTATCCTGGAAATTATGGTAATCGTGGGACAATAAGTGGTATTGGAAAAATTTTATAAATTTCTCTAATTAATATTTACTTACTACTACAAAAATATTAATATCTATTATATATATACATACATAGTAAAAATTATTCGAACATATTTTATATCTTATTGTGGTAGATATTAATATTTTTTATTTATAGTAAATATTAATCAGAGAAACTTTTATAAAATTCTTCCAATACCATATATTTTGTCCTATGATTACCATGATGTCAGAAAAAATTCTCTATATGTATTTATTTAATTCTTTATTCTTTATTTTATTTTATTTTATTTGTGATATTTTTATTAAAATTAAAAAAAGATATATATATATATATATATATATATATATATACACATGTAACAATAAAATACACTTGGTGGTAGTAATATATAAAAAATCACAGAAAGAAAAATTAAAACAAATATTCACAGAAAGATATTCTCCGTTCTATTATCATTATTTAAATTACATATAATTTATTAAAGAAATAAAAAAATTTTTCGAATTTAAAAAACTTTGATACAAAAGTCGCCTTATAAACTATTATAATACCGAATGTACCAACTAATCAAATTTATATTGTCTGATAAAGTACAGCATACACAAACACACGTCATTTAATTGCTAAAAAGTCAGAGTATATCGATCAGGCGATCTACGTCAATTTTAATATCTCTTCTCTCTCTCTCTCTTATCTTATTTCGTTACTTTCTCTTAATTAGAGGAGAAATTGTACATGTCGCGTTCTCATTAATAATAATCTAATTTATATATAAGAAAGCATTTCCTTGCGTTCTTTTCTGAATCACGATTTACGTCAGCTCCGATCTAAATTATTTGATCCACGCACTCTTATTTCAATTCCGTTCTGCGCAAAAAATAAAGCAGGCATTATTATACAGAATTAATTAAATATTATTAAAATTATTTGTGATGTACGTACACGAACGTATTTTTACGCACATCTTTATCCAAATTTAGACAGACATAGCATAAATTATTGCTCATCATACGATTTTATTTGTCGGTCGGAGGGAACGACGGATGTCCCCTCGAGGAAACTTTGGCGAGAGAGTTTTCCATTCTGCTGATCAACTTCTGGAAGGTGTTCCTCTTGAACCCGCCATTCCCTTCCGAGGAATCGACGTCGATCTCGTCGCACTCGTTCGCACCTCCTCGTCTATTATTCGTCTCAATGGAATCGTTTCCTCGCGACTTTCTGTTAATTGCGGCGAATTTCCGATTCCACGATCTCTTATCGGAACTGATCGTCGACCTCGTCGCAGCGTCCTCGTCCCTTTTCTCGTTAATGTCCTTCAGTCGCGCCGTGAAATCCTTCCATAGCGCTATATCGTCGTACAGGTCTTCTTCGTTCCCCTGCTGATTCTCCGCAAAATCGCGAACGCACAGGTCGCTCCTCGGCGACTGATAGTGCTCGATCTCTTCCCGGGAAGGGTCGTTGTCTACTTTTTGTTCCGTCTTCCCGTTACCCGGAGTTTCCCTCGTTTTTACACCCGACTTCTGCGTCGACTGCAAGCTCGTTTGCTATTTAAAAAGAATTCTGGTTAAATGTTACTCAATTAACTGTCGTTATAATATTAATTATATAATATATATAATATAATATAATAATAAATTATATAAAATATAAATATATATTATAAATAAATAAATATATATATATGTATATATATAATAATTATATAATATTTATATAATATATATTATAATTAAATATAAATATAAATAAATATAAAATATATATATTAAGTAGAGAAGGGAAAATAATACTTGATGTTTGTGTTGTTCTCGACAGGCGTTGACGTCATCGTACAAGTCTTCGGCTTGATCGACCTGACCGTTTGGGATTGTCGACTTCGTATAAACTGGCCTAGGCGGGGGAGGACAATTGTATTCCGACAATTCTTTCTCCTCGTCCGCTAAAGATTCGCGATTCACTATTACATCGGACGCGTCGTCGTAAATAGATAATATCTCTTCCTTGGTTGAGGACGGTGGTGGACTCGACGAAGTTTTACCCTTATATCTCTTGTCCGATTTGCCGGGCGATTCCTTTCTACTCAGAACTCTTTCGAGGAAGGATTTCTTCTGCGGAGACTTGCTCGGATCCTTCGCACGATCTTTGGTGAGTTTCCCGTTTTGAAGCAAATTCTACGTCGAAATAATGAAAGAAAAATTATCGTCAATTTTTGGAATATAACTATATTTGCGATTTCGTTGAAAAAAACATTTCAAAATCATTTTTCGTGATTGGAGATGTAAATTGTTTGATAGAAAGAAAAAAGAATTTGTGTTAGCTTCGCGATTTGAGTAGTAAACAATTTTTAATAACTATAATATAAATAAAATAACAAAATGATAAAATTGCTTCGCGTTTGCAAATGGCATCAAGATATTAATTAACGAACGGTATTAATTGTAATTACTAAAGCTATAGCTTTATAATAGAAATATGATAGAATAAAATTGTATAATATATTATACAGCATACAAAATATATAATAATAATATATATATAATATTTGATATATAAAATATATAATATATATAATATATAATTTATATAATACAATATATAATATAAATAATATTTATAATATAAATATAATCAATACAATTAATATTATAATGATAATAAGATATAATTGAGGAATGTAGGGACTCACTTCCACGTCGTCGTAAAACTCTTCCTGTTTCTCTTCCCCATCCGGACGAGGATCATGGTTCTGCCATTCGCTGTTCGCTGTGGCGTTAATTCGCAAAGCGATATCATCGTACGTCTCCTCAGACGGTTTCGCGTCGCCTTCCTCCCTCGTCTGACCTTCGTTATTACCTTCCTCCGGTGCGCGAACGTCGTCGTAGGCGACGACAGTCTCGCGCTTCTTATCGCCTCGTTGTTTCCTCGATAGCATCATATTCTGATAACACGTCCCGTTTTTCAGATCCTCGATCTTGTGATAAATGTCATCCTCGTCCTCGTCGTCCTCAATGACCGCTTTGTAGCAGGATATCGCGTCGTCGGGAGGTAAAGAGGGCAATCTTCGCGGAATCCGGGCTGGTAAGGGAGGCGGATTTCCTCCTGAATCCCTTTTTTGCTCTTGCACCTCTTCGCCCTTGTTGCTCGCCGATTCGTCCTTGGCTATTGGGCTGTCAAGGTCATCCAAGGTCGAATCTTTCGCGTCTCTATCTGTCGAGGATTTGACGACGGGATTCGTTCGTCGCTTCTTCCCGCGACCTTCAGACTTGACTTTCGCGCTCCTCGCAGCCGGATTGCCACCCATCTCGCAGATCTTCGCTATCCACTGTTCCATGTCCTTGGGCGTCCTTGCGATGAAACGTAAGGTCTCGTTGCCCGGACGGTATATCTCAAAGGCGGACTCGCTCTTCTGTCGATCGCGGGGGATCAGATTCGGCGCCGGTCGGGCCATGTATCCGCGAATTGGATGGATTCCGTGAGGCTGATTGTGCCGTTCGTTGCGATAGATGAGGAGATGCGAGCCGATGAGGGCGACCCAGCAGGTACGACCTTCCGGCAGGAACAGCTTCTTTCCCTCTTTCTTGAAGAGCGGACCGCATTTGTGGCATTTGCTCCTGATCTGCGCCGCCGAGAGCTTTTTGTAGATCCTGAGCAACATTCGACCTTCCTCAGTCTCGTCGTCGTTCTGCTCTGAACGATCGTTCGCGACACCTTGAGCCTCGTTCTCGAAGGTCTCGTAGTAATCCTGATGATGACTCTGTCTCTTAGACCCTTCCATCCCTACGTATTCCTCCGTGTCGGTCTCGTTCTTTCTCAGCAACAGGCTCTTCAGACCCGAGTTCATATCCAGATAAGGTTCCGGGGATCCTCGAGGTACCCTTGTAAGGCTTAACGTGTCCTTGGAACGCGTCAGTAGCTTCTCCCGTAGGTTCTCCAGGGTAAGAGAAAGCTGCACGTCGCGAAGGCATTCCAGAAACTCTATCACTTCTGTCGAGACAACATATGTTGGAAGAATGAAAGTTGGAAATTTGTACAAATACGAATTTGAAATGAAGAGAAGAATCAACAATCTTTTATAACATTTCCATTTTGTTAAGATAAAGTTTCTTTTATTGAAATACATACCCCGTAACAAGTCGCTAATGTTTGTAATGTCGATTTCCATGTTGCTGATGTATCGCGACATCCCGTCACTTCAGAGCAAAAATTGCGGTTACTTGGACGAGTTTTAAACTTTCCATTGGAAGAATCTACGACGGTGATGAAAGTACGATCGATTTATCTATCATTTTTCCTCATTTTAGAATCTTATAGTACATATATAGTTGCTCGATATCTGTGATTGACGGTTTTATCTTCTGTATTTCGTGATACAGGACATCCTTACAGGATGTATAGCAAGATATGGTCACTGTAGATAATGCTTTATCAAACATTCAAATGCTGCTCACGTTCTTAAAATAATAATAGCGTCTCATATATTTTTTACACGATGACAGGAATATTTTGCTGTAAAATAATTTGACTCGGCTCTTTTTTTCTGTAAATTCAACACTGAATTTTTATTTTATGAAGAAAGGGATATTTTTACGAACGTGATGAAAAGAGACTAGACACGTTTAGAAATGCGAAGAAGGTGTATATATATATACCATATAAGATGATCTACTTGATACCGTGCTAAATACCCGGCATAATCAACACCCAGCGTCATCGGAGTTACTTCGATCGAGTTATTGCCGTCTACTCGGGCAAAGAATTCCTCGGCCGATGACGCGTTGTTTGCCGCGGAATTTTATTAACTCGACGTAACAATTGAAGGCATTTGTCCGCCTTAAATTACTCGTCTGCATTCATGAAACTTACTTTCCTGCACTACCTCTCCAATCTTTTGTAATCCTTTATAATTTCGGATGAAGAAACTTAATCCTCAAGGTTTCCCAACAGCACATCATATCCGAAAGAAGTTTAAAGGATATCCCGAGGACATCCGAACATCCTCAAATACACATATCCGAAAGACATTCAGAGGATATTCTGAGAATATCAAACATCTTCAAGCACATATATCCTAAAGACGTTCAGATGATATCCTGAGGACGTCCGAACATCCTCTGGATGTTCTCTGCTGTTAAGCACACATATCCGAAAGACATTCAGAGGATAATCCAAACATCCTCTAAATGATCTCTGCTGTGAAGCCTCTGAGGACATCCAGAGGATGTTCAGATATGCAATCTTCAATGGATTCGACCTTCAAACGTCAAACTTTTAACTGATGAAAGTACGTCTACTCTGTTGCAGCAGAATTACGCACATCCCGAGGAAACTTGCGGAAAAAGAGTGAAGAAATATACCTGTCAGATAATTTCGAGCTGGTTATCGAGAGTTTGGAGGCTTAAAGATGAGAGGAAAAGTGGAACGAGCCGAACGACCGAGCGACCAGAGAGAGAGAGAGACTGTCTGGTCGCGTTAGAATTCAATTAACGCGACGACGTGACACGTGCAAGCGTCATAAGGCGACTCCCGCCGAGCCGAGACGTTCGCTCATGTCAGCCTCGTCCTCGCCCTCCGCGTTGACACTCTTCTCCTACACGCGCCTCTCCTCTCTTTCACGATCTGACTCATTCATTCGTGTCTCTCTCCCATCTCTCTCCTGTCATTTACGCCGTCGAGTGTCTTCGTATGCCCTCTCGTTTAAAAAAAACAGGCTCAATTAATCGTTTCTGTCTGATGAAACAAATAAGATTGGGCCCTTTCTCTCCCTCCACCTTTAGTGATAATACTCTGTCTTATTGGGTTTCACAAGATGAGCCGAGAATGAGGAAAATCATTACATTTAAAGAAAATCGATTTCCGCATCGTAGGCAGATAGAAAAAAATATATAATGCGTATGTTGTATAAATTATTCTAGATAAATATAGACGTGCGTATAACTTTTAATAGCGCAATCGAGATATCTCACGTAATGCAGACTTTGCAAATTTTTATTCAACGTGAGATATCAGAGAAATTGAAAAATAACATCATTGTAAAAATCTAAATAATTTTATTTTATATTAATTTTCAACAGAAATAGATTACTAATGTTATTTGTTGTTTCCCAATGTATCAATAAAATTGACCAAGAGATTATTTTCGAAACAATTTTAGACTACTTTATATTATAGTCTTCAAAAAAAAATCGCATTATATTTTTCTCAGATGCGATATAAATAATTCAAATTACTCTACATTAAAAATAATTAAATTTTTTGTTGCATAGGCGCACACATAAATTAAATAATTTTTATAGGAAATCATATGTATATATGATTATTTATTGTCTCTAGTGCATTTCTTAAAGAACTTTACCGCAAATCTTCTTCAACGGTTTGACGTAAACATTGGACGAGATTTCCGACATTTCTGACCACTCATCAGCCTTGGCTTGCTCCACTTCCTCATCGACCTTCTTGTACATTGCAGTGCATATATCCTAGCACGCATGCAACGTATAATTAAAGGAGACAGTTGTCATTTTGTTATGCGTCGCAATTAAAATTCTAATACTTTAATTTTTATCCATTTTTAATAATTTTATAATGTTCTTTTTATTCGAATTATAAATTTAATTACTTCAAGATAGACATTTCGATAATTAGATCAGAATTACCTCGACGTCTTCTCGGTCACAAGTCCCTTTCCTACGACGAGCTTGTTAAGCAACATGATTGGATCTTGTTCGCTTTGTATGTATGTTGTATAGTTTTGAATTTATCTCTGGTGCGATATGAGTATCCAGGATTGCTCATATACTGTGTCCGAAGCCGTGATATCTGTACTCCGTAATGTCCTGCTGAGTTAAGACTGTCCTGACACCCACCGCTGTTGTTTCCTACAAAATATTAATATATAATAATATAAAAAAATATTAATTGAAGGTATGTTGAAAAGTTATTATATACTTTGTTGTAGCAGAATTACATCCTGAGGAAACTCGCAAAAAAGAGTGAAGAAAGAGAGAGAAAGCTACAGTACCTGTCAGAGAATTTCGAGCTGGTTATCGAGAGTTGATGGGTCTGCTGCGAATTAAAAGATGAGAAGAAAGTGGAATAAAGAACGACCGAACTATCCGATATCTCGTTCAGAGCTACTAGAGAGAGGAAGACTGTTTCTCGTCTCAGAATTCTTTAGAATTCAATTAACGCGACGACGTGATACGTGCAAATGACATAAACCGACTCTCGCCTAGTGCTTTCGCCGCGAATCGAGATGGTCGCTTCAGCCTCGTCCTCCGCCTTCCGCGCTCCTCTTCTCTCTTTCACAATCGAACTCATTTATTCGTGTTTCTTATCTCTCCTACCATTTCCTGCATCTTATTCAAGTCCTCTCATTTAAAAAAAGTTATCGCTTAATTGATCGTTTCTATCGAATGGAATCAATAAAAAATTAGATTACTCTTCTCCCTTCACTTTACTAAGTTTTATAAGATGACCTGAGAATGAGGAAAAAATTCGTTGTGTTTATTGAAAATTGATTTTTACATCGCAGGTGGGTGGAAAAAAAATATTGCTTATGTTGTATATTGTATTCTACTACAGATAAATATAGATGCGTCTATAGCATTCAATGTTGCAATCGAGAGATATCTCAAGTAATGACTCAACATTAGATATCTGAGAAATGAAAAGCATCATTGTAAAAGTCTGATTTTATTTTATATATTAATTTTCAACAGAAATAAATTACCAATGTTATTGGTTGTTTCTGAATGTATCAAAATGTCCAAGAGATTGTTTTCGAAACAGTTTTAGACTACTTTATATTATACTCTTTCAAAAAGAACCGCATTATATTTTTGTAAGACGCGATATACATTTTTATCTAAAGTACGAATAAATAATTTAAATCACTCTACGTTGTAAAAAATTAAAATTCTTGCGCACAGGAGGACACGCAGGAGGCAGGATTAATAAATAATTTTCGATGAGAAAATTATCTGTACACTGATTATTGTCTCTAGTGCGTTTCCCAGGGAACTTTACCGCGAATCTTCTCCAACGGTTTGACGTAAACATTAGACGAAATTTCCGACATTTCTGGCCACTCATCAGCTTTGGCTTGTTCCACTTCCTCATCGACCTTCTTATACATTGCAGTGCGTATATCCTAGCACGCATGCAACGTATAATTAAAGGGAATAGTTGTCATTTCGTTGTGCGTCGCAATTAAAATTTTAATACTAAAATTTTCCCCTGCTTTTAATAATTTTGTAATATCCTTTTTTCTCGGTATCTTAATTATTTCAAGATAAACATTTCGATTATAATTAAAAGAAAATTACCTCGACATCTTTCTTGGTCATAAGTCCCTTCTCTACGACGAGCTTGTTAAACAACATAATTGGATCTTGTTCGCTTTGTACACTTTTGATTTCTTCTCTGGTGCGATACGAGTATCCGGGATCGCTCATACTGTGTCCGAAGTAACGATAAGTTACCATCTCTATTACGATTGGTCCGTTTCTAAGCGCAAAATCTCTGCTGAAACGCACAGCTTCTCGCACATCCACGACCTTCATTCCATCAGCCTATGTCAAATTATACATTCAGTTATACTAAATAATGTAATAAGTATATATATGTATATAGAAATTAAATTAGATATATATAAGATATACATATTTATATATCTATATTATATATTTCATTATATATATATATATATATATATATATATATATATATATAATTTAATATTTTATATTATATATTTAATATTATATAATTAATTATTTTATATTAAATAAAATTTAGATTATAATTATAATTATTAAATAGAGAATTTTGAAATAAGAAACCCGTCAGAGTCATCATTGTTAACATCTCTCCTTTATGCAACGAGCAACAAACTAAGCGGTTCACCTTTATTCCAGGTATGAGATCTCCGCGCGTGTACAACTTCGTGTTCGCGGATGCCCGGTGCACGGCCGTGCCCATGCCATAGTGGTTATTCTCGCAGATGTAGACCACCGGCAGATTCCACAGCTTCGCCATGTTCCAAGCTTCGTGGAGTTGGCCCTGCGAAGCCGCACCGTCGCCGTACAACGTAAAAGCCACGCCGCCTGTGCCGTTGTATTTGTGGGCCAGAGCCATACCGGTGCCGATCGGTACCTGGATCGCGAAAGCAGACGCTAGAGTTCCAGGAGTTGGAGACATTATTCATCAGGAGGCGAGGACCCCAAGTAGAAAAGTCAAAATAATATGTCAGTTTGATGTCATATTGATCAAATTTGGACTCCAGATTTGCTTCCCTGTTCTACTTGGCACCATTTGTGGTTTACCTGTCCGCCAACGATACCGTCGCCGCCGTAGAATCGCGGCGCATACATGTGCATCGAGCCGCCCTTGCCCTTGGAGGCACCAGTTTTGCGTCCCATAAGTTCCGCGAAAACCGCCCGCGCCGGGATGTCGAAGATGACAGCGAAGCCGTGACACCTGTACGCCGTGATGACGGTGTCCTGCTCGGCAATGGCCATCCTGAGACCCATCACTATAGCTTCCTGCAAAGGTATTCACTTTCTACATATGTGACCTTTAACTTTCTGAATTTTTAGCTTTATATATATTATTTTTATATTTTATAAATATTATATATATTATATATTAATATATATAGCATTCTGGATTTTTAGCTTATTATATATTCTCTATACCTGGCCGGCATATAAGTGTAAGAAACCATTGATGAGTCGCTGTCTGTATAGCTCCGCGGCTTTGTTCTCCATCCGACGTATGTAGTTCATTTTTTTGAGAGCATTCGTGGCATCGTTGATATTTAGGGTCGCTTTTTCGGGCGGACCTTTATCCAGTCGATATAAATCATATTTCTAGAATAAAGACTCGAATTAGAGAAATGCGAAAAAAATAAGAATAGAATACAAGATCGCGTACCGTCTCTAGAACAACTTCTTTGGTGGTATTGCAACGATGCGCCAGCAAGTTGCATCGTATCTTGGGGCGGCAACGAAAAGACTGCGAGAAGCCTAGCCTCGTCCATATCGAGTACATATTTGAAACATTCCTTCCTCGATATTTATTAAAAGTGACAAAATTTCTTCTCACGAATTTATCGAAGTTTCATACGAAGTTAAAAGTTGCTCCGGTCAGTTTCCTCGCATCAACTTCGTTAACTTTGTATACATCGATTCTTATATGACATATAATAATAATATAATTATTGTACACGTGCTTATTTAATTTTTTTCACTGGAAGCTGCATTAATTATTTACTATTTATGACGCGAATAAGAGTTTACTTTACAAAGGACTTGGCGCATCGTATTTTGAATCTCCGCTCTTCTAAAATAACCGCTTTAATTTCGTAATACAATTTTAATAGATCGCATTTATCGCGATTCGATTAATCGTGAAATGACAATCGCGTTGATTTAAATTTAAATAGTCCTTTCGATTCAGATCAATCTTGAATGGACACTCGCAAAAATAGATTATGAGAATATAAAAATAAAGTATTTTAAATCATGTAAAAATAACATTAGATTCATTATTGATATGATAAAAAAGTCAAATCGTTATTATATCATAACTAATAAATTAATGCACGATTTATATTCGTTACTCATAATTGTTATATTACGAAATCAATCAAAACAAGTATGTCAATTATTTCACTGTCGAAGTGAAATCATTTATGCCTTTTTAACAATTTTAATCAATGAGTACTTTTATCATAATTAACCATAATTCCAGAAATAAGTTTCGATTTTATTGCATAAAAATGAATAGAATAAAAATAGAGTAAAAATAAAAAAGAATTATTCGATATTGAACGTATCTAATAAAAGCAAAAAGAGAAAAAAAGATATGCACAGAGATGTGCTGCTATTTATCGAACCAACAGTAAGCGTTCCAATTATGCTTGCTCATGATTGATGAGCAGAGAGCTACAGTCTTTTCTATTTTTTTTTTATTCTAAAATAAAACAAGTCTTATTCTCTTTCCTTACGAGTAAAGCAAAAGCTATGCTATTCTAAATAAACATAGTCGTTCGACAATCGATACAAGTACATGAACATATGCAGATTACACTAAGTAAGATCAATCTAAATCGAATATACATAAAAAGCATAATAATCGGTCGCGTTAATTGGGTAATATATGACAAGTCGCAATTGCACGAATATTCAGAATTGGCATCAATCTTTCAGGATCATCTAAATCAAACTCTGAGTAGACTCGACCGTGAGACTGTCCTGACGTCGACATCGTTTCGACAACGCGATCCTCTTCACGTGAAAGGGATACAGCGGCTTCTGCGTGAACGGATCCGAGCGCGTTGCGCGAAATTCGTTCGAAGATTCTTCCGCATGAACCAGAAATGTCAGCGCGTCCCGCCACCATCGACGAGCGTCCCGTTTTCGTGTCTCGCGAATTTGGGCCGACAACAACTTTTCACCTCTCACAATATATCGGCTGTGACGAGGACACAGTTGACTGTGTTTGCTGGTAGCTCGCGACAGCGAGGAGTGCGTGGGCGCTGCTACGCGATCTATTTCGACCTGAGAGAGTGTCGAGAGACAAATTAGACTCGTTACAGTCGTTTAAGTGAATAATTATAATTCGATATATTTATTACACGTGCAGAGAAGAAATATTAGGACTCGATTTTAAGATATTTCTTCTCTAGACAGCTATTCTGCTACTAACAAATGAACCAGTTATCTTCTGTCTTTGTAATTAAAATGAGGCTTTGGAAAATAATTATAGACATGTCTTAGGATCATTTAAAATTAGTCAGATTAATCATTATTGTTCAAAATCAATTTCAAGCAAACAGTTAGTTTGTACATCTAGCTTTCAACAATGAAGCTTTCCGAATTCTAGTGCTCCTGAGAATTTTTCAGAAAATCTGACTAATTTTAAATGATCCTGAGGTATACTTATAAATCATTTCTCAGTCTCATTTCAATTATGATGGTAGAAGACAACCAGATTACTTGTGAATTTTCATCATCCCTGATTTTTTTTACTCATTTACATTCCTACACCTTTGACAGTTTATTTTAAAAAACTAATATAAAATAAAAATATTGATAATTTGATAAGAAAGCAAAGTCCTTCTCATAAAAGGCTGATTTTACTAAAAGCTGAGGAAATAGAATTTATGTAAGGATGAGGCAGCACTTGAATGCAACGCTTACTTTGGCACGCTTGAGACCTCGGCGATTCGTTCGCGACGGTTGACGCGTCGCCGCCGACGTTACTTCAGTCCTCTGCTTCGGGGTTCGCTCCTTGTCAGGATCGCCGAATAATCCCTTCGATTCCGCGACCTTGATCATAAAAAGCGAATCGAACTGCATCATCTCCTTTCGTTTTATTACGGCGACGAAGCAGCCTGGATCTAGGGTCCGCTCGCTATCCTCGCCGTAAATTTCGTCGATACTTCCCACTTCGAACAAATCACTGTCGGGGATCTAATGATAATTTTTACCTTTAATAACGAACTATAATCATCACTCTCAAGATTGTACGCGCGTGTTTTTCTTTTTTATAAATAATCTTACGACAATGTCATCAGTCGTCATCAACGATGATCCTCCTTCATCCTCATCCTCCTGCTTGATCGAGAGCGTTTGTTCGTGCTGCATCTGCGAATGATCGTCCTGTTCTTGTCTAGCAGGTTGTCTAATTTTGGAAACTTTTCCGCTACCATCTTTCGATGCAGCCTTCCTCTTTGGCTAAAAAAAGAACAAGAAACTATATGAAACGAAATACACATGGAATACTTGAAGAGATACTTTCAACGACCAGCATGCACTGATTGAAAGTGAGTTAGTTTTTTTTTATTGGAAAGTCTTATTACAAGAAAAAGTAGTTTCTAAGAAATACACGCATGTTATACAATCTCACTTACAGGATGCTCGCGAATGTACTTCTCCGTGGCTATTCGATTGGCGTATTCGACAACCTGTCGAATCATCTCCGTAGTTTCGGACGGGAGAATCGTGTGCACCTCGTATATCAGGAACTGTATGTTCGGCCTGGTGAGCGCGTGCTTAAGCGTGGAAAATTGTTCGGCGAGCAGAGCCCGGGGATGCTTCATCTCGCCACCCGTCAGGTCGCTGGTCAACGATTCCAGGAGGCCGATGTCGCCGCCGCGAGCGACAGCGAGGTCGACGATGTCCCGGATGCCGGTGTAGCTGCATGGGGGAGTTGCTAGAACGACAGTCGCTCTTTCCAGCTCGATGGATGTTGGTGGAGATACGTATCTGGAACGAAAGAACTCTTTCAGGATCTTCTACTACTATTCGAACAATATAATCTTCGGGATATCTTCTAAACATTTTCTGGATATGCATGTCATATTTCTTTTGGATATTGTGTGGGATAGTTTTTCTTATGAAAAAAGAAGAAATATTTCTTCTTCTAAGAGAAAGAGAATTACTTTTCGGAGAAAATTTGGCAGTGTTGCAGAGTAACGCCCAGGGTCTCGAGATAAGCCTCGTATTCGCAGCGACGATCCCCGGCGCCAAAGACCAACAGTCTCCCGGCGTCCTCGATGTCAGCCAGGAGTCCCGCCAAGTATCCCGTGTGACGAGGTGCGATTGAGTGCGTGAGGATGACGGGACCACAAAGACGAGCGACGCGGATCGCCTGGGCCAGCGTAGCTGCTCCGAGACACAAGGATCTTTCCTAAACAGATCTCTGCATTTTTTTTATATTCGATATCGGTGAATAAGATAACTCCAAGGTGGAAAATCGGTTTTAGCGCCGATTGAATATATGTATATATATTCACCAGAAAGATAAAGCGATGGCTGTGAACCAGATCGGACACGGCGAGTCTCTCCCGCGCCTTGTCATGCAAATTGATTATCTTCGGGCAAACTGTATCGAAGATGAAGTCGGTCTCCTTGAGCTCCATGGTTCTAATGTCGTCGCAGAATTCGAGCTTCAGCCGCGACATGTCTTTAACAAATTCGTCCTTATCAGCTACTCTCATGGTGTTGATCCATCCGGAAGCGATCGCGCCTTCATCGGACCAGCTGATTCCTTCAGCGGTGCGCAAATGCATTGGAAGAAGCTCGTCTGTATAAATATAGGACAGTTGATACAAGGAAGGGTCAATATATATATATATATATAATTGGCAACACTCTATGTGTAAAACCTTTCTATATTGTACAATAAAGGAACAAGTTTATGCAAATAGAAAATTAGAAATAACCAAGACTGAGCGCTGAACCGCCGATACGAAGACGCGAGATGCTTGCTGCCAGATGTGTCTTTGCCTTCAAAAGAGCGTTTTCGATGTTCTTCAATCCATAAGTCTGCAAAAGTATAGGTATAACTATCGCAATTGTATGTAATACATACAGCAGTCTCTTCTTTTTTTATCGAAGATATAAAATAAACCTTGAATATCCTGTTTCGAATCTCAAGTGCATTTCCATCACGCCGTCGTGCAAATTTTCTTCCCTGCATATCGTACAACAATAACCAGACCACCCTTTCTCGTTGCTTCAGAGCTGAATTTTCATACCAAAATCCAGCGTCTTCGAGAGCACGGTTCAAAATGTTCTTGTCTGTAAAATTTATACAGACAGACATCATATATTAGATATTACATAATGTATCTAAATATGCTATCTCTTCGGGAATATTAAGAAGAATTATAAGATACATGATTATAGACGGAAAAGGGGATTCTTTTCAATCTTGAATAGAGAATAAGATTTTTATTCAAGAAGAGAAAGAGAGAAACACTCTCTTTCTATCAATATATAATATTCGAAAGCTATATCTCACATCTCAAAACGTCGTAGACTAAACCAAAGACGCGTCTCATTTCAGCTTCATTGGCATAACTCGGAGAGGGTCGCGCATTTTGGAGAACCTTGGCGGCGAGGACGATATCATTGACACGCCAACCCGGTTCTACGCAAGCCTCCGTCATCGAACCACCGGATCCCGAGATGGCCTTCAAGGAAGCCACGACGTCCTGACTTTCGTCTCTTCTTCCCTTAGGGAGATGTCCTCCCTCTCTGGGACGCCATTCCCAGTCATCCTGCGAATTCTTGCGGCTCATAGACCGCTTAAGCTCCTCCGTCCTCGAACAAAAACATTCGCGTACTTATGATCCTTTGGCAAATTCAATCTATTATACAGCGAATAGAATTATATTTTGGGAGGTTTTTAAGGTATATGCAATCTTGATTATATGCGATCTCGGGGACTAATATGAGGAATATTCATTCTTTTGGAGATACATACATTTGCGATTACTTCAGACGCGAATATAAAAACGAAAGGATTGCAAGGACATATATATGAAAAATTATTTTAATTAATTAATTAATTAAATGTATGCGATTCACACATCCTTCTATCAACATCCTCGATGACATCGAGCGAAGTGTAACACGAAAAGAATTCGCGAATCAGAGAAATATTCATTTGTCCCAAAACGATTGCGATCAGTTATATTCTTTTACATTGTAATTTACATCACATATCTATCTTATACATATATATATATATATATATATATGACAATTATGTATAATAATAATATATAACATATATATATTTTTGTTCACAAAATTATAAAAGCTTATTAATCAGCATCTCAAGTTTCATTTTGCAATTATACTATATTGATTTTATTATGTTATTAATTTTCTATTTTTCTTAGTCTTAATAACATTCTTAAGTAAATACTTGAGCAAGATACTGTAATATTCTGCAATAAATTTACTCATAGTCTCAATATATATAATCCCTATTTAAAATTTAACATAAATTTATTAATACAGTTTTATATCGTTAAATATCGCTGATCTTTTACCTTTTATCTTCGGTTTCAGCATCCTTTTCCCTCTGTAACTCGACGAGGCTGTGATAAACTCGGTGACGCCATTCTTCATTGCTTGGCAATATCAATTTTTCGAGTTCTTTGTCGCGTTCCTCATCGCTGAGAAGACTGAGATTCGGTGTCTGCGTGGAAAGAAGGAGCCGAAATATCTTTGCATAGAGGGTAAATATACTAGTTTTATGCGCATCGACGGTGACCTTGATCTCGACGTCGTCGAAAGATCTTTCCGGTTCCGCTGACGGATCGCCGACTGTCATCGCGCACCCCCAGGAAGCTGTCGCACGACGAGAAACGACTAGTTCTACTTCCAAAATATGTATACAAATAAGGACTTTGGCGAAGATGGAAGGATATGTTTTACACAATTATTGGGTGTCAATCAAAAGGTAAAATCTTCGGAGAGATTAAAACGCGTCTGAGACACGCGACGTCTTCGGGGGTGACTTAATTGTGCCACAGCAGAAGTCGCTCGCTCCTTCTGTGATCGGGCAATCGTCGGGGCGGAGAGTCGAGAGAAGACTGAAGACACCGAGGAGACGAAATCGTGTCGCGCGACATCGCGTGCCTCGGAGGCGTATCCCACGAAATTGCATCTTCGACTCTCATCAGCGACGTCGGATACTTTTTAAGTCAGTATAAGAAGTTATATGCCAAAGCACACTTTTCTGTCTGTCTGTTTGATTAGCGAGCAAACTTTCGCAACTATCGAAGATCAGATAAAATTATGTGCCAAGAGAGATAGTGAAATGAATTTAATGAATACTTAAAAGAGAAACGAGAAACATATATATTAATTATATAATTGAAGGAAATTTGCAATGCGTTTCTTAGAAACGTTGAATGTACATTTAACATATTCTTCTTATACTTCCTTATATATATATTTTACAAAATTTTTCATTAAAACATAAATTGATAAATTGATATGTATACATAATTATTCGAGCTAAATTAAATATTTATATTACCATAGTAAAAAAAGACACATAATTAAAAAAATAGAATATAAAAATGCAAGTAACTTTTTATATTCTATATTCGATAATATTAATTTCATTGTATTTTATATTAATCTTACTTTATATAATTTATATAAATTAAGATTAATAAAATACAATGAATTATTTTATATAAATTATATAAGTCGAATATAATATAAAAATATAAATGTAAATATTTATATAAATTATATAAATTAAAACATATTTATATAAATTATATAAACGAAAACAAAAAGATCACAAGAGAAAGAGAAAGAGAAAAACATGATTTAAATATATGATATGTCATATATATGATTTGATGTTATTACGATCGATACTAAACAAGAAAAGTAAAAATATCTGGGACTCTGAAAGTATTTCTACGTCGGCGTATGCACTATATCGATATGCAGTTGCATTTTACATATTTACTGCAATATCAAGCAATATTCAATGATCCATATTGAATTGCGTTCTCGTGCACAATCACTTTCGTCGAATAAAAAGAAAGACAATAGATAGACAGCTGTCACGTACGTAGCCGATCGATCATCTTGGAATGACGGCGGCAGGTACGATCGTGTTGACACAATTCCATAAGCAGTCAACACTGACGTTACATTCACACATTAACGTCGAATCTATCTATCTAATATTTTTTCAAGTTACTCTCTATCTCATTATATAATTATTTGTATATACATCAATTTTTTACAGTAATTCTTTTCCATCCTGTATATGATGAAAAATACAATTTATTGTATTTCAGACATTAATCATACGCAGCTGTTTCTTCATAGCAGAATAGATTTGTATATACGAGAAAATATATAATAGTTAATATATTTATTAACGAAAATATATTCACAGGTTTATACAAAAACATTGATATAGAGTTAAAACTATTGTATAAATAAATATTATCTATAAAATATATATTATAACATGTATATATGTATATATATAAAGGCACATTATTTAAAATTTTTAATGTGTATGTTTTGTTTTACCTTTATCTTTTTACTTATGTAGCTCCATCTTTTTGCTTATTTAGTTAAAACAAATATATTTACATGTATTTATGTTTTGAAGAGAAGAGAAGATAAGAAAATAACGTGATAAAATGTAAAAAGCATCATTAAAAAACTAATTATTAAACACGATAGAACTAACTCTTTAATGGCAGTCACGTCGTAATTGTTAGCATAATTATATTATCAATCTTAATAAGACATTGATTGTTCATAATGTCAGATCAAATGCACACATACCTTTTATTAATTTATCCCCTTATATTTTGTGAATAGATTATATAAAACGCGAAGGGTAGACTTCAGATCCAAATTTACGATATCTGTAAGAGAAGCACAATTTAAAAATTCAAAAAAATATCAACAAGAAAACTTTCTTGTTATTTGTATAGTTAAAATAGAAATAAAATACAAACCTTCAGGACGAGCTTTGGGTTTTGGTAGCCCAATGTCTCGCATAATATCAAATGCAAATGAAACATTATGAACTTTCTGGTCAATGGTTTTTGGTGTCAAATGAAAGCTACCTAATGGGACAAAAAAGCCTTCCAAGAGACCAAGCAGCAAAGTCAGGAAAACACCATCGTGGAATTGAGTATCCAGGTCAGTCACTTCCAAATGTACTTTGCTCAAGTGTTTATTTACGAATGTTACCAAAGACTAAAAAAAAATAGAAGATTAACAACAACAAAATCAATATAATTGTAAAAAAATAAAAATCGTGAAACATGAAAACTAATCGATAAACTTACTTTCTTCACAACAGCTAATTTATCGGGTGCGTGATCGAAAAGAGTATCGAATGCGTCGCGCTCGCAACGCATACCCAAATCGTCATATGTCGTCGTTAGTTCTTCTCTCACCGTCCTGTGTATGAGCTGACCATCTTTCTTACGCACCACAACCACTTGAGCGGTGACTCTTTCCGGGAGTCTAACGGGAGCGCGAAACAGTCGAGCTAGGCTAACTAGCAGATGCAAAATTGCGACAACGTTTTTCGAATGTACAGATTCGACGCTCCATTTGTAAGGCGGATATCGACCCAATACTCGATTAGCGGCAGACAAGACAACAGTGAGTTTTTGCTTCTGTCCTTCCTCGGATTGAGTTACTTCGGGTACATCCAGTTTCTCTCCAGTCAATTTTTCTAAGATAAATTTTTTACAAATAAATAAAAATTTTGATTGCTTTTATTCTGTCACAGACAAAGTCAAAATAACTCTTCTATAATCTTTCTACATTTTAAATTATAAACATTTGTTTACCTAAAAGTTTCTGTAGCACTTGTCCATCATAAAGATCTTCGAGAATATCTTTAACAATAATTCGCTGATCAGCCAATTCGTCATTGATCCATTCAATTAAAACAGATATCAATTCCTGCAGTTTGGGATCTTCCAAAGATTTTGGTTCTATCATGGAACGTTCTTCATTCTCATCAAGAGCATATTCCTCTGGTGGCATATCAGGGTTGGCAGCATATCCAGGTGAATCGATAGCATATTTCCCTTCTTCCTGGACCTCTTGTACTAAAAATGTCATATTTTTATTATATTAGAGTATTTCTTAGTCTCAAATATTATTATATTTAAAATAATTTAATAAAATTTCATCACAATATATCAGAATTAAATTTCTAATAGAAGTATCAGTTTAAGAAAATGCACATTAAAATGGAAAAAGTTTATTGTTTACAAATAGATAGAATTCATAAAATAACACGTCTCTTGTACTAAAAATGTCATATTTTTATTATATTGAAGTATTTCTTAATCTCAAATATTTTTAAAATAGTTGAATAAAATTCCATCACAATATATCAGAATTAAATCTCTAATAGAAGTTTCAGTTTAAAAAAATGCGCATTAAAATGGAAAAAGTTTATTGTTTACAAATAGATTGAATTCATAAAATCGTCTCGCTCCATATAAGGAAATATACGTTTCGTTGATCAGTGACGTAACCAAGTTTGCGAGAAAATTTCAAATAACTCGAAATAAATATGAAAATTAGACGGTACCTTCCTTAATGCGTTTCTTGCGCCCAAGTGTTCCGATTTTATCCCAAAAGCTCTCCTCCTTATCATCCTTCTTCGCGATCGGAGTCCGTGGTGACTTGGGCCGAGGAGACGCCATTATTGAGGGACTCTTGTCTATCTAACCTAGAATTAATATATGTCCTTTTTCAATACAGGATAATTCATAAAAAATCTGCATCGCTTTACGTGAATTTAAAAAAATTTCTTTACGATTTTTTAATAAAGCTTACAAATAGATATAGATGATAAAAGAATTTTGCACACAAATTCAAGTATTGACACAAATGTCAAAAAATGCAAGTTTGAGAAAATTGATTTTAAATTTATCATAAATTATATTTAATTTTTTACACACAAAATAATGTAGTAAAATATATACCAGCTTTAATGATAAATATTAATTAATTTATCAAGTAAATTATATTAATTCAAAATCGGACAAAAATGTGTTTTTGCAATCACAAACTTTTGAAAAGTATGATACACTTGTCATGAATCATCTTGTATGTCGAATTAAAGTGTATGGAGAATACATCATTTCTTAAAATAAAACTGTAGTATGTAATGTAAATGCAAACCTTATTTAGATGCCATTATCACATTAATTAATGACAATTTTATGCAAAAACTTACAGAACTCACAACGAATTTTGTGTTCACGATTATTATTTTTCTTTTTTATTATAATGCACTTACGGTTGATTTCCTGTATTCTAGATTTTCCTCTATCCTTAATCAGCTGTTTCTTTCTCCTCCCACTTTTGACATTTAACCACGTGACGTAAACACGTGGTTTTCATCTCACTTACCTGTATAAAAAAATACAACACATCTCCATAATTCAATTATATTTTAGAAATGAACTGCTTTGTGTGCCTTTTCCGGATTATTCGTAAAGTATGAGAAAATAAATAAATTAACCAAGTCGTGCATCGAAAATATTTCTGAGATCGCGAATCCAAAATTCACGATCAGCTGATCACGCTGCGGACTATGAGCTTCTTGTTTAATTTAGTGAAAAACGCATTTCTCGGAATGTTGCAATTATTATGGTTCGGCAAACGTAAGATATCGAGTTCTCTGAGCATATATATTAAAACAAATACCGGGAGCACACTCTCTGTCGAATTAGACCCAAAATGGGATATAAAGAACTTGAAGGAAATTGTTGCGCCTCGGATGGGAATGGCACCTGAAGACATAAAGATTATATTTGCAGGTAAAGAACTGCATAATTCGACTATAATAGAGGTGAGCTTATTTGTATACATATACACATGCAAAAGTATTTTTCTACATTTGTGTATCTAATTACAATATTATAATGTTACAGGAATGCGATTTAGGTCAACAAAGTATCTTACATGCAGTGCGTACACCTCATAGAATGCTTAATAAAAGGAAGAATGCAAATCCTATAGAGGAATCTATATCTGAGACATCCGACTTGAATGACAGCAGTGGCAGCAAACCTATGAACGAGACACTTATGGATCTACCTTTGGATGAATCGGATCAAAATGTATCCCTGGAAGGTGGCAATGACATATTGATTTATCGTAATAATTAATTCAATTAATAAATGCAAGAGATTAATTCGTTTTCTCTATATTTTCATTGTTGACAGAGCAGCAGGAAAATCGAGCGCATTTTTACGTATATTGTTCAGCGCCGTGTAAAAATGTGAGAGTAGGTAAACTCAGGGTCAAATGTGCGAAATGCGGCAGCGGCGCTGTCACCGTCGACAGAGATCCTCAATGCTGGCCAGATGTATTGCAATCAAAGAGGATAACTGTAAACTGCGAGAGTGATTTTTGTCCTGCAACCTCGAGCGGAGAGGAGACAGAATCTCAAGTTTCTTATGCACATTTTTATTTTAAATGTGCGAATCATCCTAGTCTAGGAGAAAATGATGAAGCCGTACCACTATATCTTGTAAAGCCAAATTTAAGAAATATTCCTTGTCTGGCGTGCACAGATATCAGGTATATAGCTTTATGATAGAATATATGAGAAAAAATTTAATAATTTTTTTAAATTAATACTGTATTTCTTGCTGTAGAGATACTGTATTAGTATTTCCATGTGAAGCTGGTCATGTGACTTGCCTTGATTGCTTTCGTGAATATTGCACGGTACGTTTACACGAAAGAAGATTTGAATTTGATGAGGATTATTATACTTTACCATGTCCAGCTGAGTGTCCTAATTCTTTTATCCGTGAAGTGCATCATTTTCATCTTCTTGGCACAGAACAGGTCTGTAACAGAAAACTATTTTTATAAGCTCACTATTTGATTTTGTAATTTTTCATTTATGTTTTCAATATATATATAGTACGAGAGATATCAGAGATTTAGTACAGAAGAATATGTTTTGCGTATTGGTGGTCTTTTGTGTCCAAGACCAAATTGTGGAATGGGCATTATACCACCATCTATGGAAGATGATGAAGAGTGTCGCAGAATCCAGTGCATTGGTGGATGTGGTGTAAATAACTCTTTATGCAGAAAAACTTTTATATTTTTTTTATATTTTTTATAAAAATATATCATTTTAATTAACAGTTGTGTAAGTTGTATCAAAAGTAACACATTTCTTTTCTGTGAGTATAATTTCTCTTATCTAAATCTAGATTTTATTAATATTTTTCTTAATTGTAATATTAAACAATTTCTTTAATTATCCACATCATTAATATTTAAAAACTGCAGTTATTTATTTGACTATTCATTATTTGACTATTATTGATCAATCATACTCTGATAAATAATCAGTTCATCATTGTAATTCTTTAATTTAATCTAATTATTTTTTTTCAGTATGTTTTTTGCAGAATTTGTTTACAAGGATATCATGTAGGAGAATGTGAGTCGCAAATGTCAGACACATCTACAAATATCTTTTCTTCTAGACATTATTCAGTCGATCCTCTCAAAGCTAACGAAGTAAGTTAGTAAGTCTATACATTAAAAGCATAGCTTTTTTTAGAAATTAACTTTACTTGTACCTTTTCAGGCTAAATGGGACGAAGCTAGTAAAAAGACTATACAAATATCTACAAAACCTTGCCCGAAATGCAGAACTCCTACTGAAAGAGACGGTATGTCCAAATTAACTTTTAAGAATTAACATTGAGATATAACTGGACTGTAAATACAAGTCTTATCTTATCTGATAAAGTTCAAGTACAACAGACTATATACAACACTCTGGAAATAGTTTTAAAAAATGTATAGATCTTATCAACTTTTTAAAAATATATCAGATATTTCTCATACATATATAAACAAATTGTTTATTTACAGGAGGTTGCATGCACATGGTGTGCACAAGAGCAGGATGTGGTTATCACTGGTGCTGGGTGTGTCAAACGGAATGGACTAGAGAATGTATGGGCAATCATTGGTTTGGATAATACATTGGAAGGAAACTTTGTGTCAGTTTGATCATAACATGTATGATAATTTGAAAGTTATATATACATATACATGAGCATTATTATAAAAAAATTTTCTTATAGGATATATTATATATTTTGCAATAAAAGTAATAAATTATATTATGTATAATATACCCTTTTTTAAATTAATTAAATGTTTTAATTTTAATATACTATTTTTAAATTTATATATATATATATAATATATCATTTTTTAAATTTATATATATAATATACTATTACTTTTAATTTGTATATATATATATATATATATATAATGTACCATTTTTTAAAAATTTTGCGTAAACATATATATATGAAGTTGATGTTTACATACATATATCCATATCAATGTAACCAATTAGGATGACGTGACTGTTATCAGCGCCACGTGAGTATACATCTTGTTCTTCTTTCGCTTTCATTCGCTTTCTCCCTCTCTCTCTTTTCAACAAAATTTCGAATGTAGAAGAGGCAAGGGGGACGTAGAAATGTCGCAGTTGTCGAAAGCGGCTATAACCTTTCTTTATCAGTGTTGTGATTACTAAGATATCTAAAGATAATATTTAACTTTTTGTGGTAAAGAGACGAGGAAGGATAATTTAGCTTCAATAAAAAAATGGATAAACTCTAGGTCAAATGTATGGCAGATTAAAAAATTAAAAAAGTTGTATTATAATTACTGATTAAAAACGTCAAAAACACGAAACATGTATATGGAAGAAAAATTGTGCGAGCATATTTATTTTTTTGTAACCCGAGAGGAATGATAGAAGAATTTTAAAAGGCTCATTTTTTTTACATCAGCTGAAACAAATCAAAATGTGGAAACGATCCAAATTGTTGTATGATAGATGCGCGTCGCAGAAGAGCAGAGTCTTTTCTCGCAGTCATAAAACGGCGGAAGTTATTACGAAACTCGCCGGTGCAACATCAGAAGACTCTGAGTATGCACTTCCTAAAGAAGCGCGAGTTGTCATATGTGGAGGTGGAGTTATGGGTGGTGCTGTTGCGTATCACTTATCTCTCATAGGATTGGGACCGGAGACTGTTTTAGTAGAAAGCGGCAGGTGTGAATCATCTCTGTAAAATTAAATTTTATATATCTGAATATCAATATATTTTTTTCTTATTTTTCTGATATATATATTCTGATATATATAAAAATATATATTTTTATTTTATCTTACACATCTGTATATTTTAGACTAGGAGGTGGAACAACATGGCATGCGTCAGGATTAGTGGGAGCCTTCAAGCCCAGTCTAGCGCAAGTGAAACTTGCTCAAGACAGTATTGCCCTGTACGAGGAATTGGAGAAGAAAGGTCTCTCTACAGGCTGGAAGCAATGTGGCAGTCTTTGTTTGGCAAGGACGAGAGATCGTATGGTCTCATTCAGGAGAATGAAGGCACAATCTGTGTAAATATTTTAATAGATACGATAATTACTACAACTAAACATTTTGGGCCATATTATGAACTTATATCTAAATGTACCTCTAAAGTTAAAAGTACCTCTAACTTTAGAGGTACTTTTAACTTTATTTACCTTTTTAACTTTACATATCTTTAACTTTTATTTTTATATTTTGATTTTTTTTAATATCTTAGGTCACGTGATATCGAGTGTCACTTAGTTTCGCCAGAAGAAATCCAGGATCTATGTCCATTATTACACACTGAAGATCTAGTTGGAGGATTATGGATTCCAAATGATGGGGTTGGTGATCCATATCAAATTTGTTTGACATTGATCGAAGAAGCGCGACAAAAAGGTATTATGCTTGTAAAGTTGAAAAATTAAGATATTTACAAAGACATATTACTATGAGTTTAAATTAAATATTTTTCCATTATAATTAGGTGTCACAGTATTAGAGAATTGTGCAGTTACAAAAGTTATTAATCAGAGTGGCCAAGTAAAAGCAGTGGAAACAACACAGGGTACCATTGCATGCCAACATTTTGTAAACTGTGCTGGATTTTGGGCACGAAATGTGGGTAAATTAAGCGAGCCATATGTAAAGGTCAGTATTTGTGTAATTATATAGAAAAGACCGAAGGAAGATTTTCTCGTTGATGGAAAAATAACGCATTATACTCGCATTTTACATACAGGTACCACTTCATCCAGTAGAACATTATTATTTACACACTCAACCTATTGCTAATTTAGATCCGATGACACCCGTTATACGCGATCTGGACGGATATACCTATTTTCGAGAGAACGACGGACGACTGTTGGCCGGTGGTTTCGAGCCAGTCGCGAAACCAGCGTTCGAGGACGGTGTGATTCCTGGTTAGATGTAAATTTACTTTTTCTGCTACTGAAACAACTAATTATTGTTTAAATGAATGTTTTGAAAGTAATTTACAAACTTAATTTAGACTTTTTAACAATAAGTATATTTTTAATGTCATCATGAGTACCCGATTAAAAAATTGTGTTATTTATTTTTTTAGAGGGCACAGACAAGCGATTTTTACCAGAAGATTGGGATCACTTTCACATTTTATTGGAACAGATGTTACTTCGAATTCCCAGTTTGGGAAACGCAGTCCTGGAGAGACTCTGCAATGGACCGGAAGCGTTTTCCCCGGATTGCAGATGGATCGTAGGAGAGGCTCCAGAAATACGTAATTATTACATCGCTGCCGGAATGAAAACGGTTAGTTAATTGGCTGATCGTTCACATTGGGTTCCCAGGATTCTTCAAATAATTTAAATATATATATATTTTTTTTTTTTTTTAAGGTCGGAATATCCGCTGCTGGCGGAGTCGGTCGCGCTACGGCGGAACTGATAGTCAACGGATCAACCTCGCTGGATATGTACGAATTGGATGTCTCGCGTTTTCTGGGACTGCATAATAATCGCAAGTTCCTGCGCGATCGGGTGCGAGAGGTCCCCGGAATGCATTACGCTCTGCAGTATCCGCATCACGAGTTCAAAACCGGAAGGAACTTGAGGATGTCGCCGATCTATCCGAAACTGAGAGACGCAGGCGCCGTTTTCGGTCAGGTCATGGGTTACGAGAGACCGTCCTGGTTCCAACTGGACGATGATTGCGGTAATACTCAATATTATATGAGATTCACATGTACAGATAGTGTTGTGCTTAAATGATTTAATATTAGCTAGATAAAGATGAGATGGAAATATGTTCATTTTAGATAAGATACAGATTATTTTGTTTTATAAATATATCTAAATATATCTAGATGAAAGATAAAATTATATGGTGATTCATCTAGATAATTTCCACAGATAATATTATTTTTAAGACCGCTTATGTAAACACAGTTATAAAAAATGTAAATTATAAAAGGGATATAACAATATATTCATATTTTTATTTATAAATTTTTATAAATATTATAAATATTATAGATAATACATATTTTTATTATCTATATAAAGATAAAATGACGCCAAAATTTCATCTAGATGATCTATATAATTTTATTTAGATAACAGCAAATACTGTATACAGATGATTATTATTTTATAAAAATAAAGATTTGTTTCATTATGGTGTATTGAAAGTATAGATTTGGAGTTCCCCGATGGTTTTCAAAGATACAAAGTAGCTTACACGAATACCTTCGGTAAGCCTCCTTGGTTCGACGCAGTCGCCCAAGAATATGCAGCTTGCAGAGAAGCGATCGGTCTCAGCGACTATTCCTCCTTCACCAAGATCGACTTATGGGTAATTATTAAATTCCAAGGCTTGCAAGTACTTCAATTAAAAAATAATCTTATGATATTCTTCATATCTTATATTTTTTATATTTTATAGTCGAATGATACGGAAGTCGTGGATCTATTGCAGTATTTGTGCTCAAACGACGTTGATGTGCCTGTGGGAAGTATTATTCATACCGGTATGCAGAATCATCAGGGCGGTTACGAGAATGATTGTAGTTTAGCGCGAATCGCACCGAATCAGTAAGTTACAACGAATAAATCGTATTGTGCAGTCGAGCTAGTAGTTTTTATTAGGCCTGTTCTTTTCAGCTAAACTGGCTGAACTAGTTCAGAGTTCATAGGTCTGTTGTATGACAAAGCAAGTCGAAGAATAGTAAGATAAATTTTCCTCTTCGTACAAAGCTTTATTTCTTGAGAAAAACTTTGATAATTAAAAAATAATGATTTCTTCCTGCTTGTATCGTCAATATTGCGGATCTATGTGAACAAGGAAAATGAGATGTATAAATCTGAAAATTGTGTATATTTGAAAATTGGATTTTAGTTACATGATGATCGCCCCGACTATTCAACAAACACGTTGCAAAACCTGGATCCACCGTCACTTGCCAGCGGATGGTTCAGTTGCCGTATCAGATGTTACATCGGCATACACCGCGATTTGCATAATGGGACCGGCCACCAGACAGCTGCTGACCGAATTGACAGACGTGGATTTAAATCCGAAGAACTTTCCGTTTTTCACGTTTAAGGTAACACAAACTTGAAACAAGGAATCTCGAAAATAAAAAATTTGACTTTATTTATTATTTCATTAGGAGTTGGATGTTGGACTTGCCAATGGCATCCGGACGATGAATCTAACGCACACCGGAGAACTTGGCTACGTTCTGTATATTCCAAACGAGGTAACACAACATCTTTAATCGTGCAGTACAGCTTTTGCTCAAAGCGAATAATAAGAAATTTTTTCCTCCTGATTTATGTAAAGCTTATGCGAAATTTTCTAAATTGCAATTCTGTAATTTCAGTTTGCACTGCACGTTTACACGAGGTTGATAGACGCTGGAGCAAAGTACGGGGTGAAACACGCTGGTTATTACGCGACGAGGGCTTTGCGCGTCGAGAAATTTTATGCATTTTGGGGACAAGACTTGGATACCTTCACAACTCCTTTGGAATGCGGAAGATCGTGGAGAGTGAAATTCGATGTAGATATTATTTTATAAACAGCAGATATTTTTACGCGTGTGCGTAAACTCCTATTCTGACAGAATCCTTCCATTTCGCAGAAGGGAGTCGACTTCATTGGTAGGGACGCTCTTCTGAGGCAGCGCGAGCAAGGAGTCAAGCGCAAATACGTGCAATTGCTGTTGAACGATCACGATCCCGAGTTGGATAATTGGAGCTGGGGCGGCGAACCTATTTATCGAAACGGAAAGTATTGCGGGATGACCACGACGACGGGTTACGGATTCACTTTCAAGAAACAGGTAAAGCATCAGGGTGTTTTTGCTCGTCCTCTTTATTTATAAATCAAACCCGGAAAACTCGGACGATAGTGTTATTAACATGGTTTCTATTTCTCCCCGAATGTCGATTAGGTGTGTCTTGGATTTGTGCAAAATTTGGATTCGGAGGGTCAGCCGCAGGAAGTGACGAACGAATACGTATTGTCGGGCGATTACGAGGTGAACGTCGCGGGCATCATGTTTCCCGCAAAGTGCCACTTGCACAGTCCGAATCTACCGACCAAGTTCCCTGATAAAGAGAGAGACGCTTATCACGCTACGCGCGACCAGCAACTTTTGTGATCCGAGCGATAAATGTCTCGAATATATGTGTACGTACACTATTTACGACATTGATTCGTTCAGTTTTCCTACGGGAGGTTGTGGGAAAAATGTATACTTGTAATAGGCTTCCAATCATCACTGATTATCACAATTGATTAAAGGAAATTGAATATTTAATATGATATATATATATATATTAATAAATATATAATTATATAAATATTATATTAATTTTATGAGTTATATAATTGTATAATTATATGGAAATAATATATATAATTATATATTACTCATAAAATTATATAAATATATTAATAAACATTAAATGATTGTATATTAGTATAAATATAATTGTATATTATAAATTCATATAATAATATATATCATATTAATATTCATATATATTGACTTATTTTAATATTATTTTAATGTGTTATTTCTAATTTACTTTTTAATATTATATCTAATATATTTTATCACTCAACGCAGTATATTTCAGTGATTGATAATAAGTGTCAAATCAGTCTATCTGCGCCAGTCGACTTGCTGAAAGCATCTCACACATTTACACACATAAATCAATACACACTTACGATATCTATCCATAAAAACTCAGTAGTATATATTTATCCTTATTCGTCAACAACTTTTTACATGCAATATTGTATCATTGATTTTCATCTTACTGTACATATAATGAAAAATGTGAATATATTTCTAAGTTTACCCCTCGCATAGAAACGGAATTAATCAATGTCGGATTGTGTGCAAAAGATGTATATAGCAAAAGATTTAACAAAAATTGTTTAATATGCGCGTAATCGCTTGTAAAAATCGCTACATCAAAAAGAGATCAAGAATCACCTTTCAATTTCCGGTGCGCAGTGGTACAAGCTCGTGCGACCAGAATTTTATAGATTGGATTCTTGATTAATTCGATGAACGTAATGAGATCTAAAGATCACAATAGAGATTCTCCAGGACAAAGGATCGTGTAAATAAATTACATTGGATATCCATTATCCAGCTCTCTTTCATCTTGTTACGTAACTATTGTTTTTAAAAAATCACACGTGTGTATATATATATATCTATATATATATATATATATATATAGATATAGTGTATATATCTATATATATACACTAATACTTTATACTATGTCACAGGTTTTGAATGTATTTCGTGTACACTTAAACAATATAATTCCTTCTAATATGTATTGTATATTCCTCCTATGAATTATCCATCTCACACTGCGCAACATGTCTCTCTCTCTATATATATATATATATATATATGTATCGTTCATTTAAAGACACAATTGTAGTAATTGTACATGTGCACACGCGAGAATTGTCCGTTTTGTATTGCTGAACACTATTTGTTGGTTACGCTTGAACTCTTGTTTCACTACCGTACACCTTATTATGTATATACTGACATTTTTGTATCACGTAATACACAATGTCGTATATGTATGATACACAGTGTGAAGTACATTGGTCGAAAGACACATTTAGTGAGGTGTATAAGGGTTTCTTCCTTTCTCTCTCTTTCTCTCCTTCCGATTTAGTCAAAGTTTCTCTTTATTAAAATATTAATAATGTTCGCTTACACACTAATATGTATTATCTTACTGTACACATATGTGAATGATCGTGTAAAGGGAAACGTTCTATCACTCCGGGATCTCCGTCTCCGTGGTAGGCACCTGTTTCTGCACCATACACGATCTTGCTACGGATTCGAATAATCTGAAACAAAAATCGAAAGAATTCAAATTTGAAAGAAGAGCACAAATTATTATTTTCAACTATTTCTAAGTTGGAGAAAGTAAGACTCACTTTTCAATTTCCGGCGCACAATGTACAAACTCGTGCGACCAAAACTTATAAGTAGGATTCTTGATCAATTCGATGAAAGTGATGAGAAGACCCCACGGGTGCGGTCTGTTAACAATCAGTCTTTCGAGAAGAACCCTGGTGATCTGCTCCTGGATAGCTTCCGTGTTCGCTTCGGCGAACAGGTAGAGAAGTGTACAGCTGAAGTAATGCGTGTGACTGTTGGGATACCGCAGCTGATTCGCTATGGCGTTCAGGAATAAGTAGCGACCCTCGGTGTCGAGGTCGACCGCCAGATTCTGGAAGATGTCCATGTGCGCGGAGTGCGCGATCGTGGACATGTTGGGTGCGTGGCCCTTACTGCGAATGAACGCGATAGCCTGCGTCCCCACGTAGAGCACCAGGGCATTCATCAGCTGAATGTTGTAACGTACGCCGGCTTCTTGCGACACTTGTAAGTTGCTGCGCAGCTCGGACAGAAAGGTGACCGGGGCGCGAGCCTTTAGGTAAGAGTCGAGCTCTTTCTTGAAAGTCAACGGTTGTATCGTGGATGCGAAATTGGTGAGAACACGCGGAGCGTGCGCTATCTCTTGGAGCATGTCGACCTTCAGGTTTGGCGTGAACGGATCAGGTAATCGCATGTTTCTTGGGAAAGCGCTCAATATCAGATTCCTCATTTGTATACAATTTGGAGGTATCACGTCGCAAAATCCATAGTGATAGTCGCAGAGGAACTCGGGAAAGTCGTGCAACAGCACCAGCAACACTCTTAGGGTACCCTTATAGAGGCTAGTCACAGGCTTCGCGAGCTCCGCGTTACGTAGATAGGGCGCTAGGTACTTGAATAAGTCGATGAGAAGTTGGGCGTACATGCCCCAGCATTTTTGCTGCGGCGTAATGGCGAGCATACGTCCTATGAAGACTCGGTGCGAGACCAATTCCAACCAGGCGTAACAGAAGCCGGATGCTTTCGCCGGACGCAGAATGTGCAGGGTGTGACAGAAGGCCGTCAGTACTTGAAAGTTGACCGCTTCCAGTACCGGTTCCGGCGCGCAGAGCTCTAAGAAGAGCATGATGAAGATTCTGTGATACGGCAACTGTTGAAAGTCGATACCGCGTATCTCGTGGTCTTGCAGTAACACTCCGGCTACGATACCGAGCACTTTGTTCAAGAGATTGATCTTAGTGTGAGTGTTGGTGGCATCGCCGGAATGCTTCACTAAGAGCGCCACGAGACGTACAAACGCGTCCAGCGAGTGGAAGCACTTAGCACGCATAATAGAGGGAGCTGTAGAAGTTTCCGAGAGAGCGCGATAGCAGAGATCGACACACATCTGTGTGCTCAGCTTGAAAAATCTCGTGATCAAATCGTCCGTCTTGAGAATGCCATGGATATTCATCTGATGCACAAATATACTGAATGCTTTGGTAGAATCGCGGGCGTGCTGCGGACTGTGATGCATCTGTACCCATTCGCGCAATAGATACTCTGTCTTTTCCATCAGTCCTGGCGGATCATCGAAATCACGAGCCTGTAAAGTGTAAATAACGCACGACGTACGTCAATCATGATCATAGTTACGGATATCGAAAAAGATAGAGATATTCTGTACCTTTTGTTAACAATTATTATTTCATGTATTATGGAAAAAATTATTTTTACTGATATTAAATCCTATAATTTCGAATAATTTTTAGTTAAAATATTTGTGTAAACATCAACTTTGCTAGTTATATTTTTTTATTTTTTAATTAATAAGATACTGAGACAATCTTGTTAAGGCAAAGTACAAAATACCACAGTTGGAATAATTTTATTTGAATCAAATAATCTGGACAATCTACTTACTCTCACCTGCAGGATTCCGGAATGAATGTGTGCTGTAGGTCCTGCTGGAGCTCTGTCTACCAGTACACCAGAATCATGATTGGCACGCAGTGAATCTACTAGACTTGTTAATCTGAAGAGCAAGATTCTGAAATAATATGAATCTTATATATTATATATACTTGTTTCTAATTTAGAATTATAATTTAATTAACTGAAGAAATTTTCGAATGTACTATAAATCTGAATTTATGATGTTGAAATGTTATCCGATGTAAAATGCACGCAGACACTTTGTTCACTTAAAATGCCTCATCTTTGACAACAAAGGAAATAATCAAATGTAAAAGAATAAGAAAAAATATGGTTATATTTTATGTCAAAAAGAGATCTATATTGAAAAATACTTTAGAATAATCCTGATTTTAAACAGAAACAGACTAGTCTATCGTTTGAGTAGTTTTTTAAAACCTAATATTTATAGGAATTTATACGATACCCTTCTGGAGGTGTTCTATGATGAGACATTCGAGCCAATATTTCAATCGTATGGAACAGATCGGTCTCGGTAACATGAGTTGCTTGTCTCTCATCAATCAAATAGAGCTGAACCAATTGCATGGCGAATGCCGTTGCCATGGTGTTTCCTGCCTCCATAGCTTGTGCTAGAGCTACGTCGTATTGTGGAAGACTGATCAAATGAGATCTGCGAAAAAAATAAGGTTCACAATTAATTAAAATCTTTCGAACAGCTTTTACATATTATGTGAATTTAAGATCGTACCTTATGAGGTAATCCACAGCTTCGAAATTGTATCGAAATTCTTCTCTGCACTCGGTTAAACAACGAGTCACATGCTTATTGGTCCATTGCATACCATACGCACGTGGATCCTGAAGACACTTCAAGATACGTAAGTGCAACTCTCGGTAGCGTTGTATAAGATTTTCCGACTCTATAACCCCGCTAGAAATGATAGGCCCATCCAGCAAACCTTCGACAGCCTGGAACAATCATAAGTCGTCTTGATGAGTCTCATCCATCATTTAACCAACTGAATACCACAAGTTTATATTATGTTGAGTAACTAACTTTCTTTAACAACGTCATAGCAGCACCGGCGTCTCTTGATCTTCTAGTAAGAATAATCGATTCCAGAAGACTGTGAAGAGCAGCATGCTGCGGCGGAGGCGCCGCAGGTCCCATGGCGGCCAACAGAACTTCCGCTTCCGCGGCAAGTTTCTCCAACATAGCGCCCACCTCGTCATTACTAACAGCCACGTAGGCCGCTACTTGTTGCGCTGTGGCGACTGCCACAGCCGGATTAGGCGTGAACGCAGTGACGGGAGTTTCCTTTGAGAAATTAAAAGATAGAAAAAATGAGAAAAAGTAGAACGAGATATTCCGTCTCACAAATATTTCCTATCATGTTTTTTTTTATATATATTTAATATATATAATAATTTTATATATATTCGTATTTTTTACATATATTTATATTATATATAATAAATTATATATAATAATTATATTACATATATAAGAAACACGAACAAAGAGAGAAAGTTCTTACATTGATAGGTTTCGGCATGAAGAGCGCTTGTGTGTCCCGGTCGGAAAGCGGCAGGAATCCTGGAATATTCCTGGCAAATTCTTCATAAACTGCCATCTGCTGTGACGTCACACCGCCGACCTTCAATCGGATTTGCTCCGGCATTCGTTCAGCTTGATACTTAGCCAGAGGATCGCAGTATCGTCGGCCTTCTTGCCGAGCGATTTTCCGCAGTTCCATCTCGCTAAGTAGCCGCTTGTCCATCTCCGGTATCGCTTTCTCGATAGCGGTCTTTTGTACAAATGCGCACGCGAGTTCCATGTTATCAGCAGCGACCACATTCGCCGCTTGCTCAGCAAGCTCCTTCTGCTGCGGGGTTGTACCGATCAATGCCGCGAGCAAGGCTTGTTTCAAATTCGTGCTGATGGATGCCAGAATCTATAACGAAAAAATGGAAGATTAATTCTATATCATAGTCTATATTTGGCTTAAACATTAACATGCAATTATATTTTTTATTACTACATATATGTAAAAATCTTTTTCAAGCAAAAATTTCTTAATATTGTAAGTTTTTATATCGACTTGTAAATTAAAATTTGAAATTATTCTTTCTTTAAGATTATTTCAAAATCCAATTATGTTTTTCTTACATTATATATAATATTATATATTAATTATCAAACTATTGTGTAATTAAATCAACCTTCAAAATTATTAAATTTTCGAAAATTTTATTATAATTTTTTTTTAATAATACTTTGTATAGACTTACTTGATCGCGACACGTGATCATGGCCATGCCGGCGGTTAAGTTGCGCACCATGTTACGTCCAGCAGTTCTTATTCGTAATTCTTCTGGATCCAAAGCAAAATCTTTTCTCACTATCTGCTCGCTAGTTGTAAGAGCTATCTTAATAGATCTATCGACAACAGGATGAATCCATTCTTGAATCGCTCTTTCGACAGCTGGGCGAACGAATTGCTTCAGATGAGGATGCGTTTGAAATAAGGGCAACTGAAATCAATATATCCATAAATAATGTATATTCTTACGTATGGAAGATTACAATATATATAAAGATATTAAGGCTCCTGGATCCTCTTTGTGACAATGTTAGAGTGTGCTAAAACCATCTGAAGTGCTATTTCATTGAAATATCTTTTTATTTTGAAATAGTATCTAAGAATTCTTAGCGTATATTTTCTCACTTCTTACGTCACAATTCCAACATGGTCGGCGAGGAGCCAGAAGCTTTAATAGAAGTCTTAATGTACCTGACTGTTGATAGTAATGTGCTGTGATATATTGGCGATTCCGGTGACAGATATATCCATATAATTGAATCGCGGTTCAGGTGCGCCGCCAGTTGGCAATGAGGGTGTCGTATTCGCGGGAGGCGCAGTTTGAGGATTAATAACTGCGCTGCTCGTCGTAGATGCGACCAATTCCTCTATAGGCCCCTGAGATTGTTGCTGTTGATTTGTAGTAGGTTCCGATTTTTTGTTCGGATGCGACAACTGGTATTCTAAGTTGCGCAACTTTTCGGGATCTTTCAGATAAATGACCGGTTTTAGTTCCTATGAAGAATCAAAATTCAATTTAAATTGTATCGCAAATCGAGAATCATTATAGACTTGCTGTAAAACCAAATAAATGGCACTCTTACCCCGACGTCGATGCTCAGATTCTTGCATAGTACCTCTATTTCAAATTTCAAATTTAATTTCAAATCAGGCTCCTGATGAAGTTCAGCCAGAACATTCATAATCGCCATAGTCCAGGGATTTGGCGGACGAAACACGCGACTTTTTGCACAACTTTCAAGCACTTTTGCGACAAAGGGCACTACATAGAGTAGTTCTTGCTGCCCTTTGTGATATGCTTCGACGAGTAAACTTTTTAGATCTATGTCTATCTGTTGAGTAAATTAAAATTCGATTAAATTTACACAATACGAACAATAATGACACCATAACGTACAAGGTGTTTACACTAAATAATAATATACCTGTAAAATAGGCTTATTCCTGCCAAGCGTTAACATTCCGAGCCAGTGTCCTAAATTTTTCAATAATGATCGATCCGAGAAATTAGCTATTCCCTTATCGCTTCGTAAAAGTACCTAAAATAAAATAAAATTTATGTAAAAACTTGCACGAAAAATTCATAGTCTTCTTCATAGATTATTGATTTCCGCAGTTCAAATGCAACCAGCGAATAATACAATAATAATGAACTAGCATCTCTCGTATGGATTAACTTATTTACTACAAAATTTTTCTTACAGTTATTATTACATTATTTTATTTACCTTGATATTTCGAAATGTCTCTCTTGTGACCATCTTATTGACTTCAGGTAGTTTTATACAATCCAGAAAATTCGAGTACAGAGCATGAAAATTCAATTCTATACTGGCACGTTTCATCACGAGGTATTGCGCCATCCACGGCCAATACTCTTCCGTGACAATATCGCGAATTTCATCGCACTTCTGTTGCAGATTCAACTGACTGAGATTATTGAAAATGAAAGCCGTTTTGTCCTGTAAAGCTTCCGGTGGCGTCGTGATTTTTTCCTCCTTGTCTGTCGCCACGAGCAACGTATCGATGTTCGTTGCATTGGCGACCGAAGGCATAGACGGCTGCGAGAGAAACACATATCTCATATTATTATATTTTTAAATAAAATAAAAAAAAATATAGGGCTAGTTTCCCTAGCGTCGGACGGTACCTAATATTGGACATGTATAGTATCTATGAAAGTAAAAACGCGATCGAGTGATTGTATCCGTGATAAGGCAGGAAAAGATTAGATATGATATAAATCCGGTATTAGGTGCCGTCTTGCGCTAGAGGAATTCCTCCTACAAGATGTCCCAGACTTATTGTGCCATTCGGTAATGGACGATTTTGAGGCAATAAAAATAAAAAATAAATAAAAAATTTAAAAATAAAGAAAAAAAAGCTCGTCGAACTTACTCTGGCTGAAAGAGACGTAGTTGGAGTCGTAGACGGTTTCGCCTGCGTGGTACTAGTCGTGATGGTAGTCGTAGTCATGGTTTTGTATGGAGTTGTAACCGGAGCCAACATAGCCGCCAGAGTTTTCGGAAGAACTGGACCCTGAGGTCTCGACGGCGGCTCTTGGCCTTGCAGCCCGTATTCTATATACTCTATCAGATGCGGCGGAAACTCGTTGAAATGCGGAATCGTTCTAACGTGTTCGCAATAAGTTTGATAATCCTTCAAACGGCTCTTAAATCGGTCCAAAGCCGTTATGCCAAAATAGTACATCTTGCTACCCTCAGGTTTCTTCAGCGCATCAAGGACGAATCTCAAAGCTAGTCCAAGAGTCATATAACTATTGACGAGGCCCCTCTCGATAATTCCACCGAACAACTGTGCCGTTATTTGCAGTTCTTTCTCCGGATATTGCGGGAAGAATCTATACTCCTCGAATAGATTCCGCAACATACAGTTAAAGACTTCTCTCTCCCGTCTAATGCCGGAATCTTGGAATTTCTTTAACATATCGAGCACCTCGTCGATCGACAAGGTCGGATGCGGCGGATGATTGTATATACGTTGAAAATAGCTGTTCGCCTCGTCTTCAACCTCTTTGGACACGTTCTGTCCCATATCTGGAAATAGATTCGACGTTTCCGGAATCCTCGCTTTCTCGATGCCGGTCGGCGGTCCGAGACGTCCCCCTAATCCACCAATCGTACCACCGGGAAGCACAGACGGTCCCTGAGTACCAACTGGACCCGAGTGTAGCTGCGAGGATAGGGGTAACATAGGGAATGGACTCGGAGAAGGTCCCATGAGTCGTGAAGGAGAGCCAGGCGCAGAAACTAGAGGCCCTAAAGCGCCAGGTAAGTTGAACGCGGAACTGCTTGGAGGTCCGAGACCAGTACCAAGGCCCATAGTTGCAAGATTTGTACTGAGATTTCCAAGAGGATCCACTTGTTTTGAAGAAAATAACTGTGGAATATAACATCAATGTATGTAATCACTTAAAATGACATAATATAATAATTTTATAATAGTATAATAATATAATAGCATACTTAAATAATGAAACAAAAATGCAAAAAAATTGTAGAACATCAAACTCTTTTTTGTATGTATAGAAAGAGTTAAAGAGAAAATAAAATATTCATGTTAAAAAAAAAAATGAAGAAAAAATATCAAAATACCTGACTCCCCAAAGTTGCCGGATTAAATGGTTCTAATCCTCGATGTCTCAATACTCCCGGGGGTGCCTGTCTCATAGAACTCTTACTCAACATTAGACTGCAATTCTGCACCATCGTCATTATTAAGTCCGATAGTTCTTGAGATACACTTCTATAGTATGCGGAAATAAAAAAATCCAATGTACTTTCCATATATTAAAAATAGATAATAATAAATTAATCTTAGTTTATAAGTTCCAAAGAAAACATACCCAGAGCAAACTTGCAAACAAGCCAATATCGTAGTGAGTGTTTCCTGTGGTAACTGACTCGCTTTAGGAACTGTAGGATCTTCCTTTATGGGACCCATGACTTGAGGACATCGTCGTTGCAGAAATTTCACACACGCAGCAACGAAAACTTCTCCGTGATCTCTTATTTTATCTGTTAACCATTTTTCTAGCTTTAAATATTCTCTTCGAGACGCCAAACAAGCGAGATCAATGACGAATGGAAAAGATTGCGAATTAAGTAAAGCGGAAAGAGCCTTTAAATCTTGCGCAACATCTAAAATTCGAGATAATCTTGTTTGATCATGATCACCACGTGTATACCAATCTGCCATGGCGTGCATTATAATCGTTTTTATCTTAGCATTATTCGCATGCCACGCGTGGTGCAGTATCACAGCAGAATTTGGATGATTCCCGAGAAAAATTGGCAATAGTGTGGTAAACAATTCCTGTCTGAGTAAAGTAAGCGGTGGATTGATTTGTAATAATGCCAGGACTAACACGTCCGGGCAGTGCTGGACTGGCCACTTAAATATCTCCTGCACAGAATTATATAAGCCTCTTTCAGCCATATGAAGAAGTAATTCGACTATGTTCAACGATCGCCATGTTTGTCCTTCCTTGCTGTCGCTTTCAGGCGCTGCCTTCAATACGTCGACGGTTACCGTATGATACGGATAGTCGGCGAAACAAAATATATCCGGACATTTAAGAATCTGTTGAATCAGAGAAAATTGACCCTCCACGTTATCCCAGTGTCGATAAAAAAGTTCGACCGGAAACAAATCCGGCGGATATCCTTGATGTTGGAGGCCTAATTTGAGGCCTGTAATCAACAGGTTTAAACCTTGTCTATCCTTGATAATAAACTCTGCATGGTCCAACTTCACTATAACATCGTTCCAAGATAATGTAGACTGCTGAAATGTAAACACATACGATTTTTAGCTATTTATATATTATTTAAATTATAAATATAAACAATTTACTTAAGCAATAAGTAAACTTATAATTTTAACAAAAGATGCACAATCATGCATATATTTATAGAGTTCCTCGATATTTGTTTTACTTTTCAAGCTATTCAAAAATAATTCTTGAAAAGTAAACAAATCTGTGGCCCAGACTTATAAGATTATAGTCGGTCTCCGAGAAATGATTTCATAATCAAGAAACACTGTGTAAAACTATGTAGCAAACATAAAATACCGGACAGATAAAAACTCACTATTTCTTTTAAAGTTTGAATAAACACTTCAACGTTCCATGTCGTGGGGATGGCACTATCCGACGATTTCTCCTTACTCGAGTCCTGCGAGGCAGCCGAATTGCCCCAAAATGATTGCAAACCTCCAGCATCTTCGAGGTTGCTACAGCTACGTGTCATTTGTGTCAACACACGAGCAACGCATGCCGGCGATATTTCTCTCGCGCCCAAACCCGCCAATGCTGAACGACATTCGTCCACGCTGCTGGTAAAGCTATATCCTAATTCCATAATCAGCTCCACTAAAGTATTGTTATCCTGAAATTTAGAAAACTATAAATATATAATCTTTCAGTACTGAAAGTCAATTGAATATTAACCATTTGATTGACAGCCATGTTGAACTCTATCTTGAACGGTGGTGGTACTTCCCAGTCTCCTGGGTACAAGAATGGTGCTAACACCACTGGTACCAGATCACGGGGAAAGTCGCGCCGAAGGTTTTGAAGAAATTGTTCCTTTGCCTCAACAGGTAGATTATAAGGATTGCTGGTATGAAAAACCTGGCCTAGTATCAACTGAAGAACCTGTGGCAGAGAATCGTGTAGACCACCTTCGTGATGTTTGTTACTTGTCTCGGAGTTTATATAATTCTTTATTAATTCGGGCAGCTGCTTCTGAGTATGCTCTAAGGCTAACAAACGGATTTCTGTGTTTTCCGAATGCTGTAACGCAATCGCAAAGGCAACCTCCTGCACCAAAGTTAAGCCAAGTTTTTTTTAAATTGACAAAAAACTTTGGAGAGGGAGTCAATGTCTGAAAAGAAAATATACAAAAGAATTAGCATGTATATTCTGCGTCATAAAATTTATTTGCTATAATAGTAATATATAATCATGCGTAAGTACCTTTTGATGATGTAAAGGATTATCTATAGCAAAGCACAGGTTAGATATAAAACAAGGTTTGCTCAATAAACTGTTGCACTCCTGTTTCAACAACTTTGCTTGATAATAATCTTGTGCGCTCGACTCTGACAGTTCACCCTTAGAGAAGTCAACGTGCGAGATCAGACAGCGTAAGAAATGTCGGTCTGCTTCTAGACCCTTCTGCTGTACCAACTGCAAAGAGATCATCAGAATTAAAGTACAATTGTTTAAAATTATTCAACAATATATAAACACCAGTACTATATATATATATATATATATATATATATATATATATATATATATTATAATTTACATTTAACACACCCATGTTACAAATAATGTATATTTTATCAAAATTATAATTTAGAAAAAAAATCTTCAACGAAGGGTAAAAATGTACCGGATACACGTCGTGATTCGAGAATGTAAAAGAAGCTTATATTTGTGCGAGGTTGAGATAGAAAACGTAAGTAAACACACCAGGTCGACGAGCGTGAAAAAAGCCCGATCTAGAACATGGAAACTGTGTTAGAAAAAAAAGAAGAAAAAAAAAGTAGATAGATATCGGTTCGAGCTGGGAAGGATAAGTCATTTCGAAATACCTGCGAGGCTGCGTGCGCGTATTTTTTTCGCGATTACGCAGCGACGTAGATCGCGAGGGGACGCGAAGAACCGCTAAACGAACATTTCGCATCTGTACCTCGGAGGTTTGCGTCTCTCGAAGGTACAAACGACAAAGAACGGAAACGGGGGAGGGGAGGGGGCTGGGATGGGGTACGAGGGGCAGGAAGGGAGGGAAAGAAAAAAAAGACCTAGATGGATCAACCGACGAGATGTTTTTTTCCCTCGTTTTGAAAATTTCGAATAAATTCGAAAAACATACACGTATATGTATACTTACGACCGATATCTGCTTACAGCTGTCCTCGTAATTTTTCTTCAAATTCGCAACCAAATAACTGATTTGTGACAAAGTAATATACAACGAGTCCAGGTTCATAGTTCCATGAATACGACCTCGAAAGCTTCAAACGCGTTTGAAGCTTTCTTCGGTATCCACGAATTGCCGCCGCCCCGGATTCTCTCCTCCTCGTTAAAAGCATAAAAGTTACATTGGCGCAATCCTATGACCAACATCGGGATTGATTTATTATTGGGATACGGATTTCACAGCAACGTCATGGCGTGAGCACAACACGGACGAGGCTCACTCGAAAACACGTAACAGCACACCAGACTCTCCCCGAATCTCTCCCTCTCTTTCTCTCTTTCTATTCTGTCCTTCTCAATCTCTCACTCTCTCTCTCTTTCCTTCTTGCGTCACCGCGAATATTCGTCGCGACGAAAACGTTTGTACACAAAAAGTCACAATTCGCACTGAATAGAGGATCGTGGCCACCGGTGTCCCGTCTCCTCGGATTCGTCCATGACGATGACGATGCTGCTGATAATTATGATGGCGAAATCGGGAAGAACGGCGAGATAAGGGTGCACGAAATTCCTCCTTCTGTCTGGAGATGCGCACTCGTGGGGCTCCGGACTCGTTCTATGTACAAAGTACAATGACGCTGCTCTCTCGGATGTATATATGTATATATATGTGTGTGTGAATAGGCACCGGAACGGATCCTCGGGTGTTGAAAAGCAAATATGGCACCCACAACGTTGCTCTGTATATATATATATATATATATGTGTGTGTGTGTGTATATTTACAACTGCGTATTTCTGCGAACAAATATATTAGTTTATATTTTTTTATTTTGCCCTTTTCTGACAAAATCTCGTAAAAACATTTTACCTCTTTCCGGTAAGAACACGCATAAACACTAAACGTCATGTCATGTGATTGGACATTGAATGGACAGATTTTAGGGACTTTAAAAATTCTCTAGTCGATAGCCAATCGCGTTGGATCTACGTGTTTTCTTCTTGGACAGCTTCCAACGAAACTTAAAACCCGATATACATGAAAGCATAAATCTATATGAGAAATACTATCCTTTTGTTTAATTAAAATTTTTTTTTGTTATATATCTTCATTAATTATTTTCCAGCCAGTAAGATTTTTCTGTTTCAACTATAAAATTTATTTTACCGAGAAATGACAAATATATGTATCTATTATTTTTCCTTATGTTATTACTATCTTACTTAAATCGATTAAAAAATTTAATATTTTATATTGTATATACAACTAAAATTAAATCTATAATTTTTGAATTATTAAATATAATAATACATACAGAGCATTACAAAAGTTTTATTGATCCGCTAAGGGATCATGCAATGTATTGGATGATTGTAATGACTCAGGCTCTAATATTATACGTCCACATGAATCCGACGACCTAAATTGATCATATTAAAAGAAATTATTTGTTTCTTTTTCAGAGATAAAATTTTCCATATATATACATATATAACTTACACATCCTTTAAAAGATGCAAAACTTGTTTGTGTTCTATTCCTTCTAGCCACAAATTCAATAATTCCTCTCGCTTACATCTCAGCAATTGCTTGCAGGCATTTAAATTCTCCTTCACAGCATGAATCTTTTCTCGCAATGATGTGACCTTCTCAGACAATGCACTGAATATCTGAAATAAAATGCAATGTGATACAATAAAGAGTTACAAGCATTTGTATGTTTCATTACATTCAATTATCTGTATTTACTCGCATAACTTCCATAAGATCTTGATCGTGTGATGAAACTAATTCCTCCAAACGTTGATCGCTACGTTTGTATTCTTTTTCTAATTTGGCCTTCTCAATTTCTCGTTGCTCATTTGTTTCACTTGCTGATAAAGCACGAATCACAGAAATCAACAGACCACTCTATAAAATATACAAAATATATAAGAGATGCAAGTAAATATCTGTTTAATTTGCACATTTTGTCCCAATTATAAATTCACTAAAAGGAAACCATTTAATTTGTAAAATTTACTTGCCGTTTCTTTTGTTGGTTTAATTCCACGTGGTGGTTTAACAGGAGGTATCGCATTCATCTTTTAATTATTTATGTTTATATTTAATTGTTTATAAGTAACTCTTTTTGTTCTGAGAAAATAAAGAGAATTAATATTATCTTTATATAAAAGAATATTAAAAAGTTACTTTTATATTAAAATAACTATTAATATATTAGAAACTTGGATTTACAAGAACTATTTACAAACTTATAACTTACATTATTAATAATTTTTATATCAACTAGATACAGAAAATTAAAAGACGAAGATTTAATTAACCAAATTAATTTTTTGTCTTTCTATTTTATATTTATATATCTATGTGTATATAAACGCACTGTACTGAACTTAATTGCAGCTTAATCGTTATATTAGGTTAAGTTATTGTATATGAAAAGATCTGCCATTTTTTATAAAATTCATTTTTTTGCACTTGAAAATGAAATAAATGTATCTTTAGGCCTTGAAGGAAGAAAGACGAAACGAATAAAGTGGAGTGATAAAGTCCGTCCTTATCAGCTGTGCTTTCTGCTCTTTTGTTTTAAGTGCAACAAAGTGCAATTGACAAGTGTACCTTTTATGATTATGACTGATAGAAAACAAATACTTGAAAATATGCAAGAAATTTTTATAAAAGTTTTATCAGTTAGAGTTGGAGCAAAATATTGTTTTGAAAAAACAAAAATAATAGTCATTAAAGTTTATTATACTCTTATCATTATAATGAAGTAAAATACATTAAAGTTGATAGATAAATATAAATTTATTATACTGTTTTTTTTTTTAAAACAATAGGGATTAATTGTGACGCAATACATAATCAGTGTATTACATATAATCTTTAAAATACTTTAGAATTTTATATAATAATAAAGTATTTTTCAACAGATTTTCAAGAAATCTATGAAACTCAGGTATAAATCGATAAATTAGAATTATTTGCGATATATAGTTTTACCACTTTCACTTTTTAAGTATATCACAGAATCAATTTTATACACACTCTTATTATACAATACTCTTCTCAGTTCTCAGTTGTAAAGCAGTACTTGCAAATATACATGAGAAAAATTTCGAATGTGATGTTAAATTGAAAAACAAAAGGAAACTAGAGCTTAGCATAATCTGTCATTTTTTTCTATTTTTTCCGTCTCTCTTATATATCTTAAAATATTTCAAATTTTTAAATATATATGGACATTAAATCTCTTTCACATATTATACATTAATTATATTAATTATATACATTTATAAAAACAGTATACAATTAATATAATTATAATTGTGTAATAATGTACACATAATTAATATAATATTAAACAAAATCTGACCTACGTTTTTTCAGATCAAAGATCTGAAAAAAATAAGACTAAACGAGATATTAAGCCTGGTGTCAAACATCGGACCGAATTTATTCGTTTAACTTTATCAGAATAGCAGGTTGATGTCATTAAATATTATTGATTATAAAGATTTAACGTAAAACCCTGACCTGTTTTACTTCTATTATCATTCCTACACTATACTATACATAGTATTAATTACATAATTAATTATGATATTAAATATATGTATGCAGATTTTTCAAGTTTTATATATAAGGTTTAATATAAGGCCATTTGATAAAAATTTCTTATAGTGCTGCCAAAAAAAAATAATAAAATAATTAATAAAAAAATTAAAAATTATAAATAAAAATTTGCAAGAGAAAATAATAGAAGATATCGTAGCATACACAAGAATTAAGCACTATAGTAGATTATGATTTTTATAAATCATAGAACACATAGAACAGAACAATATTTAATATATACTATCCAGGCACCAATATACTTCCGAGGAATATAGTAAAATAGAACAGAAAAAATTAACTTGTTCTTATCGACAAGAAAAATATTAAACTGTATGACTTATTTAGGAATGTGCCTTGTGAATAAAATGACTAAAGTACCTGTGTTTGATTACTAATAATAAAAAAACAATTACTTCTTTAAAGTATAATATAATGAACAAATATACTTCGAAAGAAAGAAACGAGACTGCTTTACATCTGTGGTAACTGCTCAATCGGTGTTGCGAATTTGAAGTCTTCTGGGAAGAGCTTAGGCGCACTCGTATACATTAATTTGTACGATTGTCGGATTGTGACGTCCGCGACACCAGCGATATCTCCAATTTCTTTTTGCGACCTCTTGTCCTCCGAAGCCTAAGATAAAATATCCCATGAAAATAATGAAGATTACAGAAGATTATACAATATATTGTTTCTACATCTTAAAGAATATGATTTACATACCTGTGACGCCATGTAAATCGCTGCAGCTGCAACTGATATGGGCGATCTGCCAGGTACAATGTCAATCTCCACAGCTTTTCTGGCAATGTGTGTAGCGGCCTTCTGCACCATGTTGGGAAGGCCGAGATTGGAGCAGAATCTGGACATAAAGTCGCCTGTGGTGATGAGATCGACGCTGGTTTCCAGGGCCTTGAGAATCAACTTGAAACATCGACCGATCTCCTTCTTGCTTATCTTGCTGACAGCACAGATTTCCTTGAATGTACGCGGCACACCTTCCTGTCGACAGGCGATATACAAACACGCGGAGGCGATCGCGTCGTTCGAGCGACCCTTCAAGTTTTTGCCATCGTGTACTTGCTTGAACAACGTATTAGCTCGGTCCACAATAGTTTTTGGCAAATTAATGCGATCTGCCATTCCGTTGATCTCGCGAAATGCATTGAGCAGAGCTCTGTCGGAACTGCTCATCTGCAAGAATATTTTTTTTATTTTAATATTACTCATTTCGTCATATCAATGCAAAATAACCATGGCTACATTCAGTAGAAAAAACAACTTTGCAACTATTGTAAAATTTGTGAATCTGATTGATGTATGCTCTTGATTTTAGCTAAATCTAAGAGCATGTACCAGATTCATAAATTTTACAATTGTAAAACAGCTTTTTCTGTTCAATGCAGCCAATGAGAGAAAAATGTAATACTGACTGTACGTCGATTCTGATATTTGGCAGTGCCAAAACCATCAAAAGACGCAGCGCCTGTTCCTGGTCCAATCATCGTAGACAAATCTGCACCATTCAGAAGTGGATTCTCTGGTCCACCAACACGCGATGGATCTATTCCTGATTTCTCATTGCTGAACGTCCTCCATTCTGAACCCACATCTATCACTCTGCGATACATAAAAAAATTAATGTAAAAGTATCGCTCATCACGTAATTAATTTTATGCTCTTATTTGTAGCGTAGTTACCTATCTCCCACAACTAATCCACATTCCCCGCAAATCTGATCTCCTGCTCTGTAATCTTCTATAAGTTGGGCATCTGGATGTGCGTAACAACAGATCTTGTTTGTATCGTTTCTGTAAAAAAATAAGCTTTGAAACTAAAAATTTCACATTTACACGCATAACCAAATTAATTTGTCTAATTAGTAAACGATTGTGCAAACGTAAACAAATAAGTAACTTCTTCAATGCAATTTCATCTCTAGTTGCAAATATTATTAATATATTGATGTGCGTTATGGTTCTTGATTGACAAGAAAATTTATTTCAGTCTAAAACCTTATCGAAAAATTAATTCATTCGTATGCTGATTAAAACTGCACTCTTGAAGTGTAATAAATAAAATCTCGCGCATGTATTATATACGCGATCGTAACCTTTACTTTATTTCGATGTCAATTACATCGAAAATTCAACTGGTTTGACAATTATTACATCGTCGATGATAAATTCCTGCAAATAATTGCAATTTTATACGACTTACCGCGATGAACTTGCCATTTTTTCTCTGATTTTCGCATTTGCGAATACCGTCCAATAGTTCAATCTGTCCTGTTTTGCCACAGGTCGCAGTATATAAAATATGAGGTCGTCTAGAATAGTCTAGATCCTAACTAGATCGTCAAACGCTGGTCACCCGTTATATAGAGTCGCAGTTGATAATGCCCGATCAATTGGGAGAAAGCGACTAGCAGCAACAGCCAATCACAACGCGTGTCACAATTAAATCTCAACAAGCCTATCTAGAAACTATCTAGTTTCGGTTCAAGAAGAAGAAGAAGGAAAGCGTAATCTGGCATAAATTAGGTTAAATAAGAGAAACATATTTCCATTTTGACATAAAAGATCAAAAATTTGTTAAAGAAGAAGACCAAAAGTAAGTAGAAATGTAGAACAAATAATATAGCATTCCAAAAAATCCTAATTTATTATGTTTTCCCGCCATAACCTATTATGTGCATGATAGGTACTCCGGTCACTTATTAGATAAGAAAAAATTACGAAGATAAAATAATTGTAAAATAATTAATTAATAAGGATATATAAAATTTATAATTATATAATAAATAAAATTATATAATAAAAATATATAATATTAAATATTTTTGTAAAAAAAATATGCTTAGCGAAGCCATTGTTACAAAATTTTGAAAAGAGAAATTCACAAAATTTACAGCATATCTAAAGTATTTAGTATTACTAATAATTGTCTATTAAATTACTAAGAAATTGTTTCTGCGTTGCAGCAAAAATAGTGTAATGCACTGAGTGCCAAACAGGTTCCCATTCAGCATTCCACATAGATTTTATACAATAAAAATTATATAATAAATAAATATTAAATACTCTTGTAGAAAAAATACGCTTAGCTAATCCATCATTTACAAGAATTTTGAAAAGAGAAATTCACAAAATGTACAGCATATCCAAAGTATTTAGTATTACTAATTATTATATTATTAATTTAGTCTTATTATACTATTACTATATTATTATGTTACTAATAATTATTAATATTACTAATAGTTATTAATAAATTGTTTTCTGCGTTGCAGCAAAAACAGTGTAACGCACTGAGTGCCACAAAGGTTGAAGGATCCCACTCAGAGCATCGCACAGCAGATTTCAATCGAACGTAGCAGAATTTAATTCCATCGAAGATGGAAAAATCGCAGAAGATGCCAAAGGTGGCGAAGGTGAAGAACAAGGCGCCCGCGGAGATACAGATCACCGCGGAGCAGCTGCTGCGCGAGGCGAAGGAGCGCGACCTTGAGATTCTGCCACCACCACCGAAGCAGAAGATCTCGGATCCGCACGAGCTCGCGGACTATCAGCATCGCAAGCGTAAGGCGTTCGAGGACATCATCCGCAAGAATCGCATGATCATCACCAACTGGATCAAGTACGCGCAATGGGAGGAGTCGCAGAAGCAGATACAGCGCGCGAGATCGATCTACGAGCGTGCCCTGGAGGTGGATCATCGGAACATTGCGCTCTGGCTCAAGTACACGGAGCTGGAAATGCGCAATCGACAGGTCAATCACGCCAGAAACCTGTGGGACCGAGCAGTAACTCTGCTGCCCAGAGCCAATCAATTCTGGTACAAGTACACTTACATGGAGGAGACCTTGGAGAACATCGCTGGGGCTCGTCAGGTGTTTGAGCGCTGGATGGAGTGGGAACCGGATGAGCAGGCTTGGCAGACGTACATCAAGTTCGAATTGCGTTATAAAGAGATCGATCGAGCTCGACAGATCTACGAGCGCTTTGTCATGGTCCATCCTGATGTAAAACACTGGATAAAGTACGCCCGCTTCGAGGAGTCTTACGGATTCATCAAGGGTGCTCGTACGGTGTACGAAAGAGCCGTAAACTTTTACGGGGACGAGGGTCTCGACGAGAAGCTGTTCCTGGCGTTCGCCAGATTCGAGGAGGGTCAACGGGAGCACGATCGCGCCCGTATAATTTACAAGTACGCCCTCGATCACATCCCGAAGAGCAACACTCAAGAGATCTACAAGGCTTACACGATCCATGAAAAGAAGTACGGCGATCGCTCGGGCATCGAGGACGTAATTGTCAGCAAGCGGAAGTATCAGTATGAACAGGAGATCAAGGAGAATCCTTCGAATTACGACGCGTGGTTCGACTACCTGAGATTGGTGGAGTCGGAGGGTAACGTCGACGTGGTCCGCGAGACCTACGAGCGTGCGATAGCCAACGTGCCACCCACCAAGGAGAAACAATTCTGGCGAAGGTACATCTACCTCTGGATCAAGTACGCCCTCTTCGAGGAACTCGAGGCCAAGGATTACGAACGATGCCGGCAGGTCTACAAGGTCTGCCTCGACCTGATACCGCACAAGAAGTTCACCTTCTCCAAGATCTGGCTGCTGTACGCGTATTTCGAGATACGACAGAAGAATCTGACCAAGGCGCGAAAGACGTTGGGCTTAGCCCTGGGAATCTGTCCCACCGACAAGCTTTTCCGGAGCTACATCGACCTCGAGATACAGCTGGTGGAGTTCGATCGTTGTCGCAGGCTGTACGAGAAGTTCCTCGAATTCGGGCCGGAGAACTGCACCACCTGGATGCGATTCGCCGAGCTGGAGACGCGACTGGGCGAAACCGATCGCGCCCGGGCCATATACGAGTGCGCGGTCGCCCGACCGCGGCTGGACATGCCGGAGCTCCTGTGGAAGTCGTACATCGACTTCGAGATCGCCCAGGGCGAGACGGAGAACGCCCGCCAGCTGTTCGAGCGACTCCTGGAGCGCACGTTGCACGTCAAGGTCTGGATCGCTTACGCCAAGTTCGAGCTGTTGAACCCTCAGCTGGAGGACACTCCCGACAACGTCGTCTTGGCGAGACGGATCTTCGAGCGCGGGAACGACGCCCTGAGATCCAGCGGCGACACCGAGAGTCGGGTGCTCTTGCTGGAGGCGTGGAAGGACTTTGAGGCGGAGAAGGGCACCTCGGAGAGTCTCACCAAGATTATGGAGAAGATGCCACGCAGGGTGAAGAAGAAGAGGCGCGTCGTCGGCGAGGACGGCAGCGACGACGGCTGGGAAGAGGTCCTGGACTTTGTTTTCCCAGAAGACGAGTCGCAGAGGCCAAACCTCAAGTTCCTGGCCTCTGCGAAGGCTTGGAAGAAGCAGACCGAGTCTCAAGCTTGAGATTAATAATATTATATTAATATTAATATATTATATCATATATAATAATATTACATTATATTAATATTATTATATATAATAATATTGCATTATATTAATATTATATAGGTGTATATATATATATATATAATTGTAAATATCTGTATGTGTGTGTGTTTTGCTATCTGCTATTGTGTGTGTGAGAGAGAGAATGTATGATTAAAATTATCATTATTTTTATATCTCATATTTATATAATTTCCAATATAAAAAATATGCAATTTGCTAAGTTTGAATTCTAAAATATATGGAAAAAGGAACAGAAATAAACAATTTAAATTTTTCTTCTTTTCCTCTCTCTTTATCTATAATCTAACAAAATAAAAAAAGAAAGATAACGAGATCTATTTCCATTTGTCAGGTTGGCTATAATGTGTTTTTGAGGTTATAATCTTACACAATTCAGACTTTAGACTTTGAGCCACGTCAAGGATTCTGATAAAAATAATATATAGGCTGACACTTAATTAAAAATAATTAAACAGGAATAGTTGCACATTCATATCTTTTTCGAGCAAGAATGGCGCGTGTTCTTGTAGGTGTAAAAAGAGTAATAGACTATGCAGTTAAGGTAAATATATATGTTACATCTATGTATATATTTTATTTAAATATAGTAGACAGAAAAAAAGATAAAATATTTTTTCAACAATGTATTATCGCAAAACATGTAACTAATACTTTTCTATGATAAAGTATGAATGCCAGTCTTTGAGTAACAAGTAGTATTCATTTTGATGCATTCTCTAATTTTAATTTTTTTAGATTCGTGTCAAACCAGATAAGTCTGGAGTGGTTACGGATGGCATCAAACACTCGATGAATCCTTTCGATGAGATAGCTATAGAGGAAGCAGTTAGAATGAAAGAAAAGAAAATTGCCCAAGAAGTGATAGCGGTCAGCTGTGGACCGGCTCAGTCCCAGGATACAATCAGGACTGCCCTTGCCATGGGTGCAGACCGTGGAATTCATGTTGAAATATCTGGCCCTGATTATCAAACATTGCAGCCCATTCATATCTCAAAGATACTGGCAAAATTGGCGCAAGATGAGAAAGTGGATTTGATAATAGTCGGTAAACAAGCTATAGATGATGATAACAATCAGACCGCACAAATGACAGCTGGTGTCTTGGACTGGCCATCTGGAACGTTTTGCAGCAAGGTAATAGAACAACAAAATTTCAAGGTTGTAAGTTTTAATTGACCACACTGGCTAATAATAACAGATTGTTTATTAAAAAAAGCAACTGGGTACAGAGTGTATGTTTAACTCTCACTCAGAATCATTAGGATATACTTGTATCTCTAATTTTTTATTCAATTACACGTACAACATGAATTTACACGATTCAAGCTCATGTGAAGATCAATATTATATTTAACAATATGCGCATTATGTAACCCTTTACATCAATTTATGGCCTGAAGAGGATCCAATTTCAGGGTCGAAATGTTGCCTTTTTAATAAACAATCTCTTATTATTAGCCAGTGTGGTCAATTAAAACTTACAACCTTGATTTCTATACTGACTGGCAATTATAATATTTTACCTGAACAAAATTTCACTTTATTATATCAATGTTTTACGCTTTCTTTTTCTTTATTCAGGTTGAGAACAACAACGGTGAATTGACTGTTACACGTGAAATTGATGGTGGATTAGAGGTCATCAAGATGAAAACTCCTGCAGTTTTGAGCGCTGATCTTCGCTTGAACGAACCACGTTACGCGACTTTACCAAATATCATGAAGGCTAAGAAAAAACCCATCAAGAAAGTTACTCCGAAAGATCTCGGAGTAGATGTAACGTCGAGAATTGAAATACTCTCTGTAGAAGAACCGCCAGTTAGACAAGCTGGTGCCATATTACCAGATGTCGATACCTTGATAGGTAAATTGAAAGAAGGCGGCCACGTTTAGCCGATTCTCTCTTCTAGGGTAATGGAAATTAATGATCAAGTATTGTTTTGAACTGTTTAAGCTTTGATTTATTTTGATAACTCTTTTTGTATATAGCATAATAGTTTTGTACATTATCAGAAATTGTATATGATATTTCAATAAATTTATACTATGCAAATGAAGAGAAAGAATTTAATATTTCATAATATATTACAGATACATCTTACAAATTATATGAATATACATATTTATATAATATGTATAATAAAAATCTCTTTTTGCATGTCTTTTCAATATTGTCAAATAATCAATCTATTTAAAAAAAAAAAGTAAAAACATTTTTGAAAAACAATTATTTAAATATATACATATATATAAATGCATCATTTTTCTCTTTTCTGTAAAAGGTAACATCAATAACGATAACTATAAATATATATATTATTATTTTATGCAATGCAGATATTAAATTAGATAGATTAATGTCACACTTAATTGACATGTTGTAATTCTAAAATTTTCAAGAAATGTTGATAAAAGCTCGCATGGAAATATTTCTCTATTTTTTTGACAGAAAATCACACGAATAATATGCATTTTTCTGCACTTTTACTTTAATATATCGTATTATAATATGTTGGAGAGAAATATGAACAGTTATACGAATATTAATAAGAAAATAGCATGTTATTTTAAAATATTAAACCACTTTGTAATTATATTTAGTGCCTTATCCTTATTATAAGATTAGGCAAGAAAATGTGTCTAATCAAGACTAGTATATCATATAATATATATATATATATATATATATATATATATATATATATATATATTAGATATTTACCAGAAATTGATATATAACATGATATATCAATAATAACATTTTGGCTAGTATTTGCGTTCTATATAATCGTCATTAAGGGATAAAACTATATTTCAATACCCGTATGTTTAATTCTCTCAGGAAATAAATATTTTTCAACCGTCGAGCACTCGACTAGGTCTTTGTTTTTTTATCGTATTTTAAATATGTCAAATATATATCTTTCCAGAATTTTTTTTTGATTCGTTGAATACTGTTGTTTCCATGTCATTGACATTGAGTACAGCCCTGCATAAAAATTCATTGTATTATAACAGTCTTTTGTGTGTGTATATATATATTATAGATTTTGTAAAAGGTCTTCTCAACAAAAGCTAAAACTCGCGCGCAACATTAATTACATTAGAACCTTCCAATCGAATCTACTGTTGCTGGTATGGGTGATCGGTGGAAAAGGAGGAGGATGGAGCTGCCAACCATCGATACCTTGACGCGCGGTCACGCAGGCCAGATAAGGTACCCTTTGAACTAATCTAGTCACTTCGGCCGCAGGGGGTATCCTGCCACCGGTCAATTGTTTGGTGCAAGCTGCCAGGGAAGCTGCATGCGCTACTATTAAAATATTACCAACCGTACTCTCTATGATCTTCTTGATCACCTCGTAGCTGCGTTCGTAATACTGCGCTGCGTTCTCCTTCGGAGGAAGCTCCTTCGCCTTCACGATCGGATCGTAATCCAGATCCACGTTGAAGCCCGCCTTCTGCAACTCCTCGGAAGTCATCCAGACAGGTATTCCGTTCGGATACCAGGCCAACCATTCTATCAGACCTGGCTCCACCTTGATAGGAATGTCGGACTCGAATCCCTTTAGAATATGAGCGAGGGTCTGAACGCAACGCAACGACGGCGACGTGAAGGCCACATCTATCTTGATGCTCGACGACTTCATGGCCTCGCCTACCAAACTCGCCTGCATCTCACCTACGGTGGTCAACGGACTGTCGTTCTGAAAGTCCTGGATGTTCCTGGACGGCACTTCCTTCGGCATATTCAAGTCGCGGCGCACGTAGAAGCCGTTCGACTCGAAACAGTACGGGATCCACGTGCCAAAAGTGAAGTCCACTCTCTCACCGTGGCGACATATGAAAATCTCTCTGGACGGTGTTTGAGGTGCTTCTGAACCTGCCATCTGAAAACGTTTGGAGACGTTGTATGTTAGTAATTCATCAGTGATTATACATTACATCATATTATAATTAATAATATATATCATATTATATATTATAATTTTAATAATATATATTAAATCAAATAATTTTGAACAACCCAACTGGCATAAAATTATATCTTTATTGTTGGATAGACATAAAAATAAAATTAATGACAACGTTTCGACGATTAAAATAAAATAATATTTAACCTTTTTAGAATTTAAAACATATTAAAGCACATATAAATTAATTGTGTCAATACGACCTTTCGACAAGATGGTAAAACGTCAATTAATTCACATTTAATTTATGTCAGACTTGATAAGGTCCTAAAACAAGGGTCGAAACGTCGTCATTGGTTTTATTTTTATTTTGTTGTCTATCCAACAATAAAGATATAATTTTATGCCAGTTGGGTCGTTAAAAATTATTTGATTTATTTTATTAATCACTGGCAAAAAAAGGAATTACTACTTATTATATATTATATTATTAATTATATTACATGATTAATATATATATATATATAATTAATATTATATAATTAATATATTATATAATTAATATATTATATATTATATTATTAATATATTATTGTATATTAATATAGACAAAGAAAAGGAATATTTTACAGAAATAATTACTGGCTCGTCGGCAATAGGAATCCCATCGGGGGTATCGACAGAATCGCTCGGAGACAGAACCGGCGGTGGTCTTCTAACTTTCGGGATCTCGTCCGCCTCTTCCGCGCTTTCGCTTTTATTGTCGGTGATCGGCACGGTGGTGTGCAATGTCCACGAGTCCGATTCTGCAGTCCTTTTGGTATGATTCAACGGTAAGTGGCCGGATATCCCGGTCAACCAAGAGATACCCTCCACCCAGCCATCCGTGGACGCGCTGCAGGCTCCCTCCGGAACGTAAATGTAATCTCCCACTCTTAATTCTAACTCGTCGTGTTCCCGGGGCAAGTGGGCGTGCGTGACTTTGTGCACATGCAAATTCTGCAATCTAGAATCTCTAGAATATAATCTAAGTTCCCAATTGGCCGGCGTGTTCGGTTTCAGTTTCTCGGCTATCAAGCGAAGCGGTTGAAATAAGTTACTGGGAAACTGGTAGGCCAGCGTAAGATGCAGAGATTTGATTTGCGGCTCGGCAGTGATACCTAGGGCGGCGATTTTATTGACGTAGCGAACAGCGATGTTCTTCAGCCATTCCGCGTTTACATCCTTGACGAAAAGACCCATAAAATTAGGCGACATATACGTCTCTAACTCGATATGTTCAGGCAATCCATCCTGATGAGCCACATTCTCAAGAGCATTTACTAATTCTTCTGTGAATTCGTCGGGAGCCTACAGAAAAATATATAAAAATTATGAAATATATATTTAAATTTAAAAACATCGAATATATGTATAACATGTCTTGTATTTCGGTCAAGTATTAAAGATATCTTACGCTGAAGAAGGAGACGAGAGTAATGTGTGGTATAAAGCTATGAGCCCCGTTCCATCCTAGATTTTTACTGTCTGACCAAAACAGCTCGAGCTGTTCAGCTAATGATCCCGTTGGACAAGCATAGAGAACATACTGCCGCTGTGTATCAGAATCCAAAGTTGGATCTCTCACATGTGCCAGCAGCCAATCTGATGCCAATTGCACACCACGGTATCCTGTTGCGGCTAATGCCCTCTCCCTAAAAGATCCATTCAATATTAGATGTAAATAATTAACAAATCCTTGATAATAATCAGATATAAAAATATATATATCTATATATATATCTACATCTTTTTAGAATGAGAATGATTAGATAGATAGATAAATTTTGTTATCAAGAGATAAAGATATAGAAAACAACTATCGAAAACAAATTGAAATAATAAAATAATATGACCTATCGAAATGTCAAGTCCAGAATTTTGATTCAGAAATTAAATATCCGAATTTAATTTTGCTCTCAAATCGAGAGAGAAAGATAGAATAGTGCGAAATAGCTGTATTAAAGACTGCGTTTGACAGCTGTTTGTTTACAATGAGTAAAGGACACGCGTCGACAATATGTCAAATAAATGTTACGTAAATACAATTTCATGTCACATGGCCATACGTACGCCCGGTGTTTCGGGAAACCCAGCTGCAGGAGCGTTTGCAACGGTGTCAGATGCTGTTTCGAAATTTTCGTAGGAGTCGGATTTTTCCGCGGCGGCAGCGTCGCCATGACGGTACATAACTGCGTTTACCGACGTTTATTCCCCAGGGTGGCCAATAGCCGCGCAACTATCATAGGACCAGATACGAATCGCAGACTGTGGAAAATTTTTACAAAATTATAGCTGACTACATCGCGACCGGATCTCACCACGAAGAGTCAATCATCGGCAAAAAGGTAAAAATATAATTACATTATTAAATAATTGATATTAATTTATTGTGATTTCTCGTAAATATTAATGGTTTATTCCAAGTTCTTTCCCAGCAAGCACAGTATATAAATGTTATATATACTCAAGCATGTTACATGTAACGTATATGTTAGTTGTAATTTCCCACTCATAGATGTAACATTTTTAATATTACATATATTACATTGTAGTTATATATTGTCATTATATCCCAAGATAGCACTGACTTATCAATACATCAATGTGCTATTTAGTATATATATAATTACAATAATAACTATACAATGTAATATATATATGTTATATTAAAATGTTACATCTATGAGTGGGAAATTACAACTAACATGAATGTTACATGTAACGTACACGTTATATTACCTGTTATATTCCGTTTTATTATAGCAATGTAACAATTATATATCGGTGTTTGCTGGGTTATATATATACCGAACGTTTTATCAGTTAACGTGCTCTGATGTCAGAAAGATTAAATATAACGATAATATATACTGATATATATATCTTGTCTCTTTTATCATTGATTTTTTAAAGCTCAACAACTTAATTTCATAATTTTAGAAAGTATAATTAAAATCAGAACATTAAACTCGATAAATTTTAAAATTAATTAAAATAATTAATTTTATATATATATTGCTTTATAATAAAAATTGATTTAAAATATATATCGAATTTTAGAAACTAAATAAATTCAGAAACATTGAATACGATAAATATATAATTGTAAAATTTTAATTAAATAATTGATTTAATAATATATACCGCTTTTATGAGAAAATATATGAAATTGGATGCTATAAAATTTTTTATTAGATAAAGCTATCATTCTATATCTATATAAAAAATATATCGGGAAAACGTAGAACATAAAATAAATTCATTAAAAAGATAATTTTTTTTTACATTTTATATAATTTCTATTTCATTTTTTTTTCTCTTTTTTTTACCACGTGTTCCATAACAATTTCAACAATAAACACTCAAAACGACGCGATTATTATTTAGAGTTAGTGTAAAAAAAGAGAAAAAACGCAATGACACGTGGATTTATATATTTTTGTTTTTCATTCGTTACGGCATTCTGTTACAAACACTCTTCACGCTGCAATATTTCGGTACAGAAGTAATAAAAAAAGTTATAATGCGTGTATGTGTGTATATATACACATACATACACACACGCACATATACATACACATACCTCTCATTTATGTATATATATGTATATAATTCACGTATACATATATATACATATATATGCATATTTTTTAATATATATATATATAATATTTATATATAAAATATAGATAAAGTAACGTAATATACACGTTATTGCTCGTCTCTCATGGGATTCCTCGCTCTCGTTCGCAATTCGTACATTATTCTTTTTATATATATGTAACTCCTATATCCTAATAAAATCGGATTAAGACACTCACGGACCGTTCGACGAAGATTTGAGACATCGTTGAACTGCGAAATAATTTCATCGATTTGCCAAATTTAATAAAATTTTTTAATAGCTAAATTAATGAAGAGATTTAACGCACAAGAGCATCTTTGAACACAAATAAACATGTTTATTTGTATAATCTAACTTATAGCGTATTATTATAGCAACATAGAGTTAAACACACATCTAAAAAGTGTTATATGTATATAAAAAAACCATAGATACAAAGTATCCATTATAAACAAGCGAGTAGTATGAATAAAATAAAAAGAAAATTTTTCATTATTTCTCTTACAGTTTCCGTAGAATCCCAAAGGATTTCTCAAGTATATATGTGCAAAATGAATTCTTTTCAAGTTTATACAATTAATAATAAATTAAGAGAAATGATTTAAATAATAATTATTATTAAAAATTTTAGGCTATATAACAATATAATATTCTGTAATAATAATACAATTATTTAAATCATCTCTCAGCTTTACATATTTTAAAAGATCAGTATGTTGCTTACATCTACAAATAATATTCTATTTTATTTTATCCATACTACCATAATATCCGTATAGCAAGCTAAATTACGCTAAAGTCTACTAAATAACAATTGCTCCTTCATGTTTGACTCGAGTTTCTAATATTGCACATTTTGGCATATACTTATATCTGACGTCGCGACAGATTTACAATTGACGATTTACTTACAAATTCATCAAGATTGCATCGCAACCGCACCGTAGTCATTCACAACAATTTTGTACAAAATTTATACATCTTGTACAAACGATCTATTATGAGATCATACATCGAACATCGCAGAAATGCAATCTTAAGTCCTCTTTGTAATATGTTTATCGAGTATAATTTATTTATCTCTCGAATTTGCATCGCACTTTATTTATTTTTTTCGCAAATTTACGAGAGCTACGATATTTTATTTCTGCACCACATTTAAGATATATATCGCAGATTTCACTGTCAATATTTTGCTGATTTAACAATTACGCTGTGTTTTCTTAAAGATCTAATTTCAATCCGAGGATAAATTAAAATTGCATATATATCGCATATAAGAATAGAGATTCCGACTATTCTCCAAGAGAACACATATTTTTTACATTTTTTTAAATATAAAGAACCTATCTAGAAGCTACTCTCTTACAAGTCTTTATATATATATATAAATCGTTGAATCTTAATCGATTCTAAATTAAAAAATGAGGTTGATAACAGTGAGATATGAGACACTATATAACATTCAGTTATATTTTAAAATATCAAGATCGAAATTAAATAATTGAAATTATGAGCGCAACAATGGATAACATTAATTTTTAGAGACATTATTTTAATTTTATTGCTGAAAAAAATTCAACTTTTAAATTAAAGAAAATTAAAAACAAGAAACGTCGAAGAAAAAACTAAGAAAACTTTATTTTCGTAAACTAATAATATTTAATTATATTATTGTATATAAAATGAAATTTTAAGAAAACAAAGATTAATTCGTTTTAGCGCATATAATTTCAATTTCTAAAGATTTCCTTCGATGATTCTCTTTCTTATTTGTGTATTTATGAAAAAAAAACAACTAATTTTAGAACGATAAAATATAGATATATCGAATTTTTTGCAAGATTTATGTACAACAGAATTCACATATTGGCACTAGTCGTTGGCAGAATACTCGGATTCACAATTCTCTTAACAATGTTACAACATTTATTAGTTAGGTCATACATTTCGACGAAATAATATCGTTTGCACTATCTCAAACGTACAATTTCTCTGTTTACCGCGACTGCATCTGGCACAGATATCGCGATAAAGTTTATCATTCTGATATTCTGACAAATTATATGTATAAGGATATATTTGCATTTGACGCAAATATTTTCATCGATGGAAAATGATATTCGTAATGTGATAACGTGAACATTTGTTTGAAAATATATACATTTACGTTGGAAAATTTTTCTATCTTCGATGTATTAAATTCTTTTGTGAAATAATAAGTGCAAATTAAAAAGACATATAGGGTATATTTTAGAATCGTTAATTTTTTTAACTTTTAATAGATTTGCCATTTTTTCGATAATTTAAATTTGTTATTAGGGAATATTTTGAATGTAAATTGGAGAAAAAGAAATTTTAATGCATTAACTATAGTTTGTTTAAATATATATTTTCATTCATACGTGATTCTATTAAACGCTTCAAATATAAAAAAATAATGCATTATGTAAGAAAAGTCGATAATTCAAGGATTAATTAAAGAGAAAATGTTCTCATAAAAAACTGCCTTTCCCCGTTGGCAGTTATTTTTGTTCTGATTATATTACATAATAATACAATGCAAAAAAATGTATAATAAAGATTTTCCATATTTGTGCATAATGATGTGTATTAGTATTTAGTGATCGCGATATCTTTAAAGACTATGGGAGAGATAACTCTGTTAAATGACAGCTAGAATCATATTTTGCGAAACGAATTTAATTATAAAATTGATAAAAACACGAAATGTTGAAGAGAGCATATTACGCTCATTTTTATATATATTATAAAAAATAGAGTGTCTCAAAATATCACAAAAATTTAGGTCTTGATTCTATTTTAGTGCAGTTTGCTGTAATAATTTATTCGGGTTATTTTCGGCATATGCATACGGAAAGAATTTTCTCTTAGAGTTTACTATAAAAATCATAGTAATCGTGGGACAATATGGAAGAATTTTATAAGTTTCTCTGATTAATATTTACCACAATAAAAATATTAATATGTACATAATAAAATTAATCGAACGTGTTTTGTATTTTATTGTGATAGCTATTAATATTTTTTTTATTGTGGTAAATATTTAATCAAAGAAACTCATAAAATTCTTCCAATACCATGTTGTCCCACGATTGTCATGTGAGGGTTTCAGGGTAAATTCCAAGAGAAAATTCTCTTTGAGCAGATAAACTTCTCTCATAAAAATAATTCGAAAAATTCTATACGGCAAATTAATTCACTACATTATATGTCGAAAGACAAAACAATTGTCTAAATGAGTGTTGGATTTGTATGCGGTGTCAGTCTCACATAATTGGCAGTGAGTATTCCCGGAATACGTTACTGAAGTTCGTCTCAGAAGAAAGGCATTTTTCATTCCGATCCATTTGGATATCTTTATAGATACAATTATTAGGACTATTTTACGATAGCGATCATAAAATCTTATATACTTTCTATATAAAGTTGTAAGTGAGATATATACTTTCTATATAAAGTTCATCATTGGATCTTTCTATTCTTTTTAGAAACACAGTTCTCGCCTCGTCATCAATTACATTTCGCAATCGTCTTTATAATTTTTTTCTAACATGAGAAATGCGTGAATATCGATTCCTTCTCTTACACCAATCGCGGTTTCTCCCAAAAACGAAAGTACGAAAGAGGGGCGAAGAATCCCAATTTGCGATGATGAATCGTAAGTCGTTCTGATCCGCTCGAAAAAATTCCACGATTATTTAGCCGTCCCGATAAATAATTAAAAATAATAAAATTAATAATAATAGTAAATTATTATTATATTATTATTCTAATAATTATTTATTTCTAGGGCGTGCAAAAATATCGCGAGTCTATTAATTCCGAGTTGTTTCCGCCATTCGTTTCTAAGCACACGACAATTTCCGCAGCACAAAAACGAGAGGCTCACACAACAACTACTATACTACTATACTTTCGTCGTCGAGAAACTCCCGTGTCATTCCCGATCCTTGCTCAGATCGGACGGCAGGTCACCGCAGGTGGACAACGCCGTCGTTGTCGCCGTCGTCGTTGTCGTCGTGGGCGACCTGGAGGTCATTCTGGAGGTCACAGGTAAGGACAATCCCGCCGCGCTCATCGCGACGTTTAGTGGTATCGTGATAAATGGTTGGTTCGATTGCGATGAGTTTGCCACCGATGTCACCGTACCTAAGGGAAGTTACAGGAAAGAGTGTAAATGAGATATGTTATTATCCAGTAACGCTATTTTTCGCGATTTTTTTACTTTCGACGAAATTCGCGCGAAAAAGTTATATATGCAAAAATTACGTCGAAAATAATTTCTGATTTATTGTCTCTTATTCTTCTTCTTTTTCCTATTTATTTTCATATAAAAAATATACATGTGTATATACAGGATGTTTCAGAACTGGCAGAAAAGTTTTTAATGACGCAGATTCCTGGGATCATTTGGAGACGATTTTTCGTCAGCGAAAATGTCGAGACACCAATAATTTTCGAGTTATAAACGGTTGAGAATAAAAGATTTTTTGCAAACTACCCTTGTGGAAATAAAATATTAATCAAACTATATTCTCCAATTAATTTCGGGTAATTTACTTTAACAGAGTTTTAATTTAAAAGGCTTACAATTAGTTACAAAGATGCATGATGGCAAACATTGAGAATATGCAAAAAAAAGGCCTCCCTCGACATTTTCGCTGAGGAAAAATCGTCTCCAAACCAGGAATCATTAAAATTTTTCATCCTTTTCATAATATACACTGAAAAAAAATTATTGAATTCGAATAAATATTTATTTCAATACTGCCTTATAAATAATATATTTGAAGTTAATAATATTGATTTAGTCGAAAAAATATTTATTTGATATAAAAAAATCCTTTTCAAAACATAAATAATTTGTTTCAAATAAATGATTTATAAGACAGTATTGAAATAAATATTTATGAATTTAATAATGTTTTTGTGCATAGTAGTGTATATTATATACATATATGTATGTATATATAATATAAATAAATAAAATAATTTAAAAAATATATATATACATATATATGACGGTATTTATTTTAATGCGGCCAGTTTGCGTTATGCAATCTTATTAGTCATAATCTACGCGATTATTTCTGGGAATAATTTAGCGGTGAATCAGATGAGTTGAAGAAGCGCGCGAACGATTTCCGAGCGAATCCGTCGCGAGCTTCCCTAGAACCGACCTCTCGAATTGTGCTCGAAATCCTTCGCGTAACGGCATTTCGAAATGAGTAGGTACCTTGCACGATAAATTGCGTAAAAATCTCGTACGTTTCTTCGCAGCGGCAAAGAGAGACAGAAGAGAGAAAGAGAGAGGAAGAGACAGAGAAACCTACCTCCGTCTTGAGATATTTGCACCGGTTGCCCGTTTTGTCCTATGCCGAGCAAGACCCCTGGACTGGGCGAATAAATGACACTCTGAGGCATCTGGTACATGATCCCTGCAGAGAACGAAGGCACATTTCCTGGGAAATCAAAGAGGAATTGAGCGTGTGTGTGAGAGAAAGAAAAAGAACAGATTGATGATGGAGGGTGAAATTTATCGCGAGGCAAAAATCATCAAATTCAAGAAATATATGTTTTTCATGTAAAATTAGGCGTGATTCTTTTAATATATTTTTAAATATTTTAATTGTTATGTTATATTTAAAAAAAATTATTATATTGCAAATATTTTATAATTTTTTTAATTTCAGCGCGAGATAAATGCTTCTCCAAAGGACAATTAGTGCGTCGAATAGAACCTAATGAATTTATCACGAGGAAGAAGTAATCAAAATTCAAGAAAGGTATACATTTTTCATGTAAAATTGGACGTGATTTTTTTAATATATTTTTGAATATAATTTTTAATTGTTATATGATATTTAAAAGAATTATTATGTTGCAAATATTTTATAATTTTTTATTTAATTTCAGCGCGAGATAAATGCTTCCCCAGAGGACAATTAGTGCGTCGAATAGAACCTAATGGGGAATAAAGGAATGTAAGATGTAAGAGATACTGCATTATATATCTCCCTTATTTGTATCAAAATTGCGAAATCCGTCATTCGACGACATAACGTTAAACTCGTTTTCTCTCTCTATAGGTTGGTTACAGATGTTATATGCCAAGAAAAACTTAGGAATGACGGTCGAGCCACTCGAGACTTCGATCCGGACCACCCAGGTGCGAATCTGCGCTCTGATTCACCGAATCTTCGCGTTTACAAATTATAAATAAATTACTGCATATACATATTTCTTGGAAAAATACGGTAAGTTTTCGAAGAACGAATCGCGAAAATAATTATAAAAAACATTGTAATCTCTCTCCTCATTGAAGACTAATCCTCGATACTCTTCAAACCGACTTGCGACCATATAACACCATTTTTATATATAAAGTCTCCCGAGAGAGACCATATTCCGATAACAAGTCTTGAATCTCCAACAAGACGTATGCATATTTGAAAGGATTAGCGAGTTAGCGTGTTAGTAGAGCAAACTTTTCCTTACATATTCAACTACTAGAATCTATTAGCCCTCAAAAAAGCCATTAAAATGCATATTTCTCTCATCTTTACGTTGCGTTAGTGCTTGTCAAGTCGGTGTGAAGAGCTTCCGTTAGAGAAGCGCGTCCAAAAACTCTCTCGGAAACAATCGTAGAATGTATTGTATGTATGTACATACTCATGTATGTACACACATATAGGAGGAGAAAACAAATCGCAATGTCTCTCGCGTACGCTTTCTGCATTCGAACGAGCAAACGCTCCTAATTAAAGGCGACTCGAACGTCCATCTTCCATTCGCTCATGATAATGGGACCTCTCGCGCGTACCTTCGTTATACCGGAGGGATGTATTATACATTCGTCGTCATGGACGTCCGCCGGGGGAGGCAAGAGAGGACATTTGACCCCCTTGCGAAAAAAAGCAAGAACTTGCTCCCCTTTTGAATCATACTCGAATTTATTTGCATATTAATATTAAATAAGAAAAAAATTAAACTTAAAAAAATTAAGAAAGAACAAAAATTTTTAAACAAATTAAGCATTTGCTCTCCTTTTGAATAAATATTGGAGTTTACTTGCATATTTAACATAAAAAAATAAAAATAAGAAAAAATTAAATTTAAAAAATGAAGAAAGAACAAAAAAATGTTTAATATGTCTCCCTCTGGAAAAAATCCTGCGGACGTCCATGTTCCTCGTTCTCTCGCCGAATATACCAAAGAGGGAAGTTATTATCAAATTGGGAGAGAGAGAGAGAGAGAGAGAGAGAGTGCGAGAGGAAAAACGCGAGTCGGGTCGCGACACAGAATGGCATCCACGCGACAACATTAGCATCGATATTTATGTGTACACCTGCAACCGTTCCGCGGCGCGACCGGATCCTACTTCCCAGTTAGGCATCACGGTTGTCGTCTAAGTTTGGTCATCGTCGGCGATTCCTTACGGGCTCCCTACACGGATAACCCCGTCATCGCTCGCACGCCTTTCGCATTTTAAATGTGTTCTTCTCCCTTTCCCCTTGGATTCTCCTCCACCATCTCCTTCATCTCTCTCCCACCTTTTTCTCACGCTTCGTTCCTTCAGTCTCTCCCTCTCCTCTCTTCCCGGATATAATGTTTACCTGTCTACTCTATTACTCGCTTGTCCCCCCGACCAGCTGTTCATTATCAGCCGCGATGATGATGAGGTCGAGCGCGACGCAAATGCATTATCGCCGACAATTGAACGTGATTAGCATATCTGATGACGCGAGGAAGGAGGGAAAAATTAAATTTAAAAAAATTTAAAAAATTAATTACGCCCCATCCTGGAAAAAAATCCTGCAGGCACCCTGAGGGAGGAGGAGGAATTTATTTGTACATTTAATATAAAAAATGAAAATAACAAATAAAAAAATTTAACTATGCCTCATCCTGGAAAAAATCCTGCGGACGCTCATGAGGGAGAAAAAGGCGCGAACCTCGGACCTGTTAACGCGCTTTCGTTCTTTCTTAATTTACCCCTTATTAGTTTGTGGGACAAGTAATTTTATCTTTTTTTTTTTCGAAGAGAGAAGGATGTATTTTAATAGCATGCGTTGAGGTTTGAAAATGAGTTCCATGTTATGATTCTATAAAGTTTCTCGTTACGCGTGGAAGGTCTATTTCTTCATTTGTGGAACGGCGAAAGGTGTATATATATATATATATATATATATATATATCATCATCATCATCATCACGGTCACATGAATAAACAGAAAATCGACGTAACCGCAGAACTTAATCTAACTAGAACCTCGGTAGAACTTAATCTAGCTACAAACTCGGTTAATAATTATGTCTGCGTGAATAATATACGTCTTTTTTTTGCTCCGCGATAATGTGACCGATATTCGCGAGTCCTTCGTTTCTTCCGAGAAGAGGAAACCACGTAAACCTCGTCAATAAAAAAATAATAAAAAATAAAAATAAAAACTATGAATTGTGATGCGATTGATTCGAAGATATGAATATGCGCCGTTTTTATATTCACAATCAGTACACATTTTTCTATTGGATGTTGGAATAAAAAAAGATTTTTATCCAAGCATACGCGGAATATATTAATTAAGAAACGCACGAGAAAAATTATATATGTATCTATTTAGACGACAATCTTCACTTTTATCGAGTTTCTTATTTTTCTTGAATTTTGAATATTTTTTTTTAAACTCTAGATGTTTTATATTTATTGTTAGTTTTATTCAAAATAATTTGAACGTCGAAAAGATAAATTTTTCGCTCTCTTTGATCAATTATAAGAACGCGTATAATTTCTAGAACTTTTAATTTTTTTAAATACACTAAAATACAAATACAAAATAAATACAAAAAAATTATTGACTTCGAATGAACATTTATTTCAATACCGCCTTTTATAAATTATTTATTTGTAACTTAATAATGATACTGATTTGATAGGAAATTCTTTTCAAAATAGATACATATTTATTTGTTGTTTATGGCTTTAGTATATTTTATTAAAATAAAAAATACGTTGAAACCATCTAAAGTTGTGTTTCATCAAAATATCATTTTATCTCAAAATGGCAGGCAAAAATTTTCAACGTGTATTTCCTCGCCTCTGAACGTCACAATTTAACATGACCGCAGTGAAGAGCAAGGAGCCTTAATAATTTTTTTCAGTGTGCATATATAAAGAGTGTTCTATATATTTTATAGCAGAGATTCAGAGAAGCTTTGTGAATTCTGACCCAACCGACTCTTCTTCTAGGGTAGCCACGCATGACGATACTCACCCGAGTGATTATTCTTGAGAGGATCCTTGGAGTCGCCGTCGCTGGTATCTCCGTCGCTCTCATTGGCGCAAATGTCAGACCTGGGTGATCCTTCTTCCTCCTGAAATCAAAAAGAGCATCCGTAAGTTACCAACATTCTTTACAAATTTGAGGAAGCCGGTGGAGAAGGGCTGACAGGACTGGACTGATAACAGGGTCTGATTTCAGGGTCACATCTTTCTTATACGCAGCGACAAATCGAAGGAACGAGCAAAGAAACGAGGAGAGAGAAGAGCGTACTTATCAAACGTACGTACTTATGTACGTATCTACCTACCTACCTACCTACCAACCTACCTACCTACCTACCTACCTACCTAGCGGACAGAGAGAGATGCGCGAGCTCTTCTCGGCGCTCCTTATATGGCCACATCTCTCTCGCAGACTCCACTCGCGGAGGAGAAGAGATTCTCGCGACCCTCGGGCGGAAAATTTTCTTCCCTTAGCAGAAATCCGCGGCTTTCGCAGTAATATTCGTACGGCGTATCCGAGATACCTTCACTTAATTTTTCATCAGAAATTAACTGCTATAGAAGGATAGCATCTCCTTGCCTTACAAAAATTGTGAATCTTTTTATATTATGTATTGTGTATTTATATTAATTTCATATTATATTTTTCTTTCCGACATTTTCAGTAACACGTACATAAAGCTATACATACATAAAGAGAGATAGAAAGAAAGAGAGAGTTCGGAAAAGACGAGTTTCCTCAATTAGGTATATTCCATTGTTAATGCAGTTTTCTCGATTTAAACGGGGGCGCACGTTTCCCACCTCGCAATTTATGCCAATTACCGTTTGATTCGACAAAACGGTCGAGGATATACACACGCACGTGAGAATTATTATCTGCGAAAGAGAGAGAGAGGTCTTGGAGAACGCGCGGTACCAATTGGAAAGCTCGAAAAGCCGGAGCACGTTCGCTTCCGCTGACTCCCTTTCCTCCCTGTACGTGTATACGTGTAGAGAAGGCGCGACAAAAAGCAACATTCCTGACTCTTAAGTCGGACTCTATATAAGTGTCTGCCATCGCGAACATTGCCTGTATATGGCGACAACCGGGCTTTGACAAAGGTGACCGTATATGGAACTCCGCTTCCATCTTTCCTGCGTGCGTGCGTGCGTACTCCTTTTCTCTCTTGTATACACGTGAAGGTTTCTCCTCTCTCTCTCTCTCTCTCTCTTATTTCTACCCCCTCTCGTCGCGAGAAACGATACACCTGGATGCGCGCCTTCTTCGTCTGCAACCCCGATAAACGTCTCCGCAGCTCTGTTCTCGTGCCGTTAAATCATAAATCGTGCCTCGACCCCGAACCGGCGAAAGCTCCACGCGTGCTTCCGGTCACCGGGGTTACGCCAGTGCTCGTTGGAATTAAAATTTTCCCTCGGAAAATTATCATAAATATTCATCGATCTTCTTAACGAGCCAGGATTTAAATTTTCTTATTAAAATACTTGTCAAATTTTTTTCTCTCCTTGGAGAACGATTTCAGGCCAAATAAGGGGCGTTTGATGAAGGAAAATAAAGAAATTTTTTTATAAAGTATGTTTCGTTCTTATATAGGTATATACTCTGTCTTGAACTGCGTTTCTTACCCTTGGGTTTCTACTTCCGTTTTTTTGCTGGTTCACGCTTTCTTTAACAAATGCGTCAGGTGTTCGACTTAAGTTTACTCTTGAAAATCGTAGAAACATCAAGAGATGAGTAATTTAATTTTTCCCTACCCAGGGTGTCTACTCGAGTTTTATAAAAAAATTCCCAGACTTTTTTCAAAATTTCATTGTCAGATAAAAATTAGAGGGTTTTTAATTCTTGCGTATTTTTATTGCGTTTTTTAATCATACGTTTACGAAAAATAAAAAGCAACTTAAGTTTCAAAAAATGATGAAACGTCAGATTTGAAAAATATGGATGGAAAATTTTTTTTCTCGCTTGTATATTTTCATTCTTTTATTATCAAGACTTACAATAGAAAGATTGTGTACTGCAAACTGAATTAAATGCAGATGCGTATCCCGCCATTTTACCAATTCTTGGCTTATTGATAGAGACTTTTCTTACAGCGAAATATTGAAACAATTTTTTTTACGATTCCAAATAAAATTCTATGAAAATTCCTTGATTTCTTAAGATAAAAAAATTTCTTCAGTTTTTTCAGATTTTTTTAGTAGACACCCTGCTTCATACAAGTTTGACAAGATAGAAAAATAGAGTTAAAACGAGCGCCATATCGATTGACATATATAAAATGAGATCCTGAAGACATTCAACGCATCAACATTTTTTTATATTTCGGGATACATAATATTTTCGTAATCTGCATTATAATAATTATTATTAAACGCTATTGTGTGCTAGAAGAAAAAGTATGATAAGAACTATTTGCGTTCACCGCGTATGTGTGTGTAAGGAGAACTAAATAGTAACACATCTGGCACTTTATTTCGAATATTATATATCGAAGGTACGAAACCACGATATTTGCCGATATGTATATATATTGTTCTATCATTATCATTATTATTATTATTATTATAGCTAATCGGTAGAAGAGTACATTAAGAGAGCCGAATACTCGTGTTAAGGAGATATCTATTGGATGATTTTCCTGCTCGAGATTGGAAAACGCAAAACCTACCTTGCCCGCTTCTTCCTCCCGTTTCATCTCCAAACTTGCGAACGATGTTGCAGTTATTTTCGAGATTGTGTGCCACGCGATAATGATACTCGGGTATAACTTAGACGCTGCTTCTAACGCACCATTAGAAATAAAGGAATCCCTAACGCGCACCGCGGAATGTTTTCGGACCTCTAAATATATCCCGAACCAGATTGTCAAAAATAGGCATATATATTCCGCCCCGCTGCCTGAAACGCGCGAAATAAGACTCAAACATCTCTTAGTTCGAAATCCCTTATTACGGGAGACTCTTTATTGCGACGAGCCCTCGCGCGTCTCGAAAATCTTCATGTTTATTTAACGAAAAAAATGTCAAAAATACGACATTATTTTTTGACGCGATTCAACGCATTTTTTCTAATTATCAATAATTAATCAAAAGTAACGATGTATATCTAGATAACAAAATTTATCTTTTAATATCTCCGTAAAAATCACTATTTACTGAAAAAAAATGTACTGAATTCGAATAAATATTTATTTCAATACTGCCTCTAATAAATCATTTATTTGAAACTAATAATTGATTTGATGTGAAAAATATTTATTTATTTCAAATAAATTATTAGGCGGCATCAAAATAAATATTTATTAATTTAATTTTTTTTCAGTGTTTCAAAATCGAAGCGCATCATTTTTTACTATCGTTCGACTCAATAAAGATTTCTTCTTCTTTTAAATTAAAAATTCGCTAATTTAGCACGATCTGCAGGAGAAAAGAAGAGGATCTTTGAAATACCTACCTGACTCGCGAGAGCAAAAATAAAAATGATATACATATGATAACACATTTGAGCACAATTAGAGAGAATCTACCAGCAGAGAATCGAGTGACAAGGTTCGAACGACTACTATATTGTCGAAGAAAACGAAGGTATATATATACATATATATATATATATATATATATATATATATATACATACGTGTGTATCTCTCTGTGTATATGTGTCTGTATCTGTGCGTGTACATATATATACTATACGTAAAAATATATAAATATTATCACAGTATTTTACAGAGTCGCTATATGCTCTATATGTACACAAAAATACTACAAGATATAAGACTAATCATTGTAAAAAAAGCCGCCATTATTCGCATAGATATCGATTAAAAATCATATAATTAATATTATTATTATTATTATTTGTACTCTCTGCATGCCGACAGACGCGGGAATAGATTACATCTCTTTTTTTTCTCTTTTTATATACATCTATTTGTGATCGCGAGGGCCCCCTCTCATCTCTTTCGGGGCTCTCCATTCCCGCCTTTTATATATTTTTTCTCTCTCTTATACTCTTATATCTCCTCCGTTTCTCTTTTCCGAATACAACGATATATAATATAAAAATCAACAAACAATACATACACACATACGCATGCACAATGCCGATGGTGTCGCTGCATGAAGGAAATGGGGGAGGAGAAAAAGGGGTGGGAATTTAAATTAAAAGGGTAGTCTAAATACTAACTACTTATTCTACGAGAAAAAGACAATCTCCAAGTAAAACTACGCATGCCACAGTAGCGGTACACAACACATTATACAGAAAAAAAGAAACAATGGACGAGACACAACGATATGCTAATAAAAAAAAAAAAAGGAAAAAAGAAAAAATGCGCAACAATACTAAGCGTGCATCGCCGGATTCGCACCCACGCCACCAATCCGATGGATGAAACATGATTTCAAGAAAAAGAGATAGATAGAGAACCCGTTCAAGAATCGATCGCCCGTCGATCTTCCTCGTCGAGACGCAAAATAAGGTACATGAAAAAGGATATCTGTCCGCCTAATAAATACAAAAAATACCGACGTCTACATCAATAAATATTATTTAATAATTAAATAAAAAAAAAAAGAAAGAAAAACAGAGAGCTGCTGGACGAGTTAACAGAGTGTATATATTCGGTACTCTATTAATTACTCACGTATAATTCATCACATACGACGCTACGCTTTATATATATATATATATATATATATATATATATATATATATTTATCTATATCTACGATATAATTAATTATTTAATAATATCTTTTCTTTTCTCGCAATCTCGAATATCTTTCTGTCCACGACGTGACTCCCGCTGATACATATCGTCCTTTATCTAAGCGCAGCCGAGCTTTGGAGAGAGCACCATACGAATTTAAAATCTGCTCGAGATTTAGCCGATGATCCGACTACGATTCACTCTGGAAGAAACGCTAATTCCGGATCCGCGATTTCTTCATGCTCCTGCCATTATACCTAATCTTTTCGCATCTCAACAATAGCGTAAACCGTGTTTCCACCCTTCTGTCGCACGTGAGAACGCAAAGTCGCGCAATATTTTATCGAGATTCACCGATATACACAAATATAAAAAAAAATAATATATATGTTTTATATATATATATATATTTAAGTAAAAATGTGTCGAAAGATTGGACTAGATTTTTGTCGCGCATGGAATCGGTCATAGATATTAATATTATTATGTAACAGACCGATATTAAAAAATACTTGATTATAAGAGAGTCGATTACTCTCTCTTTCGCGTCATAAAATTTGATAAATACAATATATGATTCTACATTTAAAAAATTGTTAACTTGACTAAACCTTTCAACTAAATTACCATTTTGTTAATTCAGCATATATTAATATTTAAGTCTAATATACGTTTTGTTAGATTTAATATGTTATATTTAATTTAAATATTTTTATATGTTTAATTAACAAAATAATATTTAGTCAAGTGGACCTTTTTTTCAGTGTAGCATATTCGCCGAAACAAAATTCCCAAAGAGAAATTACATCGATGCTAAAATAATCACGAGAAGATTTAAAATTTATAATGATTAGAAATTAATATAAAATAAATATAAAAAATACAACGTTCAAAAATATCAAGTATCTCACAGTTACTATACAAAAATTCGCGAATTAAATCAAAATTTGACTCGAATAATATATTTATATATCGCCGCGCGATATTTCACATAAAATGAATCGTTGTTTTCTTTGTACACAGTATATAAATTGCACAAACTTCCTAACGATTAATATTCCCGTCTGAAACCTCGTTAAATAGTCGATAAGCGTCTCTATGCTCGGCTTCACGGGCGAATCGATGAACGAAAAAAATTTTTTTAATGTCAAAACGTGAAATGCGACGACGACGGAGGAGACGGAGCCAGTGATGAGTAAGATACATTTAAAATGTATCTCGATACCAGATACAGATACACAAATTAAAATGTATATAGATCCAGATATTTGAAAAGTCTCTCAGATACATATCACATACTTTTAAATTATATTTTATCATAATAATGGATATGCACTGAAAATGTACTGAATAATTCTTTGATTTTTATTAATATTTATGTTTATATTACGACTTTATTCGTAAGTCTTAACACGTGAAAAATGCCTCGAAAAAAATAAAGTCTCGATCTTTAAAAAATTTAAATTGGGCTATTCAAAAAAAAAAAAAAAAATGTGAAAATGTATCTGCAAATGTATCTGAAAAAAGATTCAATTCAGATACCATGTTTTGTATCTAGATACAGACATAGATACTTCGATTCGAATATATTTGAGATACAGAAAATGTATCCAGATACTACCCAACACTGAACGGAGCTTGTACGTAATAAGGGTGGACGAGCGCGTACTACCGTTGGGGGTGCGAGTGCGACATATGGGGATGATAGGCGGCGTGATGGGGCGGCAGGGGCGAGGGGCAGGACTGCTGATAGGGGCCTCCGGCGAGCATCGGGCCCGGACTCGAGCAGGGCACCAGGTGCGAGGTCGGCGAGGCGGCGGCCGCCGCCGCCGCCGCCGCGTGCGCATGCGCTATTAAGTGCGCGTGCTGCGCGTGCGAGGGTGGCCCGTGCTGCGAACCCGGGGGCGGCGGCGGCGGCTGCGGCCCGGGATGGGGCCCCGGGTTCGGGCCCCCGCCGGGATACCCCGTGTGCAGCGAGCCACCGTGCGGCGAGCCGTACACCAATTGCCTTACTTTCTGCTCGTCGTCGGCAATGTTGTACGTCAGCTCGGTCTCCTCGAAGCCGGTCGCTGACATCCTCTGGTCCCCCGACGAGCCGGACGGCGGCGGGTCCGGGCTGTTCAGGCACGTCTGGATTAGGGCCTTGCCCGCCTCGCTCGTGATCATCGGCTGCAGCTTCCGCGTCGCGAACGTGTACACGTGGCCGGTCTCGCTCGCGACCAGCAGCATCACCTGCGTGCCGGTCAGCGTTGACAGCTCGTACGCCTGCAACGAGAAGCGGCTCGGGTTATTTCACATCGCACTAATTAGAGAGTGCCTCTTTTATACTACTTAAATTTATACTGATATATCGTGAATTTATATACTTAGCCGAAATTCTCGACCTCTTCATCTCGTTGCCTTCTCTTCTACAGCAGGGCTAAAGTGTATCAAGTCCATTTTTTCATTTTTAATTTTAAATAAAATAAAATAAATAAGAATAAAAATAAAATTAAAATTAAATTAAATAAATTAAAGAAAATTTTAATTCCTGTATTAAAATTTAATTCATCAGTCGAATAAAAATGTATCTGACAAATATGGATTTGATAAACTTTAGCTCTGATATACAGAAGTAAATTGAAAAAAGGCATCGATATAAAAGTTATTATGCAAGAAATTTTTCTCTCTCGATATATTTTATAACGAAAAAATGATTACTTATAGCATTTTAGGCTGATGATCAAAATGTGAATTAAATATTTAAGTAAAAAGTGACTTTCGAATTAAAAAAGAAACGCTATGCGGAAATTTAACCGTGTTAAATAGGCCATTTAGATAATATCGCACGATCAGATAAATATTTCAACGGTATAATCATCGTGTGATATATTTCGTATAAAACATTTACATACACGTACATTGATTCGGTATTTGTAAATTATTAGAATAGAGTCGTCCAAATTTTTTTAAATACATAGATATAAAAGAATGAAAGAATTATGATTGATATCTAATAAACTCTATCTCATTTTACTTCATCTATAAATAAATTTTCTAAAATTGTAGTTTACATATGTCAAAAATATTAAATAATAAATATATTATCTACACTATGCTCCAATATTGTCGCATTCAACAAAGTACAAAAAAAAGAAGAATCTTGATGATCAAAGATGTATATAATTTGTTAAATATTATGTTTCAAATATATTAAATTACGATATGTGCTTAATTAAAAAAAATTTAAATGAATATTCTAATATTAATATGCTACAAATAACAGTAATATTTAATCACATTTTTATGTATAATTCTTGTATATATAAATGTAAATAATATGTAATATTCTTATTCCTTGTAATGCAAATATATTTCAAAATTTTTGTAATGCTAATGAAAATTTAATTGTTCAACTCGTTTATGATAAATCAATTTACGAATAATAGTTCTCTCTAATTACATTATAAATAAATCGATGTTATCTGTAGATATGATATAATCCTACGCAAAAAAGAATCTCACATCGATTAAGTTATCATGCTATCTTGTTAATGATTAGAAAACACGTTAGACAGTAGTTAATCACCTAAATGAAGCTAAAAATTTGCGAAAAAAATAATTTTACATTTTTCAGCAAATTTAAAATAATTATAAAATTTAATATTCGTCTATAAAAAAAACAAAATTAATTGTAAAATATATAAACCAGGGTTAACGATATCAATTTATCATCAATTTTATGAAACTTAATCATGATTAAACTTTGATAATTTGGAAAAATATGCATCATCACGATGTAATGTCTTATTTCGAAAAACAGATGTAGCATATCTATTTGTTTATGTGCACGATATGCTTTTCAAATATTTTTTTTATCTTCCTTACACAAAATATATATGATTCATTGAAATCTCTTCATCAAACAGCTGCGTCATTTGGAGTAATTTCTAATAAAGTATAATCTGAATCGGCTTGAGAACAATTAAAAACATAAATTCGACATGAATTCTTAATTAAAGTCTACAAATTAAAGATAAAATTGTATATATAGTTAGTAATGGTTTGTTTTTTCTAAAGATACTTCGCTATTTAAACATGTTCTCTGTGGACATTGGTTCAATGCCTTTAATCAAACATAAGATAATGAACATTGAATTTATCATTTCCGGAATGATACGGATCGTTTTAATTTAAAATATTTCTCTCTTTCTCAAATCACAATATAAATTTATTTATTTCGTGTTTTTATTAGGATTTTATATTCTGCTGAATTCTAAGTTAACATGTAACAACTTTATTTATGGGAGAATTATTTTATTTTAATGTCGATTGACAAATTTAATATTTTACAAAATAAGTAAAAAAAAGCAAAAATTAAGTTTTTTAAAACAATTAATAATGTAATTTATATAATGTATAATTTGGCAGTATTGACAAATATCAGATTTATATATCATGATTCATGATTATTTACAAATTTTGTGTTAAAATATATATAAATTATGAACATGAGAAATATTTAATTATTTAATTACCAAGTGCCTTCATTGCGCAAGAATAAGTTTTTATTTCATTTTTCACTGAAGAGAAGAAAAAAGATATTTGTTTAGAATAGTAAAGAACATAAACTCACAAGCAGTAAGGATAAGATACCGGATTGGAGACGGAAAAAAGAGAACGTATAATTAATAATCGCCTTTTTTCTAAATAAACAATGTTATTTAAATCTAATCAATTTGAAAAAATACATGTTACAAAAATATATTAACATATATTTTTTAAACGATACATTTTTATCTGGATTTTCTTTTAAAATATTTTAAGATGTATTTTAGAAGAATTAAATAAAAATATATATCACCATGAGAGATAATTTGAGTCTTGTGATAATTTAGGTAAATATAAACAAGATAAAAAAAGGAAAGAGAGACAGAAAGAACAAATTATTAATAGAAAAATTAACATGAAAAAGAGTAGTTATTAAGAAATAAAAAGTAAGATTGGATGAAGAAAATTTTAAGAAAATCTTCTCAATTAATTAGCAGAATAATGTGACAAAAAAAGAAAGAAATCCGATACCTTATCCAGAATATTCAAAATAAAAAAATATAAGAGAGAGAGAGTAAAAGCTCTGATTAATTAAAAATTAACACAATTGCTACATAAATAATTTTAGAATCGTAAATCCTCACTTTTCGCTCGCGAAATTTTATTTTTTATTTTTTTTTATAAAAACAATACATCGTAACAATAAATTTTCATGATATTTGATCTATGCAATCTACCAATCAATCTATATAAATCATTCGAATAATTATACATAAGACACACGTTGTCGATTATCAAATTTAGATAGCGTGAAAATGATTTCTGTATTTACTTTTAGTTGTGGCAAAATGCAATGATATATGACATTTGCATCCGAAAATGAGGTAAATCTACCGCATAATTATCCTTTATCTCTGACAATTCGCGCGCGAGTCGGATTCGATGGAGCAACGCAACAATATCATCGCGCCGACTGAAATCTCCAGATTAAGAAATCCGAGAAGAAACTCGTCTCTTTTAAATTGCAGTCCAATCTTCGTGTCCCCGATAGAAAAACACAAAGCTAATCAGAGTGAACGCGACAACATCTCGAAGCGCGTAATAGCGCTGTCACTGCTCAGACTCGAAGGTCTCCTCTCCTCGCGATATATCATACGTGCATATGTATCATAAATCGGAGAACCGTGCAAGAAAATGCACATTTGATAACTCGAGAGTCGCTCTTTCGACACACCTATTTTTATAGAGCTCAATATATACTTTCTCTCTCCCTTTCATAACATATTATTTATTATTATATAATTGTATGTTATTATTTGCATAATTTATATATATATTATTATATATAATTTATATATAATTTTATTATATAAATTATATAATATATATATATTTTCATAATATATTATCTATATATTATGTATAAATAATTATATAATATATAATATAATTGTATAATGTAATATATAATATATATTATATATATTTCCAACTTCTATATAAATATATGTGTGTGTGTATATATAAAATAATATTTTATAAATTATAATACAAGTTATTTTATAAATGACATTAGAATTATATAATAAATTATATTATATATTGTATATTCGTATATAATATAATATATAATATATATCATATATAGTTCTATATTATTATATATATAAATATACGTATATATAAAATAATATAAAAAACAATGTCAATTACGACTCGAAAGAAAAGACACAAAGACACGTGAAGTCTGCATCTCGATATACATATACATATACGTATATACAAACCTTCTTCATGATGCCGGTCTTCCTCTTGGAGAACGTGGTGTACCTCCTGAGCTTGTTATCGATATACTCCATCTTGATCTTGACTCTCCCCTTGGTCTTCTTGCCGTTGGAGGGTGGCGACTTCTTGGGCTGGCCGAGACTCGTGAAAGACTCCTCAAGATTCTCCGGCACGCAGTCGGGCATCCCGGGCATGCTCTGCGCGAGACCCTGCTGCCGCGGCCCCACGTTCCCGCCGTCGTCGTAGCAGACGTCCGACGTGGTGCGCTTGATACCCCGGGTCTGGACGACGCCTGGCGTCGCGGCGCCCGAGACCGCCATCATGGCGGCGCCACCGCGGCCCATCTGGGAGGCCGCCGCCGCGGCGGCGAGTTGAGACGTGGAGGTCGGCCTGCCGTAGATCTCGGCGCCGGCCGCCTCGCCGCCCCCGATCATCCCCATGTAGCCGAGGCTCGTGTAACGACCGTCCCTGGGGCCGCTAGGGTTGTTGTCCATCGCGACGTCGGCGCGCACATCGAACGCGCCGCGTCAGCCTCCTCTTCCTCGCGGGCACGTTAAGTCTCGCAGGTAATGCGACGTCACCCACGTGATCGATCATCTAAGGCGCGCCTGACTCACGGGACCACCCCTAAGAGCAACGCGCACCGCACGAGCGCTCCCGCGAACTGATCGTAACCTGACCTACGTAAGCCTAAACTGCGCCGAGCGGAGACGCGGAGCGAGAGATGCCTCCGCGTGTCGACGCGCGCGCAGACACTCCGAGGCCGCCCCACCATGACGTCACGCCGCCGCGAGAAACTAGTCCGGGATACCGAGCCGAGGATCCCCGGACGAGGATTCGCGTCGAGGGCGACCTGGAAAAATCGCTCCTCGATCCAGGATGACAGATCGCGCCCGAAATCGTCCAGCTGGATTTTCCTTCGGCTGATATTCGACCGGGAACAATCGCGGCGCAGTGGTACAAGGCGCGACGAGAGGGCGTCCCCGGCTGCCATATTTAGAAGTAGACGTTACCATATTAGGGAAAGTTTGCCAAATATGGTGAACAGAGGTGGTCCTTCCTTTTCGAATGATCGCACGGCGCGCCGCGCCGAAACACCAATCCTAACTGACAGTAGCCGCTTCCTGCACGCCTTTCCGACCCCCTCTGACCCGAGAGTTCCCCCCTGTATATGTATATGCGCGGGATGTTTTATGCATGTACGTGACCCGTTGAGCTTCCGACTTTTATTCCTGCTCGCCGACGAGGAAACGCTACCCCGACGTCGTCCTCGTCGGCACGCCTTAACGAGACATTTCTCTCGGTAATTCACTGCCTCGAGAGTGTCTAAAGATGTTTTCTTATGTAGCCCCGGATAGCAAAAGTAGTGATTTTCACGTCAAAATATATCATTTTGATCAAGAAAATCGAATAAAAATACATGATTTTGTCGTCAAAACGGTGTCATAATTCTATCCGGGTACCCTGGTACATGGCATTTATGTTTGCAGTTGTCAAGGAATGACAGATGTCTCTCGCGTTAAAATATTTGGCTAAAATACTTATTACTTTATGCATAGTGTAGTAGAATATATTTTAAAATGATGTCAAGAGAATACTTTGTTTATATTCTACAATTCATTTATATATTTATATATTCAGGTATATTTTTCACTACCAGCTTGATACGTGTTGAGACATTCAATATTTTCTTACAAAATGGTCTTCTATATATCCACACACATACCTAGATAGCAAAAGTAATCACTTTGATGTCAAAAATTACTGTGACTATTCTGGATAGATACATACATATATTTATTCATATTATATACTAATTATCTATCTTATATATCAATTAATAAAAATATAACTTTGCATTACAATATTTTATTAAATAGCAAATATTTTTTATCAAAGAACCTATATTAGCTTTAACTCGCACGATTAAGTTAGTCTTGCATTTTATTTCCCTACCTATTATCTTATCGAGCATGTAAAAATTGTTCTCTAAGCAAGATCTATGAAACTAAGGTTGTTCCCCGGAGGCCATTGGACGAGCGTGAGACATAGGGCGTCGTGAATGTCGCGTGCATATGCCACTTGTGCTCGCACAGTCAGTAAGAATTGTGGATAAGACAGTGCTGATCCCTCCTGCGTGTTCACTGTATCGTTGCGGTTTGTCATGACTGACATTGGTAGATATCGAAGAGAGCTATTGTTCTGCGACAGACACTCGACGGAGGTCTTCAGGTGCAGCTCTATCTGATCGCAGATGGAGTAGAATTCTTCCATGTGCTTGTTGAATCGGTGATCAGGCTGATCTATACCCTTCATGGATCCCACGTCGACCAGGCTATTTTGATGCAAAGTGTGTGCCGCAGTTTTCAGGGCTATGCCAAGAGAATCCCTCAGGGGTCCAACCAGGGATTTCACCTTGGATATATTGTCCAGCTTATCCTGTGTTTGCTGTTGCTGCTGCTGTTGCGCCTGCTGCTGCTGCTGGACCTGTTGCTGCTGGGTTTGTTGCGCCTGCTGTTGGTTCTGAGGCATTTGGGGGTTCACTGGTTGTCCCATTTGTCCTACTCCCATGGCCCCAGCTTGTTGGAGCGGCGGAATATTCATCTTACTCCTAAAAATATATCATATGATTTATATCACATCATATAATTTTTCTTGAACGTACAGTACCCTCCATAAGTTTAGAAACACCTTACATTTTACAGTTAAACAATCGTATGGCAGCGATCTGTGTAAATTTTTTGTATCAATAAATTGTAAAGTATTTAACTAACATTTTTATTTATGACAGATCGCTGTCATGCGATTGTTTAACTGTCGAATGTAAAGTGTTTCCAAACTTGTGAAGGGTACTGTATGCAATAAATAACAAATGTCCATTTATAAGACTATTTTTTGTTATCACGATGAATAATATTTCAAATAATATACTGATAGAAAACATTCAAATGAGTTTATATTCTTGCATGTTACGAATATCTAATTGAAGAATATTTCTTTAGAGAATTTTTCTCTTAAATTAAGAGAATTGATTCTTTTGACAGATCTGTGCAGATTTTTTGTATGAATAAATCATAAAATAAACATATATTTAAATTTAAAAATATTTAAATAACATTTTTATTTATAACAGATTGCAATTCTTTAACTGTAAAATGTAAGGTGTTTCCAAACTTATGGAGGATACTGTATGTTTAACTAATTTAATATTAGATTAGATAAATATTTTTGTCCCAAGGAATTCGGTGCGATACAAAATCTTACAATTCTTATGGCTATCCAATGATGCCGCACAATATGCAATACAAAATTGACGAAACAAACTACGATAAAATAATAAATAATTAATTGATTTAATATGTAACAAACAATAGAGAAGAAGATGGAGAGAAAAAGTTTGAAGAGAGTTAACTTTAAATATACAATAATTTCTACCACAGCTTTACGTCAGATATACACTCTACTTTTTTTAATTGTCAAATTATTTAATATTTATTAATTCACAGAAAGCAAATTTGACCAATTTTCTTACCGATCTTAGTAAACAAAGTTTCGAGTCGAAAATTAGATGGAATTATCAATGTTTGTTTATACAAGAGCGCATATAGACGTTGCAGGTTAGGGAGAGCCTTCGAAATTTCCGAATTCGCACGGGCGGAAATGACGGAGCTGCGCATGCGCGCGAACATTTCGAAAGCAACGCCAATAAAAATACACGCCGGACCAAACTTCCTCTCAAAAGTCAATGTAATTTCCGTTCGCAGACAAATAACGACAGAGAAAGAAATATATATATATATAAATTCGTAAATTATAATATATATATATAATAAACATAAACGTCCGCAGGATTTTTCTCAGACGAGAGCATGATTAAAATTGTTCTTATTTTTTCTTTCTTTCATTTCTCGAAATTTAATTTTTTCATACAAAATATTAAATATTTCGTCCATTTAACACGAAATATCAAACAAATATAATTCATTAATATACATAGTTTCCGCATAATAAATATATAACACAATTTTCGACTCGACGGAATACGGACGACGGAGCGGCCAATAGGCAACTCGGAGAGGCGACGCGTCGCGCTCATGCGGATCAGCCTCGTGCGCCGCGCGGGCCAATCGGATTCGCTCGGGCGCGCGGCGGGCGACGGCGAGTCGAATTACGCATGGCGTCCGACGCCATCTAACGACTGGCATTCCTGCTCCCGCTCGCGCCGAGTGAGACGTGAGACCCAGAGGGGCCGTCGTGTCGAAGAAAGCGCGGAAGTCTCTCCCTCGCTCTCGCTCCGCTATCCGAGATAGAGCGGGGCTCGCCTCGCAGTTTTTTCTCGTCCATCGCCGTGTGGTGCGTGTGTACCCCCCCCCTCCCCCAACCCTCCCCCCGGCGCGGTTCCTCGAATTCCTTCGCGATAACGACGCGTTCGTCATGGCGCGAGAGCGCCGCGCGAAATGATATGCGTTCGCCGGCCAAGCGTTCCTCTTGAGCACGAGCCGAGTTCCGTCTCGTACTCCGGGTCAGGGCGAGCAAGTGCGTCGACGACGAGGACGAGGACGACGACGACGACGACGTCGTCGGCGACGGTGGCGAACCTCCTCTCCCGGACGGGACCCCACACTGCGCGCTGACGGATTCCTGATCAAACGGACGGTCTTTCTCCCTCCCCCCCTTCTCCCTCCCCACCCCCCTCGTCGACAACAGGTAAGTGTGTATATACGAAGGCTTCTACGCCGCCAGCTGCGTCCTCCCCCGCGATCAAAATTCTCGCCCGTGTTTATGTTTACTCCTTTAATTACCCCCCTCCGCCCCCCTCCCCTCGTGTCTCTGCGTGTGCAACGCGAGTGTCGTATCCCGCCTTTCTCGATTTTCCTTCGCCGCTTTTCCACATCTCTTCTTCCCCTTCTTTCCCTCCCCTCTTCCCCTCCCTCCTCCCTCTTCCGTTCCCGCTTCTAGTTCGTCTTCTCTCGTTCGCGAGATTATTAGCGGGAACGAAAGAGTATCGGGTCTTCTTTATCTCCCATCCGTAATAATTGCCCGGATCGCTTTTCTGCAGTTCCACGCTCGGAATGTCGGAGAGGAGAGTGTAACTGTGGGGGTACATAATAATGCATGTATTCGCGAATGATAATTGTGTTATGTAAACTTTGTATTTATCTCGTGCGGATTTTTTTTCTTCCCCCTTTGTGTTTCTCCGTTGCTCCGCGATATATACGTATATGCATATATATATATATATATATATTCGCGAATTGATACGAAACTCCCAGGTTATTAATTAGCACAGTAATCATCGACCGCCAAAATAATTAGACGAATAATTGCGTTACGTACAAATTGAAAGTGTGGTCTTCATATTAATGACGTTATAATGAAAATTCATAGTGTTTGATTACATGATTCAGTACGCAAGATGGATTATTTGGAAAAGGAGTCTTTCGTTGAGTTTTAATATTCCCTCAAGTATTCTCTTGGCGTGAATAAATATTATAAAGAATTGTTGTTTGATTAAGGAAACAATATTGTACATACATCTTAATATTAATAATATCTCAAACAGGTACTTCGCCAACTTCTCCACCAGCCGCTCCATGCTTCCCATGAATGCCATGGCACAGAAAGTGGTACCAGGATCAGAGTCCGGATCGATGAAACCCTTGACAGGGACCGGACTGAGTTATGTCACGCTGCAACCACCCAGCCAACCACTTAGTCTGGTACAGGATCATAGACCATCGGTGTATCAGACACCACCTTACATTGGCAGCAACGTGGAGGAGCCGGAAACTGAAAAAATAATTCCAAACGGTGTGGAGATCACAAAGACGGAAACTGAGCAAGATGTGCCTGCTGTTACAAAACAAAATGAATCCAATAGAAACAACAATTTGAGTCCTGAAAATCCTCCTCAGGAGCAACCGTGTGAAATGCAACCGGAACAGGTTCTGACATCGTTGATGGAGTTTCCATTGAATGCTCGTAAGTACATTTTATTACTCGCAAATGCTAAAAAATGAAAATTATTTTACTTGAAAATAAATGGAAAAACATTGTTTGACTACATTTTACAACTGTAAAATTAATATTCTTTATTTTGTACAATAATACATAATAATATAATATTGATATATTTGTATATTACATTTTGTACTATTATATACATTTATACTATTATTACATTTTGTAATATTATAAAATGAAATTTGAAATAATAAGTTGTACGAGACAAAATAAGTACAAATAAGAAAACGTAAAAAATTTTAGATCTAAAAGTAAAATTAAATAATATTGCATAAAAAAAGAGAGCAAATACGAAATTTATATTTACATGTATTTACATTTTTATAGCGCTAAACACACCAGCGCAGAATAAAGTTGAGGAAAAGAAGGCTCCTGTAAATAATGGATCGAAAGAATCAGATGGTAAAGCCGTTAATACACCTGTACATATAAAACAATCTCCACACAAACCAGAAGATGTACAAGCAAAGAACGAAGTTCCAAAGGCAAAACCTACAAATCAGAGTTTGAAAGTACCAAACGATAATGCCACCACAACAGTAACAGTAACTAGTACATATAAACCTGACGCAAAAGTCACTACCTCTCCAAAGACAACTAAACGAAAATCTAAAGAATTGAAAGATTTGAAAGCAGCGTCTGCAGCAGTTGCTGATGGAGCAAGTAAACCTAAGAGGAACCGGGTTCAGACACAACCTTATCAAAGCCCATTACCAGAGTTTTCTTTATTCGTCAAAAGCCTCAACAAGACTCCAGGCTCTTCTAAAGCTCCTGACGATAAACTTATTGTATTCTACAAGTAAGCATTCCATCTTGTAAAAATCCTCGATTTAATAACTATGCATTTGTTTTTTGCAAGTATAAATTGTGTAATAAAATATTTATTTTTAGAAACGAATTTTTGGCTGTGAGGAACGCCGAGGGAAGCTTTTATGTTTGTCAAGCAATGCAAAATATCTATAAATCAAGCAGACGTATTCGCATACGTTGGTTATCTCAAGATAAAACCAACGGTGAATTCTATTCACCAGATTTCTACGATACTATAGGTATTATTTATCAGATATTATTTGCACATGTAGCATTATTATAAATTATTATATTACAGGGATATATATATTGTATGTATTTAACTGTTTAATTTTACTATTTAATTTTCAGATTTTGATTGTATATTAACAAATTTGAATCTAAACAAGGTTGACAAACATAAATTCTGGTTAACACGAATAGAGCTGCTACGTACGGAAAATATCTTAAAACGGGCTATCGATGTTGAGGCTGGAGTATCTGAAAAACCTCGAGTTACAGAGGAGCATCCTGATGGATGTAAGTATAATTTTGATATTTTAAATTTTAGAATAATAATCAAATACTTAATAATTCTATTTTGTTCATGTACTTCATAACACACATTTTCCTTAAATGGATAATATATAATAAATAATATACATCATAATGTTTTTATTTCTCTAGTGGATTTGTCGCTCTACAAAGATGAGTCGCAGTTGAAGAGAAGAAAAGGTTTGCAAAATGAGAAGCCGAGTCAACGTAAAAAGTCCAAACGAGTCGGAAATTCCTCGGATGAGGAAGCGGACGAGGAAGAATCGGATCGAAATCGGAAAACATCCAAAGCGAGTCGCACAAAGAAACAATCGGTTAATAAGGCATTGGCGATCGCTAAATCCGTCGCAAAAGGCACCAGTAGAGCAGAAAGAGCACTCAACAGAAGCACAAAGTCTGGCAATAATCTAGGCAACGACAGTTCTACTACTACTACTGCTGCTGCTACAACTACTGCTACTATCACGACCACCTCTGCTGCAGCGGCTGCTACTACTGCTACTGCTCCTGCTGCTACCGTTACTACTAGTACAACTACCACCAATCCCGCCAACGTTTCCACCGTGGCGGATGCCAAAAGTAATGCAGATTCGAAGAAATTGGACTTGAAGAAAAACGGCAAGCAACAAAGCAACAATAGCATCAGGGGAGTTTCAAGAACAAAACTCGGAGGTAAATAAATTTTATACATGTACATACTAAAGTGCATTATCTGTCGATGCGTTACTTTTTTAAGTATAGTTTATTGCGGAAACGAAATTTTACCGAAATTTTAGCTGTTTATAACTGAATATAAAACATTGTAAAACGTAAATACTTTTGAAGATAATTTATAGACTCCTTGACGCGATAATATATGTGTATATATATATATACAAATATTATATACATATATATATCACGTATGGTTATTAAATTGACTCGAATGGAGACATCTTACTGAATGTACAATCAATTTAAAGGTTCTGCTCAAGCTATACAACAAGCCAATAAAATGGCAGGGCGTCCGAAGCGCGTGGCCGCTACCACCGGCGTTCTCTCGAGCGAGGAGGCGCCTTCTCCAAGAAACAAACCGCGCGGTCGAGCATAAAATTAACTTAACTTTGCTTTTTTATGCTATAGTTACAGCCGAGTCTGTATCGTAGGCAATATGTACGTGTGGTACACCTCTTGAAATTGCAATCAATTTGTTATGTAATATATACATATATATGGATTTCAAGATTCTTAAATGTATCATGTGTTGCGATATAATATTATAGTTCAATGATACGGGATCAACGACTTGTGTCTCTGATTCGTCAAGTCGCATTTAAAAAAAAGAACAAAAAAAGAAAAGTTAAAAGTTAAAGATAAGAAAAAAGACTCAGAGATTTATGCGAGCGATATTGTGATATCATACAAAATTTGTACATATCGTCTACGTCTCAGACTCCTTCAGGAGAAGAAAGTCACGGAATGTGTGGGAAACGGTACCTTGAGTTGAGTAATAACTAATCTACAGGGTGTCACATACTAATGCACTCTTGCAATAGTCTATTTTTGATGTTGTGAGTGAACCGTACGTGATTCAGTTAATTTTAATGTACACTTTCCATTGGATATGATATATACACTATGTACAAATATACATGTGTGGGGAGGGGTGGTTAATTATATGTATTCTGTAAAACAGAAAAAAAGAAAGAATAAGGTACAGAGAAATGAAAAGTAGTATCGACAGAAAAAAAAACCGAAAACAATCCCGAGTATCACCGATCTCCCGAGCTAATCTCCGATCGATCGGTAAAAGATCTCGAAGTACAATATATTACTGTACATTAATGCTGAATCCTTGCTGTTAAAAAATAGCACATAAAAATGGTCCAGCGCCTATATAAAGACAGGCAGAGTAAAGTGCCCAGGGGAATTGTTTCCTTGTCGAGTCAAGGATTCGCGAAATATTCGCGAGCGGAAAGTAGCACATTGCTTATAGTTTCTTGAATTTGCGGCAGCCCATCATTGTAAAATCGCAGGGTTCATATTAAACAAAGAGAGAACGAGAGAGAAAGAGAAAGAATGAGCGCGAGAGAGTGATGCCACATTATTACGATTTAGCCACATAGATGTAATTCTAGAAGAAGTGAATGAAACAGAGCACTTATTTAGAACGTTAAGTCTTGAATACAATTGTATAAATTTTTGATTTATTTTAGTGTACGTGTTAATTTTAATTTTTTCCGTCACTTATATATAGAATATATAATGACGAAACTGTATATTTATAATATTATAGATTAGGTGATTATGATTTATATACACATATATATGTTTATATATATATACAATATGATATTTAATTATTATATTAATATATATATACTATATACTTATATAATAATTAAATATAAATATATATTATATATATAAACTATATATATATGTATATACATATTTCGCGCAAAATTCAATTCATATATATATGTATATATATATATATATATATATATATTTTAATGTAGCACACATACATATTTTATATCGCGTCGACGTACATTTGTTGCGGAAAACGCAAACATATGTTAGCGTTTTTTTGCCAGGAAAAGCCACACTAGGATGTGCATTGTTTGTTTGTGTAATATGTAACGTGACATATACATATATATATATATATATATATATATATATATATATATATATGTATATATATATATATATATATGGTTTCCCTCTTTTTTTACGCTATGACAGTATACAGTAGAAGTATATGAGAATCTTATAAAACAGATAGATTATTTATAACGTTATAGGGAGTGTGTTCGACAAATTTGAGCGAACGAATTTGCTCATACGTCGTCGATTACACGAGGATACTCTGACGGGTTTTTCTTTTGACTATAAGATTTCGATATCAGGATATGTGTAAACGTATTTTATACATCGGCCGTTAAGACACAATTGACGTTTCCCTTGCTTGATTTTGCCACACATGTACATATATAAAGCGATTAGATAATCAAAATTGTGCATACGAATGTAGCTACAGGAAGGATGAAAGAGAGAGAGAGCGAGCGAGCGAGAAACTCTCTTGCGGCATTTTTTCAGAGTAAAATTACACGGGCGATCACGTTGCAATTTGCTTAGCAAGTAATTTACATCCGCTTTTCCGTTTATCGAGTTAACAACGCAATCCTCGATAATTCTTAATTTTCGACGATCATCATGGGCGCTGAACATTGAACGTCGGATACAAATTCGACTTTAAATGTGTCGTTTAAGAAAAGAGGAAAAAAAGCAAAAAAAAACAGGCATATCGACCTCCGCTCGAGACAAAGAAAAATAGAATACGATATAATTATCATAACTAAATGATTAAGGTGGATTTATTAATTCTCAAGATATGGGATACACGCGAGTAAGATATCAATCCTGTCGTTATTTGGTCCATTGCACATTGTATTTGAGAAATATACGCATACTGTATAAATTTAACGAAGGATTCTAATATAACAGAATATCATCACATACAAAAAACCGTTTGCTCATATTATTATCATTATTATTGTTACTCGCTTTAAGGAAGTGCTTGCGCGCCGTTTTTTCCTTTTTCCTTTTTTTATTTCGAACGCGATCGTCAACAACAACCTGTGCAATCGGTAAAAAAAAAGAAACGCAATTAACATGTAATTGCCGGCGTGTAAGGCATGTTATGTCGTCGTCTCATTATAATTTTACGCAGCTTCTAGCGAGAAATCACACACACATACAAACACATGTTCTTTATATATATATAATATATCCCCGACTTTATTAGAATATAATACGATATTAAGATATGTTAATGAAATATAATTCAAGTACGAAACGTTGCGCGAGAAATAATTTTTCCCACAGAGAATTCATTTTGCCGGATTCCCGATATTCGTCCCTACACAAGGGATTCCTTACGTAGGGATGCGATAATAATTAATTTCGTCTTGAACTCGGTGCAGGTTATTCCCCATAACTCTTAACGATGGATAAGAAATGAAACTTAGGATCATCGACGATGATGATAGATGGATCGGACTATTTGTTTATCTGAAATCGAAGATAAGCACCGCGTAAATTTCTTGTAAATCGATCAGGAGCATGGGCGTCCATAGGATTTTTTCCAGGAGGGAGCATCATTAAAATTTCTTTCTTCCTTACTTTTGTACTTAATTCTTTTAAATTTAATTTTTTTATTTTTTTTTATTTTTTTAAAATATTAAATATGCAAATAAATTCCAGTGTTTATTCAAAGAGAGCAAATGCTTAATTTTTCAACCGATTCCAAGGGATTCCCCTCTGCGGACGTCCATGATCAGAACTCTTTTTGACTCGCGTAGCGATTAAGTGTCTTAACATTAGCTCTTATTAGATATACATATTTACATAATAAGCGCTTCGGATGCTGATTTGCTAAAGTAATCAAATAAAACTTACTGTACGATGTATATATATCCGTTGACATATATCGATCATGGTATATGTATTAATGTAGGATACTAAGCGATCATGTACTTTTTTCTTTTTTCTCTCTCGCACCGTTTTTGCCTCTTTTCTTCTTTTTCGATTCTCCACCTTGTAGCGGCAATTTCGAGTACAACACATGTATATATATACTATTATATACTTGTTCGGATTTACGAGAGTTGGAATATATATCGGCGGATATGATATAGTTCGTTCGGGGACGGATTCTTCTTCTTTCGCTCTCGATCGCGGTAATAAAATAAAATTCATATAAGAAGCACGCGTGATTTTTTTTTTTTTTATTTCCTCTAGTTTTAGCTCAAGGTCGCGCATCCTTGTTCGCCATAAAAATATTTACAGCTCGTAAATTGTATTATGAACTCTGTCATGCGCGAAAATGTATAGATAAAAAAAACTTTCGATTATTTACAATTTTGTAAAAATTATCCCTTATTGTGATTCCGGGACAAAAATTCGGTGAATCTCAATTTTAAATTTATAAAAAATTACATATTTGTAATGATTGTAAATTTGTCAAAAAATTGTGCAATTTTAAAGAGATAAGGATTACGATGCATGATGGGGTTGATAATAAACTTTCGAGAACGTGAAGACTATATGTTAAAGAAAAATGTGGAAATTATATAATTACGTAATGAGATATTAATCAATCATTTTTTGCGCGCTTGTGTATCGACAATTTCGTCGAATTGATGCAATTTTTAAGAGTTTCGTATGTTTGTAAAAAAGAAAGAAACGTCCTCCCTCTCGAGAGGAGTTTCTTCATCTTTAATTTCGACAAAGATTGATTTATCTCTTCTCTAGAATAACCGTAAGAAATAAGAGATAAGCATTTTACGATCGATCCGATATTTCTCGGATCTAGAGGGTGAGATATGTATTAACTCTTCACGCAGTTCACGCTCTCTCGATGGTAAGTCGAAAAAAAAAACTTAACGCAGGTACACAAAGGTGTTTTTTGTACAAAGGTCATTTGTTTATGTATGTATAATAAAGTGACGTCCAGAAATATTGCGAAGGACCAATTCTTTCGAAGCTTGAGCAGACACTTGACGCGTCCCTCGTTTCTTTTTTTTTTTTCATTTTGATCAATCTTATCATTTTTATGGATATTATATTTGAAAAAATTATGCGAATTTTGACATTTATTTCTTGCGTGTTATACAAAATATTTTTCATTAAATAAGTCTTGATGATTTTCAGGATATTACGCAATAAACTATATGCATTCGACAGATAAATACACAAGTGGTATAATGTATAAAAACATGATTTAATAAATATCAATAGAAAAAAAGTTACAGAAAATATCTACACAAATTACAAATATCAATATATAAAATTACATGATTCGCAACATAATATTATCGAGGACCCTTACGTTTGTCTCTCTCTCTCTCTCTCCTCTCTCTCAATTATCTAATCTTAATATTAATCGCATTTAGTATTAATTGCGCTAAAGGTAATCGTAATACTTTTCTCATTGATACCCGAGACGAGAGATATTGTCGACATTCATCATTTGCATTTGCACGCGTTACATCACGCGTGTTTTGCATGTTTTGCATTCACCAGTGATGTGAATAATAATCGCCGTTTCGACAACTGTAACAACAGGTTCTCCAAGTTTTTGCAACGAGTTTTACAGCAGCAGAACGACGCGAATCTTAAATAATACAGTTTAATGTCCGACACGGGACTTCACTCGCGTGTGCGATGAGTAAAAACAGATTTTTTTACCGAAAAAAAGATTCAATGTTCGCAAGTACATGCGTGAAACTAGTTACATAGACGTTACAAGGCACTAGAATAAGAATTTAATCGTCACTCTCTCTTTTTCGATCCACAATCGTACTTTGCAGACAACGAAAGAGCTTCGTCTCTCGTAATTTAGAACTAACTAGATCGTTATTCTTACGAATGTCAGATTTTTTTCTTGGCGCGAAAGCATCTTCAGAGATGAATGAATTCTTTATCGCACAAGTTTACAATTTTTATTGAAGTTTTATTAATAATCGCACGCGCGAAATTATTCGTGGAATATATTTTCTTTCTTCCTCTAAAGTTTAATTTGCTAAAAATTTCCCTTTATTTCCTACGAAAATGTCCCTCGATATTTCTGCCGAAAAAGAGTATCTTGAAATGGTTGTACAATGTAATTGCTAAAATATAACGAGATTACAAAAGTATAAAAACACGCTCTGTAAAATATATATATGAGAGAATCGAACATTTCTTTACCGAAAGAATTATTCCGTTCCTGTGTGAAAATCTAAATGTACATAAGCACCATTAAACTTGGGTTCGGGGAAGAATTATATCAACTTCTGGTTACAGGAACATTCGTAGGAGACTGTGTATCGAACTTTTTTTTTAAATTATCGTTACGACTCTAGACTGTCTGTTTCTCTTAACGCTTGTATACTGAAGGAAGGATTCTCTTTGGGATACTTTTTTTTTATGTACAACGATGGATAGCCGTAGTTTATCGTAAGTTCGAGTGAAAAAGGAACGTCTGCATTTTTCTGTTTCGAGTAAAAACGTAATTTTTACTCCTATAATATGCGCAATAATAATGTGTATTCTATCGTCTCTAAATCCTGAAATGCATTTATCTCGTCGCAATGCGATATATTGTATAAGCCTGAGATTTTTATAGTAACTATATCTTTGTCAAAGAAAAAACTCGCGCAAATAGTGTTTTACGATTTAATTTACAATTTTTTAAAAACAAACTGTAGCGTCATTTGCTACTTACAATATTGGAAGAGTATAAAAGATGTCTCTTCTCGTCTAGCTTATAAATTTACGCAACAAAGGCAATATCTAAGAGCATCGCAAATGTTCGATGCGCGTTTTTCGAAGGAGAAATTCAGTCGTTTATATCAGAATAAAAATATCCGATGATTTGCATCACCATTATTCGCATATTAACACTAGGGATATATATATATGTATAATCGAACAATGCGATATATGTACAAACTGCACAGTTTGTCTCGTACAAGAGAACAAACTGGAGATTCAATGAATAACTTATATGCCACGAGATTGCATATCGATTTCTTAATAGATAATCTATATAGCGGGGGCAATATATAAGAGCTCGGAAGTATAAAACACATCTTACGACGCTGTTTAAGAAAAATATTAAATTATATCTCCTCGATATCGAAATAACAGAGCATAATATAAATCAAAGTTCCCAGGTAGCAAGCGTACGTCATTTTGACATCTAATGACGACAGTTTGCTACTTGGGTTCTCTTCTAAAATATATTCCATTGTATTGTAAAAGCTTTTCCAAAGATCTGAGACGTTTACAGAAAAAAAACCACCCGATTTTATCGCTAATTAGACCAGAGCCTCGGGGGGATAGGGATAGTGGTGATGATGATAGTGGTGGTGTACATGCTCGTGAACGTGTCTTCGGCTGCCCCCCACGTTCTGCGAGAATTCCCGCTCGAGCCAGCGCACGACCTGAGCCATCGCGCGGGCCTGATCCTGCTCCCTCGTGGCGTGCTTGAGCTGATGCTTCTTGGATCTGTTGCACTGTTGCGAATGAAGGAACTGCGCGTCGTTGCGCTGCAAATTGTTGTGATTATTGGTAATCGTCGTTTGATGATTGGCAGTTTGCTGGTTGTTGTTGGGCACGAGGTTAACGATGTTGCGGTGAGTCGTGTTGCTCGTGTGCTGCGGCGTGTCGTTGTAGACCGTCGACACGTTGCGATTCAGCAGCTGCGAGTACGTCGTCTGGGGGGAGGAATGTACCGTCGCGTTGTTCTTCGGTGTCGCGTGTCGCGTCTTTCTGTGATTCGCCGTTCGCGATTTCGTCGGCGTTTTGGGAAATGACGCGGAATGATGGGTCGCGCTCTCCCGGATCGGTTTGTAGCTGTAGTAATAGTAGTGCGTGGCCCCTTGGTGAGGAGACGCCTGACAGTCTTGATTATTGTGATTCGACGTTCCTAGATTAGGACTCTGAGATGGATTGCGCGGTTGCTCGCTGTTTTGATGCCGTTTCCTGCGGGCGAAGAAAGAATATATCATCTGCAAACGATTGCTCGAGACGTCTTTTTCGCTTTACGCATTACATAAATGCTGATGTAAAATATAAATGAAGATATTCTTCAATAATATATTCGAAAATATTGCCAGTATTAATTATCTACCCAGCACAAGTTAATAAATTTTAATAATATGATCTGTGATAAAGCTTGATGAGACTGACTGACTCTCACCTTGATGTGTGAAAACTGAGATTATTTTTTTCCATGTTAGCCTGAATGATCTCCAACAATTGCTGTCTTTGCAGAGCGCCGCTCCGTTTCTTCTGATTCATCGTAAGAAGAGGCGTTAATGGTGAGAACGCGGGGGAAGTGTCACCACTGTCGTCGCTCACATCACCCTCGGAGCTGTTTGAATAGGGGGATGGTAAATGGGGCACCGGACCGACTCTTTTGCGCAGCTCCTCCTGTTGCACCCGATTCGCACGGGCTTTCTCGTCCTCGTCCTCGCTGTGAGTCTCCACTTCTTTTCGCTCAATCTTCTACAAAAAAAAGAAACGATACGCAATGGATTAAATATAAACGTGAGTTTTTTATATAATACGATATAAATTTAATTCCAATATATACGAATAATTTATTCCATAAGAAATTCATGTAGGAAAAGATATACGCATATCTCTATAAAATATAGTGACGTTTTGACGCTTTGAAAGTATGAATTTTTTTATAAATATGTATAGCCTCTAAATTTGAAATATTCATACTCTTGTTTTTGACAAATAATCTTTATTCATATCCCATCATATTAATATATGTTAAACAATTTTTAACGGATCTCATATTATCATTTCTATCTTTTAATTTTTTTTTATGATATCTAGGAAATTTGAATATATATTATCGCGAGAAATCGTGAAAAATTGTGAAGATTTAATTTAAGTCAGTTTCGAAATTCAATAAATATGCATTTTATATATATACACAAGATATTTCTAAAACTGTCAGAGATTTTAATGCTTTTTCTCCAAGTTATAGTCCCCTAAAGTTGGGAGAAAAAATTAAAAATATATTATAAGTAGCTTTTGGAGACTTTTTCACAGATCGTTGAAATTTTTGACAGCATAATAATTAATAGTGATTATAGATATTTCATTTTTATGTGGTTTTGACAATTTGATCTGATTTTGAGAAGGGGATTTGGAAGATGTTAATTTTCATTTTTGGACCCATGTTTACAGGAACTTTTTTTCTTATTTTGATCCCTAGAATGCGTCCTTAACATCTCTGACATAATTTTAGAAACACTATATACTCAGGCTCTGGATTTTAGATATCTGTCAAATAATTTTAATAAGTCTTCTATTATCGTTTCTATCTGTATTAATTATATTCTTTAGTGCGATGTCTAACAATAAGATATATATATATATATATATTATTTGGCAAGAAATTGTAAAAAATTGTAGATTCAAGTTTCTCAAAAGATCGAAAGAAAATTGAGAGAAGCGCCAATTTATTTCTCCCCCTTCCTTATATACACCCCACCGAGATTGGCATCCCGAGGATGACAGGATGCGTATCTATCTCGCCCACGGCTCCGATGTCATCGGCTATGTATTATATACACATACGTGGGTATTGTACACGGAGGAATGTAGGTCCCGACAGCGGTACCGCGTCGCTCTCCTCCTCCTAGGAACTCTGCTCGCGTAATGCCGGGTGGCGGCGGTGGTCGCATGACTGCAGGGGGCGACGTGCTTCAAATGACAGCAGGACGACGGATTGTTGTGTTGATGGGCACTCGTGGGCAACGTCGTGGTCGTCGTCTGCGACGTCTGCGCAGCAATACAAGGCGCGTTGCGTGGCGTCTGTTTGCTGCTGGTCCGCTGATCCGGCGACACCGTCAAGGTCACGTTAATTATCTTGCTGCCGCACGACGGTACCTGTATGGTCGAGGCGCCCAGCTTATCGTAGATAGTGGTCACCAGACCGGCTATGTCGTCCTTCGTTATTTTCCCCTGGCCGTTAAAGTCGTACAGGGTGAAGGCGATCTCCTTCAGCGTGTCACCATCTTCCGTGACCGATACCTTGCAGGCGACTTGCTGCTGCAGAAATGAAGAATCAAACCTGGATTATACTCGTGATTCAAGACTGATCGAGTGATAAAATGTAAAAAATAAATTACAACAGTAAATTTATAATTATAGTATTGAAACTGATTTTAGTATGAAAAAATATCCACAGTTGAAATTATTATATTTTAAAACGTATATCATTTTGTAATTTTTAAATTGCACTTTTGTGAAAAAATGAAAAGGGTTACATGTGTATAGGAAAACTTAAAATATTAGACAAGAGAAATAAAACATAGAAAAATAAAAATTACTGTTATACACAAACAATAAGTTGGCATCGTACAAAAATTGAAGAGAAATGAAATAAATAATATTCAACTATAAAATATATTATATCGAACAAATTGTGATGAATTGATATACATTCCAAGAAACAACTTTTGTACGATCTTTCAGTAATTATGTTAATTGTGTGTTATGAATCTCTCGTTCTGCTACACGAATTCAATACATCTTTTTTCAGTGTATAAATTTCTATCTTTCTCTCCCCGTTTCTTTCCTCTCTACTGAGATATATAAATTAAAGTATTTCACCTCGAGACTAAGTTGTTTCGTTGTACCGCAAGTAGGCTGTTCGTCATTACCGGTAGGTCCTGCTGCAGGTACGCTCGGGCCATCAACCGCTACCTGCGGCGGCTCCGCAGGGGAAATTAAAGTCGGTTTCGACTCCGTCGTCGTCGGCGGTGACGAGACATTGCAGGTCGTCGGAATCCCCGTCAGCAACTCCTCGGAATCGCTACCTTCCGCGTTGGTTCCCACAACTGCGAGCAGGTCAACAGAAAGAAAATCTCATTTATGCAAGGACACAAGTTCCCAGAACTGCTAAGAATCGATCATTTTTAAAATAATAAATAAATAAATTTAAATACAATTTAAATAAATAGATTGAAAAAGTTCCAATATAATAAAATACGAAATCAGACGCTAATAACGAAGAGGATTCAAAATAATGAAAAAGGAATTTTTAAAAAATTAGCTCCTCTTATACTTGATTTTTCTTTTAATTAGATGTTTTGCAGGACGCGATCGGAAAATTCTCGTTCGCTCTTTCGTCGCACGCGATCTCCGTTTCGTGAAAGAGAGGCGTATACGAAGAGGAGCGAATAAAAGGCGGCATTTAACACGCGCCACATCCGCACCCGTGGCGTGTGTTTGCTGCAGGGGCGGTATTTTTACCCGCTTCTCCGCGCCGGTCGCACGGTGCTCCGAGAAGACCTTTCGTGAGCTGTTAACCGGAAAAGCAGCTGGAGCTCTAACCGATTGAATTTTCAAATGTCCCGACTTTGCGCAAAGCTGCGATAATTTAACACAATTTCTATTATTTTTATTTATAATTTCTTACTTGCAATTTTCCATTTCTTTCTACAATTTTAAGAACACAGGAAAATTTGTGTTCTCTTGTTAAAAACGATCCCCGTTAAAACTTTTGTGTTAATTGAACTTAAATGTTAAATTATTAAAACAACTGAAAAAAATGTAAAAATAACACAATGTGCATCTATTTTTTTATCTTATACAATAATTTTTTATTTTATAATATAAATGAGGATAATAAAATCTAAAACCAACATATTATTAATTAATTTTTACATTAAAACTATGTTAATTTTACACAAAATTTATTTCAAATTGAAGTTTTGCATTTAAAATATTAACACAATATTTTTGCGTTTCCCTTTAACATATCCGTATTATATTAAATTAACACAAAAATTTCTGTAAACCGTGATATAGCTTAAATTTAACACAAATTTTTCAACTGTGAAGCTTAAATTTATTTTCAACGATATATATATATATATATATATATATATATATATAATTGCAAGCAGAGACATAAAAATAGGCTCTAATAAATGGAAGAATTTAATCTCAAATCGCGCATTTTAAATTTGCGTGCTGACACGTTACCTTGAACTGTTTTTTTTTTATATTCCGTATTATAAGCTTCGGTTTTATCGGCAACTATTGTGTAATGGGTCATAAACTCGTCCCACCTAACGGGTACAGAGCACGGATGTACATACGATAGATGTAGTGTTGAACTCGACGATAGACGAGGGTATATGTGTGCGCACGTTGATTGTGTGTGTTAAGTGCAATACAAATCTGCCCTCGAAATTTGACACTCGCACGTTATAAATTACCATCAAAGTAGAAAACTAACGAAGCTGCGATGTATCATTTTCGGAAACTGTAACTCGATGCTATCAATGTGTTATATGTGTGTTAAAAATATTTAATGAATGTGTGTGTAATCTTTTTTTAATATTATATCTTGTAATATTTATATTAAGATTTTTTCTAATTTATTTTTTTAGAAAAAATTTTACATTTCCGTATTTCCTAATTAGGATATAATAATCGAATAAATAATGTCTCTATTCCCAACTTTCTATTTTTATTTCAATGCACATATGTGAAGAATGAAAACGTTGGACATAATGATATCTTCTCATTTATATTCATGTTTGGCCAAGTAAGTGTTGAAGTAGCAAAGAAAGAACGCGTAGAAGAAAGTCTTAAAGAAACACATGTGAAAAACATGTTGAGAATACGAAAAGAAATAAGGATATCAACGGTATGTAAAGAATTGATTGTAAATAATTACTTATTCTAAAAAAATTACATTATATTATTTGAATAATATTTAATACTATTATTTAATTATTACTTGAAATTTTAATTATTATAACATAACTTATTACATAAAATATACATATATTCATTATTATATAATTTATTATTAATTTATTGTTACTAAATATTATTATTAAATATAAACAAAATCTTTGAAAATATTATTAAATATTAATTATAAAGTATCTGATTGTAAAAGGTATTTAACGCATTTTTCAATATACAACTCTTTAACAATTTTATTCAATCGATAATATTCGTAAAATTCGTAAGATTTGTGTGAAGAGAGACACTAAAGAAAATATATATTATATAAAAATATATATATTCAAAAATATATATATTTTTAAAAATATATATATATTTATTATAAATATATATATATATATATATATATATATATATATATATATATATATATATATTTAATATTTTTTAAATTAAAAATATATTTTTTAAATGTGTTAAAAACATACGTAATTTCCGCGTTATTTTTAATATGAGACAAACTTGTAGACTGAACAGGTCGAAAGGCAAGAAAAGTGTAAGTATGATGTAACAGCATGTGGTATTCTATTTCTATAGAATTTAGGGTTATCCTAATGACGGTTCGTTCTTTAGCGACAGGACACAATAGTATTGGAGTCAAGCAAAGCTACAACGTCTACATTTTTCCTTTTACTTTTTTTTTTGTAAACTTATTACTTTTCTCCTTTCGGTCGCGGCATTCTTTAAGCATTTCTCAAATTCGTTTTAAATAAGGTACTCGTTTTAAATTCTTATTCTTATTCTAATAATTAAAACAAAATTCACAAACTTTTTAATTCGTAAATAAATCTATAGCATTTTAAAATTTTATAAGACGATTTTTTCTCGAATTTAATAGTAATAATTATTTTTGTTTTTCGCAGTTACTTAATTTGTGTCTCGTCATCATCGAAAACAAGTACATTGTTAGATACTAATTTAGGAAACGTTTATGTAAACACGATGTAGTTGCATGTGTAATTTTAATTTGATTTAAAAAATAAAACCGTATAATATATTTAAAATAAACCCGCAAAATACATTTAAAATAAAACCGCATGATACATTTAAAACAAAACCGCAATTCGATTTATCACTTTAAAACAATGAACGAAAATACAAGAGGGAAATAAAAATACTAATTTACGATATTACCTCGTTTCATCTTGTTTTTCAGATCTATCATCGATATTTAAAAGCGAATCTCTATTTCTCTTTCCAAGAACCATCTCGTAAATTTTTTCCGACGACTCGTCAAGGCCGAAAGCTAGACGACAATATAAGAACGAATGAGTTTTGGCATCAAAGCTCGAAAATTTTACCAGATGTCGGTCAGACGTAAAGCTTTCTAAAAGGTTTCAGGTAAAAAAAAATCTTTCGAAAAGAAATAAAGAGAATGACTCACAAAGCGAAGCGAGCTAATGCTATATAATTCGATATTATCTCTCCTCGATGCAGACACAAAAATATGTAAACACGCGCTACACACGTGTACGAGTTTATTTATAATATAAAAAACCACGTGCTCCTCGTACGTAAAGAATTTTCCAATTTTCTAAGTAAAGCACAGCCGCAATTTTTTATATAATTTAAATATATTTTTTACTTTATTATATATTTAAAAATGTTATTATATTTTATCATATATATATATATATATATATTTATATAAAATATATTGTATATTATTTTATTATATTAAGCAATATATTATATTTTATTATATTATATACACTGTAAAATTCTTAGTAATTTTTTTATTACTTTACCTAAAAGGCCTTAGTAATATAATTTTCCTAAAAATAAAATTAATAATGAAAAAATTAAATAAATGAATAAATAATGAAAGATTTGGTATCATCGTAGCATGGGAACTTAAAGGAAGTAAACATTCCTTTATTCGCGCCTCGGGTTTCAATAACATCCGGTATACATTTTGTCGACGATATCGCGACGGAAGAAGTGCATGCGTTCTCAGAAGAAGGAAGGAGGAATCATTACCAGAAAAGGGTCTGTAGCCGGCGAGGAACCTTGCTCGCCACCACTTTACCAATCCGGTAGCCATGGGACCTTCATGCGTGCGTGCGTGCGTACGTGCGTGCTTGCTGCTTGCGTTCGTGCGTGCGTGCGATCGGCGTGTGCGATCCCTCTGCGCTTCTATCGCTCTCTCTTTCTCCGTAAACCTTCGACGGCGGCGAACACTTTGTGCCTCTCCCCGAGGTTACCACGCCATCCTGGAAGCACGCGAGATATCCGGCGATGTGTACTCTCCCCAGCTTCTTCCGGTCAGGTCAAATAGTCGGCCGGTACTTTGCTTTCCCATACATATATATATATATATATATATATATATAAACGATTCTCTCTCTCCGATCTGTCACTCGTCCCGTCAACGACATACATACATATATGCATATATAAACGGGAGAGACACACAACGCGGACGTCGATTCGTCCTTTTACGTACGCACCATTGAAATTCCGAGCGAGCGTTCACTCGCTCACAACAGGACGCCGTGCCGTCGTCGTCGTTGCACTCTACGCACTACTGCTACGCACGTGCTCGCGCGGCGGAGTCCGCCGAGCGAGTCCGAGACAAAAATCAGTGAACCGCGCCGTCTTTACGGATCTTCATCCTCGGAAGAGGAGCGTCTCCTTCTCACTCGCGCACGTCACGTCGAAACGGACCGCGGACACGCGCGTCGAGAGAGGCAAAAAATCTTCCTCTCCCGTTGGCAGATGACAGACGCAGAGACGCGTCCTTTTTAGCGCGCGGCTCGGACACGACTGCGGACGCTCGTCCTCGCCGCTCTATCCCCACCACGGCGCGCCGTTCCCCCACCACCGCGCCAGTTCTCCCACCACCGCAGTGGCGGCACCACTGTCACTCCGGCGCGGCACCACCACCAAGCGCAACGCGCGGAGCAGGCAGCCCGGTGTCGAGGATACCCGGCTTACCCCGAAGGTAGGGAGGCGCGCAGCATCCTCTCTCTGCTCCGTTCTCTTATTTTCTCTTTCTCCTTTGCATACCCGGTTTGTCGAAGAGCGCGCGAGAGCTGTCTTCCTCCGAAAAGCGCACGGTACGAAGCCCGATTTACACGACCTAGAATTGTAACGGTGGTACTGTGTTGTTCGTATATATGTATAAATCGTAGACATGTTTCATGAATTATTGTATGTATGTAATATGGGCGAAATATTTTTGTAATTTATCTGAAAAGGAATATTCTAGCTGGAGTAAAGATAATTTTTCTGTGATTCAAGCTTCGAATTTTTCCTCGAATCAAGAGAGAGATTATATAATGAGCCGATGAGGATAATATATTAATGTCTTGTAATTAAAATTTGTCATGCAAATATCAAAGAATTTTATCAACCATCGAATCGTAATTAGAAATAGGAAAATAATTCGACTTTGAATATTTTCGTAAATTATATGGATGTAAAATCGGGTTCAATAATACCGGAAGGAAGAATTACTTTTGACACGAGTGAGAGAGAGACGAGATGCCTGACACCGTCAATCTCGGAGTTGACACATTAACATAAATTTCGCTTCCGATTGTTGGACAACTATACGGTTGAAAAATTTCTGTTAATAGATATCCAATTTTTTTCTGTAAATTTTAACAGATCTTGTCACTAATAAAACAGAACATATATTTATTATGTAAAATTAAAATAGATGCACATTGTGTTATTTTCACATCTTTTTTCAGTTGTTTTAATAATTTAACATTTAAGTTTCAATTAACATAACAGTAATATGTTAAATTAACACATAAATATTTTACATAAAAATTTTAACGCGGACCGCTTTTAAAAAGAAGACACTATTTACGATATTTATAAAGAAAAATTGACTTTCCAAAAGCAATTATTTAATTTATATATATGCTCGAGATTATATATGTTGCACCTTCGTCCAACGTATCGTCAACTCCGATCTTCGACTTAGTCGTTTCCGGAATAATATGCAAAACGACGTCGCGTCGAGCATTGGAAATTGCATTCTGTTACTGTTTGGATTCTGAATGCAACGATGCAGTTCTTATGAATATTTCTGCGCAAAGAGAATTTTCAGAATGATTTTTAAAAGCCAATTTCGCGAATCTCTGCGAATCGCAGGAGATTTAAAAACGAATGGTCTTGAAAGTTTCTGCGCGATGTCGCGTGTTCTCCATTTTTTTAAAATTAAATTAAATTGAGGCGGATCGAATTGTTATCTAAGAGATTACATTTCTAAGAGAGTTTGATAAAAGAGAAAGAGATGTTTATCAGTCAACTGTGTATTTTTTTTAAGTCTTCAGATTAAGAAGAGAAAGTTATCCCAACACGTATCTGACTTAATCTTATCTAACTTAATAAATTTTAATACTTAATAGGAATGTGTTATCCAATATATATTTTTTCAAGACAAAAATTGCATTGCAAATATTTTTAATATGTTCAAAATTGAACAAATAATAATAACAATCATAAAGAAAATTCAATAGCATCACAAAATTTAATTTCAATTATAAAATCGCGCGCTATAATTAATCATTAAAAAATTTTCGACCTTAACATTGAAGGATCTAAAGTAAATAAAATCGATAATCATTTTTCTTTCATATATGTATACAGAATTGCGGCAGAAATTTTTGAGCCGTTAAAAAAAAAGCCTAAACTTTTGGCCTACTTTCGGCGCGGAAATCGATATCCTTGCCATTGAATGATTTTGATCCGTTTACACGGACGTTGTTTACACGCACGTCATCGTTCTGTGTCGCTTCGACGGACGCTTCAATGAAGCCCCAAGTCGGAGAGAAAAGCGAAGGGGAGGCAAGAAGCAAATTGGGATAAAGCGTTCCGATTTCGCATTCCTCTCTCTCACTTCGTGTTGAGATACACATTCTTTATTTACGTCGCTTCATCGAGAAAACACGAAGAGGTACTGCTGCGCACGAAGAGGTACTCCTCGGAAAGGTCGTATATCGAATCGGAAATATACTCTTTTTGGAGACTGTACCCGCACGCTATTATCTCCTAGCGGTGTTTCAGAAGAAACATAGGCGTCGCCATCGAGGAAGATCCGCCGCGCTTACATATACATATATATATATATATATATATGTATATATATCCCTTTTCCCTCCCTTTTGATACCCTACTACCGGTGCCGTCCGCTACTGTTAGACACCAACCACGCTTCGGCGAAATAAAAAAAAAAAGAGAGAAACAATTAACTTGGACAAAAACGACCGAAGTCCTTTGTATACAAAGTTTCGCGCTCTGACCGGCGTGTAGCGAAATTAAATATCATATATCGCGATATATATTGACGGCTTCCGAATCCTTTTGACAGTTCCTCGTCAATTCTCGTCTCCTCTGTCATGTGATTTTTCAATTACGCGTGTCAAATAAAATTTCGAATTTAATTTTTTTTTACTTTTTTATATACACATGCATGCAATGGTCATAATAATTTTCAAATTATAATAGTATCATAAAATATAGGTACTATAAAATTTGAAATTAACATTTTTTTCACTTTGTTAAATATTTGACACAATAATAAAGATTGAGAAAGTAATATGAGCTATAAAAGAGACTTACAAAAAGTTATATTGTTAGCAACCTGCTATCAAAAAATAGATACATTTTTTTGAGAAGGAAATTAAGGTTCCTCGCCGCGGCCATGTTGGATTGTGACGTCAGAGATGAGAAACCACACGCTGAAAATTCTTAAATATTAATACCATTTTTTAATGAAAAGATATTTCGATGAAACACTATTTCAGATGTGACTTTAGCAAACGTGTAAAATACTTTGAAAACTATTTTTTTCTCTTGACAACGTGTTTTTTCACCTTTGATGTCATAATTGTGATATAATCTTAATTTGAGATTATGAAAATTTAAACATTCGAATGCATCGAAAAAATTTGAAACGCATGGGACTAATTATGTAACAGTAGGATTCAATGACGGAATGGAATATATCCCAAGTAGCAAACTAACGTCATTAAACGTCATTAGATGTCAAAAGACGTCAAAATGAGCAAAATGATTTTGACGTTTAAAACATCAAAACGAGCATCCCAAATAGCAAACTGACGTCATTAACGTCATTAGATGTCAAAATGACGTATAAAAAAAACGTCAAAATGAGCAAAATGATTTTGACGTTTAAAACGTCAAAACGAGCATCCCAAGTAGCAAACTGACGTCATTGACGTCAAAATGACATCATGAAACATCAAAATGACGCTTAACGATATCACTTTGACGTTTAACGACGGCAATTGGCTGCTCGGGATGTATATCGCGACGTAAGAATGACGTTTCCGACAATTCGCGGCAAGCAAACTGACGTCATTAAACGTCATTAGATGTCAAAAAACGTCAAAATGAGCAAAATGATTTTGACGTTTAAAACGTCAAAACGAGCATCCCAAATAGCAAACTGACGTCATTGACGTCAAAATGACATCATGAAACATCAAAATGACGCTTAACGTAAGGATGACGTTTCCGACAATTCGCGGCAAGCAAACTGACGTCATTAAACGTCATTAGATGTCAAAAAACGTCAAAATGAGCAAAATGATTTTGACGTTTAAAACGTCAAAACGAGCATCCTAAATAGCAAATTGACGTCATTGACGTCAAAATGAATCATGAAACATCAAAATGACGCTTAACGATATCACTTTGACGTTTAACGACGACAGATGGCTGCTCGGGACGTATATCGCGACGTAAGGGTGACGTTTCCGACAATTCGCGGCAATCCGTACGCTTTTCGCGTCCCCGGAGGAGGACGCCAATGGATCGCCGGTCGGCGGTACTGAAGCATCCCCTCGCACACTCCCTATACAGAAAGGCTCTCTACCCATGCCATGCCACGCTGTGGCGTGCTGTGCCGTGCCGTGCCGCGTTATGCGGTACGGTTTGCCGTGCCATCTTCAGCCGCGTAGCGTGGCTAGTTGTTTCTTTTCTTTATTCCTTTGTCGGAAAGTCGGCGGCAAGTCTCGTTTTTAAGAGGCGGCAGAGAGAAGGTCGACGGAGAAAGAGAGAAAGAGGCAAAAGGGGCCGGGAGGGGAGAGAGGCGGCACGGCGAGGGGAAGACAGAGGCAAAAGGGAAACTGCGGCGGCCGACTAGGGGCGGGGCGGAAAGGGGGGGAGGGAGGGAGCGAGATGACGGTGCCGCGGGTTGGGAAGGGGGCCGAGGAAAGGGCCCCGAGCTCTCGCTCTCCGTTCGGCAGTGAGGGGGAATAAAACGCGCGGCTCTCAAAAAACGCGAGTACAGACTAGCCTCGAAATAACGCCGGCAGCGAGCTCTCTCTCTCTCTCTTTCATCTTTATACCGCGTGTTTCCGTGTGCGCGTGAATTCGCGCGAGTCATCTATTAATAATAAACTATTTTCAGATGCGTTTCTTGCGAGAATTCAATCCTTCTCTCTTTCTCTCTTTTGCTCATTGCGCCGAAATGAGCTGTGAAGATCGCAGGAATCGAGATCGATTTTAAATTCGAATTAGAGCACTCTCGATCGACTTGGCGGTATGAATAATATATTATTAGATATTAGAGTAGGCCTCTCTTTCTTTTTTACTCCCCTAATAGCACAACATATCCGAAAGATATTCAGAGGATATCCAGAAGACATTCGAACATCCTCAGAATGTTCTCTTGAATGTCTTCGGGATATGTGTGCTGTTAGGGTCATTGCATCTAAGTAGCCATCTATACATTGCAGATCGCAAAAATCGAAATCGATTATAATTCGAGTTCTCGTACAGCACTTTGAACTCTCGATCGATTTGGCACTAAGAATAATATATATATATATATTAGAGTAGACCTCTCTTTCTACTTATTGCGTTTAAGTAATCTGCGCATT